GCTTTGCTTACCCCACTTGTTGAGTCTCCAGATTAGTGGTACTTCAAGGTCGAACTCTCAGTTCTCATTTCCATGTTCCATTTTCGGGTGATTGTGAGTACCTGTCCTTTTCGTAACACCAATTGTCTCATCTCATCGTAGTCAGTCAGTGTCCTTGTGTTGCTTCATGAGGCCCATTCCAACAGGAGCACAGGTACTTCAGAATGCCAACTGCTGACCTTGCTCTCCCATAGATATTCTTCAATGATGGGTTGGCTGTTCCATTCCGTCGTGTCAGCGCTTCGAGTTGTACAACAAGCACATTTTGTAGTACATAGTGCTTCTCTGTCGCAGTGACCTCTCCAGCAATCTTGACAACCGAAACAGAGTACCCAAAAAGAACAATACGAGTGTGGATCCCCTGAGAATAAGCCGACCCTTCGCAGTTGAATATTCATCCCGTATTAAGCCATTTTGGAGACAAATGTGCTGGTTTCGGATGTAGTCGTTCTAGGAAATAGAGAGACCCACGCTGTCAGAACTACCTAGTGCTCCAGTAAAACCCAACTATAACCTCATCAAATATTGTGAGATCGGTTTCGTAACATCTCAACACACTTGAACTTCAGTGAGGGAATTTGAGTGCATATTTGGTTAGATTGGCGTCCTTTATCAGCTGGGTATTTTCTTATAACTGTCCCATTCCTGTAACATCCAATAGCAACCCCTAGCACACTTTTTATCCAACTATCCCCCAACTAAGTCTTAACTACTGTAAGCGTTGGGGGCAGGACTGTGCGTACTGTGTGAATAGGAGTAGGACCACCAATGAGCGTAGAGCTCACATCACCAAATACGCGGCATCGTATGTTCGACACGTGCGACGTAATTAATTACTCCTCTTCGCCTCTTCGGCGATACATGTCCTTTTCGGACACATTATGCATGTCTTGGAAATGGAAAACGCTGCAGAAAGCTCTGTAGATGGAGATGATTCGGGGGCGGCAAAGACCCCGCAAAAACAAGCGAATCTTTGATTCAATGTCCGTAGTTCCTGAATCTTGCCGCGCCTCGTCCATTCCCATTCCACCATCTCCATTTCCCCACACTCGTACCATCAATACATCATTAGTGCTGCATCCATCTGTCAACTGTCAACTGTCAATGCCCTTGTGTCAAAGCAGTGCAAGTAGCACCACTTTTTCTCCACAGTGAGTCATTTGACTGAGCAAGGTACGATATGGTACAAGTACCGTTTCCGTTCTTGTCTTGCACTCCCATGAGAAGTGCAATTGTATGGTGCCATGTTCAATCAGAGCCCGCATCGAGATGCGAGTTTGGCCGCGCGCTTCATGGAAAGCCACCGTTTCATAGCAGAATATCCGCATATCAATGGACAGGGGCACACAGGGTTTATTATCGCCAGCCCCTGGATCCCAAACTGTGTTCCTGGCTAATCGCACAGAGCGATAATTTTCCAATATGGGTAGACACGAAGCTGAGGCGGTCTATCGCCATTGGTAGTGCGGTAAGACCAATGTGAGACCAATGTGAGACCAATGTGAGCACCAATGTGTGTACTCGGTACTGCACCAAATCCCTTGAGCCGTATAGTATAGGGAAAATCGTCACCACTATGCAGCTCCCGGTGCATCTCCGTGGACAGCATTTATGCATCTGGGGCCATCCTCATGATAGTTGATAGAGTATGAAGCTCGTGGCGGTCGATCCTGTTGGATTGACCTGGACACGAGATCAAATAGCATTCTGACTGTTTGTTAGCACGACTCGTATCGTAGTATACAGCGAGGGGTGCCTGAATGGTCTGTATGTACGACAGGAACTGTACAGTATGTATTACCGGGATGTACGCATCATATGTACGATACGTCGTCACCCGACAGTTGTACGGTCTCGGTGTAAGTTGGGGACGAATTGATCTTTGACGGTCAAAGCGACAAAACCGACTATCGTAATTGTACCTGTGGCAAGTCGACCATTTGAGACACTTGTTGAAGCTTCACGTGGACAGAGGGGAAGCTTATCACCTATGGTCATATCACGATAACTCGTACTCGCACTCGTACTCGTACTGTATGTACCAGCACGAACTACCACCTAGCCCAACCTGATGCGCATTTTCAGCCATGTTTCAGATTCTGTTTTACTGCATGCAAACAGGCAGTGCTGACCACGGTCCACTGCACCGCTGCACTCCACTGCATGTCTCAGTCAACTGACAGCACCGTCACGAGAGGCCAATACGGCCCATTGGAGTCGCGCCAACGGAGTTTGCGGGCTTTTCGACGTGTGGAAGGCCGTCATATGCCGGTGGCAGGTTGGATACGCCTGCAGCGCCCAAATCAGGTACTAGTTTCGCCGTTTTGAAAAGAGATGCCCCTTTATCGGCGGCCCCGGATTGGGACGGTGCTGTTTTGGGCTCGCAAAGGGTGCCAGAGGCAAAACCAGGAACTGTAATGGGCCGTCAACGGAGGATGGAGTAAGGAACGGGCCAAAAAGAACGGCTGAAGAGGAATTAACCGCGGAGCGAGAGCAAGATTGTGTATCCATTCTCCCCGTCACCTTTCGTGCCTTCCCACTACCGACGAACTTATATCATCTCCATCTCCTCCGATTTGTGTTTCGGCAAATGAAAAACAATGGAGCCTGAAGCATCACTTGCGGATGAGCTAAAGCGTCTATTGCGGGTAGAGTTGGCCCCAAAGAGCCGAAACCATAAGAGCTTATGTTTGAGCCCACACTTTGGAGAGAAGGAGAGAGGGTGGACTCCGAGAGAGGAGACAGAAAGAGACAGAAAGAGTCTCCAGACATCAACAGTATCCCACCAGTCGGCTTCTTTTTTTGTTTATCTGCCGCCTCCCGACCTCTAGACCACGTACCAAACCGACACAGACACCCAAGAACCCGTGATAGTCATCCCAAGAACCCGCCATAGTCACCCAAGATCGCGCTCATCAACACGCCCACCGTTTCAGTCTCAAACTGTCCCGTGTCTGACCGCTAGCCCCAAAATATCCAGCAAGCCTGACACCCCCCAACTGCACACTCACTCACACACCCGACTGATCAGACAGCCCCAACCTGCTGTTGAAACCGGAACAGCACATACTTATATATACACTTGCCCCCGCTCCACCCACCACATCACCAACGTCACTTGCCACAATGAAACAATTGGTCGTCATGGTGGACCCCTCGGACCCCAACACAATCACAGAGTGGTATTGCTGTCAGTGTGGCGAGTACCACGGCAAGCCGCCCACCCGCTACGATTGTAAGCGATGCACCCACGGACTGTGTCCCTACTGTCCTCGAAAGCGAGTGGGTGATGAGAAGCAGCGTGAGTCGTGATCTAGGCGAGGACTAGGCGAGCGGAGCGAGTCTAGGACGAGACGAGTTCTGGATCAAGTTGCGAGTTCTGGATCGAGTTGCGAGTTGAGTTATTTGAGCTACTTCAAAGCCCGACACCAACGTCGAAGCCCTATGCCAACGCCCTACGCCAAAGCCCTACGCCAATTGAACCAGCCTGACTCCGTTCTACTCCCCCTCCCCTTCACCCTCCCTCACCGTCACGTCCCTTGCATAGCATAGCCATCTGGAATGGCCTGTATATATTTAACGATGAAGATGAGACTGCCGTAACGTCGTGCACTAGCCCTGTGCCCGACATGACCTTGCGTGACAAACGCATTTTGATCTGTCCTGCAAATGCAGCTGCTATGCGCGGTTTAGCAATGCCGGTTAGAGCGAAAGAACGGGTCACGTGGAGGTTGTCATATTATTTCGTCACGTGAGATTTGTACTGGTGGTCACGAGATTTGACAAACCTCCTACGCTTTTTATTCGGCGATTATGCCGTGATGCTTTAGGAGTTGATGTGATGCAGAGTGAGCAGAGTGAGCAGAGTGAGAAGAGTTAGCAGAGTGAGCATGGTTTACGGGAAAGCAAAGTGTGGGTGTTGTATGTTGCAATGTGGGTGTCTTATATGATGGATTTGAGGTACAAGAATGTTTGTTTCGGGCGCGAGTACTTTCTGTACGGTGGTTGTACTGGTATCACGAATCTGACGGTATTGTATGTTGTTGTCTTGTAGTGAGAAAAGTGACATTCTGTTAAGAGATGGTTTTGAATGACTGACAAATACTTATATCTTCTTTTATTTCACTCACTTTCACTTTTCAACTCATTCTTTACTCTTTCACTCACTCTTCACTCTTCCACCCACTCTTCACTCTTCCACTCTTCCACTCTTTCACTCCCACTCCCACTCCCACTCTCGCTCACCATTCAGCCCATTCTTCCTACACTCTTCCTTTCAAAGAATGCCACAATCAGATAGAGTGGCTATGACGACTCATTGTCTCCAGGAATGATACTAGACATTCAACATGGATTCAAACCACCCAGACTACCCGTGACCACCGCTAGTATCTCCATGTTTCGCGCCTAACCCCGCTCGCCACTCCACTACGGCCACCAAGTTACTGCTTACCTCAGTCGTCGCTTGATCACCGTCTGTCAGTCACCCAGCAAAAGCAGTTGTCTCCGTACAATAATGGAGTTTAGAACAGGGCTGGACATTCCGCATGGTTACTGTGAGCCAGAGGATGGTTACAGCTACAGCAGGGTTAAACCGTGGCTACAAGGGCTTCTTACCGGGCACATGTCGGAAATCTCCTTGTGAATGTTTCAAGTCTGCCACTACAAGTACATTTCTGTACAGTATGTACTGTATGTCGTACATTCTGTACGAACTGCTGGCACAATGTTCGCCTCGGACCTCTGTTTGTCTCTTGTCTTGAAACCCCTCAGACCTCAGAACACACTACAATATAAGTACGCTGACCCTCTACGCGACGCAACTGCCATCTGTCACCACCTCAATTGTCACCATCCCATCCATTCTATTATATACTATATGGGGCGGCAATAGCCACCCTTTTCCCAGCACCCACATCTGCGTCTTACTGCACATCAGCGTCTTACTGCACATCAGCGTCTTACTGCACAAACATGGAGTCGTCAAACTCGCCTCCGTCACTCTCATCATCACTGCCCTCAAGATCCTTAAACACAGACACAGACGGCACTCGTTTCATGTCGTGTGGAGATGACGAAAACACAGGCCCAATCTTGTCGATCCACCGGTTTCGCTTGTCCAGCAGCACTCGAAGACCGGGCCGCTCCTGAGGTACAGCGGTGCCATTGTTGTTCTGCTGCTTCTTCTTTTTCGACTTGGGGTTGCGGATCCGCTTGAGGTAGGCCTGGTCCACCTGCTTGTCCAGGTCCTCCAGAATCTGCCGGAATTCCTGGTACGCCATCTGCTCCTTGACGATGGGCAGTAGGATACGTTTGCGTGCCTGGTTGGTCTTGTGCACCTGGCGCAGCTTCTTCTGCAGCACGCGCATCTGCTGGCAGATTTCGTCGTCCTCCCGGCCGTGCACCCAGTCGATTTCCAGGTCCTCGTTGTTCTCGTCGTCGTCAAGATCGTCCATGAGGTCCATCTCGTCGTCGCGCTTGGAGAACCGCTTGCCCTGCTTCTTTTTGTTCACGTCCATGATTCCCACGTACGTAAACTCGCGCTTGAGCCGCTGCTCCAGCGTCAGATAGTCACCCTTGGCTGTCGCCACCTTCCAGCTGGGGTTGATTAGCGGGCTTTGTGGAGGCGAAGACGACACTGCGGCGGCAGGGGTCGCGCTGTTCTCGTCGTCCTTAGGCTCCTCCTTAATTTCCTTTTTGTTGGGGTCCGGGAGCAGCGCAGACAGCAGACGCGACGCCAGAGGGCCGCAACTAATGTCCGAGCTCTCCAGCGCGTCGTCCACCAGATCCTCGCTCTTGCCCTTGGGCTCAATCTCCGCGAGCTCCGTCTTTGGGGGCGGCGAGAACCGGGACGCTGAGGCTGCGTTGCCAGCAGCAATACCTGCCTCGGCGTCTTCAGCAGCCCACGCGTCGGTGTAGGGGGGACCCAAAGGGGGCACGAGGTACGGTGAGATCTCTGCATCCTTGCCCGTGGCGTAAAGCGGAGCACCCGTGGCTCCAAGCGGGATGGACTGTTGGAGGAGCACGGACACGTCTTCCTCGGAAAAGGGTCGAAAGTAGGGCTCGATCGCAGTCGCAAAGGTCGAAAACTGTACCTGGTTGGGCGGCTTGGCCCGAGTGTAGTCTTGGTCCGGGATTGGGCCGGCCAACTGGTCCTTTAGGTCCGTGGTAGGGTAAGAGGCGACTCCATATTTCAGCTTAAGAGCCTCCTCTCCGGTGTAAGGGATGGTTTTTTCGTCGTAGAGCTTGAGCACCGACAGGGGCAGCGTCTGGGAGTCGACAAACTCGGACTTTGGGTTCTTTTCATACTCCTTGGGGGAGCCCTCTCCGGGGGGAGAGGTTTGGATCGTGGTTAGATCGCTATCAATGTTGAGTTTGACCGGTTCAATCTTCTTTTCCGCGGGTAGTTCGTCCACATCTTCCATTTTGATGTCCTTATTCTCGGTCTGAGAAGACCCTCCAGAAGCTGCTGCTGCTGTTTTCGACGAGGTTGACGACGAGCTGCTGCTCTGCTTGGGTCCTTTTCCCTTGCCCTTTCCGACACCCTTACCTCCGCTCTTGCCTCCCTTTCGCTCCCGGCGTCCCACCGTTTCGTCGATGGCCCGAATCACGGCCTTGTGGTTTTCCAGCACGCCACGGGTCCTCTGTCGAATCTGCCGCAACTCGTTCTGGAGCTCCACCAGCCCGTTCACAGAAACACGTGCATCTTCCGAAAGATCGATCCCATTGGTTTTGAGAAACGAGTTGGGTAACGTCAGCGCGTTCTGTAGCCGTCTCAGCAGCAGCGCGTCAGTGGGCGGCGGTGATGTGGACTTGGATTCCGGCTCCGCAGACGAAACCGCATGAGATCTTGATCGTCGACTGGCCATGTTGCGTGGCGAGATGAGTTATTATTTGTTTGTTGGTGTGGTTTTTTTCTCCGCCCGTTTCCTCTCGCTGTGGCTGCTTGGTCTTGTCGTCGATTCCGCTGTGTCGCCTGAAAGATTGTGTGTCTCGTCACGGCCTGTTTTTTTTTGAATTTTTCCTCCTCGTCAAGCACGCCGTTTTTTCCAAACCTCGTGATCGATGGGGCGCCGCCTCCTCCCAAAACCTGTGGGTTAGGGTTCCGTGAGAAGGTTGTGGAAGTTGAGGCCATCTCGGATATATACGCTACCAGTTGCGTATTAAACTCTATCGACTGCGGGGAAATGAGGGGGCGAAGGGATACCATTGTTCTAGCCACTCGTAAGATCATCTTCGGGCGTTGTTTTCGCCGGATTTGTGTCCTCCAAAGTCGTAGCGTTTCGTAGTTGATTGTACTATTGTGATTACTAATCACATAAAGTTTGCGTTTTGCGGCCGGGTAACTGAATTTGACCACGCCATACTTCAACCTTCTTTTTGAGGGGTTCATGATAGGGTTAGGGTTGGGGTACAGGGTACAGGGTAAGGGGTACGGTAGTTTGTATTGTACGTTTACACCTCCGTTGAATGGTGATAATAAGTGATGACAGTTATGAACTTTGGCTGAGATGGAATAAGTCGGTGTTTTGACGGGCTGAAAGTGGTTGTTGTGTAACGGTTGTAGTATTGGAAGAGTATGGAGATGAAGAGTATTGAGAAGTAGGGTATCTTCGGAGAGTGGATTTCAGTGGATCAGTGAACGTTAGGTTTGGAGTTCTCCGATGTTTTGTTGGTTGTCGGAAGTATTTCCCAATATTACTGTTTTCGTTGTCAGTAGTAGCGGCTATTCTGGGTTAGTACGGAGTCGGCAGATGTATGGATGTGAGCAAGAAGGTGAATTAGGGTGAATAAGAGGTGAGTGATATCTTTCACGTTTTCCGACTGACGAATCTTGAAGTTCAATTGACCTGGTATATTGTACAAGTACAAGTACAAGTACTTGTAAAATAGTCGTTCCATGACGTGCTTGAACCTGCTCACTGACTGGAATTCTCTCTGCTCGGTTTGACGTGATCCAGTTATGTCCATCCAATTCAGAAGACATAAGATGTTATTGGTCAAAGAACAGGTTCGAGTGAAAATGGTGGAAGATTGAAACGAGGAGATGATGGAATTGATTTGAATTCTGGTCACTTTCGTGCTTGTGATTGTGCTCATATCTGTTCCTGTACTTGTAGAGAAGTAACAGGCCTTTGAAACATTCTGGATGAATGAACACTCAACTTGTCCATTACTTGTAGCTAACATACCTCAATCTAGTTCACAGATGCCTCATATACGCCCTGATAATGCGGTTTGGTGGACCCACACGTATGACCATGCCTCTTGAGAACGGCTCCTCCCACCACTGGCGAGGGTCCTATCACCACTGAAACACTACTCACGACAACCTCCGCCAAACCGCCTCACGGGCTCCTCCCGAATACTAGCGAGGGTCCCATTTGGCGGAGTGGAGACCAACATCATGTCGTAATGCATCTTCTCGATTTCGGCGTCCTTTTGATACAACAGGTTCGTGAGCTGCTCCAAAACCGCCTCCTGGTTCTCAATCACTACTCGCATCTCCTGCACCAGCTGATGGTGGAAGTCCGTGAGCATGTATTTTGGCGGCTGTTCTTCAAGGGCCTTTTTCTTCTCGTCTTCTCTGATGGCCTTGCGTCGTTTGCGTGCCGTGGGGCCAAACTTGTTGCGAATCTTGGCTGCCAGTCTGTCGGCCCGTGACGGGCCAATGTTCCACTTGCCGTACAGAATCTCGCGCTGGTGGCGGATCACGGGCCGGTTGGGGTTCTCGGGAGGCAGTCGCGCGTCGAGCTGCGGATCGTTGTGCACTTCAAGCAGCTCGTTGAGAGACATGACCTGCGGCGGCTGGTTGAGGCCCGAGTTGGACGGGTTGACGTTGGCCGCGTTGATGGTGGTGGCATTGGCCAGCGGGCTGGGTGGAGCTGCTGATCTCCGTGAGCCGTTGCCAACAAAGGTGCCGAGAGCATCAATAACATGGGGACCACGGGGAGCCGTGGAGCTATTGAGCAAACAAGGTCCAGAGCCATTCATGGTAAGTGGCGAATGAGTGGACATTAGAGAGAGGCTGGCGTTAGAGTAATCACAGACAAAAACCAAGAGAGCAGAAACCGAGCTGAGTTGAAAAGTGGGGACATTTTCAGCTCCACTTTTCGGCTCCACCCGGTATCTTCATTCACATGACCAAAACGTCAACACCAGCTGTCTGAAGAGGGTAAACATGAACGAGTACAAGTATACATAGCACGTTGATACCCCATCGTCAACAAGTACATACAGTATTGCACTCGCATATACTCCACCACTACAACTCCATGTTTGTCTAATAATAATACCACAAAATTTTATACACTACATAGCCCTGTCTTCCCTAGTTTGCGTGCAAACGGAGCAGGCTTCATCCAGACATCTAATGTCTTTGTTAACTGCCAGACACCCGTCCGGCCTCGCGACCGCCCAGGATTATCTGTTGACAGGAAAGTATCGCCAGATTCGAGCCTTGCAATCTCCACTTCCAGTAGCAAACAACCCGCCCATGGGACTAGGAGCCACACTGATGACCGAATTTCGATGACCCTGCAGCATGAGTTGCACCTGGCCCGTTCGAGGGTCCCAGAATTGCACACCCCGGTCCTTGGAGCCGGAAAGAATCCACTGCCCATCCAGCGTGCTGGCCACACTCAGAACAAAGTCCTTGTGTCCACACAGCGTCTTGACACAGACGCCTCCTCGCTGGTTGGCCTGAATGCCTCGAGGAGCCTGCAGCTCCCACAGCTTGATCGTCTTGTCCAGCGAGCCGGAAACAAGATCCATACCGTTGGGGGTGAAAGCCACACTATAGACGGAGTCCTTGTGTCCATCAGGGGCCTCCAGACGCTCAACCAGGAAACCGGTAGAGGTGTCCCAGATTCGCACAGACTTGTCCAAGCTGCCTGCAGCCACAAACTTGCCGTCGGGCGAGATGGCCACCGTGGTGACGCCGTCCTCGATCGACAGGGTTAGAGTACACTGGCCGCTCTCAATATCCCACATTCGGACTGTGCGGTCGCCAGAGCCAGAGGCAATGTGTCGGCCGTTTCGCGAAAAGTCCAGCGAGTAAATGTCCTGCTCGTGGCCAGTGAACACGTGCCGTATGCTCTGAGATTTAATGTCCCACACTCGGATCTGCTTGTCCTCGGCGCCGGTGGCCAGGTACTTACCGTCCGGCGAGAAACACACGGACCGGATGTACAGGTCGCCTTCTCGGTCGACCGAGTCGTCCTGCAGCCGGCAGATGAGCTGGCCAGTCTGCACGTCGAAAATCTGGGCAGATCGGTTACAGCCAGTGGCAATGTACTTGCCGTCAGCGGAGAACCGCACACAGCACACTACAGAGTTGTGGTCCAGCGACTGCACAATATCCACGTCCAGCAGCCGTGGTGCTCGCTGGTTGTAAACGACAAACCAGTCGGCCTTTTGTTTTTTGAGCTCCGGAGGTACCCGCTCAATGTCCATGTCGCCCAGGTAGTTGCCCATCTCTTCGGGGCTCTGTTGCTGCTGCTGGGGAGGTTGCTGCTGCTGTGGAGGGCCCTGCTGTTGCTGCTGCTGTTGCATCTCTTGGGGGGCCACCTGGGGAGACGCCTTGCCGGGAACGGGGGTCGACACCTGTCGCTTCTTGCTGTTGGGCGAGGCCATTGCGCTGATGACGGGGGGTCCGTTATGTGGCGAAGACGTGTAGCCGTTAGCACCCACGTAGCCGGAGTAGGGCTGGGGTTGACCAGGTTGGGGCTGACCAGGCTGGGGCTGACCGGGCTGTCCCTGCGGGGGAGCCAGAGAAGAGGTGCCGGGCTGACCGGACATGATGCCGCTGAACACGTTGGATGATGGACGCAGCAGCGACGGGGGCTGTCCTTGCGAAGGGGGCACACCACCCATGTGGTGGGCCTGGGCCTGGGCCTGCTGTTGAGCCTGGGCCTGCTGTTGGGCCAGAGCCTGCTGCTGGGCGGCCTGCTGCTGGGCGAGGGCCTGCTGCTGGGCTGCCTGTTGTTGCGCGGCCCGTGCTTGTTGGTCCTGTGCCTGCTGGTTCTGCTGCTGCTGTTGCTGCTGTTGCTGTTGCTGCTGTTGCTGCTGCTGGGAGTGTGCGGGGTTCGCAGCGGGTCCACCTCGGGCCTCCAGCTCGCTCTTGAGCCGCATGATTTCCTCCTCGTAGCGCTCCTTCATCTTTCGGTGCGCCATTTCTAGCTCGTAGACCGACTGTCGAATCTGGCCCAGATCTGACGTCTGCTGGTTCACCTTGACGTCAAACTCGTCCTTGTGCAGCCGGTAGACGGACGCCTCGTTGGTCACGGAGTCGAACTCCTGTTTGATGGCCTCCAGAAGCTCGTTGAGCCGTTGGCCCGGCGCTATTACTTGTTGGGGGAAGCTCATCTGGGTTAGTATTGTAGAGTCTGGTGTGACCTATGACCCAAGAGGCTGACGGGTGATGCAGATTCGATGATTCATGGATGGCAGAGATAAGGGCAGAGGCAAGGGCAGAGAAAGAGATGGCTAAAGATGGCGGAGGTAAGATGGCGATAAGATGGCGATAAGATGGCGATTAAAAATGGCGATAAGATGGACAACACAACTGCGGACACGTGTTAGGATGGACTCCAAGCGTCATTGTCCGACGATGACGCGTTCCAATCGCCAAGACGTGATGAATGCCCTCTTTTGGGTCTTGTGAAACCATCATCACCGATTACCCTTCACCACCACCACCACCACCATCCATCATCACCAATCATGCATCGCAGACGGCCATCATCCGACCTCCATCGCCATCATCCAACTCCATCGCCACCATCCAACTCCATCGCCAATCCATCCACGTGGCATTATCTCTGTGTCGTCATGTTCGGGTCTCGTGTTTCGTTCTGATGTCGTGTATCTTGTATCTTGTCGTGTCACGGGAAGCAAAAAACATTACAAGAAGGCCGGCTTGGGGCCGTTCGCCGGTGTCGGGGATTCTGCATCTGTGTGCGTCTCGTCATCGTCTGCGTCGACGCGCTCCGGTCTCGTACTCACCTGGTCCTATTGTACAACTCGTTGATGGCTCAAGCACAATTGCCAATTGTCGATGATACACCTGCAGCGCTGAAAATGAGTAGTGCTGTGTTGTGTGAGAAACAAGCTCCAAAGATGTAGTGCAAGGTCGGGTAATTCTAAAAGATGGCTGTCATGCCCCGTTGGGTTGGCGTGGGTTAGGGCCCAACCTTATTCTCACCATCGTCGAAAAACAAGTGGGGGGGACCCCAAGAGGGGACACTCTGACGCTCAACCTTATTTAAGCTTTGTCCGTCTAAATAGAGTGATTTTTGAAATAGGCTCCGAAACTCTAAAGTTTAGAAGTGGCTACTGTATGACGTTGTCATGTTTCTCACGCTGGCAGTTTAGGGTAAGGGGTGGGATTAGAGTTCCCTGGTACTTGTATACGCCGAGTCTAAAATAAACGCCTAAAAGGGGTGGGAGATAATGTCCCAGCCAATGGCGGCCAAGAGTCCAAGATTGTCTGGCCTCTCCTGTAGAGCCCTAAACGCCACTTTTTATACCCTAACCCGCATGTGGTGATGCGGAAAGCTGGCGGAACTGGAGTGTTGGACATGTTGGAACTGTTGTGGCAAGACTTGAACGGGTGAGTCTGTGGAATAGGGGTGAGGGATGAGGGTCGATGCGCACGGAGCGCGCTAAGAGCGGTATTGTGGCTATGTTTGAGCAGGGGTGTTTGGGTGGGGTTTCGGAGATTAGGAGGAAGTTTTGATAGTTCGCCCGTGGGATATTTAGTAATTGGTGGAAATGGTGGAGGAAAACGGGGACAATAAAATGGGTGGGAAAAACCCAGCACAAGACGGATTGAACTGCCGTTCTGATTGATCCGATGTCATCAAGGGGGATTCCGAACTAACCGCGGTTCAAACCTCGCTAGGGTCATTATATGTGATGACTAAGTTTGTATTTTTCTTTTTATTCTTGGACATACATTGATTATATAATACGCCCTCAAACTGTGCTTACTAAGAAGAATAAAAAATAATAATAAATAAATAATAAAAAATAAAAACATAAAAAGATAATGTTTATCCGGTCTAGAAGGGAAATGAGAGGGTTATGGGAAGCACAATTGGAGAAGGGTTGTCATATGTTCTTCTGTAAAGCCCGAATCCGAGTCCATTCTACTGGTACTGTTTATCTTTGTTACAGGCTCAAGTACGAGTCTATTGAATTGTTGACTACCGTGAGTATGATTCTTGAAACATAGTAAATCTACAGGAAACCTAAGTATACCAATTGACATTTAGTTAACTCTTACAACCTTGTCCAAGGACTCTAGTTCCATAACAGTGCACATCAGGCTTGTTTGGAGTTCGTGATTAATATTCACAAGAGATCCCAGACCAGATAAATAACTCATAAATGATTGGAACCATCAGTCTAAGTACTGATCTCACTATAGTCAGAGGTCAGTACAAGTGCCAATGTTTCTATCTCAGAGTCTGGTTCCTAACACCAAGTGTTACGACAATACAAGTCCACTCCTGGGCTCTACAAGTACGATATTCGACTATTAATACATGTAGAGGACTGTTTATGAGGTTTCTGTAGGTGTTTCTACCAAAAGAAACAGTCCCGATGCCATAATAGACCCTAATGTCTGTTATCGTCGGTTATCACCTGTTCCACTCATTCGGGGAGGGAATTTATGGGTCAACCGTCGTATACTGTTTACAATACAAGTCCTTGTAATTCATTCATCAGTTGAAAAAGTGTTCTGCCCGTTTTGAATGCTACAATACCCAGTCCTGTCCAACTTGAATGTTACAATGTCGAGATCTGTTCAAGTTGAAGGCTTACAAACGAGTTTGTTGTTAGCAGCACAACTCCAGTTGTTTCATATATGACCAGCTATTTCTGATCTGAAACACACACCACCGTATTTGATTGCTCCTCACATACACCACCGTCAATAGGTCCTCTCCCCATACCCCACTGTCACTGATTGCTCTATACTGGACAAGGCAATCACACCACCAATTCCACCATATAAATATTATTTACAGGACGCCAATGCCGTCAATCTTCCCAATGTCCATACAGATACTTCCAGTCCTCAATCTCTTCCACATTGAGTCGTAGCTTCTCCTTGTGTAGCTTGACCGCCTGTCTTCCCAAACACAACCGAAGAGGGGGATTGGCACAATGAGCAGCCTCCCAAACGGTCGCGGCCACCAGATCAACAAAAGAAACCTCGGTGCTATCTCTGGGCACTGCCGGAGGCGGTTCCTCCGCTTTGCGCTTCTTGGGAACCACAGGCTCGTCTTCAACACGCGGCTTGGTGCAGGGCACATACGTCACGTGAGGTGGAATGGGTCGTTTTTCGCGCAGCTGCTGGGCAATAAGAAGGCCGTATATGGCTGCCGAGTCCGCGTATGCGGCTGGCAACTGCCGTTCTTCCACTGCCGGCAACGGGGGTTGCAACAGCGACGTTAGGGGCGTTTCTGAACGCGTCAAAGGACTATGTTGACTCATGGGGCTGCGTTGACTCATTGGTGTCTGTGAATGGTGCACGGGCGTCATGTTGTTCATGACGGGCGAATGCTGGGGGTTGAGGGGGGTCTGGTTGCTCGTGGGAGAATGGTTGTTCAGCGGACTTCCGACCAAGGCCGAGTGATGGCTCATCGGGCTGCTTGCAATTATCGGGCTTCCCATATCGCTGTCCACCAGCGCCGCCACGGGATTTCGACCCCGTTCATGCAGCATTGAAGATTCCAAAATGACCACATTAGCGAACCCTTCATTTTCCAGAGCCAGGGTCTCGGAGAAGCCGTCAATGGCAAACTGAGACGCACACAAGGCTCCCAGGCCCGGGGCGCCCAGAATACCCAGAGTTCCCGTCTTGTTGATGATCACTCGTTTGTCTGTGCAGTTTCGGTTTTTCCAAGCCGCTAAAATCGCCCTGCAAACGATGAATACCCGCCCAAAGTTGTGCGAAAAGGTAGAGCGCAGCTCGTGCTCATGCTGCGATTCGCCAGGCCCCACCAATCCGTGCTCCTCCAAGTTGACGACAACCTGCGGCAGAATTCCAAAAATCACCATACATCGGTTGAGCAGCTCATTGACAATGTTCTCGCCTCCTCCGGGGAAAACGGCCATGGGAATCGAGGCACGCGCCTCAATAATAGGACCGGGTAACCCATTCAAAGTGACAGTCGAAATGTTGATCTCAGGACGGGTATCGCCAGTCTCGGTCCACTCCACCACAAAAACCCGATCGCCCTTGACAAGACATGTGCTCACCAGGTGCGGCGTGATCTCGTCACGTGACCCAAACACCATCCACAGCAGCGGCTCACGTGGCAGTCCGTCACGTGGCGGTTGGCACGATTCGGGGAAGGCCGTCATGGTTGAATGTACGAAGAGATCTTTTTAGTGGTGTGTGGTTACGGCGGTTACTGTCGGAGATGTTTCGGTGTGGGGTTAGGTTTGGGTGCATGAGGGAAGCGTAGCTGCAGGTGTTCTGAATGAGGTGAAAAGCGGTGGAAATCGGTTGAAATGGGGGTTAGGGTTTTCGGTTTTAGGGTTAGGGCGGATATGTTGGTTTTGTGGCAAGACTTGTTTTGATTTGGTATTTTTTAACATATTTTCGACCTATTTTATAGAAATCAAATTGGCAGTACAGGATGATTAGAAGTTGATGTAACGCTACATTAACGATTGGATTTGTGAATTTTAATTTTGTGGGGTTCGTTGGTTTTGGGTTGTATTTTAGTTTGGTTTTGTTGGGATTTAGTTGAGGTGCAATGTATTATGTAATATGTATTATATATATAAAATCGTAAGTAACTATAAATAAATATAAATAAATATAAATAAATATAAATAAATATAAATAAAAATAAATAAATAAAAATAAATTTAACAAGTTACGAAAAAAAGAGTTATAAAAATGTGGAACTGTGGTCTAGTACAAGTGAAATATCTGAGAAGATATAGGTCCTTCAAATACAATATGTTCATTCAAGTTGGAGTTGATACACTAACCCTGGGTGACTGGCAATCGCGGTTTGATATCTCTTCCGTCCTATTATTGATCAATAAACAACTCAATGACGACAAGTAGGGCAGATGACTGTTAAGGGCTGTTCTTTCGTACAAGTAAATTTCCTGTGGTTAGATGAATACAAGGATGTAGTAGAGACTCGGGATTTCGGGTATCTCCAAGGTCGATTGACAGGTGCTGAACAGGTTCAAACTGGACTAAAAAGTTAGTCAGCAACCTGGTGTCTGCCCAAATCCCAGTAAAGGTGACACTTTATGCTCTGGCGCCTTTCAAAAGAGTGTACAGTCCACGATAAGAATAATTTATTGATCTGCTCAAGTTCAACGCCAGGAAAACAACAGTTCAGTCGACAGTAGTGGTTCGATTGATGTAGCAACTCACAGTACTGTACCCAGTACAGATCGACATTGTCTCAAGTAATGTAACAAGAGTCCATGTAACTTGGATGGGTTTCAGGTGCCCTGGTTAAAACTCACAACACCGCTCGACATCTCCGACACTGCTCGACATCTCCGACACGCTCGGCATCTATGACACTGCTCGGCATCTCCGACACGCTCGGCATCTATGACACTACTGGGCAGTGCTCAGTATGTCCATCCTAAGCAGAAATGGCCTTGACGTACTCCTGTCGATAAGGATTGTTGTCCACAGGTCGGGGCAAAGCGACCCACTTGGGCTCGGCCTGAAACAATCGCATGGTGTGGACATAGTTCTTCTCAGACAAAGTGAACCGATGGTAGATGCCGCTGGGCAGAATCAGCAGGTCGCCGGCATTGAGCTGGGCCCGAATCCATCGGTCGTCCTTGTCTCGAACGTCAAAGTATCCCTCGCCGTCCAAAATGTACCGAATCTCCTCGTCCTCGTGCAGATGCTCCTCGTAGAAGACCTTGAGCTTCTTCTCGTAGTTTTCCTGGCCGCCCATCGCCTCTGGAGTGATGGTCACCTCGTCTCGGTTTGTGTACTTTCGCTCCTTGGCCAGACGGTTCACGTCCTCAACATCGGGGTAGTGGAACGCCAGAACGCCGATTTTCTCCAGCTGCTCCGCCGTCACGGGCTCGCCCGAGTCGTGGGGCGCACACTGGTCGACGCTGGAGTCGTTGTCGTGGTAGTAGAACTTCATGGTGGTGTATGAAGAAGAACGAATTCTACTCGGTTCTACCAGATATATATGAACGGTGGCTTGCGAGCGTAATACATGCACGTCACTGCACGTGGAGGGGAATTGAAATGAACATTAGAGGGGCATGTAGAGGGGTTAATGAGAAGATAAAAATATGAGCGTGGAGAAGAGAAAGAGAGGAACAAAATGAACTTTTCAGATCCACAATTGGATGTCTGGACAAAAAGATGTATTCATATCCGCGACGATTCAGGTGGGGAAATAAAGTTGAGATAGATGTGATTGGTGAATCAGTTCTTCAACAGCACGTGGTTGAAGGTGGGTGAGATTCTAGGGAGGCGATTGTTTAGTCATGTTTGTAGAAGTCACGTGAGGTTGAGGGTGAGGAAGATTATGAGATTATGAGTGTGCAGGAGGTACATAGCGTACTTGCAACAGATGTAAGCAAGGAGTGGTGTTGTTCTGAATGCCATGACGTAATCAATATAATTTGTTTCATAAGAAAATAATTCTACGAGTATGAGATGGAGTATGGGTATAAACGGTAGTTGTATTTTGTTTTCTCTTTTCCGTGTGATTTTCAATTTTTTTGCATTTCCCATATTTCTCATATTTTTCGTCATTTTCCGTAATTCCAATTTCCATAATTTCTGCATTTTCCGTAATTTTTTCATTTTCCGTAATTTCTTCATTTTCCAAATTTTTTGATGTTCCCGATTTTTTGCCTTTTCCGAACAATTTCGGAAATTCCCCAGAATTTATGCAATTTGAGTAATTTCTGCATTTTTCTAAATTTCTACATTTCCTAAATTTCTACATTTTGCACAACCTGCTTTAATCCGCGGAAATATTGTTTATTTCCAATATTTTCATGTTTTTTCTCCATTTTTTCTGCCCCCGACATTTTCACAAACTGCAGATGTCCATTTTCTGTATTTATTTCTTTTTTCAATTGACTCTTCAATTATTTCTTTTTCACTTGTAATGCAACCTCGTCCAAACCACACCACTTTTGCTGCGTAAACAGCCTGGTACGAATGTCTTTTCAATATTTAATTCCTTTTTTTGTGATTTATTTCATTTCCGATTCATATCGCTTAATCGGTCGCTTAACAACCAGACCGAGCACTAGGAACCGAACCGAACCTGCAATTACTTCGGAACACGTCCAAAACGATGATCCGACAATACCGCCAGCGGTATCATATATCACCACGTAGCCCCGGACGAGCTGATTCCAGCGGTGTCTGTATGTCTGCTCCGTGACCCGTTTCGGCCCTTTTATCCCCAACCCCTCCCCCTGCTTAGTCACCAACCGCTACCCTCCAGAGCTCGAACGAACAATCTTGGCAACAAAATGCGATGACTCACAGCAACCTACTTGCGGATAAATCGCACTGGACCGCTACCCGGTCTGGAACATAGCAACTCTGTTAGACTCGAGATGGAGATCCCGACTTGACAGCAAGAGTTGCTCGGGGCTCTGGGGGTTTGGGGAGTTGAAAGACACGAATTGTGCGGCTCAAAGACGCCGTTGGACGAGCTCGGGCGACTTTCCGAACCGTTCGGGTCGACAGAGTCTTTCTTTTCGCGGAGGTGCTTGCATTCTGCCATGTTCCGGGGGTTGGCACAGGTTTGTGGTGGAATTGCGGCAAATTTGCACGGGATTGAGTTGGTTGGGTTGCCGGTTGAATGAGCTCTATTGTGGTTGTAGCGGTCTGGATCGGTCGGAGAGGGAGAGTGAAAAGGATGGTAATGGTGGTGGTAATGGTGGTGCTATCGTTGGAGCATTGTACTGTTGGCTCCATTGATACCCCACAAATTAGCTACAAGCTACTGTACAAGTTTATCTTGGTCTAAGATGCTGATGCTGATGTTGAGATGCTCAAGTACGGTAGACGGTAGACGGGGACGGGGACGGGGACGGGGACGGGAGACGGTCGATGGTAGAGGCGATTGTTCGGAGGGTAACGAACGAGGCGAATGAGTACAGTGAGATCGAGTACAGTGAGATCGAGTACAGTGCGATCAAGTACAGCACGATACGAGTATACTCATACTCATGGTGCAAGTTCCATACTCCAGCCTCAGCAGAAGGTCAAGTCCAATGAATAGTGGCTATCGCCGCGGCGAGACGTTGACTCGTCCAACTCTTCCACTCACTCTTCCTAACACTCATCCAACTCTTCCTATCACTCTTCCAATCACTCATCCAACTCACTCTTCCAACTCGTCTCACTCGTCTCACTCGCATTCGGTTGCTTTGCTTAACGCACCTCAACAACGTCTGCACATAATGTAGGCACAAGTGAACAAGTCCGAAAAAAAGGGACAAGAGACACCAGCCGAAAGGGGCATTGAAAGCGGAGATGCAAGGGGAGCCACTTGGGGATGCCACAGTCTCATTTGGGGCGTTTTCCATCGCCAACCGCGCTCTAGCCACTTTTGCTCTAATCACTTTTGTTTAGACGCCTTTTCCCGTTGTTAGTGCCGTCGAAATATATATATACATATATTATTATTTCTTTTCTCCGTTTCACAGTGCAATAATTATCTTCTTTTTTAATTTTTTTTTTAATTTTGTTTAAATTTTGTTTTGTTACAAATTCACCCCGCGGCTTTAAGCTCGGAATTACACTTACCGTTAAAGTTGCCCAAACTCTAGCTCACATGATCCGGTGGTGACAAGAGTCGGTCGCCTTTCCGGTCCACCAACACATGTGCTCCTCCGTCACAAACACAAAGACCCACAATGGATAAAAGTGGATGGTTACACGTGCGGACCAAGCGCAAGGTGAGTGTGCCGTCCGCGTGGTCGCAACAGTCGTTTCTAACTCAGTCGTGGAAAAAACAGTGGGTGGTGGTGCGGGCCCAGGCGCTGTCCGTGTACAAGGACGAGCGGGAATACGAGCCGGTGCGGGTGATTCCGGCGGAGGAAATCATGTCGGTGGCGCTGCTGGAGGATGTCAACTTCGCCGTCTTCACGTCGTCCATCAACCACCACTTCAAGAGCGACTCCCGCGCGGAGGCCGAATCGTGGGTGGCCCAGCTCAAGGAGGTGGGAAAGCGAGCGGCAGACAATGTCGTGGACGCCCAGAAACGCGAACGGGCAGCGTCCACCGCCAAGGGCCACGTGGAAATCCCCATCGTCGTGGATACCGCCCTGGTGTCGTCGCCCCATTCCCAGCTCCACTCGTACTCCAACCACCCCCATAGCCCCCACATGGACGCCGCCACACACTCGCACACCGAGTACAGCGGCGACGACGTCTTTTCGTCGCAGAGCGAGTGGGACGAAGACAAGTCGCCGCTGTCCAAAAGCCCAATTGGCGAGTTTCAGCATTTCCACGACTCGTTTGTCCCCACAGACCCCAAGACCAAACCCCCCAAGATCTCCACAAACAGCCCCCCTCATTCGTCGGACCCCTCGCCAACCTCTCCCACGTCCCCGAGCCCGTCCAAGAGCTCTCTGATCGCCGAGGGCCCGCTACTTCGGCTCAAAAAACGATACAACCAGTGGCAGCGACAGTATGCGGTTCTGACGGTGGACTCGCTGAGCTTCTACAAGTCGCAGAACTCGGCCCACCAACACAAGAAGCCCATCAAGACGATTGCCGTGGACCAGCTTTTGGACGTGGTTGAGCTTGATCCGCTGTCCAAGTCCAAGCCGTACTGCATGCAGCTCATCACGCCGGCCAAACGCATCCGGTTTTCGTTGGACTCGGAACCCGATCTTACAAAGTGGCTTGTGGCGATAAAGAGTATTGCCAAGGAGGATTTTACAAAGGGCGACTGCAAGGATGGTCACTGACAGCCACTGACCGCACGGGGGTTACTACATGTGTAGACCTCGGACACCATGACACTGACACTAATCGACATTGCATATCACAACAAAACACCTATCTAATGAATAATGTTTAATCGAGGGAGGGGGGAATAGGACAGAGAGAGTGTGTGGAGATGGTGGAAGGGGTTGCTGAGAAACTGGGGTGTATCGGATTGATGTTGAGTGGACATAAGCATGTGTACGATGCAAGTATGAGTACGAACGATACAGATAGTGTATCGATACCCAGTAATGTACATACAGTACCGGCGGTTGTGAATAACCAATTTATCTCAACCATCCCTTTCTCAATTATTTTGATTTCCCTTATCCAATTATTTTGATTTCCCTTATCCAATTATTCTGATTTTCCTTATTTTTATTCCATGATTTTAATTTCCCAACTTTGCCAGTAAATTTATTCCACCCAAATTCCCCAAAATACCCCTATCCACAGCCCCTTAATTCCGTCTATTTCTGTATGTACTGCTGCACTGCCCCTGCCACACACATGTCTCAACTGAACCCTGCAGCGTCTCACTGAAACACAAGAAATGGCGTTTGGTTGAAAGCCGGCTGCATGTTCAAAATGTAACGGAGTTAAGCGGGGTTGAAGAGGTGTATTTTTCGGTAAATTGCCGAAATTGTAAATTGTCAAAATTGTAAATTGTCAAAATTGTAAATTGTCAAAATTGTAAATCGAATAATGGCCAAAATTGTAATTCCATCGAAAAATCGCAACCACAAACCATCTGTAGACCAAGAATGTGGGCAAGTGTGCGGAATGCACTAAATGTCCGCCCACCAACACTAAGATTACGTAATCACAATAGGGCCGGTCACATGACCCCTCCCCCGGGTAACCTGGGCAACTCAAGACAAGAATTTCAGCGCACTGTCTCAGCCGTGTATATTGTGTGCGGCTAAGGATATTTCCAGTGGCAAAAGTCGGTTTTGAAAATGGCGCAAAAATTGAGGAAAAAGGGCAAAAAGGGCAAAAAGGGGACGAGGAAAAATCAACACAAGCCGAGGGGTTTTCTGTATAATTGACAGTCGGTAGAATGTATTTATCTCTGATATGACAGTTGTCGATTCTTTGTTTTGAAGCGGTTGTCATGGGAACGGACCCTGCACACGACCCTTTATTTTTTATTTTTATTTTATTTTTAGCATGATTACTGTACATCTTCGTTATTGCGAGTGTGTACGATGTGTGTGAGGGAGGTAATAAATGGGTTCGGGAGACTCGAACCTTTGGAATTGGAATCGTGCCGAATAATACCGCCACAATGTACAAGTACAGATGGTCTGATTTATTACGACAGATGCGATACGATTGATACGAACTGTGAGGTGGTTTCTACATATTGTACTGCATTTGGGAGGTTTAGGTGTGGCAGAAAGTGGTGAAACAGTGGCGTTTGGGCAAAGAGAATGAGCTGATATGTTGCATTTTCTGGCTGTTTTCGATTTCCATTGATTTTCATTGATTTTCCACATTTTCCCACATTTTTACGCATTTTTTCACGTTTCCCCTCAATTTTACTCAATTTTACTCAATTTTCCGCAATTTTCCGCAATTTTCCGCATTTTCCACTATTTCTCGTAAAGGTCTCAAAAATAAGGTTGACTGAGAGGCCTAATGTGGGGTTACTTTGATAGCGAGAGAGGCAGACACTCGTTCCACCAGCATCCTTGCCTGACACTGGACCGACGGTTTTTCGAGCAAAAAGTGACACAAAAGCGACGCAACAGCCCACACAGTTGGATACTTTCGCATACATCGTTCACGTCAGCGCAAAGTCGGTTTTTCTCTGCATATATTACGCACCATATCCTGATAGAGTGACACCATACATTATTGTCGGAGCTGCCACGAGATACACAACCAGTCAAACGATACACAGTCCGCAAGCACAATCAGCTGATATAGTCATCAGATACACATCTTCCCGGTCTTCTCACATTTCTCATCTCTCATCTCTCATCTCTCATCTCAGATCTCAGTCATCACATCACACATCACAATGCAATCGAATGACCACTCCAAGTCATTTCTGAACCTGACCACATCCACGTTGTTTGGAGTATTTGGATCGCAGACCAACCTCTCGGAGCTCAACGGCGAAGACTCGGAAACGGTGGAATTGGGCCGACTGGACGCCCCCGAGTTTGCCGCCCTCAGAAGAGACGCCCAGGGACCGCCCAAACGACGACGATCGTCGTTCTCGTACACAAAACGAGCTCCCAGCAAACGGGACTCCAAGCCCATCAAGAAACCCTCGAAACAGACCGGGTTTTCCTTCGGCAACTCGCCTCTGTTCAAAACGGCCCTACTATTCGTTCTGGGCTGTGGCTACGGCTGTGTCGTCCACTTTCTCTACGAAAAACAGGTCGGCACACGAAGAGACACCGACAAACTGACCCTCCCCATGTGGGGTGTGCACTGCGTGCTTCTAGGTCTGGGTCTGCCTCTTCTCGACAAGTACAAGCCGTCTACCAGCGCCCCCGCCAAGGGTCTGCAGCGAATCCGGGCCAAAAATGGAGGATCCAGCCCCAATAAGAAGTGGGGCTCGTTGGTCAGAACCGTGGGAGCGTTCCTAGGCGTGGCCTACGGCGTCAAAAACCTCAATTGGCACTCGACCACAGAGGTGGCAGTCATCTGGGCACTGCTCAACCCGTTCCTGTGGTACCTCCTGGATACCACCAGCAACGGGTTTGGACTGGCGGCCGTGTCGTCGCTGATTGGAGCCGCCGTTATGTCTGCCATTGGGGTCATTCCCGTGGGCCTCGGTGAGTGGGCTGGACTCGTCTGGCTCGCCAGTAACTTATTCTGTGGCGCCATTTGCTTTGGCAACCTCGGCCGAATCATCGACAGAAAGTAGACTGGGCACGGAGGCCATGAGACAGAGACTCCTCAGGCCGCAGGGTCGTCAGGTTGAATACATCAAAAGCCGGCAGTGACAATCGACCCGGTAACATAATTTTCCATAATCTTCACAATCAGTATTCATCGGATACGTACGCATTCAAATGCGCAATAAATTCTTTTGCTTGAGTTGTAGACATTTCCTCTACTGTAGACATTCCCTTAGATATACAAGTATGATATAGACATCCTTGAGTAACTTGAGCACTGATTGTGGACATGACAACTCATCTACTTAACGCCACATATACGTTATAACGGGGTTGACTACTTCAATGCAAAGCTATCATTCCGGAGATTCGAACGGTATAATTTATATGATCATTGGATCGGGATTGGGCTTGCTTGATCGGGTTGTTTCCTCGTTCAAATCGGTCCCAGCAGTCCCGGTTCCCACCGATCCGCAATAGTTTAGTGGCTAGAATTTCCGCCTGTCAGAACAACTGTTCAGCACGCGGGGGACCGGAGTTCAATTCTCCGTTGCGGAGCATCTTTTTTGTGGTCTTTTTAGCGGTAGTTTCGGTGTATTTCTCTCCATCTTAGTCAGAAGTTACTGATGAGATTTTTGGCCTGGGCATATTGGCGAGAAAATTCGATGAAATTGCGCAAAAAAAGGAGTACAATATGTCGGAAAGTACAATACAGCACGATAATGAAGCTTGTAACATTCTTTGGTTGGTTGATCTCCTATTCCAACTTCAAAGTGCATGGGTCGAGAACACATGTTAGTGTATAGAATGTATGTACTGCACTGACACTGTGTCTCTCTGTTGGTGCTATAACAATGAATGGATCACGTGGATCATTCTTAATCATTCAACTATGTACATATTATCAGTTCAAACGGTCACTTGTCGTTTTCTTGATTGAAAGAATCTTGCTCTTGTCAATCAAGCCAGCCACCCGGCTACGCTGCTCGGTCTGTCCATCCAACCACTGCCGTGATTACTCTGGCAAACTCTTGGTCTGACTGGCTCTCCAACTCTTGTAGGGCAGTGCAATATTGTCCTTGGTCTGCAGCTTGCCCGAAAAAATGTCAAAGTCGGCGGACTCCAGCTTCTCCAGGAAGATCTTGGTGGGAATGTATGACATCATGGGTAGGAACATGGACGAGGTGAAGTAGCCGCCTTTTGGTGCGTCCGGAACCGAGTTGAGGTTGTGTTTGAGCTGCTCCAGAAGCGTGTTTGCGGAAATCAAATGGTCGTTGGCGCGGGTGGCCACCTCGAAGATGAGCGAAGACAGCTTATCCTTGTCAAAGGTGCCTCTGAGAACCTCCTCCTCCGACAGATCATGTGACACCAGGCCCTGGACGGGAAGAGGCACGTAGTTGCGCTGGTTGATGTAGTACGGCAGGCCCTTGAGTAGGGCAGCGATGCCGGATCCTTGGCCAATGTGGGCGATGATGGTGTGCAGCTCGGAGTGCACCTCGGGATTGAGCTTGAGAAATTCGGTTGTGTTTTTCGACGTGCCCACCGTCGCCTCCAGGAACAGGTAGTTGGGCTGTGAAAAGAGACCCTCACCATAGACGGCCATGGAATCAACGTCTGGGAAGGGCCGGTTGCCCATGTACGCTTCCCGTGACTGGATGAGTGTGATGAAGTACCGTTTGGACAGATCCACGTGGTCCAGAGTCGAGTCCAGCAGCGCCAGGGTCGGGTGGTTGAGAGCCCCGGACTTGTCGGCCGTGCGCTGAAACACACGCTGGATGCCCTCTCTCCAGAACCCCAGCTTGATCTGCGACGGCTCGGACACGTCGGACCCGGCCCGGCGCGAGCCAGTGGCGCCAGCGTTCAGCTTGGACAGATCCAGGCACAAAGACCGGATGGCAATGAAGGCGTCTCGGGCATGTTCGTTCTGCACGTACGATTGGATGATGTAGGACGACTTGTCGTGTTTTTTGAGCTCGTCCAGACACTTTTGTCGCGAGCTGGCCAACGTCGAGTTGAACCGCACCTGGCGAAGGCCTCCTAGTCGTAACATCTTGTGTTTGCGGAGGTTGGAAGAGTGACGAATGGTGTTGCACTTATTAAAAGTTTATGCGAGTGGCGATGGAAATCGAGACGGCTTTTGTGGACGATGCGGGGGAGTTGGGGGGCTGAACTTTGGAGAAAATGGTAGCCGGATCGTTATCAGCAGATTTCCAGATTTCTGGGCGATTTGCAGCAGAATTGACCAAGTTGGCGTGGTGTATAATTGAGATTGGCATGCAGCTCCGTGTCGTAAAATCGGGGTAAAACGACCTTTTAGCCAGGGCAGGGAGAGCTTGAACTCCTTTCTGTCTAAATGTCAACTAATAATTCGGCAGTTACTCGACAATAGTTGAAACTCGCTGGTCTAATCATATCGCTGTAAAGTGCTATCTGAAAGTGCAGATACCATTTAATTAAAACAACAACCCTGCAAATCTGTTCTTCGGGTGGTTCAAAAACGAATGATCATCAACACTTGTATCCCCACTCCGTTTGTAGTGCGGTGAGTCCAAATTTCACCATCGTCTCACGTACCAGCATGCACATACTAGTAAAGCCCTGTATACACGACTAACCTGCGTACTGTACCGTACTTGGCAGCAAAAGCTGTACTTGTGCCGAGTGGTTCTCCTTCATTTGAATACCATACAAATTCGCGGATAAAAACTCCTCCTGCTACACTGCCATATCTCCAGATTTTGATTCCATCATACCACCATTCAAGTCGATCATTCAGCTGATGTCAGTGGAACGAAGAACCAACAAAACCGACGAAAAATGACCCAAAACTGGTAATTCTTTCGGAAATCAATTCATCGTAGTCACGTGACCAAATCTATCATTTTCCCCGCCTCTCCACGTGCCTCCCTCCTCCCATAATCTCCTTCTGAACATTTTTCCGATGCTAACCTAAGCGAAATGAAACCCAAAAGAAGTGTGGCTTTGTCGAAGAACCAACTATTTCCACTTTTCAACTTTCCAACTTTCTACTCACCACTCCGTCGACATCCCAACACCCATGCGGTCGGTAACTACAAGCACGGAGACCCCGGCGCAGAAGCTGGACTTGCACAAAGTGTCGGGACTGCATTTCTTCTGGAAACACCCGTGGCACAAGCCCATCATCATGGCGAACCAGACGTCCGAGGTCCGAGACCTATGCGCCAACGAACGAACCTATCTGGCATGGATCAAGATGGCGATCGCCATGGGCTCGGCGGCGGCAACCATGCTGCTCAACTTTCGGTTTGTTCACGTGTCCAAGTCGCGGAGCGTGACTCCACATTTGGGCAACTCCAGCGGTCTGGGAGACCAGCATGTGACGCCCAAGTTTGTCACGTACGAGCGTGTGGGCGTGGTCAGCGACTCCAACGACTTTGAGCGCAACGCCACGCTGGTCTTTGGCTACATTTTCATCGGCCTCACCTTCTTCACCATTCTGGGAGCGGCACGATCATACATCCACACCGTCACGGGCTACGCCAAGCAGAAGAGCCGCGTAGTGAGTGGCGCCTTTTCCACCATGCTCGTCTGGCTCTCTGCCGCCACCATTCTCACCATCAACATCATCTTGCTGGTGTCCAACAAGGGCGTGTGACAAGGGAGTCATCCGGTGTGTATTGGTCTTGACGTGATAAGACAGACGAAGAGATTCCGACATCAACGGCCACTACGCGACGTCAACCGCAACTACTAACAGCGTCCAGCACTACTATTTATTCTGATTCCGCACATCCATATGGGTGTTATTTATAGACAATGATATTGATAATGAGACGAGTGAAGGATGAGTGAAGTGATGGGGATCAAATCAGGCAAATACAGACTTGAATGGTGCTGTAGGAAAAGTGGTTTTTCGTACGTGCACTTGGATGACAATTTGTCAACTAATCTTCAACTATACCTGATGACTGGTTTGGTTTTACTGAGTGGGCCAGTTCCGAAGAGTTTCTCTAAAAAAAGTCATACAACGATTAATTCGCACTCAATGGCCGTGGAAAGAGATTTCCGAAGTTGGAGAGTATAGAATGAAGGACTTCTGTGCCAGATAATGTTCTCTGAACAGTTGTTGGTCGCCCCAAGTTGCGTGCTTTACATATTCAGTATGTTCTTCTAGGACCGATACATGTTTGGTCAATAGAGTCACCGGATATGACTCAAAACAATTGATAGTAGATTATTGAATTGCCGTAGATGTTCAGATTCAAGTTCCCTTAGTAACCAACTCCATTGATGGCTTTCTGATCGCAGTACATGCTGTACTTTATGTACTGTTACTGTAGAGTCGCCCAGAGCACTGTAAGAACGAATTAAAAGATGTAGTTTTCAATGAATATTTTCCGTTGAATTGATTTGAATTGAATGAGGAAGTCTCCTACATCACAAGAGCGCAATGACTGGGTCGGGAGATGTGTTCAGTGATATCTACTGTAGAATGGAAGTGATTAGACAGCAGAGATCGTGAGAATACATTTCAGAATGGAGAGGGAACTGATTTGGCCTACTTTACAGGTGATAGAAAGAGAATATACAATTTGAATCTGTTGCTACTAGCGTGATCTCGGACTTTACCAGACTACAGTGGACGGCTTAGACACTTGAACCACAAGTAGAGTCATCAATTGAGTCAAAAGAGTCCCAAATACTGCTCGAAAACATAGAGATTAGCAGTGGAAACCTCCGTTTCATGTCGACAGCTCCGTTTCATGTTCTTCATTGTAAACCAATATGTTACAAGTCCAGAAGAGCACACTCTGTATCAGTCTCTATTCACAACCAACACCTCTGAAGATCAAGGACGTCTTCTGTCAACAAAAAAGAATAGCGGCACCTGGTTTCGATCCAGGGACATCAGGGTTATGAGCCCTGCGCGCTTCCGCTGCGCCATGCCGCTCATATAGATTTTTCCTGGTGGGGAGAGACGATTTCACATCAAGGTGAGTTTCATTGCCGCAAAAACCCGCAAAGAAGGTGGTTTAGTTGATAAATGGGGGCGATAAGAATGTAGTTCAATTGTAATCACTTGATAGGAACTTTTTTTGTCAGTTCAAATGGCAATTTACAAATCACAGTGGATACTGGCTTCTTTTGCATGGACCGAATCTCTCAACTATTTATGTGTGAGTATGACTGTATAATGTCTTAATATAGGGCAAAATTGGTATCGCTGCGATACTTGTACTCTGAAGAGAACAATTGTCAACTTCACAGACCGACTGCGCTCGTATTTCCAAAGATCCAAGGACTCCTAAGTCACTGTGCGCATTAACTGTGAGAGGAAGTACAGTACACTTTCCGCTCATAAAAGAGCTTGAAGAGATTCTGGAAGTGTACAATGTATGATAAAAAGAAGCCTTTGACCAAATGGTCCTTTTACGGTCAGTACTTGTGGCGAAAATGACTCGAAACAACATCCAACTAACCTCAAGTAAATTTGAAGAGAATTCTAACAAGTATTACTACAGCTTCGGGAAGGGATACCTCAAATTCCTGACATCGAGAAATGAAAAAAAATATGAAATACGCCGCAAAAATCTCTCAATTCAATCATTTATATCATTTCTTTTCTCCAGTGACCTTCTGAGATACCAATATCTTTTCTTTTTCTGGACACGGTTGAGGGGTCGTATAGTTAACATCGCAACTATCGTCAACTATATTACTTCAACTTAAGGGTTTGGGATAATGCGTACTTTATGCATGATTAATTGCGACTAACATCTCTACACACAACATGTTGCCACCAGAAATAGTTCTCCTGATCGCCGAAGAGCTGGATCTCGAGTCAATCATCGCACTTTCGCAAACCAGTGCGAGTTGGCGTCGTCTCGTTTCCGATACCCTTTTTCAGCGAGCAATACGACGCTCCTGTCCGTGGTTCGAACCCCAGTTTTCGGATCGTGGCACGTGGAAAGCGTGTGCGATTGAGCAGGTGCGGCGTTCAAAGCCCGGAGTGGATATAACACCGAAACTGAAGACTGTTTCTTCTACTAAATTCCACGAGTCTCCGGTTCTAGACACCTCTTTTGAACGGCTCGACAAGCGCAAAATCGCAAACCTCGTTTACACCAGCGAGTACGGAATCCGCGTGGATTTATCAAACACATGTTCGCAGGATCTGATAAAAGACCGCGACCTTCACGGAAATGAGTACGGATACGAGCCCGAGGACAGGTACGACTCCAAGGTGATCTCGTTCCCTCATATGCTGGTGATCATGGCAGTATGTGAACCCGATGAGCGGCCCGAGGGCGATATTATCATCAAGTTTAAGGGCTCAAAAGGTCTTCAGCCGGACATGTTTGAAAAATGCTTCGAAATGCCGAGTATTCTAACATTCGGCGACCATGTGTTTCTGGTGATGCCGTCTCTGTTTTCGGGATGGGCCCTATTCTATCTGGTGGACCGGGAGTTTGAGATTGTGGCCGAAGTCGACGGCTACAATGAGTCCGTTTCGTACTACGACGGACTTATTCACTACTTTCGAGGTGGCATTCACCATGTGCTGCAACCCCAGCTGGGGAGAGAAGCTGTGTCAGACAGTGCGGGCTCCGGATCGATATTCGATCTGCTGTTTCTGGGCAAGCGAAATGATCACTGGGATTATCACTACGCCGTTGTTCCTACTCATTTGGGAACATATATTGTGGATGTCAGCAGGGGGTTGATGGTGAGAGCTGTGGAGGATGGGAGTGTGTATAGAGTGGCAGCAGGGACGAGCGGGGAGACGCAACAGAGCGACGTGAGCCAACAGAGCGATACGAGCCAGCAGAGAGATGTGAGCTGATCAAAGTTCAGATGTCCGTGACTCCAGATGAAGCTGTCTACAAGATGCGTCTCCATGAGAAGTTTCACTCTAGTTGGACTCTACAGCTGGCTCAAAGATTAGTGTGGTTCTATGATCTAAAAGGCGGCTTTACACATGTGGTTCAAAACTACAACGAGTCTGTGCTTTTGCGATCGTCTAGACTCGACTGACAACTGGCATTTCTACGACACCTGAAGTTGGGCCGACTGATTCAACAACCCAGGATGAGAATATTGTTGTGGATTTCCTTCCATGTGTTCCCCTGTACCAAAACCAACAGTTGCGGTAACGGCTATCTCGTCTACACCGTGTAGGCCACCACCAAGCTCAGCCAAGTCTCACCGAGGTGTTTGAAAGTTTGAACTGGCTGAAATTGCATCTATTGTGGGGTACAATGGTCAGATTTCACCTTATGGTAACAAGATGTTGATTCTGACTGCCTCCAACAACATCGGAACATTTCATACCCAACCGCCCAGTACAATACTGTACAACAACTCTCATGGATACAGGTGCAAATTCGACTTGAATCAAACCAATGATGGAAGAAACATATCGGGTCGAAATTACAAGTCATTGAGCCGACTTTGGCAACTAAACCCGAAGCAGAATGGATCTGATGGATGAACGGAAACCTCACGAATCCTTATGCTTGAAAAACGTTTTTTCAGCGAACGGGCCCCAACTGAGCGTCTTATCTATGAGCGACCGTGCCGTTCTGCAGACACCTCGTTTTGTACAGATTCCTACTCAAGGGATCACATTAAATCGAAAGACATTCATCTTGGATCTCACTTCACCAGCTTTCTGCTCGACATTTGGTACGACCAACATTTCATGATCAGAACTTTTCCAAAAGAGCAGCAGGCTCTCGACCGTCTCTTACTCATCTAGTCATTCAAAACCATACTGGCCCTTTCACAATTGTGAGAGCCAATACGAGGATGTCTCCAAGAACCTCAAGCGTTTTCAGGGTGACCCTTATCTTAGACACAGCTGGAGTTGAAGCTTGTCTGGTGACTACAGTAGAGTAGCAGAAGATTAATCCGATGTCCTGAAGTAGCCAGCACGGTCAATTGCATGCTACTGATGAATTTCTAGGGATGGTTTGGGCTCTCGGAAGTATTCAGACGGGATTTCCAAACATCAGGGAGGACATAGCCTCTCCACTACTGCTCGCACTGAATCATTACAACAACGTCATTTGTACTCAACCATTCAACATACTCATTCAACTCACACGATCACGATCCACTCAACGCACTCAATTCACTCCACTAATCACTCCACCAAGCACTTCACCGATCACTACTCTAACACCACACCTGCCACCAACTACACTTTGGCACAGGATCAGAATCAGTGGTCATTATGAGAGCAGCCGCTCCCAGCCCGACAACTCCCAGTCCCACCGTGGCAGCACCTGCTGCAGAAGTGGTGGCCAGCCACCAAATGGCGCTTCCAAGAGTTTTGAATCCCATCATACTGGCACCCGACACTCCGGTCGTAGAAGCAGTGGCTGCACCAGACGAAGTGAAAATCCCCACATATTTTCCAATGGCAACGGCGTAGTAAGGGTAAACCATCTTCAGAGATAAGTGACGAACAGGGACGAACAGGGACGAATCTGCTGGTTTAAATATCCCAGACCCAGAGCTAACTTCAAAAGATAGTTGCTTACTTTGAACTAGGTGTGAGTGCAAATCAGGACCGAATTTGATTTCTCCTACGTGGAGATTGCGATATCAGATGATCAGACCAAGTACACGAATGTGATTGTGAGAACAGGGGCTTTCTGGCGGTTCCAATGAGTATCGACATTTTCTCGACATTGAGGTGTGACTAACGCACACAGTAATTTGACAAAGTTGTCAACTAGTGTCTGTTTCATTTGCCACTGCTGATCGCGTTTATGTTTTTGCAGGCTCCATTATCGCGTATATACGGGATCCAAACCTCAGAAAACCGACCAATGGACCACGTGTGTGTTGATATCGTTTATTAATCGGTAATTCATACAAAAGTGCTTTGCCAGAAGAATGAAGGGTGCTATGCCAGACATTTCCTGAGCCAACACTGAGCTACCCTGAGCTATGAATCTGCTAATGTTCGCACGAGGCAATCTGCCGTTCAGACATGGGTCAGTCAAACTCCTCGTTCAGTCAAACTCCTCGTTCAGTCAAACTCCTCGTTCTGTCAAACTCCTCGTTCTGTCAAACTTCTCATTCTGATCCTCTCTCCTCCATTAAATCCACTCGCACTTAATCATGGGCTGGCTTCTAGCACTTTGTTCAACCACTCAGATTCTCCATCAAACTAATAGATCGCACCTTTTACCCCATGAAGAAGAGTCGAGAGGAGGAACTCGAGCAATATCTTCCTGTGGTGAGGATTACGAATGATAAAACACAACTTTTCGGTGGCCAGGCTTCTACTTATTACCCCCAGTTCAGAGATCCGATTTGACGTTTCAGCTGTACTGTACGGTATGTTACTGTACATACTTTACTGTACACCAAAAAATCTTTTTAACGGACTGGGCAACTTGTGAATCCCTCACGCAACCGTGGAAGCGGCTGAAGTGTACACTACAAAAATTGGTCGACCAGATCACCATATCTTGTGAATACTAACATATTTATTCTTCTTGAACTTTGTATCGTAATACAGTACCATCTTGTCCTTAAGTACCAGCTTGGACTGCATTCGCTGCATCCTGAACTGAACCCCTAACTAAAATTTCCCAAACTTAACAAAAAATTTAACTAAATGCACTTACCTCTCAAACCTGGAACAGAAACTACAACATAAATATATATGACTGAGCCACCAAATATATGTTTTGTTCATAAACATGTAGCAATATAACATCTGGAACATCTATCATACCTCCACATTCCTTGCAGGGCCCAAAAGGAACCCCCAGTGGGCTTTACTCTTAACAAAATGCTAATAAATAGTACGCCTTCGTTCAAGAGTAGACTCATGAGAAGTCCTTGGGGTCAGAATTGCAAAATGTGTTGTGAAACAGCAACAGAAATCGAAATAATTCTTTTCATACACATCACGTGACACATCACGTGACATATCCACGTCCCACAATGCTTAGTCAGTCAGCAAATCGCTCCTACGCGTTCTGTATGCGAACCACGAGCCCCACCGTGGACAGAACTGCAAACAACGAGAGCAACGAGGGCAAGAGAAAGAGACTGACGACAGTTGTAGCAAAAAGAGTGGGCCCAACCGGGAATTGAACCCGGGACCTCTCGCAAATTGCTCAGGAACACCCTAAGCGAGAATTATACCACTAAACCATCGGGCCATGGATGAGTGTAGTCAGAAACCAGATCCGGTTTAATCAGTAGTTCAGCTCAGACCAGCGGGGACCGCTGATCTGCTACGGGGTACCACTTGTACTGCGGAAGTTGTTGGCGATAAACTTGATTTATTAAAATATGACGTAACATCCTACATAACTGTTCCTCTGCATCACAGGGTAACCCTTAACATCCAGGTAACTCCTCAAGGTCACGTGCGAGGCATGTGATTTTCTTCAGAAGCCCTTTAGGACGTCTCATAATATTCTCTAGTAAGAGACCACTCGATGACTAATCCTATAACACCTTATGAGTCGATTTGATCCCTTAAAAGTGTATGGTCCGAGGTGAGAGTATATCAGGGGAAAAATGCGGTGTGAAAGGCGCTGGGCATGTATTCATGGCGTTGTCGTTGGCTGAGAAAAGGGCCAATGATACAACCTGACAGATAGATCTTTCATTGATGAAGTGATCGACTCTTTTTGAACTATTGATGAGGTACATGGGCAGTTTGTTGCGTTGTTGAATTCGGACGTGGTGTTTTTTTTAGAAGTTATCGAGTTTGAGTGACGGAAATGTCGTCATAGGATGTAAATGCCTCTTTAAAAGCCCTTCCAGAGGTTTAGATTGCTTGCTTCGACATTGAGCGTTGTACTGGACCGTTTCGGTGGTCCCGATGGTCCCCTTGTCTCTTGCTGTTGCTATACCGACAAGACGTAAGTTGGCAAAGATAGAGAGAAGTCGAGAAATGGGCTCGAAACAAGCGGAACCGTGTTCGGTGTGAAAAATCTCGTTTCAGTTGGTTCAAAGTTGTAAGGCGTGTCCGGGGGTTGCCGCTGAGGGGTGAAGAAGATAGGGTATGGATATGGAGATACCTTGTCCAGCAGTGAGAAAACAGTTGGGAACGTGTTATACGGCGTCGAAAATGGTGTCCAAGTGTTCGGATGGTTCATGGTGCTTGCTGTACTGTACTTCCGGTCAGTAAAATAACCGATCGGTACCCATTTCAAGGAAATAGTTAACACCCGATTCCAAATCACAAATGCGTTTGCCGTTCATATTGCACAAGTACCGCGATAACTCGCCCTTGCCTTGGACAAAGGCCCTACCCTGCTGTTCTGGGTACCCATGGATCATCTTTTGCTTGCAGAAACGTACCGTATTGTCTTCTGCGTCAACAACAAATGGCAACACTGCTCCATCAAAGTCCACCCATACCACTCCGTCGTATACGAACACGCGAAAACTGTCTGGATGAGAGAAAGCAAAGGGTCCAAAGATTGGAAGAAGGGGGTTCTTGTCGATGGCACAGTAGAGGAACCATCCCTTGGGCTGTAGCATACTGAAGAAGGTGAAGTCGGGATGGGGATGGTGAATGAAGTTGTGGACTCCTTGTTCAGGGAAGGTGACATGACTCAGATTGGGTCTGGAGACGGTGACGGGGGAGTCTTGATGATGGTCCAGAATCTCACGGCACAACTTTTTCATATCTTCTTCGCCCTCGACGTGGTTGTTTGTGTCTATTAAGCCTTGACACGCTTCGAGATCTGTCTTGAGCACGTAGTTGAGGGTCTTCATGCCGACTTTGAGTGAATAGACTAGAGGATCTTGATGCTCTTCAGACAGAGTGATCAGATGCTGTTTCTGTCGAGCAAGAACAAGTCGAGCACATAGTCGCCATGATTCTGTGGGTTTCTGTTGCTTTTCTGTTTGTGTCGGTTCCTTCTGTGGCTCTTGCAACATTGTCGGTGTCCCTGTTCTCGGGAGCATAAAAGGGCATCGTTTCCGCACTTTTTCGCCCAAAAACGGATCTGTCAGGCCTCTGAAGCGCGTGTTTGTGTCGCCGAGCGCGACGCACGCCTCCAGCGGACAGTGGCCAACCACCAGATGCACGATCTCGCTGGGCAGACTGTTCATTGGCGGTAGTGTGGAGACATGCGAGATAGCGAACCTTGAGGGGTGAGGCTGACTTAGAGTCTTTTTTGAGTTTAGTGAAAAAATAAAATATTTATAAAGTGAAAAATACCCCGCATTATTAGCTGATTACGTGATGGATGGGAGGTGGAGATGGAGGCGTGATCATGTGATGGTGACGGGGTCACGTGGCTACTGCAGTTAGTTATTGGTCATGTGACTAAATGCTACCAGTAGTCACGTGACCACCCGGGCCTTCAGAGGCTGATTCGAGTGTTCTCGTAGATGTTTCTTGCCGAGTTTGGTGATAGTTGGATGAAGTTGACATCAGTCAATGGGATTATTCTACAGCTTCCGGGATGGAGTTGAGGCAGGTATTTGAGGCAGGTAGTCGAGTGCCAGCCACCCTTTTAGTGTGGATCTGGATTTTCTGGAAGAGATACTGTGTTCTTCGACTGGTGATGAACATGAAGGGGGTCAACAAACATCACCAGTTATGTATTGTATTAGTGGCAATATTTTTGGAGAGTTGGCCACGAAGTGAGGTCGACAAATGTTCAATATTAGTGAAGAAATATGTTGGGAATTGGTCAGTTGTTTGTATCGGTAATTGAACTCTGACATGACGATAGAATGCCCTTCAGCAGTCTCTTTATGATTCGTTGATCTGCGAATACTGCTGTGGTTGTTTGCAGTACAGTAGAAGTACTTCAGAAAGATCTTCAGTTCAGGGGAATGTACTTTAGAGAGATCTTCAGTTCAGGGGAATGAACATTCACGTAGTCTCCAAGTCACAATCGGAAACTGGAACCAGAAAGTCTCGAGCATCTCAAGTGGGTCCTTTTGAGTATCATACACTGTAACGGAGAGAAACATGTAGGTGGTATCAACCACCCCTTGACCACTTGGTTTCTTTTATTAGATATCCTTCAATTCGACACTGGACAGTATCATGGTTCTTTTATTTCTTTTCGACTGTCAAACCTCCAAGTTCAATGGACTTGACGGTAATGAACCACCCAGAACACCATTCACATTTCGACAGTAAAGAGACGGTGGGTATGTCGAAATTAACCCGTCGCCAGTCATCCATTCTCAAGAGTCATTCTCTAGACGATGTTTTTCACCTTTGAGATGACTTCACTGACTCAATCGAGCACAATGAGTCTGGAGGTGGGGGATAGTTTTGAAAGCGTCTGGACTTCTCATTGTGACCACGACCACGACCACGATCCCGAACCTCCGTGTCCCATACCCTTCTCATTCTCTCTCTCTCTCTCTCTCTCTCTCTCTCTCTTTCTCTCTCTCTCTCTGCACCTCCGAATAATCACTCTGCACGTGCGGTCTTCCCCTCCAGCTGTCAAAGAGACTAGTGACAAGACTGAACGAATCTGAACTTAACGACTTTGATCCCCTCTTACAGGGAGCGTGTAGATAACCAAACTCTTCTCTGTCAGACTCTTCAGGACTCTGCACGCCCTGTGGAGAATTCGTCCCTCGGAATTTTGTCCCTCGGGATTCCCTCAGACGTCCCTCGGAACGGAAACTAGTGGTTTGCCACAACGTCAAGGTTCTCCATAGTGCCACTACATCCATCTACTGAACTGTACTACAAGTACTGTAGCTGCATCATACTGAGTTGGTGATTTTATGATTACCGAGAGGATCTTCAGAACCACCCCAAAACGCCTCCATACACGCACAGACAAGCCGCTGCCGCCAGAAAGCTGACTAATCACCGATACCAACGCCGCTTCTCGTCATTATCCCCAATTCTCCCCGATTCCCCCACTTTCACGTGGCGTCTTGGATGACTTCTGCTCTTGTCCAGTTGCCTGCACCCCACAAAAGTCAGTTCGGCCGATCGTGCATATCCCCACCTTATCGTGAGTTTATATATCAGGCCTTGACGATGGACGATTGACGATTGACGATTGACTACAAGTACTTGTACAAGTTGCGGCCAATTGAGAAACACAAACACAAACACAATCAACCAAACCAACCAAAAACAACCAAAACATGATCATCCACAGCACCGGAACTCTGCCGATTTTCAACGGAACCGTGACCGATTACCTGCGAACAAAACCGTCCTACTCGTCGACAGATCCAGCCTACATTGACGTGGTCACAGGCAACTCAATCAGCTACTCCGAGGTCTGGAAACTGGCCGACCGACTCAGCTCCGCCCTGTACAACGACTACGGACTCACCGACGCCAAACCAGACGAGAATGTGGGCCCTGTCGTCATGCTACATGCAGTCAATTCGCCGCTACTGGCGTCTGTCCACTACGCTTTACTGGATCTGGGCGTAACAATCACCCCCGCAGCTGCCACCTACGAGGCGGGCGATCTCGCGCACCAAATCAAGGTCTGCAGCCCGTCGCTGGTCATCTGCAACCAGCAGTTCGAACCCAAGGTCAAAAGCGCCTCCAGCAACACCAAGCTCATCTTCATTGAAGATCTGCTCAAAACCCAGTCGTCTGCCCCCTGGAAAAAGTTCACTACCTCCAACCCCAACCGGGTCGCCTACCTGGGCATGTCCAGTGGCACCAGTGGACTCCCCAAGGCGGTCCAACAGACCCACATCAACATGTCGTCTTCCACCGAAGCCGTCATCTCCTCCCAGACCATATTCAGCGCCCGAAAAAACGTGACCGCCGCAATTGTGCCCATGACTCACGTCTACGGACTCACCAAGTTTGTTTTCCACTCGGTCGCAGGCTCAATGACCACCGTTGTGTTCCCCAAGTTCTCCCTGGTGGACCTGCTGGAGGCCCAGATCAAGTACAAAATCAACATTCTGTATCTGGTCCCTCCAGTGGTGTTGGCTCTGGCTAAGGACAGCCGTGTACAGCCCTACATTAAGTCCATTTGCGAACTCACCACTCTGATCGCCACTGGAGCGGCTCCCCTTCCCCCTACTGCAGGAGACGCGCTTCTGGAGCGTCTTACGGGCAACAAAGAGGGCAACAGAGACAACGGAATGGATCCCTTGGTTCTCATCCAGGGCTACGGACTCACAGAGACTCTCCAGGTGTCTGTTTTCAAGCCCGAAGATCCCGAACGCGATCTCAAGACCGTGGGAAAACTGCTTCCCAACACCGAGGTGCGAATTGTGGGCGAAAAGGGCGATGTTCCGCGTTCCAAATGGTCGTTTGTGACTCCTCCAACCGGCGAAATCTACATCCGCGGTCCCCACGTGACTCCGGGTTACTTCAACAACGACTCGGCCAACTCTGAGTCGTTTGACGGCGAGTGGCTCAAGACCGGCGATATAGGATACATGGACCTGGAAGGACGACTCACCATTGTGGACCGAAACAAGGAGATGATCAAGGTCAACGGACGTCAGGTGGCTCCGGCTGAGATTGAATCTGTGCTGCTGGGCCATCCCATGGTAAAGGATGTCGCTGTCATTGGAGTCACCAATCCCGACCGAGGCACGGAGTCTGCTCGGGCGTTTCTTGTTACTGAAGCGCGAGCTCTCCCGGTGATTAAGCAGTGGTTTGACCGTCGAGTTCCCTCGTACAAGCGTCTTTACGGAGGCATTGTGGTGGTTGATGCTATCCCCAAGTCTGCCTCGGGCAAGATTCTGCGACGGGTTTTGAGAGAGAGAAAGGGAGACAGCGTTTTTGGAGAGTATGTTGAGGAGGTTGCTAAGCTGTAGCATACCAGCCCTAGGCTTAGTTGATTGTTGGCAAGACGGGCTATTGCTGTGGACTATTGAGGGTGTGCACTTGGAAAAGAGGACCGCTGTGATGTGGTTCAGCTACCTGCCGTGACATAGCTCAATGATATGACAGTTCCTAGCTACAAGGGCGACATCAAGTCAAACTACAGCTACACAAGACACATCTCAAAGTCAGGTGAGATAGGACTATAGTTGATTCAATGAATTGTTCAGGATATATTTAAAAGCTGAGAACTAACGAATAGAATGAAGACAGTAGGTACACTACACACGAGAACTACCTGCTTACTAAGGATCCTTCACAAGTCCTGGGTCATGCTCCCTGCACTAAGAAGAAGGAAGAGGCTTTCCAGCAAGGAAATCCCAACCTGCCTGAGTAGAAGACCTGAAACGGCAGGAATACCTTTTTGGAATCACATGATCCGCAAATTTGTGTACATTCAGAAACAATGGTGTGTTGGAATGTGGTGATTGCATTTAGACCAGGGGATACCTACTGGCTCTCACCCATTCACCCCAAGTAAGTACTATACAGTACATTGTATGATAGTTGCATCCACACTCCAAGACACCGTGAGTGATTCGATTGAAAAATGGAGTTTACCATTCGATTCTTCTGTTTGAGAGGAATCCAATAATGTGTCTAAATGTGTAAAAATATGTCAAACGGGTCAATTTAGGCAGAACACCGCACATTTTGAGTCGTGGTCTCATTCATTTCGGCCATTAAAATGTAAAAAATGGGAAGAACACGTGAATAAATCAATCTGTGTGAAGAATAAATGAGATTTTCTTCCGGAGATGTGATTTATTCATCAGGGTATTTGAATTATTCATCAGGATATTTGAATCATTTCACCAAGCGATACACTTTTAGTTCACAAAATAAAACCTGATGAGCCCTTTACCTAGATCCACTGTATGTCTGTCCACTCGCGTGTCGAGATTGCAAAAACTGTAAGACATTATCGAAAATGGCAATATTGAGAGCTTGTTCAAATAAATTTTCAAATTGCCGCATTTTTGAGGACGGTGGTGTTGTTGTACCAAAACCAATATTTCCCGGAGAAATAGCTCAGTGAGAATCGGGAGAGATTAGTGATGGCAATTGTACTGGGAGAGTACCGTACGAGTATTATATTTGTGCTTTACGAGAATTATATTCGTGTTAGTATGAGATTTATACATCGTGCTAAATACGAGAATTATATATCGTGCTACTTGTAGTATAGTACGAGAATTATATATTGTGCTAGTACTGTACAGAAATTTATCGTGCTAGTATGTACTCCTACAGTATGTACAGTACATACATACATACATAAAGAAAAACCCAGGTAACTGGTATTGTACTGGAGTTGGGTGTGAATCATGGATAGCGAGGAATGATTCTCTTCCAGGATCAATTAGCTGTGTCAGCAAATCTCTGCCGTCTGGACTTGGAAGAAAACGGCAACCGTTTAGAAGCTGAAATATATCCAAGACAGTAATAGCAGCCCACGGTTAAGATCGGAATTTCAACCGTGAATGTATTTTGTACATAGATGCTGAAAAAACGAACAAACATACAGTAACACTACAGCGGAGGGTGAACAGAGACATAAAAACCCGAGGGCAACGATGACAATGCGGAGGTTCGAGCTGATTCCGATTCAGTCCTGGCTTGGTCCACAATGAGTGGCAAGATCCGTATACACAGCACAATCCAAGAACTCATTTCAGAGGCCGCTTTTGTCATGGAGCAGGATGAACAAGTCCGTGGTTGTCGCAAGTGAGTTGTAGACCTGCCGTAGATGATTTTTTGTTGGTTACAGACTCGATGTACCCCTATCGTATCGGTGCGGATAAAGTTGAGATAACGATCGTGCATTATCGCAACTTTGATTAGATTTTTCTGCTGGCTTGAGAACAAAGACATTAGTCGGTTTCATCGGATTTTGATAGAAGCCACTAACCCTGACTGCTCACGACACCACCATACTTCTTCTACAACCTGAACTAAGCAACCATATCCATTCCTCGTCAATCACTCTATTCCTAGACACCATCTTTAGCAACCTTCTTGCCCTCAAACAACCGATCAATCTCCATATAACTGAGCCCCTTGAGCTCCGGAAGACGAAAATAGACCCAGATCAGAGACAGTATACACAGCGGACCATACACAAACCCCACAAGTCCTCGCATGTTGGCCTCAGCCTCGTTCAACATGTATGGAACAGCCACGTTGAAAACAAGAGTCACTGTCGAGGAAATGACGGAGGCAATGGCGATGGTTTTGGATCTCAGACGCACAGACGACGACTCTGAGTAAATCACAAAAGCTCCAGGACCAATGGACAGGTCGTACGTGCCGACCCACACAAATAGCAAGATTGCGGTAGCCCAGTTGGTTCCCCGGGATGTAAAACAGCCCAGAATACCCATGGCAAAAAGAGCCACCGTCAGAACAAACAGTCCCGTGAGCATGATTTTGCGTCTTCCCACTCGAGCGATGGGAACAGACGACAGCAGAGTAGCCAAAAACCCCAAACCTGTAAGTCCCAGGGTGAGTTTGAAGATAATGTCTTGGGGCACTCCTGTCAGTTGGAAGAAGAAGGCGAAGAAGTTAATAATGTTGGCTCCTGACAGCGGCTGGATGGAGTACACCATGGAGCAGATTTCGGTACGATGGAGATCTGGACCCTTGAAGCACTCGGCTATCGTTCCTGACTTGTCTTCCTCCTTGTCGGTCTGGATCATGTGTTCGAGATGCGCGTCGAGGTCAATTTTGGTCTCGTCTGCCAGTCTAGCCAGTGCGTTTCTTGCCTTGTCAATCTCTCCCCGTCGCAAGAGCCACCACGGAGACTCTGGGGCAAAGCACAATGTGGGAATCAGAATTGCCGGAAACACCCATTGCACTGCTAGCGGTACTCGATATGCCCAGTCGTCGGTTCTGGTGGACGTACCTGTGACGACTCCGGTGGAAATGAACTGTCCGGCGACCCAGGACAGGTTGATAGCGGCTGCCAAAAGACTCCGCATTTTGATGGGGCACACTTCCGAGACGTAGGTCGGGGCCATGGTGTTGAAAACGCCCCAGATAATTCCACTGATGATCCAGCCGGCACACAGCATTTCCTTGCCGGTGGCAAAAAACACAACAAAGGTCACTCCCACCATGAATGCCAGAGACGTGATAGTCACCTTCTTTCTGCCGAATCTGTCTGCCAGCAGACCGACTCCCACGGCACCTGTGATTCTGCCAATGGGGACTCCCACCAGAAACGCCGTCTGCCACTTGGCTTCCACTGTCCAGTCTCCGTTGGGGAGCTGGATGCCGAACTTTTTCTGGAACACGGGAAGCGCGTAGAAAGACGGCACCATGTTTCCATCGTAGCCGTCCATGATGATGGTGCAGCACATGACAAAGCTCCAGAATGTCGCCTTCTTGTAGATCTTCATCGTCTCCCATAATGACAGGTCTTTCTCGAGGTTGGTCGGGGTAGCCACCCGGGAGATGCCGACACAAGTGTCATCCAGCGAGGAGCCCTTTGAGAGCGACTTGATTGACATGGAGGGTTCGGTGATTGTCGGACAACCACCAGATCAAATCGCTTTATATGCGTATGCATCTAGGACATCTCAAAAACGCCACAGACACGTTCCACGGGCTTCTCCGGACCGTCCTCGAACCTGTCAAAGCCCTTGCTTAAAAATAGGCGCTTCATAAACTTTTCATGCTGGTTTGACACCTGTCTGGCGCGTGACTGACAGGCGCAGTGCGGGTATTCGGCTTGGGCGCGAGCGTTTGTTGAAGTGATTGTGCGGAGAACTCCGAGATTGGCCGTTTTTTCCCCTGGTTTTTTCCCTTCTTTTTTTCCTTTTTTCAATCAACGCATTTTCACCATTTCGCAGTTGTGATATTGAAGTGTCTGTCTTTTCAGATCCAACTTAAATTGTTCTCATCCTTTTTTTTTTTTATTTTTTTTTTCTGCTAAAATATTTCAGGGAAAAATATGTCATTTTAACAACAAATTACTGGATGATTTTGATATCAATTTGATCGCTGAAACCTTCTCTTTCTGATGATGTGGTTTTTATGGGCTCAAAGTCTCTCAAATATTGGTCTCTCACACCCTTGTCCAACGCCAGTCCGACCCTAACGTCCACTGTTGGACTGTCTCGAATGGGTGAGCAGGGATTGTGAGACTTGCTGCTAATGGCGGTTCAACTCTCTTGATACTATGAGGACACTTTTGTGGCCTCAACTGCACTTACTGTACTTGGACTGGCTGTCAATAACACCCCATTACTGATGATGGAGATAAGAACCCGTTCATTCTTCGCAGATCCATCAACAGGGTCAAATCAGTCCGGAAAAGATCAATACAGACATACCCATACTCACACTCGCACACTACCGCTACTCCTATCACCAAACCCCTACTCGTACTGCAGAGTAGTCCTTGTACGAGTCGTACTAAGCTGTGGCTTGGATTGACAGATGACGCTAAAGAAGACAACAGACGACTAGCATGAACTTGCGCCATTGTAGAGCCCTGTAATTGTACGAACACCGCCTTTGCAACTGAATCTTCCGCCTTCCACCAACCAATTCACACTCCTGAGGGTTCTGATCGCTGCTAGAGACGTGTGTTCCTAGCAAAAGAGCAAATAACCGCGTGGGAACCCCGTCTCGTCTCGTACCCATCTCGTTAGTGTGGCGCTAACACTAGCGCGACGCGCATCACTAGATTCTGCGCCTAGATAAAGCACGTCTTTCTCCGCATGAGTCGCAATAGCAGCCACTTTTGGAGAATATGGACTTGGCAAGGGTGTTGGAATGGCGACAATTGGCGCTATTTTGATGATTGCGGCCTGGCGAGTCGAACGGGAGTGTCCTCAGAACTTCGTTGTGTTTCTCCTACCATCTAGGACGATTCCATCAAGTGTTCAGAAGACGCTTATTTTGAAGGTAAAGGGGAAGATTTGAGACAAGTGTTCGTATTAAACGATCTTCAGGGCTGCCGATCATCTCCCGTTCATGTCCACTATTCCCGTTTGTGGCTTCTTGAGCAATACGGGGCTCGTATGATGAATCGACTATTCAGATGTTGACCTCCGTGGGGAGTGTATTGTTGAGCTCGGCAGATCCTGGTGACAAGGAAGATCTTCCTTTTAAGCACACTACAGTTGTTGCTTGACTTGTTGGATGCTATTACGCCCCAGTCACGATCAAGCCACCAGAAGGTACCATTCAACATGGAACAGAAACATCCCGTTCAGGATGACTTGACGAACTACTTCTGGATCGATTAACTACTTCTGAATCGATTTACTACTTCTGGATCGATCAAAATCGTACGTCGGCACTTAATGAGTGGGCTGACACTTGTTGGCAGACTTGGTGACGGTCTTCATCACGGTCTTGGTGATGTTCTTGGTCAGCTTGTGAACCTTGGGCTTGGGACACTTTTGCTCGGGACACTGGGGCTTGAGCTTGGAAATGTCCTCGGGAGACTCAGCCACAGCCGGAGCAGAGTTGTCGACAGGAACAGCCTGGTTGGCAGCAACAAGGGTGACAAGAGAGATAAGGGCAAGGTTCTTGAACAGCATGGCGAATCACGAGATAAACTGGTGGTGGTTGTTTGTTGGGTAGACTCCACCAGACATCAGTCCGTGTTTATATACTCCCGAGAGCTGTAGTTCTCGCACTCCACTCCTTCTCATTCACCTTGTACTGGCTTGCTACTGTACGCATAAAAAGGCTCTGTGGTAAGAACAGTATGAATTCATATCGCACTGCCTATCTCGGACCATATACTAGCTTCTTTCATGTTGTAATGAAATTAATCGCAACATAAAGTAGCTGATCTGGTATCCAGAAGATGTGCATAGATTGACTGACTGGTATCTCTACGTGAATACTAGTAGCAGTAGTTTTATGAGGCAAATGTGGTGATATGGGGACAAGTGTGTAATATGACTTCATTAAAAGATATTATATAGTACTTGGAACACCGTACAATATCCAACAGACAATGTAGAGGATTCCACATTGTTAATGCTGACAGTTGGTTTCACACCTACCACCATGATAAAAGACAGTCACATTCATGCCATATTATTGAGTCAACTATACTTTCAGATTCGTACAACTATTCCTTTGTTTCATTCAACTATACCCTCCGTTTCATCCTCTGAAATCTGTCTCTCAAAGTCATTCTGTCGTTACTGATTAGTCATAATTTCTACCGAATATAGACTCCTCGGACCTCCTTCCGTTCGACCGCGTCCCGGTGGCCGAGTGGTTAAGGCGTTGCCCTGCTAATTTGTTAGCTGTTAGGCAGTGGGTTTTGCCCGCGCAGGTTCGAATCCTGTCCGTGACGATTTTTTTGGTATTTTTTACGATAAATACGAGTCTTCTGTTTCTTATTAAAATTGTCAATTCACCGTTAATTACCCATCTACCTCCTCGGATGATTGTCTTCTGTTTTTGTTTTTATTTATTATTTTTATTATTATTATTCTTATCATTATTTTTATTATTATTTTATTTTTTCAGATCAAAGTTCGACTTCAACATCCACAACCCTTCAACAAACACAATGGTGAACGGCCTGAATCTCTCGGCAACGCTCAACACGTTCAAACTGCTGTTCAACCCGTCGCTGATCAAGCCCCACGTGACCGTCAGCAACTTCAGCCAGCTGCCGGTACCTATTCCCGGCAAAAACGGCGCCCAGATCAAGGCAGTCATTCTCGATAAAGACAACTGCTTTGCGGTGGACGGCGCAGATCACGTGTTTGAACAGTATCATGACAAGATGGACGAGCTCAAAAAGCAGTACCCGGGCAAACTGCAGCTGCTGGTTGTGTCCAACTCCGCCGGTACCAATGACGACACAGACTTCAAGGACGCCCAACGAGTGGAGCAAAACACCGGACTCGAGGTGTACAGACACGCGGTCAAAAAGCCGGGGTGCCACGAGGACCTGGTAGCATACCTGAAAAAGAACAAGGTCATTGATCAGCCATCCGAAGTGGCAGTGGTGGGAGATCGTCTGTTGACAGATGTGGTGATGGCTAACCAGATTGGAGGCACTGGAGTGTGGCTGAGTGAAGGAGTCGAGAAGAGCAACAAGCTGCCTGTCAGATTCGAGCGACTGCTGTACAATTTCATGCAGTAGAGTGCGGGCAGAAGATCTTGAATTGAACAATCGCAGATGTGTCTTGCTTCTGGAACATTGGAACTATCGCAGATGCGTCTTCTACAGGAACATTGGTTCTATGCGCAATTCACAAACATTTCCGGGCAGAGCTATGTCTCATACATCCCTGGAGATATATGCCTTTTGCATTTCCAACCCCCTGATGCTCCATACACCACCATTACACCACAACATTTGAGATTATTCTCGACAGACGCCTTTTCCATGAGATACGTCCTAGGATCTCAAGCATCCGAAAAAGTATACATCAATTGACTAATCGCAACGCCCCTACCACCCACAGTATGTACCGTACACACGCTGCAATGACGACGGTGGGAAACATGAAGTAAAAGCAAAATGTATCACAAAAAAGATACCTACAGACAAGCTGTAGCATTGCGAATTCTGTGGATCGAACACAGGACCTCCAGATTACTTGACTGAGATATTACTTCAGTCTGGCGCTCTCCCATCTGAGCTAAATCCGCTGTGAGACCAAGGATGGTAGATGATGCACTTGTGCTGAAAATGAGGCGAAAAACGCGGGAAAAGCGAAAGGAACACTACAAGGGGTGGAAATTGATGACATGGTGAATATTGACATGTTTGGTATGTTTTGCCAAGTCTCACTATCGACTTTGTGGTGTATTTTCTCTGGGTCTAAAGTTTTCCATACCGTGAGGATCTAATTGAAAACCCCTTCTCTTCTCAATATTTCATCTTTGACTCTACCATTGGGGAGTTCATTGCTGGTTAATATATATATTGTTCCACGCTTTCCCGTTTTGTCGCTACATGGTCTGGACGACTACAGTATAAACAGTAGTTCAGGATTGAGGACAGTATCTATATACTTGCATATAGATCCTCTTCTGAGAGAGATTCTTGACAGAATTTCAAGTTTGACCATTCCAATTGTGCTTATTGCGGTTGTTTCGCCACTATTCTACTCCAACGACGTTCTGATTTGTAGAACACGATAGATTGTACTATTTTTGAAGAGAGCACTACATACTGTACAGTATAGTAGTTAATTAAATAGTTGTACAAGTACAAGTAATAAACCTCCCATAGACAGGGTTGAGTTGACGAGGTCTTCTTTGAGATATTTCCACGATAGATAGATCTCTCAATTTGCCAGATTCCATATACTTACACTCGTACAATATACACCCACATTGTCTCCCGTAAACGACACGACTTGACCAAACTTGCGACCAGAGCTCAAAAGTTGCCTTAAAAACACCGTCTGTATCCAATTAAATATAACATTCAAGTACCGGCTCTCATATTGCCAAAATTGGGCAACTTCTAGATGATAAAAGCCAGTGCGTATCTCTCATGCCCTCTCCACAAGGTATCTCTACAAGCGGTATGGCGCAGCGGAAGCGCGCAGGGCTCATAACCCTGATGTCCCTGGATCGAAACCAGGTACCGCTATTCTTTTTACTTTCGTTGAATAGGTTCCTTTTTCTGTGTTTTTGGTCGAGTTCTCTGTGGTGTATTTCTGCAATGGCTCCAATCATGTGCCTGAAGGACAGTATGTACTGTACAGTAATTTTGAGATGGAACAGTGATAATGGCATCATGAACTACGAGTAATACATGAACGTACTGTATGGTAATTACGAAAAACTAGCCTCTAAACCACTTTTTGAGTTATTTATACAGTATATAATGTCTTGAGAGGTACCACTTTTGTTCAAGCCTTGACGGCATACGCACGCGCTTCGTAGTCGGCCTCTTTCTTGGCTTTCTGAATCGACGACTTGTGTGTAGTCCATACTGCCAACAGACCGATAAGCAACTGGAAGGTAAAGGTGGTCCAGATCATACCCTTGATACGTCCTCCAACGGCAGAGGTGACGGCTCCAGCACTCGAGCTCTCAATGAAGATTGTGCCCACGAGCGTGGAGACATGGAACCAAATGGTACAGACACTCCAGGTGAGAAAAGCGCAGATAGAGGTCCACATCATCATGATACCGGCTTGAGTGGCTCCAGGAATAAAGGCGAAAATGCTCCAGAGGACAAAGACAAAAACCAGAACGTCGAGCACCAGAGTGACGACTGGGAGGCTAGGATGAACAATGTCCCCTGTGAACTGGGTAGCCAGCTGAATAAGCCCTAGGGCAGAGGAGTTGGTACCAGACTGAGTGATACTCAGACTGGGGAACATGTCTTCGAGGGCAGTCAGGTTGCCTCTAGAGACACACTCGGTAGCGTTGCTAACAGTGGCACATGCACCGAAGAAGCCAGACCGAGCTTTCAAGTAAGCCAGGTCGGTTGCATTGGACTGCTTGAAGGAGCTCTTGATGGCGTCAAAAAACACCGAGTCCTGGTTGTAGGAGTATTCAACAAGATAGACGTTGGAGAATGACGCAGACTTGTTGATACAACCCATGAAGATGAAGGTGGCTAGAAAGATGTTGATCACGAGAAATACCAGAATGAAGAATCTCGGCAACTTGGAAATTACGCCTGCGCAAAACATTGTATGTGATTTTGTAGAGGTGGCTGTGAAAAGGTGGTTGTGAAAAGGTGGTAGTGAAAAGATGGCTGTGTGAAGCTGTTCTTGGTCTATGACAAGTGGCGGTGTTTAAGGAAGTGTAGAAGTCATTATGAAGCATCAAACCAGCATATTAAATACTTCTCGAGGCTCAAGCAGTCTCCTGACCTCTTCTCTACACCTTCATATTCCGAAACCAAACTTGCATCTCTCGTGCAAGCCCCTATGAACCGCTAGTCATGTCGCTATAGCGGACAAGGCAAATTATTGGGGCTGTCGCATCTAGAAGGATTATCGAGGTGCTATGGTTTCTCAATCCGGTAATATCAATGTGAGGTTGGATGTGAGACTGAGTGAGTTTGAGTGAGGCTGCATGTGAGGCCGAATGTTAGTTCGGCATCAAATGGGATACCTACTAGCACTCTATCCATTCTGTAGTGGTAGTCTTAAGTGTATCCATGTCTGGCTGAGTCTAGTTGGTAAAAGAATATATTCCCATTACTTTTATTATAACATAATCCATACATATAATTTATCCAGTATTCTTACAAAATATTTTTTCAATAAACTTTTCTTGTCTGTGATCTGGCCGCCCTCATTACTACGCTATCACAATTGACAAGGGGTTGTGAAAGCCACTCAGCATCAACTGACCCATCCCGCCAACTTAACGATAATTTAATCCACTCTCCAATCCTCCTTCAGCTTTCTTCGGTGGGCTCACAGTCGATTATGGTGGGTCCTCAGATAGCCGGCGATGAGGTCTCCATGGGTTTTCACGTCAGTGTAGTTCAGATAGGATCGTGGTCCCCTAAAATCACCTGTTATCCTTTCTCCTATATACCATCAGCGATAGTACTGATCGTTGGGCAGATCTCGGGGGTATGTGATGTACTGCTAAGGTGCTATAAGCCAGATTGTGAGTGGGCCTCGTCCTCTGAAGGAGCCTCGGGGAGGCGGGCAGACGAGCCAAGGTGGGTGTTTGGAATCGTTTTGGCAATAGTTTTCCGTGGGACTTTCTTTGGCATGTGGATCGACTGTCTTTTCAGCTAATCTTACGTGGGTTTGAAAGGTAACTTCTGTCTACAGTCCTCAACACCCTGCTACCGTGGTCTTCCAAATCGATCCCCCTGAGCACCCTACAAGAAGTCGACCTTGCCCTCGTTCCAAGCTGGAGCGAGCTATCGACTAAATGTCTCCCGACAGGAGTAGCTGGCTCTGCTGATTGACTTAAAGGCCCAAGCTCGGTGAGCAGATAACATCATCATTCCGCGTCCTGAGATTCTGAACCAAATCATTGAATTTTAGGTAAGAGGAAAGATTTGCAAAGATTTGAGAAAATCTGAATGGTTAGAAAGATATTTTAGTAACCATTATACCCAGTAATTCGCGACCAAGAGAATAGAATTTACCAACAGCTCATCGCCGACTTGTACCTAAACAGTGTCTCGATTATGCACGCTCTTGCATTATCTCAACCTTATGTATTGATAACCCAGACCTAAACTGTACAATACAACACAAACAATATATAGGATAAGTAAATATATCCTGGGAATGTACATCGTATATATCTTATATGTTTTCTTCCTATTACAGTAAAACTACTAACAAAATATAAAAATTAAGGTGAAAAGTACCAACATTAAAAACTGTACTTGGGATGACAACAGAATCTGTGTCACCTTAGCTTATCTTGAAAATGTTTGTAGCCTCCAATTCTTGTTCCTCTTCTCTTCTCACTTTACGGCATTATCGACTATATCATTCACAAACCTTTACGACACCATTACGACATCATTATGACACATCTTCTACGACCCGGATGAAACGGCATCGACTTTCTCCTCTCCATTCATTTCAGGTGGGCATTTCTGTGAGTTTTCAGTACTGCTAGCTCCTTGAGTCTGTGTCACTTCATGTAAGCAATCAAAGAGACATTTGCTTTTTTTCCATGGACGCCATTGAACACACTCTCAGAGTCCACTTTATCGGGAAGATCGAGAACTGAACGACCATGAAGAACCAAAATATCAGACATGATCTTAAGAGCTTCAACCTTGAACTCAGCCTCGCCCTTGTGAACACAGTGTCCGAAAACCATGAGATTGTCCGACGCTTGTTCACGAGATAACAGAGAAAGAAGACCCAGGCATCGTAGACCCCGTTCACGGATTGTAATCACATGAGAGCGAACTGAGGGAAGAACCAAAGAATCTAGTAGACCGCTCAGCTCGACATTCGACTCCAGAGACGTCTCCACCTGCTCAAGCACCGTCTGTGTGATAGCCAGACACCGCAAAGTGGTACAAAGCACTCTGTCTGGGTCTTCAGACTCACGTGCAATGTCTTCGATATCCACCACGATTTCAACCAGCACCTGGATGAAGTCTCGCTCTCGGGTGCACAGTACTGCTGAAGGTAGCCTTGGTCCCCTCCACTTGGCACATCGTGCCGGTAGAGGACCCACTCAGTAAGGTGATTACATAGCCAGGGCTGGACAGGAAATGACGCAGTGTTGGGGTGGTGGAAAGTTCCTCCCATTTCCTATAGAGCAGCCTCGTGGTCCGTTCCTTGGAGTTTACCCGGATCAGAGTCGTCTCAGCTTTTGAATAGTGCGAAACGTCGAGAGACTGGATTAGGAAGGGAATCCCCGTCCCTCTAGTGTCTCATATTCGTTCTCAGAAGAATGCTTGAGGCGGTGGATTTTGCAAGACCACCGGAAACTGGAATCCACTCTCCGGAGCCTCACGTGGTCAAGGTCTGACGCTTCTTTCCAGTGATGCAAGTAAGTCTCGGGTGCCCTCAAGTGCTTTTTTTTTTTCGGCTCTTTTGCGGTAACGGCTCTTACAATGAACAAAACACACTTTGTGTGAGGGGTGACAGATTATTGCGGTGTGGGCTCTATGTGGATTTTTCATTAATTTTTTATGCGCGTTCTTCGCAACAGGGCAGGGCTGCCCTGCTAAGACCAAACCCATGACAACAGTAGCATTGAAACACCAACAGTGGAGGCTGAAGTGTAAAAAATTGCAACTTGTTTTTCATCTGAGGCCGAAATTCTCGATGAATGGATCACTAGTGTAGAAGAAGTAGCGATAATATTATAATCCCAATTATGATGAACGTGATTTACTCTCCACCGCCGACCCTACAGCTGAAAAAGACGTCTTTGAGTACTGGTGATGGGGTCTTGATACCAGGAAAGATAGACACCCTGGGGCTCCGTCCTATGTGCTCTCGTCTTTTTCGCAAGAATGAGACTAAAAACTTCCATCTGTTCGTGTTGTTATGGCGAGAGACAAGACGGTAAAGTATCCTTATGTTCGCAACCACGAGACTATTCTTTCCACAGAGAGAGGTGGTCTCTTTCCAGCTGTGTCAGCCCTCTACCTAATGGCGAATCTCCTGTCGCCCGTGCCTCTGGAGATATTCGGAAGATTAAGAAGGTCCATGACGAGCGGCAGTCCGAGGACTGGCTCCTTGGGGTCCTTCAACTTCTCTCAACTCGCCTTTTTCATTGTAGACAAGGTGAGAAAGGCTGGTCCCAGGCGAAATTATCGAGCCGTATCTCGAGTGCCACGCCCTTGGATGAGACTGGAGAAGAAGCAATTCAGTTAACAAGGACGATGAGTCCCTCTTCCTGGTCTACGGATATGCCAGTCCTTCGCTCGGGTTCTTAAGAAGTAGTACGCACGGCTTCTCTTAACGATTGTTTCTACTTCTTCCCGACCACAGATTACGAGGTCCCACGGTGGTGCTAGTGTCTTCCTCCCACCCCAAGCCGAAACACCCCCAATGCGCTTTCTGACACCACGGCCACATCTTCCCTCAGGAAGACTTGGATCCCCTCTCCCCACCAAATATTGCCTAGCAGAGTCCTGAAAGGTTGTATCATCTTTCCAGGAGACACCCCGTTCTGAGGAACATCCTACTGGTTTCAAGAAGTTACGAGAATCCAGGGTGCTGTAATTATAATTTTGGTCCTTCTCATAGATTCTGGCTTTTCACGCTTTTGTATCACATTCCTTGGCTTTTGGAAGCGTTTCTCTGTATTTTTTTTTTTTTTCTGCATATACATTCTATATGTCTGCTCCGTGACATTTATATTTTCTGAAAAATTAACAAATATAAGTAAATAACTATATCGAAATTTAAATAGCGCTACATAGGAACAACATAAATCGAACGACAGCAAAGGTAAAGCACAGTGCAAAAATACTGGACGTGAACGCCATAATTAGTCCCTCAATGGGAGGGATAAAAAAGAAGGTCGTACCCGGAATCGAACCGGGGTTACTGGAAATCGAAGAATGCTTCAGAATCCAAGGTGATAACCGCTACACTATACAACCGCGGATGTGACTTGTTAGAACACAGGCCCGGACTTCGGTTGGTTTGACTGGTAATACTGGCGACCAATAACCCGGCTTACTAGGTATATAGCTGTAATGAATCATTAGAATAAAAAAAAAAAAAGCGGTGCAACCAAAATAGCCCATGCACGGATGTTCTGCGTCGTGTACAGATTCAGATAATATGTGCTATCCTGACTTGTGGTGGTCGAGATATGGTCGAAGATCTTTTCAGGTCTGATGCCTGAGGCTCAGGATGGATTGTGGTGGTTCAATGGTGTCGAGATTCAAGGGAAAGAGATTCTCTTCGAGTAAACAGGAAACTGGAGTTATTACAATTGACTTGATACTGGGAATTATTCTTTTCTGCCAAACATACGGGACTGCTTGATCGTAGCTGACGAGATGGAAAGTGCAGTATGGACGGTATGCAACACCTGTATAGAGGTAGCAGGCGTCTGAAAGGACATACGGAGTTCACCCTGGTTCCAATATCCAGGTCTACGGACATCAAAAGTATTCTTTGTGACAACAACCAGAGTACATTCTCGGCCAACAGACACTATGTACAAGGTACTACTCCAAGCTCATTCTTCATGGTGAGCACACCGCGGAGCCCAACCACAGTAACATACATGAGAGCCTCATTCAATTAACGACTCTTTTTCAAACTCCTAATAGACACCCTTCATTATTGATGGCTAGTCAAGTTATTTGTACTGTATCTTCACTGTGTACTTGGAAGTATATACTGTAGCTAGAGAGTACCGTGAGCAGTCCTATGAACACTCTGCCAACCACATTTCATGATGATCTACAATCTTTTGTATCTCATGGTGCTCTTCAGAACTCTGAGACTCTGACTTGCTCGTCCTCCATGTCCAAATTTCAAGTTTCCTCTGAATAGTGCAATGGAGTTGGGTAAGGGGTCAAGGAGGTGCCTGACAGATGAGCTGGAATAGCTGACTGTTACAGTTGACAATAGTCGTATTGTACCGATTCGTATACTTCGATGGCTATCAAATTCAACAGCCGATAGATCTCCAGTTAGGTGCAAAGGATGAATAGTTCCTCGACTGAGGCATTCACTGCATATTGGTTCGATTCTCTCAGTGCACAAACAATTTTGATGTCGTAAAAGGCCACGATTGTTCATCCTATTAGAGTAGAACGTACAGCCCAGTTCCATTATAGGCTTATAAATCACTTGCAACTCCTTAATAATGTTCGTCCTTCCTAAGGATTTCATCATCTCCAACAGGATTGTTCAAACTGGTTGCGGTCTCGACCATGCGACCAGAGATCTATTCTTCACACAAATCAATGTGTAAGTTGAATCAGGCTCATTATTACAAGCCCGCATTCTTCTAATATCAAAACCCTCATCAATCACCAACAGGGGTCTCTTAGTATCTTGTCAGATCCTCATGCTCTCTTTTATGTCTGACGCGGATATCGAATGCAAGCCGCCCCTTCTGAATCGTGATTGTAACCGTCTGATAAAAGGAGATAAGTGGATTGGAGGTGGCACAAGTGGCACTTGTTCTCCTCGTTCTTATAGCTACCACACGCACAGGACATTCCTCTACGATGCCATTTTTGTATTCCATGCTTCCTCGTACTTGTGGCATGAGAACTCGATCCGCTGGGTGGTTGTCGTGGATCAGTTGTTGATGTGAACGTCTTGTGGAAAGTTCTAACCCAAGCGAAGTAAGAGTTCCCACCGCCTTCAGGGCTCTTGTAGGTGTTTGAAAAGTTCTGTAAATACTTTTCCAATAAGTCAACCGAGCTGAATGTCTCCAATCGAGGTAGAAGGTGCGGTGCAGAAGCTCTGTCATCCACATGCCTTGTCAATAGCATCCATTTCTTCATCAGGTTACCCTGCATCTCTGGCCAGTTGCACAAGTGAAAACGGTTCATCGAAATCAGGATCTGTAAAAAACTTGTGATCATGATCCTACTTGTCTCACCGTTGATTATCGGAGGTCCTCCAAACAGTCTCTGAAAACGAGGAGCCCATCACATAGACTTTCAGGGCTTACCATTGCTGTCCTTCCAAATGCAATTCCACCTCTCATGCCGAGACCCCGTCATCACTTTGCTAGGTCTTATTCTCCTTCTTCCATTTAAAAAAGGTTGCCTGAATTGAAACCCCCTGTCCGCTGCGCTGAGAGTTGAGCCGTCTGACCTCCAAGCGTCGAGTCTGACGGCTCGGGGGAACATGGTAGCCTTCTGTGGGTACTCGCCCGTGCTGGTCCCGTCGAGTCTGTTCAATCAAAGCAGATATTCCAGGGGTAAGATTGGAGAGGTCGGTTTTGTGGTTGTGAGGTATGTTGTAGATTCGTAGCTCTGTTCTGCCGAGGTCCGGGTGGTGAAAGTGATTAGACATAGGGTAAACATGAAAATCGACTCGGTATGGGCGGCGGTTCCCAACAGCATCGCATCGCTCTCTCGCTGTGATCTTTCACTTTGCGTGATCATATCAATTCAAAAGCAAACTCACACTCAGCTGCAAATTCGTTGATTTCGTCTTATCGCATCACAAATGTCTTACTGAGCACACCATCGACTCTTTCGGCACCTCCAATCCAGGCTCTTTGTTGGTTCTTTCCATTCGTGAGCGGTTCTGTGAGTGACACGTGACTGAACTGCAAGAGGCGTTGAATGATGACGTGTTTGAAGTTTGAGAGAAGGTGCTTATGACTGTTCGGGAAGGAACATTCTGTAACAATTAGGGCTGATTTTGGGGTCTGAGCATAACTACTTATCACGACTTGAATCTTCCCGATTATGCAGGTGAGTTTTTGTAGAAACCTTAATTTTTCATTTTGATAAGAAAAATATAAAAAATATATAAAAAATATATAAAATATATTGCTCTATTGACGAGGAAGGGGTTGTATCCTGGGATTATATCAATTGTACTAACATCTGAAAGTGGTTTTTTGGTTTGAAAAAAATGCCAATTATGGCGAAAAGGGCCATTGTTCAAACCTTTAACATAATCCCGAGATCTCATCCACCATGACAACTGTAGACTAGCGGAAAAACGCCATCAGAACTGGAAGACGTCCAACTTGTGTAAACTGTTTTTGAAAGTGCCAAATTGGAGTTCGCGACTGTGAACATGGTCAGAAAGTCGTTTTATACACCCAAGTTGGACTGCTTGAGGGTGGTTATGTGGCTGCTAGAGGGTGGACGTGACTGCTAGAGGGTGGAAATGGCGTAATCGGAGATTCTGTCACCAACCAAAGATATGACAAAAAGACAGAAAACGCCTAGGAAAAACAATAACAACATCTGCTTGACAAAAAGTGATTTCTGGCAGGATCGAACTGCCGACGTTCTGCGTGTTAAGCAGATGCCATGACCAACTAGACCAAGAAACCAGGAGTTATGTTTTGCAACATCTTTGGAACTAGAATTTCCGAAACTTGTGAATTTTCTTCGCGAAAAATCGAAATCCAAATGAGTATTCTCGTTGTGATTTCAACAAAATATTTTTTTAGTGGGGACTGCAAGGGTCAGAAAATCGGATCCAGCACTCAATTTGCATTTCACGTGATATTCAGCTGGTCCTGACTAAGCAGATCTCATCCATTGGAGGCCAGAATTCTCGTTGCAAACATATCACTGATGTGGTGGCTCAATGGTAGAGCTTTCGACTCCAGTCAACTTGGTTGTAATCGAAGGGTTGCAGGTTCAATTCCTGTCCATGTCATGTTCTACGAGAACTGACAGTGGAGGAACATATGTGGGTTTGATTCCCATAGCTTCTAGCTGATCAGTGATTTTTTTGTCTGGAAACACACCCTACTCACTTAGTTTTGGAATGAGTAGCTTTTTACTACGTCCCCCGTCGTTCTCATCTCATTCACTGTACACACCATCATTTCACACTGTTAACTGTCCAAGCTGGCACATCTAAGTAGAATCTCCAACTCCTGAACGTCTCCGTCGTTCTGAAGCAGGTGATCCAAATACTCCTCCGATGGATTTCCCACCAAAATGTCAACTCCCTGTTCCTCCGGTTGATACACAACTTCCGGACTTCGTTCGGGTACCGGATACAGCACAGGGCGCACGCCGATGAGTGAAGCCAGATCTGCCTCGTGGTACTGGATGACTTGGAGAGCGTGTAGATGGGTTCTGGGATCTTTCCGGAACGATTCCACAGCCCATCCTACCGCCCTTACCATGTCGTGGATACTGTATTGAATGAAGGGCGAGGGGAAGATATCGATGAAGAACGTTCTCATGACCCGGATGTTTCTGTCCATGGTGATCCTAAACGAGTTGAAGAACATCTGGAGCAGCTGGTTAGGGGCCAATCTCGTGGTAAGAGCAGTGGGATGATGGGTCAGGGCGTAATACAACTCGTGTAGATACCGCTCGTATTCATGGGGATGGAGGGTGGTGCCGTAGATGTAGTCTGATCGAGCGAGGGATCTTTGAGCCAGTTCTTTGCTGAGGGACATGTCCAGTGGAGTTGACACGAGACGTTAGATGATATCGAGCAAGTGTAAAACACACAGCACAGGTTGTTATAATGACAAGTTGGTGGATAGAGTGGCACAATTAGACTAAGTGTTGTAGATGGTATATCGGAGAAGAACCAAAGTACCGTTCATTGCTGAAATTACCAATCTGTTTAAAAAAGCAATTTCATTGCGCGTCTTGGTCTCAAATTCACGAAAGTCTCTACACCATCTACACAAATTATCTGATTATATTCCCCTAACTCCGCTAATCTCCGCTAATCTCCGAAAGACCAGATTTTGTCTCCCTGGTTTGTAGGACCCAGGAGATTCGATTTATTTCACAGATTGTAAATAAAAAAAAGCTCATATAACAGCCCTCTTTATTATGCCGGTCTTTATAACCATTTAATGTCAATATTGTACCTGTACGCTGTTGTCACGGGACACTTGCTGTTACTCTTCACTACGGTCAACGAACAAGACTCTTGTAGTTAATTTTTTCACTTCTGGAAACCCCGAGTTCGTAACGCTGCATTTATCTCTTCAACCCTCGTCTCCTCCTACTGCTGGAGAGGTGTCCATCAACCAGTTTTACATGCCCACCAAGCCCGATAACGTGGTCTTCTGCTTTCTTGGGGCTAGAACAACGGCTTCTGCTCCAACGATATCCCTTGGTATAGTACAGTACATCAACATCTCCGACAAGCAGGTCCACTGCTCATACTTTTCCGAAACATCGGCTTTGGTGGTTCACAGTGGCGGATTTATCTGATCTTTCGTTTGTTTCTTTCCTCCAGGATACCTGAAGGCCCGACTCAACTGTCCCTGAATCGATCTCCAGAATATATGTACAGGGAGGCGGAATACACCAGAATTATCGACATTGAGACAGATGTATCTGCTTCTTAGAACCCAGTTTTGAAAGGCTCTGTTGGCATTGTCCTACTACCCAGATCTGAAGAAGTTTGACTGTCTATGGAGATGGGAAACGGGAAGTGAGAAAGACAATGAGGTGATTAGATGGTATCGTACGGCATCCTTGGGCGGCTGTATATCCAATGATTCATTCTAGTTCAGGTAAGGTACAAGTATCTCTTTGGCTCACTTCTAGGACATCGGATGGGAGTGTCAGTTGATGCTAAAGCGCTACTACCACAGAATATAATACAGAAATGGTTTCAACATATATATCTTGAGACTAACAAACACTTCACCACCTCACTTCAACACCTCACTTCACCACACACCCCAAAACTACAAGTAAAGGAACCTACCACATCTGAAACTGTTCAGGAGAAGTTGCAAAAAGAGCAAAAAAGAATAACAGCAGTGGCAAAAAGACTGCGAATTCTGTGGATCGAACACAGGACCTCCAGATTTCAGGACCGAAGAGAGACTTCAGTCTGGCGCTCTCCCATCTGAGCTAAATCCGCTGTGGAATTTCGAGGATAAGGAGGGATATATGTCTTGTGAGGAGGGTTTGAGGGAAACAAAAGGAGAAATATTGTGCTAATTATGATGATAGAAACGTATATATACCCCTAGATTAATAGGTGATATCATTGGTAGGTTTAATTTGACCTTACAGGTCGCTAGTGTAGTTCCATCAACCAAGCTCGTGTCTGTCCGAGTGTATAAGAAGGAGGCAGCATAGCTGCTAATTTTATACCTTCTAGGGCCTTCATAAAGTACCATTGGTATTTTTGAATGACTTGCCTTGTGGGTTATTACTTGAAAAAGCGGGTCTTTTCAATTGTGCTTTCTTCATTGTTACAATCGAGCTAGATCGCCATACAGCATGATCCGGCTGATGACCCATGTATCTGTCGTAGTCCATTCTCAGTAAACAACTCATCTTCGTAACTTTTGCTCTCTTAGTCCCCATAACTCCCGTATCCATGGAAAACAGACTGAGTTCGACCCTGAGGCTCCTGATGAGACGCATCAAACGACGTTTCAGGCACAACCGTAGAAGGAGGCTTGTAGTTTCTGTGAAAGGCGTTGTAAATACCCTCGGTGAGCTTTTTTCTGAGCTTCTGGAGACGACTGGGCCTTTGAGAGGTTTCTGCAGAAATGTGGGACCATTGGAAGGCACTCTGGCTTGAGAGCGTTTTGGACCCAAATTCGTCTCGCAGCAACTTTCTGGGTATGAAATGAGGCTGGGAAACGGCAAAGTAGCCATTGAAATGCTGCGAGTTGTGGTAACTGTTGCCGGACGATCTCAGATGCGCCTGTGGTGGTTCCTGGACCGATGAACTTGCCTTGGGGGTTCTCATTAGATCAGGAGCAGCCTTGGAATAATATTTGTCGTATTGATGGTCCCCAAAGGCTTCAGGGACTGGACTAAGGCACTGTTCCACCTTTCAAGACCCGATAATCTCCAGTTCCATGTCCTGGTCCTCCTCATGGGCCTTTTAGTCCAGGCAGCTGTTCGGTCTGGCGGCTGACTCTGCGAACTCGCCCTGATTCGCGTTGGAAGTCGACTTCTTGCGCGATTTGGTGTCGAAGATATATACTTCATTGTATGCAAAGGCCACACTGGCTCCGAGCACGAAAAACAGCAGACTGGTGCTGAGGTGGCGGTTTGAAATGTCCTGTTTCTCCTATCGCGTTGAATACCTCGAGACAGGGCCGATTCTGGTTAGCCGTCAGAGAGCCGTGTAGAGGTAGATCGAGAGCGCCTTTGTTGCCCAAAAAGTCAGCTATTGGGCCTGCTGGAGCGGAAAGTCGTCTCTATCGCTGACATCTCTACGTTTTATGCCATCTTCATCTTGTTTAGCCAAGCGTCCATCTGGTGGGGATACTCCGCGGTATCGGAAGAGTTGTCAAGTACTGTACAGATTCGCACATTCCTTAGTGGATCACCCATACATTATGGAATCGGTTCCTTGACTTTCGGAGCCTCGACTGACCCAAAATCCTTCGAAATTTCCGACCAGATCTTCGTAGGTCCAGGCAGCTGCTTGAGAACATTTTTTTTGCTGTGGTCCCTTTCATGAACCATTGGCACTTGTCGCACAACCTCGTATACTCTCTCATCTCCTTGATCATTCTTGACCAATAGCAGATTATGGGACAATCTAACAAACGACCTGCAGTATCCAAAATGTCTTGCTGACGGTGTGTCGTGTGCTTCCAGTTTCATCCGCTCTCTTGTTTCTACTGCGGGGCCTGAAAGTCACAAAATTGTTGGTTTGTTTTTTATTTTTTTCTTAATTTTTTTTATTTTTTTATTTTTTTATTTTTTTTAGATTCGTGTTTATCATTTTAAATAATTTAGGAAACTAAACGTTTTTATAAACAAAAATCTAATGTTCATTTTTATTCAAGGGAAGTACATTTCAGCCAATTGAGGCCTGTTATAGCCCCAAAGTTGTTAAAAAGAACGCATGACATTCGTGCTCGCTTGTCGATGTATTCTTTCTGTGTTTTTTCTTTTTGTTTTTTTTTTTCTGTTTCATTTCTTGACTGGCTGTTTTTTTGTTTTTTTTTCTTTATTCTAATGATTCTTTTAAAGAAACGCGTTTTTCGCGTTCTTGAGCCTGGGTGAGAGCAAATATCTTATTCACGTGGCCCGATGGTTTAGTGGTATAATTCTCGCTTAGGGTGTTCCTGAGCAATTTGCGAGAGGTCCCGGGTTCAATTCCCGGTTGGGCCCATTTCTTTTTGTTTCAGATCCCATTTCAAACATATGTTTTGTTGCACATCCTTTGGGTATGCGTTCGTCAAACAGGTTTTGTAAAAAGAAGCTGTGAAAATTCCGAACCTTAATCGGGTTTTCCTTAATTATTTTTTACATGTCCTCATTCTCTTGTAACAGGTACAACACTTGTATTTGTACAAGTGGCTGAACAATACTGAGGACTGGGGAAGTAATCAGAGAACATGTTTCCATCGTTTTTCCTGCGTTTCAAGCATTTTTTTTACTCTAATGAGCAGCTTATAGGCAACAATTCACATGGTAAAGACTACATTTTCGGTTTTCTCAACAAAGCCTGGCTAGCTCAATCGGTAGAGCGTGAGACTCTTATTCCAAGGTCATCTCAAGGCTGTGGGTTCAAGCCCCACGTCGGGCTTTCTTTTTCATATCCTTGCTGGCTCTCAGCATGACACTAATTTTTTTTTTCACTTTTTTTTTTTTTTTTTCAGCACGAAAACTTAATATTCAGAGTGGGTTCAGTGCCAAGACGTGGGAGATTAAAAGGAGACACAAACTGTTGAGCTCAGAGTGAGTAAAGATGCCATACAAGTTACTAAATCTATATATGACGGATAATCCTGGATTATGGATCATTCAACACCTTTTTTTTTTAGAAAAAACCTCCAAAATATTTAACGTTTCAGCTCATCTCGTTTAGCGGAAGTTTAACGCAAAAAATGGAGGAAAAAAAATGCTGACCAAGACAATGCTGAGACGGCGGTAAAAAGTCTCGCGAAATACAGACGAAAAGGGAGAATGCGATCAAAAAGAAACTCCGCAACGGAGAATTGAACTCCGGTCCCCCGCGTGCTGAACAAGTGTCCTGACAGGCGGAAATTCTAGCCACTAAACTATTGCGGAAGGATGACGTTGTAACGGATCGGGGATGGGTCAATCCTCAAGATATCCCTAGGTACGAGCGGAGCAATACACCAATAGTACGAGCTCCGGAAGTCGTATAAACGTAACTTTACTTACATACTTGCGAGTGGTGGCTATGTATACAGGCATCTCAACCCTAACTCTGTAAAGCACGTCACTATCCACGTGCCCTAGCCACGCGATACCAAGTATTCATCCATAATGACACACTCATGACGTCCGGAGGACGTCATCATCGTCCAGTCACGTGCCAAGGCCCATGACTAATCATAACACCTTATGACTAGCTTCTGAATCGTTACAGACGTCTAAGGGTGGGAAAGGGTACAAGAGCAGCGTTTAAGGAAAATATACCGCGAAAAATCCCCAAAAAGTCCCGGAAAAAAGGGAAAAATTGTATTATGACTGTCATACGCTCTTCTGAGAACCCAAGTCTGAGTTCTTTATTCTTGCTTTACTACTGTAGCCCTACCATGATTACAATAGCTGAAATGTAGTTCAATAAGAATAAACAACCCGGAGTATTCTGGTGATTCAGACCATTAATTCCCCATTTTGAATCACTAAATGTTCTTTGTAACAGAACTCTTCTCAATCGTACATCTCAATCGTACAGCTTTGACTCATCAGCCAACCGTCTCCGGCCGTCAGTCCTACTCTGATATCGTCCATATAAGTCTCCTCTTTTCCCATACATATATACAAAACGAGTACACCATATCACTTAAAAGATCACCCAGACTCTCGCTTGATGAACCATACAAGAAGAAAACCGTTATGACAACTATTGTCTTCTAATCTCGCCAATTCCACCCTCCGAGAGGACTATATGCATCCTTGAACGTGACAATCTAGGATGTGCAGCAACGCATAGTTAAGATGAGTGACAAACTGGAGGCGTACCGAGATATGACTGACCCCGCTGATGTCTCCGCTATCAGTTCTAAACAGACTGCTATTGCTGCTGAGTCAGCTCACGTTGAGGCTATCGAGACGTGTATAGTACACTCCACCTCAAAGAGACGCTGCCCGATCTGCCCTATACATCTGCTTCCGTCTCTGATGGGATATGAAAACTGTTTTCGGCTTCGTGCCACCGTACTCAAGGCTGCGAATAGGCGACCGACTGAGGTTTTTAGTTACTAGAATTTATTCAATCGTTGGATCACCCCTAGGGTGAGGAATTTGCCAAGGCTGTAGAACTCCTTTGCTGAGATATTGAGGTCTGCCCCCTGGGCCTAAGTCTTGATCCCTTGACCACCGCGGTGTCTCGGCTCAACGACAATTGCGAGCTTCCTCGTCTTGGTAACGGTCTATACGACCCGATCAGTTGACTTTCTGGACACCATCCCCATCCATTGGTCAGTCTCGGTGAAGAGAAACGCCTCCATGCTCTCTTTCAGTTCATGGACAAGTAACCCTCCTCCGTTCTCCTGTTCAAGCCCAAGGGTAGGAAACGACAGCAAGGTGGCATCTCTTTAAACCAGTCTAACACCAAGACTTTGAGACAGGCAATCCTATTTGTACAGATTTTCCTCGGGTAATGTGGGTGCTAGTCAGAGCGACCATGACACTTGCTCTACTGAACATTTATCACTGCGGGCACATCTTCCAGAAGCAGGCGGGCCACCAGTCCTATTTTTCTCGTGGTCCGAAAAATCCTCATGATCATTCTCCTGATAATATTCCTGATCCACTTCCTCATCTAACTATCCTTCCAAACCAAACAACTCCCTCGCATCTACAAGAACCTTTAGTAGAGCAATTTCGGCGTATAAATCCTGCAGTTTCTTGTCCATGAGGGCACTCATTCGACTGACCATCTCCCCATGTGTTGTTCGACAAGCGAGCGCGTCGGCCTGGGCAGCCATATCGGCGGACAGACCAGATGCAGCAGTGCACTGGTAGGGTTTGCGGCGGTCTCGGGTTTTCGTATTATTTCTGTTGCTTTCGCCGCCATCGTCATGATTCCCAGTTTTAATGTTGTTTCAACTCAAAATAGTTTTTTTTGCATTTAACTTAATTTATTTTAACTGAAATAATAATAAGAAAATGAGGGGCTTGAACCCTTGAGGCGCGAGTTTGCTTCTCATGTGTAAACTCCATATTACGCGAATGAAGAGTAAGATGATGAATTAGAATATGTAGCTGACTGATTTCTACAGTATTGTGACTGTAAGATAATTCTACTAGTTTCGAACCTGCCGACTAAGAGTACAGTACCTAAGCAATTTACGATATCTCCAAGAATTTTAGAATATTTAAGCTATTAACCTTATATATCAAACTATAAGGTTTGTTTACTAAATTGGAAATTAAAACTATAAATGTAATTCCATAACCTTAAATATACCATAAACTTGTAATGCCGCCAATGCTATAAACTTGCCACGTAATCCGGCCACTTAATCATTTATTTTTTGAAGCTTATTCCATTCGGCATAAACTACCGTCGAGATATATTTCTGACTCTTCCATTTGAAAATGCAGGTACTAATGATATGAAAACTTTAGTATGCACTACTTGGAACTCAAAAAGTGACATTGTCAAAATCGGAGTTGAATGGAGTCGAATTCGAGATTTTATATAAGCCCTCTTGAGAGGAGCCCCGCAAAACAAAATTAGACCACAATTTAAGGTCGCATATTAGCTATAGCTTATTTGTCTGCTCGTGTAAAATTTTTTTCTCATATACATTCAATTAATTATAACTTTGCTTTGAGAGAATAACCTTTAAATACCCGCCCAATTTCCTTGTTCTTTAGAATCCTCTATTCATGTTAACCATCATCGCCAAGAACTCGCCAAGGACGTGTTTTGTCTCAAACACTGAAAATGACGGGTTATTTTTTTTTGTCGCCAGCTAAGAAAGAGGCGGCTTGAGTGAGTATTTATCCCTTCTTCCATTCAACTGGCACCACTGCGGAATTTTTGGTACGTTAGCTCGACATTCGATATGACAACATGAAAAACTCCATGGGAATCTCTATTTCGTTACATAAGCTGATGACACTGCAACTACAGTAACTGTTGCCATCACCAACCCCGCTTTTCGACGACGGATACCAACGAAACCATGTGACACAAACACAACACTGAGTGACACAAACACGACACAGACAACCACACAGGACCGGCTTCTTAGGATTCCCACACCTTATCATCTTTCAACCGAGTCTCAGCTGCAAGAAGTGTTACTCCACAGTTGCCAGTGTCATTTACTCTACCAGTCTTCAAATTACTTACTCATATGAGCGTCCAAGGATCTAGTTACTACCAGAGATAGGGCTAGTCATAAACGGGTGCTTCCCAAAGAGCTTTGGGCCAAGCGACTGTATCTTCCGAGGGTGTCAGATAGGCACAGTCAGGCCAGAGTCTCCGGGGGGACATCTCAATTCCAGGGAGGGATTTATGTTGTTTATAGGGAGGGTATGCGTTAACCATGCCCAGGTTCCAATCATACTATGAGCTCAGGGACAGAGTTTCATAGGGAGTGCCCCTGAAAACTCGTGTCTACTGGCAATTTTGGTCTTTAGACACGACGCTACAACCCAGTCAGTTTCAAACCAGCTTGCAATCATCCTTCGGGACCCAAGAGGGGAGTATGATCGCACAGACACGAAACCAGACTAGCGTCACTCACGTTCTCGGCGGAACTGGTTCGTGAGATTTACTCGTTTACTTTTATCGATTATAATTTTGGCACAGGTGATGTTGGGGCATAAGAGATGGTGCTCTTGGTGTATTAAAAACACCGAATGAACTCTTTGAAATCCGCTTTGGCCTGAGTCCAACAAATGGCGGGTTCGGATTCGGTAGAGAAAAACTCTGGCTACTCTGAGTTGAGAAGTCTCAGTTGCGGTCTGAGTTGAGTTATTGTTGCATGTATATTTCGGCGAATGTTTTCTGCCATGCCAAGGAAGACCATAATGGAGACACACAAGGACGGGGGGGCAAGACTCCTCTGAGGAGTTCAGGGCTCAGGTCAGAAACACGAACATTTTCGAGAGCATGACTCTGGATCTCTTTATGACGGTATCTCTGGATCTTTGAGGCATCGAATCATTATGACATTATGGATGGTAGAATGGAGGGAGGGTTAAAAGAGGCTATGATCTTGGCATCAGCAGTACAGAGCCGTTCATGACGTAGAGCAGAGGGTTAAAACCAGAAGGAATTGTCTGGCTCATTTCTGTTCCGTCGCAGTTGGTTTCGGAAGTAATCAAGGTACCAGACAGGAGATTAACAAGCCCTTGACAGAGTCCTTGCCCATAGCCTAAGCTGAGATGATATCGACCGTAAGATCCTTCTTGTCAGACTGAGCTGTAGGGATCTCAGAGGTCTTCAGATCTCGTCCTAAATTGCGGACGTTCACCATTCAAAGTACCTTGGTGCAGTAAAGTCCTCATGGTCAACAGTTCCATCAATCACAGGTCTCCTGGCCTTTATGGGGATGATCAGGGAATCCTGCTGTTGAGAACATGACAAAGGAAAGGGTTGAAGTTTCGTAGCTTTGGTGTGCTGATGGTTTGTCTGACCGGGTCCAACTCCTTCAGACTGTTGGGGAGCTGTGAAGATCTGTCGATGGTCTTTGCCATAATAGTGGTAGCGGAAGTAGTCGGTGAACATTAGAAATCAACCGTTTTGATCGTGTAGAAGACGTAATGAACGCCCCAAGATGAGACCTAGTACTATTGGAAGGCATTGGATACAGATAGAATGATCTATTGTTGGTGGAATCGCAATGATACCATTTACACATGTGATAATAGAACTGCGAGTTAGTTACAGACAATACAATCACCATCAAGAACGGTATCCAATCAGCTGGAAGTACTGGGGGTTGCGGCACTTGGGAGATCCCTGTCGAGCATAGATAGGACCTCCTCCACAAGTGTAAAACTGGTTGACGCCATTCCAGGTGAAAGGCATTACGGCCTCCTGATCTCCAGTGAACTCCCAGTAGTTGTAAACGAAGGGCGGACCCCGTCCGTCTTCAACGGCAAGCTTGCCCTGTCCGTCGACTTCAATGTGCTTTCGCTGCTTTCTCCAGCCTCGCTCATTGATGTTCACGTTGGAGTTGTGGTACTCGACTGTGAAGTCAGGACGCTTGTACTTGTCATCAAGCTCCATGGTCTTGCCCTTGATCTCTATAGGCTGGCTGTGGAGACCAGTTCCGGGGGCAAACGCCTTGAGCTCGTACTGGTAGCCCTTGGACTCGGGATAATTGGGCCCGCCGTTATCGGGTCGGTTGTGGTTTCCCCCCCCAGCCTCCTTTCTGGGCAGTGACAGGAGCAGTCAGGGCAAAAAGGGCAAAGGCAACGTTGGGCTTAATATCTGTCGTGGGTACGTTGTGTGATCAAAAGTAGTTCGCTAATTGTCTGATGTATATAAATACCTGGTCTATGTTTGGCGGGACTGAAGTTGCTCTGGAAAAACAACTGTCTAGGTAAGTGCAAGTTTGCCGTGAAAGGCCTGCAGCCCTGTCCCTGAGATACACTCGCACTTGTGTGGAAGTAGAAGTAACTGCGCTGGACTTGCTCATCCAAGAAACTAGCAGCCGAACCGCCCAGCAAACAGCTTCACATTCTTACCATTGCCCCGTAACTCCACCACTGCCCCGTAACTCCGCCATTGCCCCGTGGCGGGCTTCTCACTTGTCTCCGAACCATGCGGTACACTGACACATTCCCATCGCAAGCAGACGATTCTTGAGCTGCTATTGTACCATTTGGGGAGATCCAATCGGCCCTGCGTCTTGGTCTCGTGGAACAAGAGTCGCTCTCTGCACGAGGTGGCTGAGAATGACCCATGAACAGTGCGGTCAGGAACAGTCCAGACACTCGATTTCCCGTTTCTGGTATGCCGGGCGCAGGTAAGTGAGAAGGTGAAGGCCACGCTTGGTCTGTCGGCAATAGCACATTGAGTGGTTGCGAGGCATCCGTTTTCAGTTGATGCTTCCTGGGCAGGCGGCTAAAACACCAGACCCCGTCGGTAGAAACAAACAAGGCTTGACTCCGTAGGGACATGGAGAATGAAGGTCCAGCTTTTCTGGAGTCAGCTTCGGAGAGTAACGATGGGCTGTGGGCCACTCGGATGATGATCTCGGAGTTGTCTTCACAATCACAATTTGCCACAACTGTGAAGGGAAGCGCCCAAAAGCCGACATCCCCGAAAGGTGTTGAACATGTGCGGTTCTAAATGCATTTCAGCTTGGTTTGGTTGTAGAGTCATTTGTGGATTGGTAACTGGAGAGATTGTAAGGGCGTGTGCATTAATGTGCGCCCTGAGCGGGCCACATAAGAGCAATCAACTAAATTGTCGGACCGAGACGAACTTCAGAGTCTTGAATAGCCCTTGATTGTTCACAGAAGTACAAGGAAAGTGGTGACAATTCCCAACAACCCTCTCTAATAATTCACAATCATTTTACCGACTCCCACCGGTCCAGCTGATAGAGGTAACAGAGTCAGTTTCCTCCCATATGCTGTTGAGGGTTGCAAAGCTATGTGGAGAGGGTGCTGAAGTCTGGATCTGTACTAGATGTGTTATCAGCAGAGTAGTATTGGTAGTATTGGTACGTTACGATGGCAGTACATACTCTTCTGATGTGTGCTGGTGTGTACTTGCTCATTCACCAGAAGACAAATAGATCCGTGGAAAACAGATGGACATTTCGCCTACGGCCTAGCTGGTTCCTCTTATCCCTATATGAGGAACCATTCCGGTATTACCCTGCCGGATGCTACGTTCAACAATCCTTGGTAATTCTTGGGCTAACCGAACAATGGTAGGTTTTCTGACTGGTACTGCGCCAAGTCTCGACATGTGGGATAGTGCATAAGAAATGCACGATAAGAAATGCACGATAAGAAATGCACGATAAGAAATGCTCGATAAGAAACACACGAGCTGAAAAGTGGTGAATGTTGGATATGTGGAATGGCACGCCAATGAATATGTAGCCCATTCTGGCAAAATCATTCAAGCGACATCGCCAGTAGCCGACGAGAATCGCTGGGGAAGACGAGATGTATTTGTGAAGAACGTAGCATGCGATGACAATGAGGTTACTGCTTCAGAGCACGCCATTAAGGCGGATCCACCGTGTCGGTTTACAATGTTGATGATGATTAGCCAGAGGAGACACCGCCCACCGGGAGTTTGACAATGAGATCCAAGGCGGACGACATTAAGAGATCGCCGGAAGAATTGGATGACTCGGTTCGATTGGGCAGAATTGGCGAGCTGGCTTGCCCTGGATTGTGTTTGTCACTGCTCGTTTTAAGGAGACAGATCAAGAGACTATCTTCATTCTGGCTATATTCCGTACAGTAGCCAACAGAGCATGAGAATGGTAGCAATGACAAGGGAACATGGATAATTTTACACCCAATAATGACAGTTGAATTTGGAAGCTCCGTAGTGCTGTCTCACTGTAATCTACTTTCCTTCTCTGTTGCACGTCTTACTGTTACTGTACGTACAACGCATGTAGCTCCTATGTCCAGATGGTTGTCTTTAGGAATTATGGATACATTCTAGTCTATTGAAACAAAACCCTTCAAAGTTCCTTCATTCGATTCGCGCAAAGCAATTCGGGCAGCTGATTCGCCAATGTGTATAACTTGTATTTTTCCTTTTTCCCCCCTTCCTTTTTCCCTCCTTTTTTCCTTGTTTTTTTCTTGTATTTCTTGTATTTTCTATCTTTTATATTTTCTATATTTTTTATATTTTCTGCACAGCAACGTGCAGTATTCATGTTCAATTTGAGTCTAACAAACCATCATACATTTACTTGACATGTTGTGGTACTTTTGTGGAGAGGATTAAGCGCGGCATGTTATGTTTTTTTAGAAAAAAAGAAAAATATAAAAAGGAAAAATAATAAAAAAGGAAAATCAAGTTGACGGCTACTGACAATCCAAATCAACCAATAGAGGTTTACTGACACGACGAGACGCCATTCCTCCACCTTTCTCTATGGTGGTATCGTACTCGTACAACACAGTTTGTTTTTTCTTGCCAAACGCGTACCTCCATTATGCTGCACATTAGGGCAGAACGCGTACACGAGACAGAGTTTATGCAGCAGCACCTCTTTTATTCCACACAACTACATCGCGAAATCACCAAGTTTTGTGGCCCAAGAGAGCCCTTCCTCTTCGGTTTGATGGACAATTCGACTTGCAAAATGAAGGACAAACAGCGTCGGCCAAGAAGCAAGGCCAAAATGAAGGACAAACAGAGCTTCCTCAGCTTCTCCAAGGGCAAGCTTCTCGCCTCGAAACGACCTGCGCTCTCATCCGAATCAAAGAAAATGTCAAACAAATGGCCAAATAAACCGCTCTTGAGGAAACTGCGAAAGTCGCCGATCAAATCGACCCCAAAGGACCTCCGCCCGACCTGTCTGGCCAGCAGCTCACGTCCAGTGACTGCGGTTCAAGAAACACCAGAGTCAGGCATGTCCAGTTCCTACCTCACAACACCCCTTGCAAAGCACAAAAAGCAACTTTTTGGCAGCGGTTCCAACTCTGGCAGCAGTTTCAGCTCCGACACAGATTACCAGACTCCGCCTGAGGATCCTGTCGAGATACCGACCGTGATGAAACAGGAGTCGTTCATGGACAAGCTGAACCGCACTGTGCGAGATAAGTTTGAAGGGCCTTCGTTCGATCTCAGTAATCAGTTGTCAGATAGACGGAGCACCCAAGAGATTATCATCATCAGTAGCGACGATGACACTCCACCCGAGGGTCGTGTCAAGAAGATACGGACCGCCTTGAAGCGCGAGTCATTCATGAACAAGCTGAACCGCACTGTGCGAGATAAGTTTGAAGGTCCTTCGTTCGCTCTCGAACAGTCGTCAGGTATCCGTACAAGTAAACAGAGTACCCAAAATGTTATCATATTCAGCACCGACGACGAATCCTGCGGAGGACTGGAAGATAGATGGGGCACACAAGATGCTATCATCTTCAGCAGCGACGACGAATCCTGTGGAGGACAGGAAGATACGACCGCCATGAAGCGAGAGTCCTTCATGAGCAAGCTGAACCGATCTGTGCCAGATAAGTTTGAAGGTCCTTCGTTCGATCTCAAACTATCGTCAGATATTCTCACAAATAGTCGGAGCACCCGAGATTCTATCATCTTCAGCAGCGACGACGAATCCTGTGGAGGACAGGAAGATACGACCGCCATGAAGCGAGAGTCCTTCATGAGCAAGCTGAACCGATCTGTGCCAGATAAGTTTGAAGGTCCTTCGTTCGATCTCAAACTATCGTCAGATATTCCCACAAATAGTCGGAGCACCCGAGATTCTATCATCTTCAGCAGCGACGACGAATCCTGCGAAGGACAGGATGATACGACGGTTAAGCCCAGTGGCAGCTCGGTGATCATTATTAGCAGCTCTGAGACCTCGCCCGTGGATGTCAACCATCAACTGAGAGATTTCCATTGTCGCATCATCAATAGCACTCCGCTAGACAGGAAAAAGAAGCGTTCTGTGGAGGGTGGAAACACTAGATCTCCCAAACGAAGAGCCACCAAAAAGGAAGGTGCAGTGAAACTGGAAATCCTAATGAAGAAAAGCGAGATAACGCCAGCGCCCTGCAAGTCGATACCGAGACCATCGACCCCCCGGAAGGCTGCTCTTGTGAGAAAGACTCCCAGGAAGACATCACCTCGCAGGAGATCTACTCTCAAAAATACGTCTTCAAAAGTCATCCCGGAAACGCATTCCGACAGTCCGATTTCTGCAAGCCGGAACAAAAACATTCAGTATTACTTTAGCAGCTCTCCCACAATGACTGCTTCGCCACTTTCGCCCTCGCAAGATCTTTCTAGTGACGATTCGACACTTTCGCCCGCGCAAGATCTTTCTAGCGAAGGTGTCTTTTCATCGCCGGTGAAGGTACAACGGTATGTGCACACTGCGGACCCGACTTCCATGTCTCTTTCCTCCGCACAGGACCTATTGTCCGACGGACTTTTCTCGTCGCCCACTAAACCCCGACCTCTGCGAACTGTTAATAACAAGAGATCCCCTGATAACCCGAAATCGCCAGACTCTGACCATGGCCTTTTCGATAGTGACTGTCCGGGAAGCACCAGCTACTTTGATGGCTTTGACATGGACAGCGAAAGTGATCCTGAGCTCAAGATATCGTACAACGATGTGGATGTCAAGCAGCGAGCCGAAGACAGACTGGCGGAGATTCTAAAGGAGGTGAATCAGACTTCGTCGAGCACTACGCCTCGTGGAGGAAGCAACGCACCTGAGGACGAGGTGGCCGTCAAGTACCAGGCTGCCAAGCTCAAGGAGGCTGAGAGAATCCAGCAGCATCAGGAGAAGAAGGAGGCTTACTACAAGAAGCTTGAGGAGGAGGAGGAGACTAAGCGGAAGCAACAGTTGATGGATGCTCCTCTCATAGAGTGTGAAACCGCTGATGTCGAGGTATTTTCCAACGATACTGAAAGCATCGGTTTCGCGCCTCGTCACAAGCTTCTCAGGGTGATGAATGAGGCGTCCCTGAGACCCTCGCAGGTGCTTCCTCGACAGGCTGTCGATCTAGAGTTTAGCACGATCGATGTTCAGTGGCTTCTGGTGAAGCTTGCACGTGAGACTTCCAGTGTCGAGCGACAGCACATTGTCCCTCATTTGCAGAAGGCTGATACGAAGCTCACTCGGGACCACATGGAGAAGGTCATGAAGGCGATTGGACTGAGATACTGGGACAAGCGGAAGGGTAGTTGTGAGAACCAGGCTAGTGCTTACTCTGTTCTCAACAAGAGTCGACGAACTGAAAGCATGCCTTGTACTCCGGTCAAGCCCAAACGGCCAGGCAGAATGTCTAGTAATACTCCGATTACTCCCGTCAAGGCACTTAGAATGGATTCGCCTTTCAGTCTCATCGGCTCTTTTGATAGTCCTGCCTCCTTCTCCATGGCCTCTCCCTCCAAGACAGCCAAAACTCCCCAGCCTCCCCCTCCCTTCCGATACAGAAGCGCCGAATCGTTGGCTGACTTTTTCGACACTATGGCTCAGCTTATTGAGCCCGACTGCATCGAATTTCTGTTCAGGCTACTTTTGCTAGTGTCTTCGGACTCCTCGCTGGACTCGTTGCAGTCCGACACCAGTGCTGCATATGCCGGCATGGCTTGCTTGCTTGGCAAGGATGAGTTCACGGTCGAACAGGCCCTAGAGTTGGTATGTGACACTGTGGACCTCAAGTCTGCACAGACTCGAGTTTTGCAAGCTCTCTTTTGTGGCACAGATAACACTATGAGCAAGCTTGGTCACTCTTGTGCCTCCGTGTTTTTTCTACGAGAGTACATTCAAGGCAAGACTGCCGGTGAGTTGGCGTCGCGGTGCTCTGCTGATAGAAGCATTCTCGATGCTACATTCTTGGACAATCTGGTGGACTTTTCCCATCAGTCTGAGAAGCCTTCCTCATACATCCGACACATGTTTGGCTTTTTTGCGCAGACCATGGATCCCACGTCTGTCAAAACGTGGAAACCTGAGCAGAAGCGCAAGGCGGATTCGGCACTCAAGTCGCGGTCTGATTTTGTGGACAATCTGGACGACTTCAAGTTCAACGCTCTGGTCATGTCCTGGCTCACGCGGGTATCCACAGAGTTCATCGTTGTCGAGCCCGCTTTCTGTGCAGTGTCGTTCTAGAATGTTTATAATCGAGCTCGCTTTCTCCGCAGCGTCGTTCTAGAATATTTATAGTCGAGCCCGCTCTCTCCGCAGCGTCGTTCTAGAATATTTATTTATTTATCTATGATTTGATGTTTAATTTATTATTATGGTAATTTTGTGTATGCATATTTAATGCATTTTTAATGCACCCAACACATCATGGTCAACTATTATCGGACTAGCTCTTCATCGAACAACTACTCGTCCTACGACCATGAGAAGAGTCATTCTACAGCCTGGCTCCGACGCGGGCACCAAAGAATCTGTGTCTATTGAGCCCGGTTTGCATTTCCGCACGCTGGCTGAGTTCGACAGCTACTTCCAGGAGCTGTTCGAGAAGGCCCCACAGACCTTCAAGGGATATGAAATGGCATTGACGGAAGGCTCCGAGCGATGGATCCCGGTCGACGAGGCTGTGGTCGGAAACTGGTTGTCGCTGAAAGCGGCCAACTCGCCCAAGTGGTACATTCGTCCTACCAACCAGATGAATGCCATCAGAGACCATGTGGCCCATGAAAAGCTGGAGACGGTGGCGGACTCGGTGCTCCAGATGCGTGCATACCTTGAGGAAGAGATGGACGAAATCAAGCAGCGGGCTAGTGAGGAGATCGCCGCTCTCAGGGGCGACGTCTGGGCTCTAAAGTTGAAACTGGACACTCTGGAACAGGCCAACAAGTCTCAGGGTTCGGAAGACGTTGATATTATTGAAGAAGGCTTTCTCAAAGGTCCCAAGAAGACTGCTTCCCCAAAACTGCAACTTGGCTCAGCTGGCAAACTGAAACCAGAGCTTTTCTCTACCCTTGTGCAGTTCCGAATTCCCGCAGGGACGAAGACAACGTCTATCCCCAAACACGTCAGCTCTTGCATCAAGAGCCTGGACAGTGTCCCTGTAGTCTACGCCTTGACCCAGTCTGGTATATATGAGCCCTGCGAATACGTTAGCGAGTTGCGTGACAAGATCCATCGAGAGCCAGAATGGGAGAGCTTTTGCATTGGGATTCACGAGGAAGACGAGCCGGTAAAACAGAACATCAAAACTGCGACATCCGTGTCCACAGCATCTACCCCCAACCGCAGCTACGCGGCAGCTTCAGGAGGTTCTTTTAAGCCGTCGGTTGTAAAACATCCCAAGCCCTGGATTCCCAAACCGCTGGTGAAGACTGAAGAAAATTTTCCTTCATTTCGACAGGACGACCTTGACAATATCTGCGCCAAGACAGAACAGATGACCTTTTCGGAGGAGTTCCTGGCAGCTCAGGAAACCCCCACCACAAGCTCTCCCTCTGCCAGGTCAAAATCTTGTGCTTGGGGAATTCCTGCACCCGAGGAGTCTCTGTCGCCTCCATCGACACGGAATAATCAGCCCACAGAAAATACCAGCCCTACCACAACTGAACGTGATTCACCAGATAGTACACGGTACCCTATTGAATCACATACCACTGCAGGTGCCTCTAGTCCGAAGAAGCATAAAACAGGACATGCCTATGTCGCTGTGGCCGATCCTGAACCTGTGACTAAACCTGAGGTAGGGTCTATTCCTGAGGGACCCCCAAAGTGCAACAGCTGCGACAAGCTGCTGGATAAGACACATGTGCATTGTGTTGATTGTGAGACGTTCAATTGTTGTCAGGAGTGTTTCAAGATGGCTAACCAGGCACATCCCAAGGAGCACACCTTTGAGCTCTATATTTATCAATAGTTTGCGCAACCCGACACCATTCGAAACAATTGGAATTTACCTACATTTCATTCCCAGTGCGGGTGGCTTGTGGGAACTAGCGAACTACTCAGACGACTCAAACTACGGGACATACTCAAAGAGCAGCTTGGTCAGAAGGCGAGGATAATGGTCCATATTCAATACAAATTTCAGCCATGAGTAAATTGAGGTCGTATAGCTGTTGCTTTACGAACAGGTTTGCGGGTGCTCGCACGTGCACTCGTTCCCTTTCTACATCTGAACATACGGCAGGTGTCAAGACGACTCCATGAGACTCCATGACGGATGCAAAAGTGATTAGGGGCTGCAAAAGTGAATAGCACAATAACAGCCATGAGACAAAGGACAGCCCACTCGCCACCCTCATGACCTGGGCTCTCTGGTGCAAGAGCTGGGCTCTCTGGTGCATGAGCTGGGCTCTCTGGTGCTTGACTATGGCTGTCGGATGCTGTATTTTCACCGGTTGCGCCGACCCGGAATGGAACCGGGTTCCCATCGATGGCAACGATGGATTTTATCAATACCATCGGCGTTTTGGAGGTATTCCGGCTTCTTCCAGCTTACTAATGTTCAAAAATCGATTTTTGCAACTTCATTTAGTCGAAAAAACGACATTGCGAAATAGCTGAGATGAATCAAGACTTATTGAGATGTTATTACGATGGAGACGTTATTACAATGTCCAGACAAGTTCGGATGCACGTGACATTCCCTTGGCTGACTCATCGGCTGACTCATCGGCTGACTCATCGGCTGATGAGCCTTGTAGGATCCTAATGGGCAGGAGAAGAACTGAAGTCGTATCGTACAAAAAATACAATACAACATTCCCTCTCTCAGCAAAAAATATCACTGATCAGCTAGAAGCTAGGGGAATTTAACCCCCATAATTTCCTCCACTGTCAGTTCTATTAGAACTTGACATGGACAGGAATTGAACCTGCAACCCTTCGATTACAACCAAGTTGACTGGAGTCGAAAGCTCTACCATTGAGCCACCACATCAGCGATATCTGTTTTTTTTGTATTATTTCGTAGCAAACCTAACGACCGCTTAGTCATATTTTCAAGAATATTAACAAATATCTTGCTGAATATTGCCTTTAGGCGATATTTGGGCTAATATTATTATTCCCACCACAGTTTTAAACATAAAGAAGGGTTCATTTTGTCGATTTCACCCTATTTCACGGATATATTTCTTTTTTTCTTACAATACGAAAAAAAATAATTGTTTAATGACTTATGCCATCACTTTCGAACCAATCGATATCAATGATTCTTCACCGATGTCTTGCTGTGCCCTTTTGAGTATCGGCATCAATAGTTGGAACGCATCATTCCATGATGGACATAGATGAAGCAGCGCCATTACTAATGGGTCCGATTGAGGTACTCACTCCCTTTGGCAATGTCACATCAACGGTACCATGCCTCTTGTCGCAGTCTCCTCCTTCAGGGCTGCCTGCATCGCTGGATGTACCGTAGTCAGTGGAGCAGCAGCAGTGAGAGTCTGGTATATGTTGGCGTCATACATACGTCCAAGCAGAGTGATGATGGCGTCGATGGCCTCAGCCAGGTACTGCAGGTTGGAGGTAACAATGGCAAAGTCGTTTTCTCGGGCAGCAGCGATAGTGCCCAGACCGGCTTTGATGCAAGCGCCTCCCTGTCGCTCCATGGTGGTGGAGACCAAGTAGAACTTCAGATACTAAACTGTTGTCAGCGGTTTCAGACTTTTCCAAAACTCCATGATCTGACATAGAACCAGTCCCTCCGTTCTTCCCAGCGTCTCAATCTCTGACGCAACAATGACTCGACAACTTGTACTAGATTTCCCCTGGAAGGCAGTATGAATCACTTTGAAGTACACTGCTGGTTACTGGGTATACCTATATGTCTCGGACTGTCGATGGACTGCCGATCCGGAACCCGTCCAGACCGGTACTGTACCCTCCAGTATGTACATACCAGTATCGCCATGTTGGTGATACCGAACTACAACAGCTACTGAAGCTTGGAGTTCTGTATCTTCGAGTCCTGAATCTCGAATTTGAAACCCCAAATGCTCTGTCTTCTAACCCAGGAGGAACAGCAGCCACTCCATGTTCCTCCTATAGCATCATCGCCCACAAGTCTGCAGACGTTTCTTAACTTGGAGTCCGCTCCGCCAATGCAGTCCGCTCCGCCAATGCCTGTTCTACGTTCTGTACTACGAGAGGTACATCCTTTCTGGTTCTTCCCTTCCACTCACGTTTGCAACATATCCAGACTCGGATTCAACGACTTGACAAACTCCAACATTCAAGCTGTTCGAGCTGGCGGGGATAGAGGAGAACGAGTCAACAGAGATGCTCCCATGTCTTTCTCTGATAATGGGCTCTATAACCGACGCTCAGTCTGTCTGCAATCTCATAGTGAAGTTTCTGGTCTTTAGTTATCTCCATTGCATGTTGAGAGGCCCCAAAGAAACGGAGAATCCATACGGGTTTAGAGACAGTAGAGAAAAGTTCGCTATCACAAGAAACACCAGCTGACGTCTAGAAATGACAAACGGACACTTGGTGTCTACTTGACAGCGGATGCTAGTGACAAAGGTCGGAAGGCAGTGAAGAGAAGATCCCAATATCATGAGGTCTAGATAACCGCGTACAATATGAACTCGTACCGTACTCAGTCGAACATCACATACCAAAGATGCCCTTCAAGTTCGAACTAAACCCCGAGAAAGAAATACAAGTGTCCCTCGATCGCTCGGTCTCCAACGAGGTTACCAACACTCCTAATGATGAAAGATGAAATGATGTCTCTTCATTGCTTACTGATGAAGACATGTGGAAAACATCCCGAGATCGTTATCGTAGAGACCAACTGGGGAAAGAACCAACAGGAGAATCACTCTATCGCCTGATTTCAACCAGTTGCGTTCCAAGTGAGATTGTTGAAATCGTCGTGGCTGTCCGTTGTATCGAAAGGTAGGATGGACATTGATTCTTGTTGTCACCCAAGGAATTATTAATCAGTTTATTGTTAGTGGTGGAGTTCCTGTCCTATTGTACTTACATGGGCGCTGTCCAAACAGGTCTCGCATCTTCCTCCAGGTACCATCTAATTTCACCATGCTTCATGTCTTCCATGTAAATCAATCTATTATTACCCAGTTCGTCCTATGCACCATATGTTTTTGTTTTCAAATGCCCTAATGTCCTTTTACTTGTCAGTGGTCGACAACATGAAATCCACCTGGTCTGCCACCTCGGAACACAGCTTTTCCCGATCAGCACCCTTCCAGTTGGCAAACTTGATATCCCGACAAGTCATCCACTCGGCCTCCTGCCAGATCTCCAGCTCCAGATCCCGGGTGGGCAGGAACCCGTTAAGACCGGACCGAGGTCCAAACGCTCGGAACTTGTTGCCCTCAGCGTCCTTCAACAGCTTCTTCTCAAGCAGCTCCCGGGGGTTCATCTTAGGGAAATTTGTATGCATGAACATGCCCTCCTTCTCCACCAGCTTGTTGCGGGTCTGGTCGTCAATCTCACCACGAGCAGCCTTGTCGTAAAGCTCGTAGGTCTTGATAGGATCAAATTGCAACATGGCTGCACCATGGAATGAGTCTCGGTACCATCGTCCAATTGCCTGAACGTGTCGGGGAACCTGGTATACGGGCTCCTTGAGCACCACAGCAGCAGCCAGGAACGTCTCCTTGTCTCCCTCACCCATCATACCCTGTGAAAAGAGAGGATAGTAGTACCGGGGTCCGTTGAGATTGTAATAGGTGGCCAGCAGGAGTGCCTTGAATTTGGCAGACTTGTTGACAAAAACCTGGCCAGACTCGGTTGAGGGGTTGGGCATGGAGCCCATCAGATCAGCCAGTTTGGGAGGCTCGTTGTCCTCGTCCCCGCCCTTCTTCATGTCGTCACGCACCCCTCCGAGAGTGGTTCCTGCAATGTTGAAAAACTCGGGATGGGTTGATCGCTCCCAGTAGTCAGGCCACAGAATGTAGCCGTACTTCTTGTACACGTCGGACTTGAACACGACCGAGGGGTCCTTGATAGCAACGTTGTCAGCGTCCAGCAAGAGCACGTGCTCAAAGGATGAAGCCAGAGCAGACAGAATCTTGAACTGGTAGCCCTTGAGAGGGAAGTTTCGCAGCGCGGCCTTTCCCAGCACGTCGGGGAGCACCCGGCACTCCGCTCCGAGAGACGGGAAGACTTCCTCGCACAACTGCACCTCGTACTCCTCCTGGTTGGCCAGGAAGATTTCCACGGGGAGCGTGCAGCCCGTTCGTCGCAGCATCCGCAGCGAGTTGGTCACAATGGGCATGAAGCGGGCTCCGGCCACAATGGCGATACCAGTGCCCTTGTAGATTTTTGTGAGGTCTCCAAAGTCGTCGAGCACCTTGTCCAGTTCGCCGACGAGGTTTTTGTGCAGCTCTGCCATCTGTTCCACGTGTTTGGGCTCAATCTGCAGAAACTGCCGCAGTCGGTCTTCTGTTAGTCGCTGGCTCTTGAGCTTGTCTTCGTTGAGCTTGCCCAGATCGCCGTACTTGTCGAACTTGGGGATATCCAGACGCTGGGGCCGCTGGTCGTAGAAGGCCGAGAAGGCGCGCGCGTACAGCTTGTGTTCGGCCGTGTCGAGGTGTTTGTTGATGGCTTCTTCTTTTTCCTCCTGCGTCACCTCTTGGTGGGCCTGTTTTTCGAGCTCCTCGCGTTCCGGTGGCGTCAGTTGGAGATGCGACGTGTCCGGCTCCGCTACCACATTGTCCACCGCGTACTGCGGTTCCTGTGGGCCCTCGTCCGGTGTCGGTTGGCTTGGGCCTGTTTGGGGGTCGTTAGTAAAGGCGTATCGTTTGCGGCCTATGCTGCCAGCGAACAGCAGATGCAGCAGTCCGCCGAGCACCAGCGCTACCACGATCAGTCGCGTGACTCTTCGGGGGATCGCCATCGTCGGTAGAGTTGTTTCAGGGGGGGAGGTTGCAGAGGAGCAGCTCTCGCGGTTGGGTTCAGAAAGGTGTTCCCTTTTATTTTAGGGTTTTGGCCCGATGGCGACAAGCAGAATGCAACCTGCAGCTGTCACTATGTGCGTACACCTTGTCTTGTGCGTACACTGGGAGTTGGCGCCAGTCCACAGAGTCGATGGTGGCGAAGAAGAGCGGATAAGGGCATGATAGAGCTATATAAGGACCGAAACCGGCTCCCCCGCACCATTTACCCCTCACAACCATTCAGCCGCATACTTGCCCCTCGAACGACAGCCCTTGAGCGGAGTACTTTGAGTTATTGATAGCTACAGGTATTCTAGTCTGGGTTAATATTAAGGGGGACCATATAACGAGACCCCGAACCACGAACCACGAACTACGAACCACGAACCACGAGCCACGAACCACGAGCCAAGAGAACTACGTGAACCACGACAACCACGAGAAAACGGCGGGCAAGTGTGGACAGGCGAGACAGGCGAGCACGGTACTTGGACAAGCACGTACTTACAACCTGTCTGAGAACCCACGTTACAGTACTTGTCCGTCCTAGAAGGTACCTACAAGACGTATGAACTTGTCCGAACCGTATGTATGTCTTAGAACGGTGCGTACGTACGTATGAACTGTTCTGGCACGCACAATACGATTCCCGACCCACGTCCACTCACCTCGCAGTCCAACAAGAACTACCACTTGCTATTTACGGCTACAGTATATAGCCACGGTAGGTTTATCCGAGGCTAGTACATACTACAGTACTGTAGTGGAGTGGAAATCTCTGGTCATTGACGATCGTTGACACTCTGCGTCACCCCGTCGACTCGTTTCTTCCTGTTCTGTCCGTTTTTGCCGTTTCGCGTTGCCGTTTCGTGTTGCCGTTTCGTCTGCTCGCCATCTCGTTTCGCCTTCTCGCCTCGCCATTGCTATCTTTGCTTTTTCCGCTTTTCAGCTTTTTCAAACCATACACACAAAGTTCAGGGCAGATAAGCAGGTGCAGACCAAATGGCCGCATCTGGATTGGCCGCTGTTGCTAAGTTCAACGCGTGGACATGTAAAAATGTCACGGTCCTCGAGTTCTGCTTACTAATGTGATTCCTCTCTCATTCCAGTTTGTCTGAACGCAAGTTTGTCTGAACACAAGTTTGTCTGAACATTGGAGTTCTAACATTGGAGTTCTAACATTGGAGTTCTAACATTCAAGTTTGTCAGAACGTTCTGTTCAAGGTTGCATCTACAAGCAAGTACAAGTATCGTCTGTTTTACCGCTGCTAAAGCGGCGCAATCGACCCTTGCAACCTGTCTCAGAGTCAATCACGCACGGGCGACCAAATGACCGGTTCACTCCAATCCAGTTTCAGGTCTAGCAATTCAGGCCTCTCGCCCGACCTCCAGGCAAGTGGCTGCAGTACAGTACTCGTAGCTGCTACTTGCTGCTACTTGAACCTTAGTTGAACCTCCAACTAAATAGATTCTGCTGAACTGTGACAACGTTTTTCACGTCTTCTCTCGGAAACGTCGCCATCCAACTCACCGCACTCGTTGCCACGCCCACAACCCCGCAGATCCGCCATCAACGCGAAACTCCCCTTCCAAACACGTCCTCAAGTGTCTCACCATTCCTCAGATCAACCTTATCGCCATGCGCATGAGCCGAGCAGAACAGAGGCAGAGGTATTTTGGAGTTACCCGGCCGTCGCAGGGGTACGTCTAGACGTGGTGAATGTGGTTGAAAATCGGGGGAAACGGCAAATTTGCGGGCCAGATCGAGCTCTGTGGCAAATGTCGGTGAATTCGCTCCGTTGAAATACACATGGATGCGCCTCATGTTGGTTTAGCAGCTGCTTTAGCCGCTCCAGGGACCCACTCATCAGCCTCTTTTAGAGTTGCAAAAATACGAGGCTTTTAATAGCACGTAAAATTGTGGCATAAATGGCTATAAATAGATGTCTACGTACGAGGACATTTTCGGAAGTGCACTTGTTCGGGCACTATAGGGCACTTGTTCGGGCGCAACTGGCGCTACTGGCGCTACTGACACGGTTCTTCAACTGTGGCGTGTCTGAGTAAGACAGAAGTGCCGTCTGTTGCGCCGGGGAGGTATTCTTGCTGTGAGACATGATTCAGGAGGTGATTGTTGCTGTTGAGGAGAGTGAGGAGGAGAGTGTGAGTATGTGTGAGTAGCTCGTGGAGTACGAGTACAAGTGCAGTCATCCGAGCAAAAGAGCATTCGTATGGTTAGTACCAACACTCTACTCCACCTGCATCACACAGGCCGACCTTCAGAGACTTCACTCTCAGTCAAATTCTCTTTCAGCTGTCTCAATGACTGGATCCACGGACATTTTGACATTGCTAACAGCAACAGTTGTGTGAGTATGGTATGTACGAGTAGTGCTGTTGTGCAAGCATCTTGTCTGTCTGGGGTTGAGTCCATGCTTGCTTCAAGTACGACTACTGTACGATACTAGTACAACCAAGAGCATGAGTAAAGTGTCTGTTTCTGGTTTGCTGATTGCTGATTTGAGGATTTACTGATTTGCTAGTTTTCTGGTTTTTGGTTTCCTGGCTGGTTGAGTTGACTGTAGATCTCCCCTACCCACTCATTTACAACCTACAAGAGTACTAATAGACAAGCTGGTCGCAAGAGATGGTCACAAGAAGATTACAAGAAGATCACAAGAAGATCACAAGAAGATCACAAGAAGATCACAAGAAGATGGTCAAGAGAACACTACTCACGTGGTCTCACTTTCAACCAGGTTTTAGTACATTGTTCAGTATGTACTGTTGGATTCACTACTGTGTGTACTTCTGTCTCAATCGTCAGTTGACCAAGTTTTCTGGTTCAGTCTGCTGTAAGCCAGACATTTTGCAAGACATCAACTTCGGCGAAAACATCGACTTGACCGCAATTCCATACCCCCGATTCCCTTCCATCGCCTTCATCACCAATCCTACAGTACATACCCCAAAGTTCACGCTCATGTCTAACTCATACCCTTGGAAGAACCTTGGTGGTTTGGATCGAGACTATAAGAGTTGAAGGAGGCGCCAACTGGGTAGAACAAACACTGATACCCAAAGATACGCTTGATATTGCCGTGACGACATGGAATGTCGGTAGATGTTGCTGAGATTCCGTTGAATATACGTCGCAGATACGGAGATACGGAGATACATCGACTTACCCTTCGAGATACTACAAGATGGTGACGAAGGGAAATCGAAGATATCAACCACCGACGATTCTACTGAAAACCCTCTGAGACCACCGATGACACCCTACTGACACCACTTTCTAAATCTTTTCTATTGACATGTCCTATTAACGCTACTACAAAGTAGGAAGAGTTTCGAGCTTGAGACAGTCGGATCTCTCACCCTGAGACCCACCAACAAACGAACAATATGTCTCCTGAAGACACTGCTTACCACAGCCCTTCTGGGTGTAGGGTGACTTTCGGTAGTAATGGTCGTAATAGAGCTGGTTCTGGGCAGGATTCTCAATGATACCCTTGGCGGCTCGGTGCCAGAAGGTGGCATTGAGAGGGGCGTTATCGGGCCAGGTGTTATTGGGGTCATAGGCGTCACGGGCCGAGTATTCCCAGATCCAGGTCATCTGCTTGGGGGTCTGGGGCTCGTACACCTTGTAAGTGAAGTTACCGAGGGTCTCGTTCTTGTACTTGTTGATGTTATACTCGTACGTTTCGTTGAGGGGCGAGTAGTAGTTCTTGGAGTTCATGATCTCGAACGTCTTGGTGTCCACCTCGTAGTATCTCCACGCGGGGTTGTACGTGTCGATGGGGGTCACGGACTGGGTGATCCAGCCCACGGAGATGGCCGAGTCCTCGGTCCACTTGTTGTTTTCCTCGTAGAAGACGTTGAACTGGTCGGCATGGGTGTGTCCGAAGAAGTTGGCGGCAATCACGTGGGGGGAGAACCGTCGGATCACCTGTCGGAAGACCTCGGTGGTCCAGGGAACCGCAGCCATTTCCTGGGAAGGCACATGGGCCATGATCCACGCCTTTTGGCCCTGTCGCTCGCACTGCAGAAGCTCGCCGACCAGCCACTTGAAGGTGCCGGACAGATCGGGCTGGGAAATGTTCCAGAAGTTGTAGTAGTTATCGCCGTACCAAAAGTTGGAGTCGATGGAGATTACCCGCAGACCTCGCTTGGTGGTGACAGCAAAAGAGCCGTAAGTGTGCTCGGCCTGGGCCTCGGTGGTCTCGTTGATCCAGCCAAAGTCCTTCCATAGCTTGGCGGACAGCTCGGCGTTCCAGGAAAAGTCTCCGGCAAAACCGGACGAGTTCTGGGCCAGCTGAGAGTACGGGTAAGAGTCGTGGTTGCCAAAGGTGGGATACATGGGAATGTCGCCAAGGTACTTCTTCATGAGATAGTACACCTCCTCCTCGGACTGGTAGGTGTGTGCAAACGACAGCCAGTCCTGGAGATCGTGAGAGACCATGTCGCCGGTGAAGATGCCAAATTCAAAGTCTCGGGCGTGGGCCAGAGCGCCCACAGACTTCATGGAGTCTTCGACCAGAGTATCGGGGGCGTCGCAGTGGTACGATCCGAGTTTCTGGGCGGGCTGAACAGTGTGGTTGAGACCAGCTCTGATGGCCTTCTTGTTCTTGGACTCCACGGTGCAGCACATGTAGGCGTCGCACCAGGCCTCCTGGCCGGGGAGATATCGCAGATCGAGATGGAAGTCGGACAGGTGGACCACGTTGAAGGTCTCGTTGTAGGAGGACTCGATCTTGGGAGGGTTTGTGGGCTTCTCGGGCCACCATGACGAGAGATCGGGTGCGGGAACAGGAGCGGCGTCGCAGGTGTTGTCGGCGTGCCAGTAGCACAGGTTCTGGCCGTCCAGGCCAAAGGCGTCCATCAGAGTGAAGACCTGCGACAGGTGCTTGCCGGGGTTGCCCTTGGTGATGTCGGTTCCCTGCCAGGTGTCGCAGTCGTCCTGCCACTTGTAGAAGTTGCACAGCTTGACCAGCAAGTTAGGGGTCACGGTGGGGGCCTTGAGAGTGATGTACTTGCCGAGATTGATGCCCTGCTGGCACTTTGTGCAGTTGGAGGCCGAGGTGTTGAAGATTTTCTGGGCTTCGGTGAAGCCCCACTCCAGCAGAGCGTCGTTGCCAAGGTTGGGTACCTCAATGTGGTGAGACGACGAGTTGTCGGCTCGCTTGGCCAGCCCGGCGGCAGCCAGCAGTCCCGTGGAGATTTCAAGGAGATTGACCATTGTGCTTGTTGTTCACCGGGGGAGGGAGATTGAAGCGACATTATATGTCCTCCGCCCTGTTTCGCTTAGCTTGCGAGCACGTTTCTGTGACGCTCGTGGCATTGGTCTGACCGACTGATACGGCCAAACATTGGAGACTAGGTTCCCAATCTGCCTGGGCGTTCAGGACAAGGTTCCGTCGAGCTAATTAAGGCTACCAATTCTTATCGTCGATGCCAATGCATGTGCCAAGTGCGATTGTGTATGCCGTTTCTTGGCATTTGACGGCCGTGTTTTGTGACGTCTCTCCGGGTACGTCTCAATGGACATTGTTTCGGACTCCGCTCAATGGCTCCATTGAAGACGATGTGCTTGTCTCAGCACTAATCTGGGCTTAGAGTTGCACGTGGGTGGAGGCTCCGGGGAAATTTAATGATCGTCACCCCAAGACTGTCCGATCGTCCCCTCAAAGGGCACTATTGCAGACACATGCTGCAGTCAGATAGGATTTCGAGGTCAGAGTTGGATTGTCTTGGGTGTGGAGTGGGCTTAGATAGGAGATGAGTCGGTGTTCAGGGGGAGTTGGTGAGGAGACGAGTTGGTGAGGAGACCCTGAGTGTTGCCTATCTAACGTTCATCACAGCCACAATCGACTCGTTGCACCAGATCGCCTCTCCGAAAACTGTGGAACCAAAGTACTGCGGTCATCGAGCACATCTATTATCGGAACATTGTTATATGATCGTCGACTCTGTTTCCACTTAGGTTGAGTGAATTGGGCAATACGCAATACAACATTAGTCGCAATTTCTTTTGGGTGAGACTAGTGGCATTGGACGTATCCATTGAACGGCAGGTGAGCGCGCGGTCGGGGCGAGATCGGTGGTGAGGCTGTCCGCTGAACTGTGTGTGGGCGATCAGACACCAAAGCAGCCGTGAGAATGTCGATGTTCTTTCGGCAATGGCGCTTCGATTGTCACCTTCAGTGCCACATGAGTGTCCAGAAGTGAGGATAGATTGTCTAGAAGTGAGGATAGATACTGGTGGAAGGAGAGGAGTGTCAGACGTTGTTTGTGCGCCGTATTTAACAGACTCTTTGTATTATATCGGTAGGTCTCGTCACCAGTACGTAAACATCAGAGTAAACATCTCCAGTGACTGTCGATGAAGCGATTAGACGAGTTGTGTGTACTGACGCCGGAGTTCGTCTACCAGGCTGGAAAGTCGCAGATCTCTTAGTCACATATTTCTTCTATAGTTCTGTATCATTGAATGAACAACTATTGATGTTCTTTAGTCCTTGATCTCAACCGTCTTCATTATCGTCTCGGAATAGATGTCTTAGGCTGAGAGTTGGTCATATGAAACTGCTCGGCGTGATACGTGGGCAAATACTGGGCAGAGATGACCAATAGTAAGTCCGTAGTCTTACAAAAGATTCTCGAGAGATTCATCCGGATCCCGCGCCTCTGTCCTCTCTCTGTCTCACTTCTTCCCCGTGCTCAATGACTCTGAAAACGTCAACGGTAGTGTTGGGTCACCACAAACGATGGTCACTTGACGTTCATGGTATCAATCGAAAGCTCTTGTTCTGCTGGTTCCAACCACCTGCTTTTTGGAGGTTCATCGGTGCTCAATCTGATCTTACATGGTTCTCAGGCTACACCGGATGTACTACCTACCTACAGTGCTCACCGTGATACCTGTACAGTCTCAGTGATACCTTTCTTGCACTGTAGAACACCAGCTCTCGCTCACAGTGTCCGTCACTCGGTTCGACCCGCAAGCTACGTCCAATACAATCCGACGACCACCTATCATAACATGTACATTTTGTCTTTCGACCACTATTTACAATTAAACGGCCCAGTGACGGTTGCCCAGTCGGTCGTACACCACCCGTCTGTCCTTCTTTCGGTCGTCTCTGTAGGCGCCGTATCGGTGGCCCACCTTGCCGACCTGAGCCTTCTTGAATCGGAAAATGACTCCGTCGGGCTTGGACTCGGACTTCTTGACCACGTCGAAAATCTGGCCCTTGGCCTTGGCCTTCTCGAACTCAATCTCCGCCTTTTCAGAATGGTCGGCCACCACGTGCTGAAGCTTCTCCAGCACGTCGGCGGCAGGAGCCAGATCCAGCAGCTTGGCGGACTCCACAGGACCAAAGGGCTCGGACTCGGCCAGAGTCATGAACCGCGAGCCTCGGGTGGCCGAGGGCACCGGCACTTCGGACAAGTTCTGCTGGCCCTGCTCCTTGTTGAAGTAGACCCGCTTCTCCCGCTTGTCGTCCTCCTCCTTGAAGGTGTAGTTGACTCTCAGACGAGGCAGCATCTCCACGATGGACGACGAGAACTTGCTGAGATCTTTCTTGTATTTGGGCTGTGTTAGGGAAAGAACTGGGTGATCCTGGTTGCAATCACACTCATGAGGCTTTTCAGAAAACAAAAATTTCTAACCATTTGGGTTGTCTTCAAGACTAATCGAATTTTTTTTTGAAGTTCATCATAATGCCATCTTGTGTCGCTGGTTCGGGGTGTCTCATACTCACATCACACTTGAAGGTCTGTCGAACCTGGTTGAGCTTCAACAGAGCTCGCAATCGAACGAGCTGAATGCCGTACTTGACAGAAACGTCCTCCAGAGACATGGAGTTGACCGTCACATCCTTGATAATGTGTTCTCGCACGCTCTCGGGGATCACTGTGTTGGTTCGGGTGTATGGGTTGTCGGGGAAGGGCACCAGCGGATCCTCTCTAGAGGGCGCTGCCACGGTCAGGTCCTCCCGGTTGGGGTTACCGGCGTCCTCTCGGGGCCGGATGTAGTTGGGCACATGGTGCTGAGATGGGTAAAAGTACTTGTTGCTGATGGCGTCGCCCTTGATGTTGCGCTTACCGAACCAGTCCTCGTACTGCAGACGGAGCAGAGTCTTGCCCTGGATCAGTTTCTGAGGGAACCGAGTTTTTCCTCGCATGTGGTGCGCCACTCGCGTCCGGTAGAACCGCACGCCTCCCAGTCGGCTGGGAAAGCCGGTAGCAACGGGGTTGAACATTGTGGTGGTGGAGTAGTGAGAAGTGTGAAATTTGCACACTTAAAATTTGATTTGGGAGTCACGTGCGAACAGAAACTTGGACGCGGCGGGGAGGTGATTGATTAGGGTTTGGAGCGGCCTGAGGGGGTTTTTCGGCGGGTTGAGACGATTGGCAAGGTCGTTTTTGTGGAATAATCGCTCGAAGAGCTGTTTTGTTGTCTTTCAGGAGATCTCTAAGAGTTCAAGCTGACAAACTCTAAATGTGTTTATGTAAGCGGAAGTTTATTGGGTCTGCGGGATAATGGGGTTGATTTCACATGATTTGGGCGGATTTGGGCAGACTTGATGACTAAGGTGGGAGGTGTTTGGTCACGTGTTTGATAATATTCGTTTCAAATCTGCGTTTTTGGGATCCTCTTGTTCTCTTGTGCTGTCTAAATGGGGGTTGTATTGGAAGATTAGCGGAAAAATTGCGGGTCAAGATTATGAGTGTTTCAGACAGACAGAGATATAGGGGCGATATAAGTTACAAGTGACTTAAATTGACGGCTTACTTCATTCTTACGAAATACCCACTTTTCTCGTCGTTCTAGCGACACTATTGACAGAGATAGAGACGTCCCATGTACTACATATGGTCAACTAAAACGCGGATGTTTCCCAAGTGGACTTCCAAGTAGACACTTCAACTTTGGCTGCAGTAAGTACAAGTACCAAAAGTTGCCAATTCAAGGAAGTGTCAACTGAAAAGTACACATTAGTTCAATTTGTGCCCTAAAAAACCCATCTATCTATTTATTTATTCTATATCTCCAATGAAACCCCGTTTTACCAACATTGTCCACTGAAGTCCGTAGACTCACTTAACACCATACAAGCAAGTACAACCATAAGTACAACCACACCACGAGTAAAAGACATATCCGACTCTCCTACAAACCACCATGACACCCAGACAACTCCAACAACTCAATTGATCCAAAAAAAACCCCCCACAATCAGCCCTCCTACACCCTCCTACTCCCTCATATCTTGCTACCATCTACCCTAACCCCTACAGCAAAGTGTATCAGTCTGCCGAGATGGACTAGACCGCCTTAACAACGTCACAAGGCAAACAACGTCATGAGCGATACGATTGGCGACATTCTGAACACGTTGCGGGGAAAGACCGCAACCATCATGGCCTCGGCCGACTCAGATTTCGAATACGATCCGAATCGGTCCAGTGAGTGGTCGTCTACGCCCCCCACCCACCAACAGACTCAGGACGAGCTGACGCACACCTTTCTGACGCCCAAGCCGGAGCTGTCACGGGGCTGGCTCAAGTACATCAATAAGGATTTCCACGTGGACAAGCTGGTGGAGTTTGCGCCCGCGCTGTACGGTCTTCCTGAGGCCACAGTGCGTACAGATGTGCAGTTTGATCGTCTGGGCATTGATGGTCACATTACGGGCTACAAAGAGTGCACGGTGAGCGGCGGCGATCTCAACAACAAAAATAGTATGTCTGTGAACCGTGCGGCCGGTTCCAAGCTCGATTTTGTGCGGGGACGGTCTGGTTTCATGCCGTTTGCGCCCGGCGGAGTGGATCTGGCCGAGAAGCAGGAACAGGGCCAATTGTTACACAGAGACAGCCACGGACTATTTGATGTGGCGCCTGGGTTTGAGCGAGGACTTGATATTGTTGGATCTGTGGCTGAAGCCGATTCTGAGCTGGGAGCACTTGCCAAGGACGAGCGGGACGAGGAAAGCACCACTGGTGCCCAGGGAGCCGATTCGGGCTTGGTTGGCGAGCTCAGCGAGCAGGTGAGCAACCTCGATCTGGCTGGAGATGGCGACAAGCACTCGATCGACGATTTGCTCCCCAACGATATCACTTTTGGGCGAGCTCAAACTTCTTTCAACACCACTCAAAAGACCAAGGACTGGGCCCATGTGGTCAATGTGAACAAGGAGATCACCAACTTCCATGAACTCGTTCCTCAAATGGCTCGAGAGTTCCCCTTTGAGCTCGATACGTTCCAGAAGGAGGCGGTTTACCATCTCGAGCAGGGCGACTCTGTGTTCGTGGCTGCCCATACGTCTGCCGGTAAGACCGTTATCGCCGAGTACGCCATTGCCATGGCTCAGCGCAACATGACCAAGGCCATCTATACGTCTCCCATCAAGGCTCTTTCCAACCAAAAGTTCCGAGACTTCAAGCACACCTTTGACGACGTTGGTATTCTGACCGGAGATGTCCAGATCAACCCCGAGGCTTCTTCTTTGATTATGACGACGGAGATTCTGCGATCCATGCTCTACAGAGGTGCCGATCTCATTCGAGATGTCGAATTCGTCATTTTCGATGAGGTTCATTACGTCAACGACGCAGATCGAGGAGTTGTGTGGGAAGAGGTCATTATCATGCTTCCTGAGCACGTCAAGTTCATTCTGCTGTCTGCCACTGTCCCCAACACGTTCGAGTTTGCCAACTGGGTCGGTCGAACCAAGCAAAAGGATATTTACGTGATCAGCACTCCCAAGCGACCGGTTCCTCTGGTCAATTATTTGTGGTGCAAGAACCAGATGATTGAGGTCGTGGACGAGAAGAAGCAGTTTTTGATTGGAGGATACAACAAGGCCAAGGAGATTATGAGCGGCAACAGCAACACTGCTGCAGCAGGTCGAGGTGGTGCAGCAGGAGGAGCCGGAAGAGGAGGAGCCGCAGGCCGAGGAGGAGCTGCAGGCCGAGGAGGAAACAATGCGCGGGGAGGCCGAGGTGGCCGTGGAGGAGCGCGAGGAGGAAGCAGTCAGATCACCCCCAAACAACAAAAGTCGGCGACTATGCCTTCCAAGTCCGACTTTGTCCAAATGGTCAACAAGCTGCATACACTCAATCTCCATCCCATGTGTGTTTTCGTCTTCTCTCGAAAAATGTGCGAGCAGTTTGCTGGGTATCTTCAGGGCCTGGACTTTTGCAACCAGAAGGAAAAGTCTGAGATTCACATGTTCTTTGACAAGGCTGTGACTCGGCTCTCGCAGGACGACAGAAATCTGCCTCAAATTCTGCAGATGCGGGAGTATTTGTCGCGAGGTATTGCTGTGCATCATGCTGGCCTTCTTCCCATTGTGAAGGAGGTCGTTGAGATTTTATTTGCTCGATCGCTGGTTCGAGTTCTGTTTGCGACGGAGACGTTTGCCATGGGTCTTAACCTGCCCACTCGAACTGTTGTGTTTGCCGGCACTCGAAAGCACGACGGAACCACCTTCCGAACACTTCTTCCTGGAGAGTACACTCAGATGGCTGGTCGTGCTGGTCGACGAGGTCTCGATAAGACTGGAACCGTCATTATCATGGTTCCCGGCGAGGTTGCTCCTCTGGACCAACTCAAGGAGATGATGTTGGGCCAGCCTACACGTCTCAAGTCGCAGTTCCGACTTACATACAACATGATTCTGAACTTGCTGCGAATCGAGGCTTTGAAGGTCGAGGAGATGATCAAGCGGTCTTTCTCCGAGAACGCTAACCAGCTGCTTCTTCCCGAGCACGAAGCCTCGGTCAAGTCCAATGAGACGCTCTTGTCCAAGCTTGAAAAGGTGCCTTATCCCGACTGTGATCCGTATATGGCAGATGTGTTGCGAATCGGTCTCGCTGCTCGGGAGTGTCAAAAGTACATCATGACGCAGGGTCCCAAGATTGCCAACATGCGGGATATTTTCAAGGTTGGTAGAGTCGTTATTTTCGATCTTGCCGATGGGTCCAGTCGTCGAATCGGATTCATCTCTCGTCCTGTGATTGGCGAGTCTGCTTCAATCCTCGCCTTCCCCTGTGCTGGCTCTTCCACTACTCTTCCTCTTTTCCCCCAGCAGCCTGGTTACTGTCGACTCATTTTGCAGCCTCTGATCCCCTCGTCTGGAAAGTTGGAGATGTATGCTGTCAAGATCCCTGATCTGGTGTTTATTACCAAGTACATCATTAACAACGTGCGTGATGTTGCTCGGTACGACAAGCAGGCTGTCGACGATGCGTTCCAGAACATCAACAAGATCTGCCGACGGTCTGGAGGTGTGGCCGAGTGTTCTTGGGACCGGCTGAAGGAACTGGAGTTGCAGCAAAAGTGCCAGGAGAAGATTCATCTAGAGATTGAGTTCTCGCAAATCCCCTGCGTCAAAAACCTGCCCGCCAACTTCCTCAAATCGTTCAAGCAGGAGTACGAGGAGTACGAGATCCGCAAGAAGATTTCCGATCTGCGACAGACTCTGAGTGACCAGAACCTGGAGCTGCTTCCTGACTACGAGCAGCGAGTCCAGGTGCTCAAGGACCTCAACTACGTTGACGACAAGAACATTGTGCTTCTCAAGGGCCGAGTGGCATGTGAAATCAACTCTGGTTTTGAGCTGTTCATTTCCGAGCTTGTTCTCGACAACTTTTTGGGCGATTACGAGCCCGAAGAGATTGTCGCCTTGTTGTCTGCCTTTGTTTACGAAGGATCCAAGGATGTGGAGGAGCCCATCACAGTGACTCCTCGTCTAGACAAGGGTCGAGAACGAATCAAGCAGCTGGTGGGCCACGTGACAGACGTGCTGGAGCACCGACAGGTGATTATGACGTCTGATGAGCAGCAGTTTTTGGAACGCGGTCGCTTCGGACTCATTGAGGTTGTCTACGAGTGGGCTCGGGGCATGACTTTTGAGGCCATTTCCGAACTTACCAGTGTCCAGGAGGGAATCATTGTGCGGGTCATTTCTCGGCTGGATGAGGTGTGTCGAGAGGTGCGGAATGCCGCCCGAATTATTGGAGACGCTACTCTTCAGGACAAGATGGAGACTGCCCAGGAGCGAATCAAGCGAGACATTATTTTCTGTGCTTCTTTGTATCTTTAATTAGTACATGAATGAAATGATTGATGACGGTTATAGAGGTAACTGGTTTTGACGGACTATGATGTGTAGCACAATACTTGGTATGTTGTAGAACTGTTTCTCGAGACTGTATCTCACTTATGAGCGTCGATCATGTCCAAGGCACGATGTAGCTAGTTCAACGAACGGGAATCTTTTGCACAATACGGTACTGTACTAAAAGAGGAAGCAATAACTCTGAATCATCAATTGCTACTTGCAATTTAGTCCACGTACTCGTACAAGTTTTAGGATGTTATATCCCTGACCGACATTCTACTGACGTCTTCACATTCATGACGTCTGGTGGATAGCAAGTGTGAACTGGAACACAAGAGCTGAAGAGCTGTAATTAATACAGAGAGTTGAAATTGACACAAGGAGCTGTAATTAACACCATATCACCTTGGACAAATCTCATGACACATGTCTTACACCCCATATTTTGGCTGGCATCACAGTACGTACAGTACTGTACAAGACGCCGCTATTTATAACTAAGTTTCTTGACAGTGGATGTGGGATTTGAGACTCGTGTCTGAGGTGGTTTTGGAGGAGATATGGGAAAAAGGACTTGATTACTCGGATTAAAGGGTGATTAAAATCTGATTCCAACAATAATCTCAGCTACAGCTCAACTAAATCAATCGACAATGTTCCCCCAACAGCTCATCCCACATGCATGAATTATGCCTGCTAAATATAACCGAAACTCAACTGCAAACGGCGTTTCTGGACTATCTGGGTCTGTAGGGTGTGTACGTATGGACACTCGGTAGGATCTATTTCGAGAAGATTGTCAGACCTCCTGACCACTTGACTCTGTTCTATTTTGAGAAGTCTCCGCAAGTGCTATATAAGTGCCCCTAGGTTTCTCATAGTTCTGTATCAACTACAACATCCACATTAACAACAACAATGCTCTCCAACACCGTCGCCCTTATTACCGCCGCCACTGCTGCGTTGGCTGCTCCCGTCGCCAACCAGGAGCGAACTGAACACCCTACCTACTCTCTCCACGCCATCTTGCCCGGCCAGGGAGCTTCTGGCATGAAGCCTCTCCAAGTCCGTGGTAACGATGTGGTCTACGGACTGGAGCAGGGCTACTCCTACTTCAAGGTAGAGGATGTTGGAAACGCCCTGGCCAACGTCATTTCTGAGGGACTGGGACCTCGACAACTCTTTGCCAACGTGGAGACAGGAAAGCTGGACGTGAAAGACGGCCCTGCCCCTCCTCTTGAGGGCAACAGCGGAGGCTGGGCTTACAACGGAGATCAGACTGTCAAGGAGCTTTCTTCGTACGGAACCAACCAGTTTTACTCCTGCGACTCCAAGACAGACCCTCTTCACGGAGGACAGGTGGTCTACGTCTTCAACGGAGGCTATGCCTGTCCGGATCCTATCAAGTTCACCATTGCGGCGACCCTGCAGTAAGCAGGTTGAGTTTTTCTCCACGCTCGACGTTGTCACCATCGTGTCCGTTTTAATTATGCCATTCCTAGTATCTCAACTGCGAGAAGTGCAGTTCTATTCTTTAGTTTCTAGACCGTCCGGACATTTTACCGTCCGGGCAGTAATATATGATCGTTCATTCGGAATATTGTAGAGAGAGAGAGAGAGAGAAAGAAAATGAAATAAGTCAGTACTTGTAGCACAACTATCAACTCTTTCATAGCTTCAGTTCAGGGTCTTCATACATTCTTCCCGAGGCAGTATATACTTGTGTGCTCCTGTACACTCTCCATAGTTATTATCCACTCCAAAAACACCTCAAAAATCATTCTACTTAATAATATCTTCATAAATGAACTGAAATATCTTCTACAGGCTCAACAAAATACAAAAAACCCTCGCTCTTAGCTCGTAAATGTCTTTTCCCCTATACCTTTACGGGTTTGATTAGTAATCAGTAATTTGAGTGACTAACACAAAATTCCATTTTTTTCACAATCCGCAATAGTTTAGTGGCTAGAATTTCCGCCTGTCAGAACTTGTGTTCAGCACGCGGGGGACCGGAGTTCAATTCTCCGTTGCGGAGTGTTGGTTACGGCCATATCCTGGTGAAAATACGGCTTCCCGTTCGATCAGCCATAGTCAAGCACCAGAGAGCCCAGTTAGTATTGTAGTGGGAGACCATACGAGAATCCTGGGTGCTGTAATCTTTTTCGCAGTCGAGCAGCGGCCGAGTTTTGTCATCTTTTTACGCTGTTTATCATCCTGCCTTTAAACCCATCAACCGATACTTTAGGGTGAGATTAGACTTAAGTAATTACTTTAGTTAGGCTTTGAATATCTCAAGTAATTAGTTGGTGTTAGAATGGATCAGAAAACATGTCATTGTGTGGGTAAATTACCATTTTTGGAAGTTTTACCACTTGAAAACTAGTCTGACTAATCTTCTTGGATCTCGTTTGTCCAATGCATCGTTTTTTTCCGTGTATTTATGGGTTATTCACGCCTGATTGTGGGAGTATGTTCCTACTTGTAGCTAATATACAGACAAAAAAGTGATAAGGAGAATACCAGTTGGTCACAAACGGACAAGTGGCTGTTACAATCAAGTCTCAAAACGTCTCAAAAAGATATTGCATCTCCTCCATCACCACCAAGCCTCCAAAATATCAACAGCATTTCCCAAAAAGAATGGTCCCTAGCAGGATCGAACTGCTGATCTTCGCGTTGCAAAGAGGCTAATTTCTTATTAGCACGACGCCTTAACCAACTGGGCCAAGGGACCGCTTTTGACACCAAAAATAGCAGGTTTTATAGATTCTAGAATTATTGAAAAGTGCCGCGATTTTTGGAAATCAGGTAAATAGATACGAGGTGACATTTATTATCGCCTCTTAGGTCTTTTCACTGTTTTTGGAACTCTGACATCGGTTTTTTTAGGTCTCTCCGAGCTCAGAGTACTACAAGTAGATGGCTACGGGGCAGGTGGACAGTGATCTCAGTTGTATTGTTGAAGCCAGCAAGAGGCACCAGGACATTTAGTAGTCATACAACTCTCTAAATCCCTGTAAAGACTTTTTTTTTTTCTCGCAGGAACAGTACATACTACATACTGGGGTCAGAAGGACGTCTACGAGTATCTCCTCAGCTCCTGGAAGAAGTATTAAAAGCAGCTTTCGACTCATACAGAGTCCGGTGATTGTATCTACAAATGTGTCTTGAACATTCAATAGTCAACAACTTTGCTGACCAAATTCTGCCAGTTGTTGCGTCTGATATACCAAATGATTACATCTTGCACAATGGAGTCACCAAGTCGAGGATCAAGGGTTCAGTCAAAGTTCCATAAAGTCGATGATCACCGAAACTGATGATTTTCACAGGTATTCCACAAATAACTTCTAACCAAACTCCTCCCCTCACTGGTATTCCATCTCTTTCCTTACACAGTCTAGTCTTTAGCGTGGTCAAAAAACGCCTGTGGTAGCAAACGAGGCGTGACAGTATGTGCAGATGTAATTGTGTTGATTGGACATGACTTGACTGGTTTCAGGTAGTACTTTTAGCTGGAAAATTCTCGTAACAGACACTCCTTTAGTACTTTCAGAGATGACGGCCGGACTAATGATTCGCGGTCACCGGATGGGGAGTATAAGGAATGACAGCAAGTCTAGAGATATAGAGAGAGCTGATAAAGGTTGATAAGGATTGTATTATTTGTTTCCCCCTTTTTTTTTGTCTTATTGAGTAAAATATTCGTACACAGCTGTCCCAATAGTACCCCACGTCCAAAAGTCAGTCGACACACTTCATTCAATAGGAAAGGCTTCCAAAATGAATTTTGGGCACGTGATTGGAGATGAATTTTTGACGCAAGAGGAATCACGTGAGACTAAACCGACGACCTTCCCCTATACCGCTTCAGATTGTAAAAATGGACTTTTGTATACTGTCTACAACCCAGATATGGCATGCTCTGAAGACTTTACTCCCCATTAATGTGGTCGACACGAGGGCACACTATAGGAACAGCTGATTCAAAATTTTGTTTGTAGAACATTTATCATGATTAATTTTTACGTAACAACTAGTGAGTCCAGTCATAATGCTTCGTCACTATCCTCTCCATCCTGGATAGCTCCATCTATCTTCCTGGGTCTGATACCATGAGAACATTTAACAATCAGACAAGCAGAACATAAGTACGAGTATGTGCTGTACTTGTATTACGCCGTCCTCTACTTATCTTCGAATTCATGGACTGTGTCAACTTTTCGTTGTTCAATCAATCCTTATGTAGATTTGTTTCGACCACCAGTTAGACGGTCTAGTTCCACCTACAGATCGATCTTTGCATGTTCCAGCAGTGAGTATGGATCGGAGTCAGCATTTTGAGGATGGCTTCTCAAAACTGTCATTGCCGATTCTCTATAGCATCCAATAGCCACGTACATACAAGAGACCGTCGTAGAAACTCGTAGATGTGTCATTGATCGCTTGAATCGTCTCGCTCGTAACATCTCGCTCTCCTAGCACTACGCCCACAGCCACCAAACAACTTCTCAGGTTTCTCAGTCATTCACTGTAAATACTTTTAATTACATTATCGTTTGCTCGTTCGCATGCTTGCTCGTTCGCCATGCTCACTTGCTCGCTATCTCAGCTCTCTACTGCTTATGAGCAGAGTGAGACTTGACGTATCGTCCGGAAGGATCCTCGGCACATCCCCAGTCGGCCTTGGGGATCCATCGCATGACGGTGGTGGCGGCGGCGGGCTGGGGGAACAGCTCGTCGAACATGCATCGGTACCAGTAGGCCTCCTTGGTCTTGGGAACGTCAGCACCCCAGTGAGGCTTGGGGTTCTTGAGCTGCTCGTCGGTGATGGTGTTCTCGGCGGCATCCTTGAGACCGTCGATCCACGAGTAGCCAACTCCGTCGGAAAACTGCTCCTTCTGTCGCCACAGAATCTCGTCGGGCAGGTAGGGCTCAGCGCCGGGCTCGTCGGAGGTATCAAAGGCCTTTCGGATGGAGTACTTCTCAATGTGGTCCTTGTCGATGATCTTGTCCTTAGGATCAATGTTCATGGCAACCTCCAGGAACTGCTTGTCCAGGAAGGGCACTCGGGCCTCCAGTCCCCAGGCCATGGTGGACTTGTTGGCTCGCAGACAGTCGGCGTAGTGCAGGTTCTTGACTCGCTGCACACACTCGGTGTGGAAGGCCTCGGGAGAGGGAGCAGCGCCAAAGTACAAGTAGCCGCCAAAGACCTCATCGGATCCCTCACCGGACAGAACCATCTTGACTCCTCCGGCCTTGATCTTTCGAGAAAGCAGGTACATGGGGGTGGAGGCTCGGATGGTGGTCACGTCAAAGGTCTCCAGGTGATAGATGACGTCTCGAAGAGCGTCCAGACCCTCCTGGACAGTGAAGGTGTACTCGTGATGGATGGTGCCAATGAACTCGGCACACTTCTGGGCGGCAAGCAGATCGGGAGCGCCGGGCAGACCGACGGAGAAGGAGTGCAGTCGCGAGCCGGAAGAGTTGGTCAGGTGGCCCTGCTCGTCGACACCGGCAAGATCCTGGTTGACGGTCTTCTCGGGAGCAGCTCGTCGGGTCTCTCGGGCAGCGATGGAGGCAATCAGAGAAGAATCGAGACCGCCGGAAAGCAGAACACCGTAGGGAACCTCGGACATGAGTCGCTTTCGAACAGCAGCCTCCAGAGCCTCTCGGAGCTCCTTGTAGTCAACTCGCTTGGTGGGGATCTTGGATCCGTCCCACCAGGAGGGCTCAAAGTATCGGGTGATCTTGTCGGTGTCGGAGTCGTAGACGTGGCCGGGGGGGAAGGCCTTGATCTCGTCACAGTCGTCCACCAGACACTTGAGCTCGCTGGCAAACCACACAGTCTGGGGGTTCTTGTAAGATCGGCCCATGTACAGGGTGGTGATTCCAATGGGGTCTCGGGCGGCGATAATTCGGTCCTTGTTGGAGTCGTACAGAACAAAGGCAAACATTCCGTCGAGCTTCTTGGGGGCGTCGATGCCGTACTTCTCGTACAGAGGAATGATGGGCTCACAGTCCGAGTGGGTCTTGAACTTGTAGTCGGGGAACTCCTTTCGCAGGATTCGGTGGTTGTAGATCTCTCCGTTCACTCCCAGAACAATCGACTCGTCAGGCGAGGTGATGGGCTGGGCTCCGGTGTCCAGACCCACAATGGCCAGTCGCTCGTGGCAAATGATGGTGTTGTTCTTGGAGCAGTTTCCCGACCAGTCGGGGCCCCGGTGTCGGATTCGCTTGGACAGCTGCAGCGCATGTGTCTTGTACTCGGCCACGTCGGGCAGTTTGTAGGCGGCGAAAATTCCACACATGTTGTCGGCGTTTCGCTCTTGTTGCTCTGTGGATCAAAGAAGACTCTTTTTATCTTGCAGTGTGACTAAATGGTGGGCCGCCAAAAAAAATAGGCTTTTTGGGGGGGTGAAAATTGACAAAGCTAAAACGGGTCGGTGAAAAACCCTATGCGCTACCCAACACAAATCCCGTCCACCGCCAGTGATTGGCCCGGTGCGGCTTTTTTCGGTGGCGGTGGCGGCGCCAGGAGGTCGCTACGGCAACGGTCGTCCGATTTTTCGTCTTTTCCCGCGACCTTGAGCGCCACAAACGCCCCTTTTAGAGCGGGTGTTGGACTGCAACCCACGCCCATTTTAAGCACCAAAATTTCAACGCCAAGCCTCGAAAATCCCGAACGTTCCGGGCGCAGACAAAACACAGCGTCACGTGATCTGCAGAAGGAGAATGTCCAGCCACTGGGTGCGTTTCAGGTGCGATTCGGCCAGTAGACGGGAGGTGTAAGGTGCGAGGTGTGTTGACGTGACTGGTTGTTATCAGGTACAGTTCAATAAGGTGAGTCATGGAGATTGAGTGTAGACAAGCATGACGAGGCTGGTTTTGGGTTCTTAACGGTTGAGGGGATGCGAGCAGAGAGCCGCTATTGTAGTTGTAGTTGTAGTTGTACTCGCACCGCTAGTGTACTACAACAATACTGGTTCCAAGATGCTGCCAGTACACCTGCGTCCATTCACACCGATCCGGGGAACTGTGCGTGTTTGAAGGCCGAAAATACGCTTGCGTGTCGAATGGGTCCGAAATGACTCATTGGCATGTTCGACGTCTTGTTTTGTCTTGTTCTGTCTGGTTTTGTCTTGTTTATGTCAACATGTCACCATATCCGCCTACTGACGTCGACCCAACGCAGGTCAATAGCCGATAAGAGTGAGTCAGAGATAAAGAACGCGCGCGCCAAAGACATGCTATCGGTGAGATAGTGTCAATGTGGGGAGTACAGTAGCATAAATTGGAGTTTGGATAGTCAAGTAGAAGAGCACACTAGTATGTAGTCGATTAGACATGATATTCTCGGAGATATATGTGGTGTGGTCCAGGAGGAGGTGATTTGGTTTGTTTATGGTAGATGAGCAATACATTCCTGTAGATTGTATTCCCACAGACGATGCCGATATATTGGTGGAATATGGAGGCTTGTTCCAAGTAAGTTAGTTGAGTATTTATGGATATCAGTTGGGTTATAGTTGAGTGTCTGTTTTCTATAGATAGATAGTAAACAGACGGATTTCCATTAGAACCACGTCGGGAGGGAACTTTTTGTGTGGATAATTGTTTGAAATACCAATTCTAACAAACTAGAACTTCTTTCTTCTTCTTCTGCCAAGTGTTGCATGTGTTGAAGAGTACTTTGTTCGGATCTCAATGCTGCCCGTGGATGAAAGATTTAGGAGTATTGAAGCGTTCACAGATCAGGTTATTTGAAGACAGTTTGAGACTGTCAAATAGCTTGATCCAACTAGAGGGTTTCTGATTGAATCGGATCTGGATGAGTTCAAAGAAGTCTACACCCACATAGTACCTGCCTGAAACAACAGTCGAATCCTGACACAAATACATACATAACGGCAACTGAACTGTTCAAAATGACAATTTATACACCCTCATATTGTTATTCCACAATTCCCGTGTCAAAATCCCCCCAAAATTCGCTCAATGACCATCCGGAGTTAAACGGAGTTAAACGGAGTTAAACAAAGGTTTCCGGAGACTCCTCTGTGGCATTGTGAGCAGCTACTTTTGATTCAAATTGAGATGTAACCAATGAAAAAGCCCTTGTGACATCTTCTGCAGACTTCACAAAGCCGTTCTCGTCGGTGGATCGGTTGGTTTCATTGCTTCCATGTCCGCCGTGATCCGAGTCACCAGTGGACCATTCAAACACGCAGAAACCATCATTAAAAGACGGAATAGTCCTTGATAGACACGTTCATACCCTTATAAAGACACAACTTTTACATATCAACTCAACGGTTCTGCAACCATACACTTGACCACCGCAGGTGTGCACAGTATGTACTGTACTTGTATAGTTACAGTACATACTGTACTCATATCTCTGTCTTGATGAAAAAAAAACAAAACAAAAAAAACATCCGCCACACTCGTGACATGGTCCCTAGCAGGATCGAACTGCTGATCTTCGCGTTGCAAAGCTGCCATTCTTATTAGCACGACGCCTTAACCAACTGGGCCAAGGGACCGTGTGTTTTGCCAAGGGCGGAGATGTGGATTCGAGGTCGGAACTGGCGAAAAAGTGGGCCAAAAAAAAAGAGGCAAAAAGTAGAAAAAGATAGCGTGCGAAGCAACGGAGAGGCTCCCCATTAGACTGAGCCAGTCCTGTAGTAATTTGAAGACTTTGAAACCTTCAATATTCATCAAGAGATGTTTGTTCAACTGTTAGGCTGAGTCCATAATGTTGGATATGACTGTATAGAAGATTGTTGAATAGACCGTCACAAGCATTTACTCTCTGAGTCAACATGTGCAGACACCTACGGTAGACGTAATGGCAGAAACAGATACAACCACCGCTACAATTTCCCCATCATTTGCTAGCGTAAAGTCCATTTGTATTTCTGTCATTTTACCAGATATAGACACCAGCATTGTCTGTTATTCGCGTCTATGCCATGTATCGACTTGGGATTGCTCAAGCATTATTCATTATTAGATATCACTGTATTACTACTTGGTCTCGTCTTCATCATCTTCATCTTCATTGTTGTCGTCCTCCTCTTCATTCTCGTAATCAACCTGCAACTCATGACAGATATCAAAACACTCCGCTAACAAAGCATTGACCATTCCCTGACCCTCGGGAATGGAGTTTCCCTGCATGAACTTGCCATCCACTCGCTGGTTATCAATGGATCGCAGCTTGAGCTGGTATGGATAAAGTTCTCGGACCGAAGAAATTCCGCCCAAACGCTTTATGTCGAGCAGGAACCGCCGCATGGTCTTGAGCTGGTTGTGTAGTGGCGTCAGAGCCTCGGAAATAGGCTCCGACGACTCTAGCAGCTTGTAGATGAGGGCGTAGCATCGTCGCAGCAGGTAAAGCAGAATCGACTGCCCGGCCAGCTTAGTGGGCGATCCCTCCTTATCCAATGAGTCCTTCTTATCGTTCTTGTCCTTATCGTCAACAGACAGGTTGTTCACCGAGTCAGCCAAATCGCAGGTTGTGCAGTCCTTGTCCTTCTCGGGCACAAATAAACCGCCCACCCGTCGCTCATCGATCGCCTGCAGCTTCTTCTGGTAGCCGTAGAGATCGGTTTCTCGCATTGTCCATCTGTGGGTGATGGTAAGACCCTCAAGAGTGGTCTTGAGGTGCAGCAGCTCCGAGTAGACAGGCAGAAGAGAAGGATCGACTCGATTCGTCTCGGCCTCAAAGTCCTTGATGAGCTCGAAACAGTCGTCAATCTGGCCCGCCAACAAACCAGCAGACTTGTCGACAAGCTTCTCTCCCGACGAGGTGATGAACTCGTTTTTCTCGCCCGTCAGATGCGTCTTCTCAATATTCTGTAGTTGCTTGAGAAGCGGCTGCAGCTCGGTGGCCACAGATCGCTTTCCGTCCTTGGCGTCAGGCGTAGAGGCCACGCTCATGATCTCCCGTCGGATTGTATAAACCTTTTGCAGCAGCACGCCGACCTCTGGAATCACGTGGTTGTAGGCCTCCTCCACCTCCTTGAGGCCCTCCATGCACACCTTAAGCTCTCGTTCAATCAGAGCGATCACCTCCGGGTTCTCTTCACTTTGCTGCTTGAGAATCGCCTGGATCTCGTCTAGCCGCGCCCGAACAGGCTCGTAGTCGTTGCCCGTGTAAATTTGCGACTCCTTGAGATGACTCAGAAGTCGTCGAACTGTCGAAAGAGAGGCGTACGTCGCGGCCGCACTCTTGTTGTGTCCAATGGTCAGAAACGACAGCGAAAGCAGTTGGAAAACGTCGTCCAATACGACATCCACCCGGTTGTACTCGTCCTCCAAGCTGGGATCCGACCGAATCTGGTTCAGCAGAGAAACCTCCTCCACCACCTGGTTGTAGATTCGAGAAATATCTTCCTGCTTGAGATAGGTCTGTCGGTCGAGCTTGAGCGCGGTCAACTGGTCCCGGAGAGCCACCAGCTTGCTCAGCATCTCCTTCTCGTTGGCGGGGACCGTGTCGTCCTTGTGTGTGTTTTGCTCGTTGAATAATAGCGACATTGTGGCGGTGATAACAAGTGGTGTGGGGGTTGCTCAACACGATACTTGAAGTAGGTGGCTGCATGCACTGAGTTACAGCTTCAGCTTAGTAAAGATGCATAACCGTGTCTGGAGATTATGCCATATAGACGGGAGACGTTTTATTTATTTATTATGGGGATCCACTCACGTGAGCAAAAATCCTTGCCTCCTCCCCCATCACTTGATTAGTAATCCAACCGCTCACTTCCAAGCCGCCCCGTCGTTATCTGAGGCTGAGCTGAGGCTTTTCTGTTGTGATCAGCAAAAAGTTACGACAGCCTGAACTATGGGAATTATTTACAACTGCTGGAGGCATATACAGTATATATCAAGCGAAGGGACGCGGGGGAGTGGGGGGGGATAACGTGACCGGGAAATAAGAGCGCGTGCCACGGTGTCACGTGATTGAAAATGGGGGAGGGTCGTTTCCGATCGCAATGTCAACACTTGTTTCTGCTTGTCGTACAACCAACTACCCTGTTCCCATATATGGAAGCAATAGAGGCGTCTCGGTAACAATGTGGTTACCCTAACCCGATCGCTGTGAACAGTAATCTAACTGCATCACGTGGGCGGGGAGGGCAGGGGTTGTGTTTGTGGTGGACTTGTATATATGGGCGAGTTGTTTCCGTCGACTTTGGGTGTTGGGGTGTCTTTTTCTGAGACTTGACGGAGACTACATTACTTGTAGATGGTCCACCTTATCTACCATCTGTCAAATATTGAAGACAAGATATGTCGCACGTGATTTCCCGATGGGACGAACCTTTTTTCACATCAGCCGCACACGTGATGGGAGGGCTGGAGTGCGGTGGGTTGGATTTAAAAGATTTGATTTGTTTGAAGAGATTCGGTTCGTCTTATCACGGAGTTTGGCAATGGTTTCTCTGCTCAAATGGTCATGTGATCATGGTGATTGCTTGGGGGTGTGAAGATGGGGGTTCTCGCAGGTCCAACTGGAGTCTTGACTCAGACGTGCGTGCTGGAGCATCCACCTCGGTCATGAGCATCCACCTCGGTCATGAGCATCCACCTCGGTCATGGGCATCCACCTCTTGTGTCACCTGGTGATGCCAATTCCTGATGGCCCAGGTTGTCTCATTCTGAACAATCTGACAACCAATTCTCAGGGGGTTTGAACGTTCGAATTCGATCAATGGAGCGACGGAAACTGCGGTGCACGCATTGAGTGTCGAACAATGACTCAAGCCTTTATGTTGGATACACCCAGACCCTTCCTCACAGAGTGCTGACAATGGCGGTTCAACGAGAAATCATCTGTCCCATAGCAAAGGGCTCCGGAAGGGAAAATCCTTGCGGACCTGGATACAATTGAATCTACCGTAAGTACTGTATGTACTGGAGATTCAATACGGGAGTGCTATGAGTGACAATCAACCGAGTCGAGGGTGAAACAGATGAAGATAAATGGTGGACAACTACTGGTGACTCTGTTTTAGGCTGACGCAAGCGTTATCTGCTGTGGGAGGTCTCATTTGGCTCACCGGAGAACTCATTTGGCCCATAGGAGATCTCGAACTTCTCAAGAGACTCGATCTGCTCTAGAGATGTCTAGATCTGCTCTAGAGATGTCTAGATCTGCTCTAGAGATGTCTAGATCTGCTCAATAGATACCTCCTTTGGTCCAAGAGGCCTGGAGTCGACCTTGACAACCCTTGAGTCGATCATTAATACCCCTCAAGACACCCTAACGATAAATGCCCTGCGGAAGACCATGATGCTGGCAAGGGGATCGTTGCTCGAGAACCAGTCCGCAGTCCAAGTCAATAAATGAGCACCTGAGACGGAAACACCACCGCGCTACTCCTCGCAACCAGACAGCTCCGAGTCGGGCCACGTGAATCCTGAAGGATGCTCCCGCAGTTGATCGGAGACACGTGAGCCCCCAGACCCATACTGATCAGAACAGTGACCGCTGGTGGCATGGATCATAGATTGGACTCACGTTTTCACTTTTGCTACAGCCGCAATCTGTTAAGCAGAATGTACGGTTATGGACTACATGTGTGGCGAGTTGTATCGGACATTCTCAAACACTGCCGGTGGGTTTGAACATGGAAGTGACAACTTGTCAAGAAACTGGAACAGAAAGATCAACTGATCGCTGGTTCAATTGACGTATAAATCACAAGACGAACAGAGGACATTGCCTAGTCTCATGACAAGTTGTCCAACTGACTGGGTCTTGTCCGCTCCGCAATCACAAGAACAAGAGATGGGAGTCTGAAATCGAGTCTTTGATGGCTATCACAGGTATTGGTAGTAGGTGCTATCTTGTAGTTGATTTAGTGAAGGAGGTTCGTTCATGACAGTCCGTCAACGTAGTCTATAACCTGAAATCTCTCGTATCCAATACTCATGATCATGTGAATAACCAAACTCGTCTTCACCAAACTCGTCTTCACACTTACTTGTACAATACTTAGCAATTTAGTTGAAAGATACTCAACACCCAAGTGCCACTACTTGTATATACACCCCATGAATCCGCATACAGTACGTGCATGGAATGTTTGGAAAATGCCCATTCCAGAAAACTTTTGGGTTCGCAAAATCAGCTCCAGACACGTGTCGTACGGGGGGATCACGTGACGTTGTCGGGCCGCAAAACCGCCATATGACTAATCTGGCCGTTGGAAATGCGTCTGTTTCGCCTGGTCGCAGATATTCGCTCGCCATTGGTCGCATTCGCGCCTCCAACCCGCCTAACACCCCTCTCCTGTATCGAAACCCTAAGTAAATGCTACTGCAGATTTCGCCCTTGCTGCATATTTTTATTTCCACACCTTCACTTGCACATCTACAATACAACCGAGACAGACAATGGTGCGATTAACCCGAACCAAAGTGACGAAAAAGCCCGCGACCACCAAGGCGGTGTCCAAGAAGCAGAGCGCCAAGACCGCCAAGGTCAACGGAGTCAAGGCGGCGGCGGCCAAGCAGGAGCTGGAGAAGAAGACGGTCAAGGAGGAGAAGCCCATTCCCGCGGCCAAGGCGCCCTCAAGGCTGCGACTGTCGGCCATCCAGCGAAAACATAAACACAGCCCGACGCTGCTGCCCCTTCCCTCCATCAACAAGGTGGATTGCGAGGTGTTTGCATTCGGAACCGGAGACATGTGCGAGCTGGGTCTGGGTCCCGAAAAGGCCTCCACTGTCAAGCGACCCCGTCTATCGCCCTACCTGTCCAAGGAGATTGTGGACATTGCCGTCGGAGGCCAGCATGGACTGGTGCTGGACTCCCAGGGACGAGTGTGGTCGTGGGGAGGCAACGATCTGGGAGCCCTGGGACGAGACACCTCGGGCCATGAGGTGCTCAAGGACATGGACGCAGACGAGTCCGACGACGAGGATGACCCCAAGCTCAACCCTGCCGAGTCAATTCCCGCCCTGGTCGACACCGACCAGCGGTTCGTCAAGATTGAGGCTTCCGACTCCCTGTCTCTGGCCCTCACTGCTGAGGGAGACGTGTGGGCCTGGGGCTCGTTCCGAAACTCCCAGGGAACCATGGGTTTCAGCGACAAGGTCAAGGTCCAGAACCGGCCCGTCAAGATCGAGGAGCTGTCTAACATTGCCGCCATTGCTGCTGGCCGAGACCACGTGCTCGCCCTGACCCAGTGGGGAACCGTGCACACCTGGGGAGACTCGGAAAACTTCCGTCTGGGATGGAAGTCTAACCGATCCACCCTTTCTCCTCGAGAGCTAGGTCTCAAGAACATTGTGTACGTAGGCGCCGGCGAGTTCCATTCGTTTGCAATTGATACCGACGGAAAGGTGCTTGCCTGGGGTCTCAACCAGTACGGCCAGTGCGGTATTCTGGGCCAGAGCGACAACGCTGCCGTCGACGGACCCACCTACGTCGATGCTCTTGATGGAAAGGACATTGTGGCCGTCACTGGAGGAGAACACCACTCTTTGGCTCTGTCCAAGGACGGAACCGTCTACTCCTTTGGACGATACGACTACCACCAGATTGGCTTCACCACCAAGGATCTTCCCGAGGGCACCGTTCGAGACGACAAGGGCAACCCTCGATTCCTGCCCGTTCCTTCTCCTCTTTCTCTCGGCGGAGAGGACGACGACGAGAAACTGCCCAAGATGCGCTTCATTGCCTGCGGTGCTCACCACTCCCTGATCATCGATGTTGACGGCCGTGTGTGGACTTGGGGCTTCTCCTCGTCCTTCCAGACAGGCCATGCCGAGGAGGACGATGTCGAGACCCCCCGAAAGATCATGAACACCGCCATCAAGCCCATCGATGTCAAGATGGCTGGTGGAGGAGGCCAGTTTTCGGTTGTTGCTGGTGTTCGAAAGGAGGAGTAAGTCGAGTATTAATCAACCCCGGTGTCGTTAGTGGACTGCCGTTTGCACGTCTTCTGGTGACAGTTATGTATCATATGTATTTTATTATCATTATAAGCAGGACAGAAACGGCAAGTCCAACGGCAGGCATGTGAATAATACAACACAAGGCCATACGACTGTCCAGTATGATGACACCGTCCTAAGGAGCACGATTCCATGGTGTGATTTTACAACTTCGATCAAGTATATAGATGACATATTCGGTGCCTCGAGTCTGCCAACTACACTACCCAATCCCGATCCGTGGTTTCTGTACTAAGAGTGCTGTCATCAGCTTCCGCATCTCTATCTACCAGCGAACCGTACTCGGCCGAGCAGCCGTTGTCCTGCATACCCTTCATGCTCTCAACTTCCACCATCTCCTCCTCAGGCTCTTCTACCTTCTCCCAGTCTCCATGAGATTGCGATCTCTTCTGAACAGGTTTGGGAACGTCCACTGGGGCAGAAGTGAGGTCGTTGTCCACCCGTTTTCGGGGAGGAACGGACTCGATAATATCCCTTGTCTCAGTGACGAGGTGGCTGTCGAGAATCGATGGAGAAGACCGCCCGCTGCCTGTGTTTCCTGTCATGGCTGCCACCTTGCGTGCCCGTTTGGTCACGTCCACAAAGTCGTCATCAGAAGCCCCTCCAATCGACACATACTCGTCCTCTTCATCAAAGGACGGAATGTTATGCCGAGAGGGATGAATGTGGACAATCTGGGAGCTGGTTTTCTCCTTTGAAGCCGTCAGAGACCCCTTGAACGTCTCCCAGTCGGCCTCACTCGTAATGTAAAAACCCACCAACATGCTGGGATCCATCTCTTTCAGATGCAGTTTCCAGATTCTGCTGGAATGAAAAGAGGTGGTATCTTTGTCCGTAGTTTTGACGGCCGGCTTAGGCTGATGCGGGTCGAGGTAAAACAATTGTTCGCCCTGGAAGCCGAAGAAGTAATGCGAAGTGAAGGGGCGGCCGCCTGCAATGCCAACAGACTGAGGAAGTGACAGCATCTGACGAAGAGAGTCCCAGTAGATGGGGTTGACGTTATCTATACCCAGTCGTAGTCCACAGAGCACGAGAAGAGGGAACCCCGTCTCCAACAGCTCATCCTCGTAAACGTCTCCTCCTCCGTTGCCATTGTAGTATACCTTGAGTCCCGAGTCCGGAAACTCGTTGCATAGGGCATAAATGCTGCTTCCCGCGGCCGAGGGTCCGAACCAGTCGCCAGCTGGCGTGGAGCATGCTTTTTCGCCGTGACGTACAAACTTGTGGATTGAGAACGGAGAGTCTGGGGAGTCCAGAAACCAGGATATTATTGTTTCCTCTGAGACAGCGGTTTCCTCTGATACAGCAGTTTCTTGCTCTTTGTTAGCACCGCCATTCCTACTTTCGCCACCCCTCGATTCTGTATTCCCCTCACTGAGATACACAAAGTCGTCGCCCTTGTTCCACCTCCAGCCTCGGCCCAGGTGTCTGAATAGCAGTGCGTTTGCGAGGAGGCTCTGTGACGTGCGGATCATGCAGCCCCATCCGACGTCCGATGTGTAGCCTCGCGGATCGAATCCTCCTCCACGTATCATGTTCTTGAGTTTGCCCAAGTGGATGGTTCCGGAGCCGTCGGATTTCGGAATCAGTGGGAAACCGGTTCGGTACGACAGCCATATTCGCGACTGCACGTCCGCCAGAAAGTCCGGAGGCCACGACGTATCATTTGACGTGTCCAGCGGCACTACTATGCCGTCTTCTTCTGTGTCGTCATTCACCTCCTTCAGGCTGGTGTCTGCGTCGTAAACCTGGCCCAGACAGAATAGAGGCGTGACGTGGTCCGTGTTGTGAGGTTCTGCGTCCCACAGATACTGCAGCGCTCGTTGGAGGGACATTGTGGCGTGTTTTGTGGGAGATGCTGGGGAGGTATGTTGTTGTGTTGGGTGCCACTGGAGATTGAGTTTAATGCGAGATAACAGATGATTGCTTATTAACAGTGGAGATTAATTTAGCCTGAGTTAGGGTTGGGAATAAAAAAGAAAAAGAAAAGGGTGAATAATACGAAAATGCGACTGTCTTTTGGGTGGCCGAGAGCCTGGGAAATGGGGCAATGGGGAGATGTAGAGATGGAAAATTTGGGGCAATTTGATTATGATTTTTGATGGACTTTTATGACGGCTTTTGTTGAGATGTGTTGGTCTCATGACATGGTTTTGATTTTATTATTGTTAAAATAAAAAAAAAAAAAACAAGAAAAAAGTTACTGAAGGTGAGGCAGTTAATATACAGAAAATGGGATTAATACTATCAAAAAGAGTGAAAAATAAAAAAAAATGAAAAAAAAAAAGACATTATTTGGAAGCAAAGTATACATAATATCATTTTACATGGAAGTACAACTACAGTACTTCTCGAGCTGGACTTTGTATAAATGACCACTTGTTAGGTATTAACATAATTTTTTTTTCTGCATACAATAAAATATTGCCATAACACATATAATGAAGATCATAAGTATGATGATTAGATATACAGTAGTTGATGTAACAACTTACGACTCACTTCTAGCGACACAACGTTCCGATAGCACCACAAACCAGGGTGTGTGTTTGCACATTTACGACAAGAGATTGTAAATCAGCGGATACACATCTACAGGATGGACATCTCGTCTTCGACCAACCTGGTTCCTCTAATGACCATGTGAGGAATTGGCCAGACATTTGCCGGAACCATCCTATCGGGAATTACCTAGGATCTATTCAGAATTAGTTGGAATTCTCTATAGGACAGTTCCAGATTGGCCATGACGACCACCTCGCGGACCTTGGGCTTGACCAGATGGGCCTTGACCTTCTCGAGAGCCTTTTCGATCTTGTCGAGTCGTCGGTTGGTGATAAGGTGTTCGAAACGGTGGGAATTGTCTAGAAGGCGGCTGGAGTGGAAGTTCGCCACTGGACTGGGGCTAATTTCAACAACTCGGCTGGAATTGAACTCCATTCGGGGATTGGGTGTGGGTCTGCTTGAGGTCCAAGCCCACGCAGTTTCGGAACATTGGAGAGATTGAGGGGTAGATGACTTCCTCGAACGGGTAGACGGGTTCGCTTTTGACGTAAGGAGTGATTCCGTACCCAAAAAATGAACTGCAGAGCCGGGCAGAACTTTTGCAGGTAGTTGAGACACTCTACTTCGGACTTCCGGGCTGGGTTCTGGGAATGGGGACGTTTGGGTACGACTTCACAAACACGTTGTCAAAGTCGTAGACAGTGATTGCCATTGGGAAGGTGGTGGTTGGTACGGTTGTCGTTGGAACAGCGGTCATTTGAACGGTGGTGATTGGAAAGTTGGTCATTGTGGGTTTGATGAGGTGAGGAAAGTCCTTGGCTGGGCTATAAATACTCACCAGTTGTCCGGAAAAACCTGTCAGGTCGGGGTAATGTCTGGATGTAGATGTCTAGAGGTGGAATTTCTGGATGTGAAGCGTCTAGAAGTGAATATGAGACACAGGGCTAGAGAGACTTAGAGGGGAGACTATGGGGAAGTCGATGAGAGGAGGCAGAAGGCTCTTTTGCTTTTGGAATAGTTGCGGTGATTGAAGAGTCAAAGATCGTCCGAAGTTGCAAGAATTGTGAATGTGCTTGCACCAAGGGGAACCTCGAACGCAGACCAACTGCTAGACCCCAGGGCGGTGCGCTAAAAAGAGGAACGGGATCTGGCAAGTTGTTGAATAGTGGACCACTAGTTGTGAGAGATTGGAACTAGGTATCCAGTTCATAGTGAAACAACTCTGGGCTAGTTGGGGAAATACGAGCCTGTAGAGAATCAAATGGAGATGGGGTTGATTGGGACCCGGGTCAATTGGTCTCAGTAATTTTGATACATGATTCCAACAAGTTGAACAGATCCATCCTAGATTGCTCTAGGCCGCCAATATCGGAACATGCCAACATCGAACTGCTAGATCATGATCACGAGATTGACCCTACGGCTTTTCATGGTCACTGGTTCGGAGCTAACAGCCTACTGGAAATATGAATGTGAGCAGGAGGGCGAATGTGAAGCTGTTAGACTGACTCAAGTTGTCTTGTGATTCGAGTGATCCATGGGCCGTCTCCTTCTTCGTAGTAGCATACAGCACTTGACCCACACAGCGTCCAGAGTCCAATGGAACCGAGGGGAAAATGTGGTTTTCAGTTGGTATACGAGCAACTGATATGAACCGTGGCGATATGGTCAACATCTTAGCTTCCGCCAGACTCGCAAGGGAGACAGTTTCCGTGCTTCTGCCTGAGGAGGTTTGCTTGGAGAACAGAGTACATTAGGGACCACATCCGCAATTATCGGAGCCCGAGCGAGCCAAAGCGGAAGGCTCACTTGATCACTTGAAACAATTTTCTGCCCATAATTCTGAAACACTTACGCCCGGCTCTTGATCTTCATTACAGTCTCTCTTAGAGGTCTACACGATAATTAGCCGCTGCTACTGGGTCATACTTAAAGGGCTCCACTAAGATCACTCCACTAAGATCAATGGTCCTGATCTCAGACACTCGACAGAATCTACAACCTCGACTGGGTAATTGACCTCGATCTATGGTGTTCCCAGACTATGGGCTCTACAAGACAAGATCAAAGTGTTCCAACAGAGGACCACTGCTCAAACCAAGCCACTAACTTCAGTTTTTTACAATATCTCATCAATTATACCATTATTAGCCGAATGGATGTCTCTTATTTGTCCAAGACATCATCCACATAAGTGTAGACACACTGTTTAACGTGGTCTCGAAAAGTGTCTGGGGCACAGCTCTTCTGGCAGATGGGGCATTCGTAGGTAATGGTTGTAGAAGCGGTTGTCATGATAATTTGGTTAATGAGGTGGTGGAGGGAGGAGGGAAGGGGAAAAGAGAAGACAGAAGAAGAGAAAAGAGAACAGTTCAACCGCGAGTCGGTTTGTTTTGATCAGACCAGTATCACATTCAACGAGGTGAATGCGAGACCAGTCAGGAGTGACAAAGGAGATGTGTAGTGAGTAACGACTGTCGTTATTGAGATTTTCGTATCACCTTCTGTGGTTGTGTTCTCCATCTGTCTTCATATTTTCATTACTCCACCGTCGTTTATTTTTGGTTCGATGTTCATCTGTTGCCAATGCCAACCCGATGGAGTCCCATATCTGCCTGGTATTGATGAAAGCCATTTGACCGAGTAATGACGTCTTTTAATCATTTACGGGTACTTCGTCAGAAATATATCTGTTCCCAGATTGAGAGTTGGGTGACGAAGTTTTTCCTTTTTTCTTTTTTCCTTTCTTTTTTTTTTTTTTTTTTTTTTTTTTACAACATGCACATGCCCCAACCACAACCACCACCGCAAAAAAAATGATTCAACTCCTCCAGGGCAACTCAACATCAACCTCTCCACAAGCAACAGACAGTTTCTTCACAGACAGCTTCTTCCCAAACAGTCCATTGACACCATTTTCCGTTCATTCCTCGACAATACCGAGTCACTTTTTCCTCCTCGCAGGGCGTTTGTGCAGTTATCGCCACGTTTTTTTACCACTAACAGACCTCCGACATTCCAAATTGATCGAGCCAGTATGAAAGGCCCTAACAGCCTGTTTTTACCCTGTCAGAAGTAGCCAGTCTCGGCGTTGCAGAAGATCTCATCACTGAGAGATACACTTCTGAGCGAGAACGATGCAGTGGGACTTGAGTCGTGGAGCCTTCAGCAAATGAACTCATGGTTAGGAAGCTGTGACGGTCACAAACACCGTCCAAAAGCTCTCCAATGGTATGGATAGTCCCTGGGAAGTCGATCCTCGATAGGAGGCTATAGACGAGACCGGGCTTTTAGTCCACACAGGAGGACCTACTGTAGGCAGTGATCTAAAACTTCTGGGTGATATGGCTCAAATTTCCTGTAAAGATAACTTGTATTACAGGTGAGGTCAGTTCATATTTTGCTCTACATAAACAATGTCTCGAAATATCCGTCGGATTCGGATACTGTAGTTCCTCATCCTATATATTGTATGTACAGAAATTTCGCTAATAAGATTGAGATAATGCAATGAAGTGCATAATCAAAAGTTTATGGGTGAAGAGGCGATGAGCTGGTGAGTAATTCAATATAAATTAATCAGTCGTTCTCTCATTTTTCTCGGGTAATTTCTGGGTCCCGGTTCGACTTGATAATAACGGGCCTCTTTTACTTTGTGGTTTTGTATTATTGGTTAATTATAGTAATTGTTTAATATCAAGTCATAACCATACTGTAGTATATATAGTATATGCAGAAAATATAATTATACATATATATATATATACATCAAACCCTATAAATTATGAGAGGACTACAGTACCACTCGTTTCACTGTAGACTTATCTAATGACATGATGCTGTGACGACTCAACCCGATAGACACAGGTTCAACATGTGTTCAATTACGTCAGCCTTCCGCTACATGCCTTGCTTTCCGAATGACCTCCACTTCCCAGCATCGACGTGACCGAGTAGCTGGCCTCGAGCCGGTATTCACTCTTCGCCGGAACCCGAAACAACGGGTGATGCGACCCGACACCGACGATCCTGACTTGGTTAAAGAGGAATGAAGCGACCTCAAGCGGGTTCTGCTGACCTTAACTAACGGCTCCCAATCTTCACAATGTCGTCCGATATTGTCTGACCTGAAACCGCACCATCGAGCTGCTACAGTGGCTCTATCATCTGGACACTACTGTCAACAGATGGATATCCGAGATTGGAGTCGGCGACTTGATCGTGGGGCGATCCGCGACTACACTCCGGCACTGCAACTCATTCTGGCACTGCAATTATCTCCGGCACAGCAACTCACTCCGGCACCGCATCTGACCCGCCTTGGTTCGGAGACGTGGCCAAGTCGCTCTATGCCGTGCGTGGCTTCTGGGACTCTCGAGTACCCATCTCAGAGCCATTCCCACCATCCAATAACTCCAGGCTAACCTCAAGATGTACCGGCTTCCACCCAAGTTGATCTCTGCAAAGAAGGCTGCAGACGACGACTTCGAAGCCATGAACGAGTTCAGCGTTCTGGCGAAGGAAAGCTGGAATCGTATCCACAAAGGCTGTACCCACATGACAACACGTAATGAAGGAGCGCGGAACCATGTGTTCACGTGACAAGAAGTACCTAATCATGTGACCACGTGATGAAGGAGTTGACGAATCACGAAATCAACCACAACCGTTTACGATTAGCCGAACCAGTCTACCTTTGACCGCCATCTCTATATCAGAAGACACGATCCTCACCAGTTTTGGATATGGGGGACTCATTAAGATGTTAATGCTCTATACCACAGTGCCAAACCGATATGGGCGCCTATGTCGGGTTTATCAATGGACCTTGGTGAGTGTGGCCATTGTTTGGGCGTACTTACGACTTCCCGAGCCCTTGATGATGTTCATGAGATACACTGCCGCAGTCTCGCTTCCAGGCCGCACCCGTCGCCATATGTTAAGAGCCTCGACCTTGGGGACATCTGTCGCATAAATGGTTTAGATCGCCAGAGAGCCCTGAAGCGGAATATCGTAAGATCGGGCCAGAACAAGAACTCCACAGGGGGTATCGACGTCCATGGGGATTCTCTCGTCATAGAAGAAGGATACCATGGCCTTGATCCACTTTGAAGGCCGAAGTAACGTCATCAAGTGCCACGTGTTCTTGATGGACAGATCCACGGTCTTGACAAAATGGGAGGACTTGATGGGATCTTTGGACCCAAAGTTGGAGCAATGAGTCATGGTCAAGGCCTCGACACCGAGAGTGGCACATCGGTCCTTGATCCAACCAGCGAAGGCATAGCCATGGTTTCAGGGCCAACCTCGGGTTTTTCTCACCAACAGGGTTGGCGACACCATTAGCGATCTGATCTTCTCGAGCCGTCCATGTTGCCTTTATGGGGAGTTGAGGGAACATTTCTTCCAGAGCTTGACGGAAAGCCGCAACATGTTCTTTTCGGGTGTCTTCTTGACAAATGCCATTGCAAGATATTTTTGTTTCTTTTTTTTTTTTCTTCTTTTTTTTTTTTTTCTTTTAACAAGAAAAGATATACCTTGCTGATGACTGCTGTAATAATGAGACTTGCAAAGGAAGGGACACCACGGAAGACGTTATGGAGAGAGAGTGAAGGACGGCCATTCAAAAATGGTTGATGCTGTTGACGGTTCTTGTAATAGACAACTTTTTACCTGGCCAATTCCTCACAGGAGAAAGACCAGTTTGGTTGTCAGAAGGGTGTGTATAATGGGAACATGGTGTCCCTAGAGTGAGTTGTACTATAGGAACATGGTATTCCTAGTGAGTTGCAAGTTATTACATTGACTACAGTGTATCTAATCAATCATACTTGTATGATAGTCCACAAATACTGCTCTTACTGTAGCAAAAAAGACATTGACGAAGCGTTGATGGTAGGTCTTCTGATGCGGACTCGGATTGAGGTATTGCACTGGATTGAGGTAGTTGTGCTACAGGTACAGTACATACTGAACTAGCATTGTGAAGCTCAGAGAGGTTTGGAGGTCTTTTTTGTATCAGAATTTCTCACCATTGGTCTAACAGTCCAAAGCTCATTCAAATTCAGTACAATCCAGTACCATACGAATGCACACAATGTACTGAGAACCAACTGGCAAACATCTCCACTAGGCTCCTCGACTGTTAGAGCTCTGGGTCTGGAATCTCACGGAAGGTGAACCACTGGGGGCAGCGTTGAATAAAGAGAGCTTTTCTGTACAGTACTTTCATCACTAGCTCGGGGCGTTCCAATAACTGGACTCTTCTCCCTTACCAGAGACGCATCAGGAGAGTCTGATCATCTTCGTGGATGTTTGACCGAGAACACCATCAGGTTGCCAAGCTCCGCCGAGTGAATTGCCCCTCACAGTGAAAACTAGTGGTTTGTCACCCACGCCAGTTTTCCGTTCGATAATCTGCGTCAGTAGCAGTCTCAGAGTTGTGAAAACTCATTCAAACAACACCATTTTTACGGTAAAAGTCATAAGCATGTCTTTCATACTCTGCCAATACGATCCGGCACGTTTCTTACATTCAATCGTACTGACAATGAACGCAACAAGACAGAATTGAAATCTCCAATCAACAGGAAGAGTTGAATAACCCTTGAGAAACGGCTATTACATTTCAGAACTTGACTTCTCGACTTTCTTGGCCTCATCTTCACTGTCTGGACCGTGTCTTCTACCCCCTCGACTTGCCTATTCAGGCTGCTCAACGGTGGTATGAAGGAGACTCCCCGGGGTAGTAAGTGGACAGAATTATTTGAAATAAACAATATTTATGGCAATTAGACCAACAGTAAAGACATTTGGTAAGCTCACCGCTGTTTTAAACCCGCCTTTCCTTTTCTATCGGAATCACTAAAATCCCTAAGCTCATGTATTTACATCATAGGCTGCATGTGTTAATTGGGCGCCAGGGGATTCCAAAAGAAACAATATGATATAAAATTGAAGCAATGATCTTGTCGATGAGCTTCCAGAAAATTTCCACATATTCTTAGAGGCTGATATAGTCATTTACTGTAGTGTGGTGCAATTCCTCTATAAGACTGTATCGGTTGTACAGAATGGAGAGATACATGTCAACACCAACATCAATGAGTCTAGGTATGCTCTGAAAAAATATAGCGAGATTCGGTGTCATTTTTCCAGCAGATTCCCCAACAGGTTTCTTTTAAAAAAAAATCGACACCAAAAACACCCAGTTTCAAGATGAATTTCCGGTTTTTTTTTTTTGATCAATGGTGGCTCCCATACAGACATACATGGACTTCTGACAGCTACATTTCTCCAAAAAAGTGTCGCCCAGCGGAAAAAGCATTGTGAAACTTCGCTGACCAGAGATTAGAACTGTTTGGTGAACTCCTGATACGACCCAGATACTTGGAAACAGATCTACAACTCGTTTCTGCCTCGGTATGAGTTTGTCCAAGCTGGACAAGAAAAAGATAACCCTATTGAACTTGATGATATGGAAGAAGGGCAAGTAGAGATGTTCGGAGAGATTAATTCAACGGCTAATATCCTTCTAAATGCCCTTAACGTCTTTCAAGGGTTCTTGGCCTGCACACACCATCATTCTACTACGTCAGAGGTGTTTCTGGCCTGTTTCAAGCTATGAAACGAAAAACGAGTTTTGACAACCGAAAAAAAGCATATCGAAAGGTGAAAAACTTATGTGGATAGTTGGATACTGAACAGTTAACTCCAGATATCTCTCCTACTAATAGCGAGAGTAGAGACAGTAGCAAGCGTAAAAGGCGGCCGAGGCCACCGAGAGAACAGCGTAGCAGGGCGCGTAGTCACCACAGGGGACGCAGAACCAAACCAATGACGAAGAAGAACCACAAGGAGACGTTCTCAAAGGCAATGCAAACGAAGAGGGCAATGGAAGGATTGAGATTAGAGAACTGGAGACTGGAGTGGCGTTTTCCCGATGAACGAACAAACACGCGAAGCTATGTGGACCAACATACAACACGGACTGAACCAGGTTTTTTTATGATTTTTTTACTGGAAATAGGTACGTGCCAAGTTGGACCATGACACTAAACGTGTTTAATTAGTAATATTCGTGTAAGCGTACATTCATTTCAAAGGTTATTCTTTCACAGCAAAGTTATAATTAAATGAATGTATATGCAGAAAAAAAAAAAAAAAAAAAAACAACTAATATTGAGAGTTTCGAGTCCCGTCTGTCTCGTCCTTCATCTTCTCAGATGAGTGTTCCTGACTCTGTACTGGGTGGGTTCAATGGGTCAGGTATAGTACAACAAAAACTTCTTAAAGGTGTCAGAAGAGACCTACAACAGTTCTGGAAACACTTTTACCTCTAAATACTATTCTACCGCTGAATATTCTTTTGGTAACTCTGCAGTCTCCTCAAACAGAGCCATTCCAAGGGAAGATTCACCTCCATCAAGTCCTCTCTGCATTAGTCGATCACTCCAGTTGCCCCTGGTCCTATCGAGAGATTCGACACGAGCTCATCATTTCCAAGAAACTGCCACTCAACGGAGGAAAGGGACCCCAAATCCAGTCCAGAACTCCTCATTCACGTGAGATTTACCCTGGATATTCCTAGTCATGTGACAGCCATGTTGAATCTGGAGCTCAGTCCACTGCTGCTGAACCATCTCACTTAGATAGTGCTCGTCTCGGCTTCTTGTAGACTGATCCAAACAACACCACGTCTATAAACCAATCAAAAAGCACTTAATACGAGAATTAGCTGCCAATACGATCGGACACAATTGGTACAACTCGATCGTCAACTGCTGGCCAAGATTTCAGTTCTCAAGGTTGGTCAGTGCTACAGGTACTTGTCCGTTGAACCGCCCTGACTAAGAATGGACCATAGACCCTCTTGGACATGTAGTAGGACGTTGAAAAATGAGACTGTGTATTCTATGCGTTACCCAATGAGCACTTGATCGTATAATACCCACACCTAGCTCTTATCTGATACCGCTTACCATTCCAGGGGCCGACATCTAACGCCTATTACGGTACAACGTTTCAGGTTCGGTGAGGATAGATAGAAATACCCAGTCCATCATGGTTCTATAGGCAGGATACCAATAACACATACAATATCCCACCATGTTACGACAATACAGGACCATAGCAGCGCGTAAGAGCACACTTGTTTAGGATTCCAGGTGCTATCATGGTCCAGACGCGAAGTTGCTAGGGTGCCGGAGTGATCGAACATTCGATTATCCACGCTGTAGGTGGATATTCAAAAGGTCATAATGCGTCGGTTTGTCTCTATGAACAAACTGCTAGAGTTGATGAGATTCTTGCCAAAATCAAACCTTTCCCTTCTCTACTTGCACTGTTGCCTGTATACAAACACTCTGGGCCTTTTGCAACTTGCCTATTCATGATCAAACCACCCTACAGTCTTCATCTAGCCGCCAGTCCCCCTTTTCAGTTCTTCTTTGCATCCGTGAATGGCAGAATCCGCAGTTATTCAGCACCTCCCCTTACATGGTGCTAGTTCTAATGCCCTCGCTGGTGTTGAAACCAACAAGTGCTCACGTTGGGGATATCGGGATATAACTCAGAGTGTTGATGCAATTGACCGCAGACGAATGTGAACCCGACTGTCAACATCAGCAACATTGAGGAGTGCAAAGTTGGTAGCATGGTTTGACAATTCGTACTCCACCAGAGCAACAATTGACTGACACAATCCGTCTGAAAATAGTACAAGTAGAGAGAAAAAATTTCAGCCACCATCAACAACCAGATTGTCAATGAACAGTGTACCAATTGAGTCCATGGCGTCATGTTGAGATCACTTTGTAGTGTGGTTCAGTCATGCGAACCCGCATGCTACAGTATGGGGTGTACGGTACTCGCTGGATGAAGTTGTGTCATTACCAAGGCTTCGCTGAAACATCTTCTGGGGGGATCAACGAGTAGATGGATACAAGTACAAGTCAGCTACGAATCTCGGAGGATTCAGGGTCGTCAACGTCTGACTCAACCAACAATTGTAGGAAGAGACGTAGACAGACCTCCACAACAGAACTAGTGGCTCCAAAGACGTGTTGATAGACTGACACTAGAGTACGAGTACATATTGCACTGTACTAAAGTGAACTGGTAGGGGTTTAATTCTGGTCGCTAATGACAAAAAGTTGCAGCCTTGGTGATTAGTGCCCCTAGAGGGGATTAGTCGGTTTACTATCGACAGAGAACCAAATGACAGGGAAAAGAATGGACTTGTTTTGTTGAATTGTATACGAAAAAGTCATATAGAAGTCGATTGAACAGAATTGTAGGAAGTTGAGGGATCGCATCTCGTTATTACTACTTCTCTCATCCACTCATCAACTTTACGTCTCGGTGATATCAGTCCACTAATCACTAGCGTCCACTCTGATGGCTCACCAGCCTTCCCTACAGTAGTCCCAGCCGCCGTTATCGTACTATATGACCTGTGTGAACTGTGTGGTTAGTTCCGTGTACTCTAGTGTTTTTACCAAGATAGTTCCATGTTCCAAGTTCACTCCAAATTCGTTCCATGTTCGTTCCTCGTTCTTCTCTTGTCTTCCTTCATGCTTCTACACCACGATGGTTATTGTTAGTTCCGAGTGGTTGCAGAAGGGATTTGCAAGTAATCGGGGATGATAGTTGAGTCTTTTAATCCGCTTTTGTTGGAGTTTTTCGAGTTCAAGTAAGTATGCAGAAAAAAATTGCGAATGAAAAAAAGTACCATAATTGGTCCATTGCATTATATAATAACAATAATAATAATAATAATAATAATAATAATAATAAGAAGAAGAAGAAGAAGAAGAAGAAGAATAGTTATAATAAGACCTTTCCAGTTCTAAAACCCCTCAAAATAGCACCGCCCTTACTATTACCTGATTCGCCAAATAGTATGGAATGTGAAGATACTCGCTCATGTAGCAACAGAACAGTAACCAAGATGGGCATATTCACTCAAATAATGAGACACAGAACATTCAGAGTTGCTGCTGGCAGTACAGCCTCATCCCTCCGCTGAACAGCCCACCTTTTCACTGATAAATCGCCGCAAAAAGTTGTGTTTTCCCACACAAAGTTGTATTTTAGTCTGGAAGATGCCGTACGGCATCAAACGCTCCACTAGTGTCCTGAGACCCTCTCAACGAGCCTTTTTGGTCGAGAGAAGAATCTAATACAGCCATCTTAAGTCCTTCACGTTTTTTCCAGGTCATTCAACATTTTTCCAGGTTATTCGTATGCTTTCCAAATTCTTCTCAATTTCGAAACCATTCAAATTATTGAAAATTTGAACATTATTTTGATTCCATTTCCATTTTTTCCCTGAATATGAACAATTCGCTCGAAAACAGCCCCACAAGCGAAAGAGGCGTTTTGCCCTCTCCAGGAACGCCCCATTCAACAATTATAGAATGGAACCACTCACCTGACATTCCCTCTTGGGCCTAGTGCTATTGGAATCCGCCTAACGCACAATGTCCCACTATAATGGACAAGAGTCGCTCGAGAAACTTGGTACAGTACCAGCAATTGATATGAGGCGACCCTGAAGATCACAAAAGCACCCGCCCCACTGCTCTCTCTGAATCACCAATGTCTAATACATCATCTCGATATGACATTCTTCCATAACCGTTTAGAACTTTTAGACCCACTATGAAATGTTATTCACCATTGAATTCCTGGTATTTCTGTTAACCGGGCCTAAAGTTCTCTTTTTTTGTGCATCGATCACCCTTAGCATGGAATTGGACTCAGCAACCTGCCCGTTAGACCGCGGGACGTAGTGCAGTGGCGAGGTATCAACATGAGACAAAATCAGATGCCAGAACACATGCGACGAAGGTGGTTCCTCTTGGGCATCAAATACTTCCCTGTTTTGTGGCTCACTTTCCTGTATGGTGGCTAATTCTCTGGCGGTGGCTCAGTTCCCTGGATGGTGGCTCACTTGTATGGCAGCACACTTTCCTATGGTGGCTCAGAAATGTGTGCTAGCAGGTTGTCGATGCAAATCCCAAACTCTGGATGTCTCTTGTAACCGGACAAAAGAACATAGTCGAATATATATACTGTACCAAATCCGAGGACAATCGTAGACCACCAACTTAACCCCCCAGACCGAGTGTGTCATGAAGATATCTTACGTCTTGCTAGGACTGCTCGCCACCACGGTACATGCTACCATCACCGGTGACGAAAACATCCGTCAACACATTCCACCTCGTGTATTGACTCAGGATGCTGATGATCTGATCAAACAGCTTGTGGCCGCTGCTAAGGAGGTTGCTAACGCCAACGGTCAGAAAAACATCACGCCAAAAGTTGACAGCGAGAAGATCAAGAGTGACGCCCGAAACCTCGGAAACTCTTTTGTTCTGGAGGATCTCCAGAAGCAGCAGGACTTTGCCTACTACGTCTATCCTTATTTCTGTGACCCCCCAGATTGGTACGATGTTCTGAGTGTCTTTGCCCCCAGGCGTGATCCTTATGCCATTAAATATTGGCTTTCGAGATCTGGCTCTGCCCCGTACACTCTTGCGCAGTATAACGAAGCCATCAACCAGGTGTACAAGATGTACGCCGCCCAGCAGGCTGCTAGATGGAAGGAGACCCAGGAGCATATCACGGTGGTCAACAATTGGCCCCCTGCAGGAAAGTGTATCCCCCTTGCCTCTATCACCGCCACAACTGTCGTCCCTGGTACCAAAGCTGGAACCACCACAATCGCCAGCGGTGGTGGTTACCACGTGGCGATTACAAAAGTTCCTGTTTCCACCACCACTGTTGCTGGATTGACTGCTGGAACACGAACCCTGGTAAATTCGAAGGGCAACTTCTATGATGAAGTTGTAGTTGTTCCTGACTCGACAACCATCGTGCCAGGCCCCACTGCCGGAACAGCCACACTTCCCAAATCTGGTGGTGGGTTCTATGAAGAGGTTACCCGCGTTCCGGTCTCCACTAACAGCGTACCTGGTTTGATTGCTGGTTCAGAAACCCTCGTTGATTCTGATGGAGATTTCTATGAGCAGATAACACTCGTTCCTGTCTCCACAAATGTCGTGCCTGGTCACATTGTTGGAACTGAGACTCTTCTCAACGCTGATGGCGATTTCTATGGGCAGGTTACTGTGGTCCCAGACTCGACAACTGTGGTCCCCGGCAATACGGCTGGAACTGCCACTCTTCCGGACGCCGAGGGTGGATTTTACGAACGAGTTACCAGTGTTCCAGTCTCCACCAACACCGTTCCGGGTTTGATCGCTGGCACAGAAACCCTCGTCAATCGCAATGGCAGTTTCTATGAGCAGGTAACTATTGTTCCCACGTCAACAACGGTCGTGCCAGGCCATATTGGTGGAACTGCGACTCTTCGAAACAGCGATGGTGGTTACTACGAGAGAGTCACGAGTGTCCCTGTCTCAACCAACACCGTTCCTGGATCGATTCATGGCACTGAGACCCTCGTCAACCGTAATGGCAGTTTCTATGAGGTGGTAACAGTGGTTCCCACATCAACGACTGTGGTTCCTGGCCACACGGCAGGAACAACAACTCTGCGAAACCCTGATGGTGGGTTCTATGAAGTCGTCACGAGTGTCCCTGTCTCAACCAACACCGTTCCTGGATTGGTTCCAGGAACTGCGACCCTTGTCAATCGCAACGGCAGTTTCTATGAGGTGGTAACAGCGGTTCCCACATCAACGACTGTGGTTCCTGGCCACACGGCAGGAACAACAACTCTGCGAAACCCTGATGGTGGGTTCTATGAAGTCGTCACGAGTGTCCCTGTCTCAACCAACACCGTTCCTGGATTGGTTCCAGGAACTGCGACCCTTGTCAATCGCAACGGCAGTTTCTATGAGGTGGTAACAGCGGTTGCCACATCAACGACTGTGGTTCCTGGCCACACGGCAGGAACTGCGACTCTTCGAAACAGCGATGGTGGTTTCTACGAGCGAGTCACGAGTGTCCCTGTCTCAACCAACACCGTTCCTGGATCGATTCATGGCACTGCAACCCTCGTCAACCGCAATGGCAGTTTCTATGAGGTGGTAACCTTCGTCCCCACGTCAACAACGGTCGTTCCAGGACACACAGCTGGAACTATGACTCTGAGAAATGCTGATGGTGGCTTTTATGAAGTCGTCACCAGTGTTCCTGTCTCGAGTAACACTGTGCCTGGATTGATTGCAGGAACAGCAACCCTTGTCGACCGCAATGGAAGTTTCTATGAGATGGTAACAGTGGTTCCCACATCAACGACTGTTGTGCCAGGCCTCACCGCTGGAACCGCGACCCTTCGAAATCCTGATGGCGGATTCTATGAGCAAATCACCAATGTTCCTGTCTTCACCAACACCCTTCCAGGTTCGATTGGTGGAACAGCAACTCTCATAAACCGTAATGGCAGTTTCTATGAGCAGATCACAGTTGTTCCAACGTCAACAACTGTGGTTCCAGGTCCCAGAGCTGGAACTACCATTCTTCGAAACACTGATGGCGGTTTCTATGTACGGGTTAATGTCGTGCCAGCGTCAACAACGGTAGTGCCGGGCCACACGGCTGGGACCGCAACTCTTCAAAACACTGATGGCAATTTTTATGAGGAGGTTACCAGCGTTCCCGTCTCCACAAACGTTGTTCTTGGTCTGAGTGCTGGCACAGAAACCCTTCTTGATGGTAATGGCAGTTTCTATGAGCAGGTAACCCTCACTATGGTCTCAACAAACACTGTCCTAGGAACATCTGCTGGTACTGAGACACTCATCAATTCACATGGAGATTTCTATGAGCAGGTAACCAGGGTCGCAAGCTCTTCTATCATTTCGACCTACTCCTCAGGTAGCATTGTTTCTACAAACATTGTTCCAGGATACAGTGAAGGTACGGAGATCCTCACTGGCACTGATGGAAACTTGTTTGCTCAAGTGACACGCACCCCAATCTCCACCAACACTGTTTCTGGATCTATTGTCGGCACAGAGATCCTTATCAACTCGGACGGAGATTTTTTCGAGCAAGTCACCAGTTTTCCTGTCTTTACCATCATTAATGCAACCTCCTCTGCCTCTGCCTCGGCAGGTAGCATCTCGTCAACTAGCGTTCCTTCCTGGACACATGTTAATGACACATTCATTGTATCTGCCACAAATGATACTTCTTCATCTGCTGTCGACCCCTCCATCATCTTTTTCAGACCCTCCGAAGAAGGTGAAACCCTCAGTGACACCACTGGAGACGCTGTGGAGCAAGAAAGTAGTACTCCAGTTTCCACCGGCTCTCTTTTAGGATCCCTTTTCGACACGGAGATACTGTCAAAGTCGAACGGAGTAGTTAGCACCCCAGTCCCAACAGCTGCAAATGTCACGTTGTCTGCGACTCCCCCGACTGATATCATCTATGTCGACCCCAAAACCGCCCTTTTGGAATCCACAAAAGAAGTCAAGCCTTTCAATGACACCAGCGGTAGTCCCTTTGTGTATGTGACTGGCACCCCAGTCGCTACCAGGAATAATACTGGCATTAACGCTGCGATAGAAATGCACACGAGCCCCAGCAGAGTCGGTTTTGAGCAGGCTACCGTTTTCTCACATGTTTCTTCCACTATGGCATCCTCCACCAACGGTGTCGACTCCGTCCTCGTGGCTCCTAGACCAACAACTAGTCTCAGAAACTCCGTTGATGAGTTCAATGAACTGAGTACCAGCGCTTTTGTCTTGAAAAAATCGGTATCGGGGCCCACGGCAACCTCAAACACCAACAACGAAGTTTTTGAGAAGGAGACTGTATCGGAAACCACTGTCACTGGAACTGTTCCCGGAACCACACCCCCGGTGACCACAATTTTTGACATGACATCCGAAAGTGGCAGAAATGCAATTGGCACAAAGACGAGCACAGGGACAAAATCGGATGACACTGCTAGCGGTACTTTGAGCGTCTCACAGGGAGCCTCCAGCTCTGATGGATCCGCCAGGGACACATCTGGCTTCGCTGTTTCTGTTAGCCTTGGTAGTTCTGTCGGCTCTGGAGTTTCTGCCGACTCTCGCAGCTCATCTGGTTCCTCCGGCTCCCCCCGTCCATTTGTCAACCCCTCTACCCCTGACCAAGTCGGTGTCACTGGAGCTCGTTCTGCTCAGACTTCTGGTCGTGGTAAGCCCACCCAGGCCAATGCTGGCTCCAGACTAACTGTCGGCGTCGCCATGGTCTTGCCTTGCCTCTTAGCCCTTCATAATCTGTATTAATATTGTTGAATGAATGAATGTATGTTTCCCATACTGTAGCTGATCCAGATAGCGCAATGGCTGCAGCGATCGATTGAGAGTCGTCTTGGCCTTGAAGATGTCTATAAAATTGTAATGGTCGCATCGGGGCTGTGTTCTCGACAAAGTCAGTAAATTCACTTGCTCAAGGCCGTACTGTAGCTCAACAACCGTAGTGTAGCTCAGAAAGGGACTCGCCCTGACCGAATGTAGACGGTAGCAGATGCAAATGGCACATTGGTGGTTGGTAGTTGATATTTTCGAAGCCGCCGTCTCTTTGTATGTAATCTGACACGTTTACAGTATCCAGATCAGATTTGCACAGTTTCACGAGGGCTCCGCAGTCGATTTGACATAGTGTGGTGGAGAGGAACAAGAAACGTCGTTATTAAAATTTTGGGTGTCCATTTTAAAAAAAAATAAAAATAAAAAATTAATTTAGTTGGTGTCAGTATCTTACTTAACTTCTCTAAGTAACTAGCTGATATACTTAACTATATTCTTTCACTACTTTTCTTCCCAAGTGAAATTTAATTAATGAATGTATTACGCAGAAAAAAACTTCACACTCTCCTCCATATCATCAACACTTCCAGAAACTTCGGCACAGCTTACACCTGCCGATTGGACGAATAACAGGTTGCTAGGCCAGACAATTGAGACTTCCGCCGCCATCAGCCGTCTGCCGCAATCGCTTACTCTGACGCTGACCCCGATACACCTATACCCGTCGTGATCTCGCCACTGCCATTGCCCAGTCTCGCTTGCTTGCTGTTGGACTGGTGACAATGGAGCTACAGTACTTCAACTGGCATGGCCTCAGCACCTGTAGATCATCAGACGAAATGGATTCAAGAAATGGAGTCAACTGTGAACCAGGTGCTGACGCCATATCAGTGCTAATTACCCTGATACTGGTAACCTCCACCAGAGTACTCAATATCAGATGATATAATACCGGTATTAAGAGCACTTCTGAAAGATGACCCAAACTGCACCTGTGTCTGTTGTGTTTGGGTGCTGAGTAAGACGATGATGCCGTTGTTTCTGAGATGCACATATGTCATGTTTGGTAGGGGTGCTTGCTTTTGGCATCACTAGACTCATCTTGTGCGACGACATTTGCTCGAGAAATTGCTGGTATCCTGGTAACATTAACGATACTCCTGTCACACGACGGTTGATTCACAGCCTGGTCTTCTCATGACACAACTCCAAGCGATATGGTTCCAGCGTTCATGCGTCCTGGATGCAAGATAAGGATTTTTTTTAAAAGAAAATTTTTTTATTCTAATGATTCAAAGGATCGAAACTCAGAACCCATCTGCTATCTTCTTCTCCGACGACAACAAGTTGAGGACGTGGCGTAATGGTAGCGCATTGGATTTCGGTTCTTGTGAACGACGTCCTCCAAAGGCTGCGGGTTCGAGTCCTGTCGTCCTCTACAGCTGCTTGATGCACTACTTTTTTGTCCTCTGTGCTTTACGAGGCAATGTCATTCGTGTCCACAGGTTCTGTGCAGTTTGTACATACCTGTACTGGCACTCAGTCTCTTACCAACCTCGCCAGTTAGATCTTACTCGAGGTGACTAGCGCTCCTGTGTCTTCCGATGGAGTCGCATTCACTGGTGCTATCGCTAGACCTGATCGTAGCATGTAAACTACGGCTCCCCATCAGGTTAGTCAGGGCTAAGAGCCATAGTAAAGCACCAGAGAGCGTAGTTGGTGTTGTACGCTCGTGTGCTGCTGTCGTTTGTTCCGGGATTGTTTGTTCTGGGATTGTTTTAAGATGCACACTGTCGTATAGGGAAACACCGCTTTCATTTGTCAATACGGATAGTTCCTAGTGGTCTGAGTTTGAGAGGACATGACAACCTGGTTACGAAGCTGCCTCCAACAACCACTGATCCGGGGTCTTTCCCGTCTTGAAGTTCTGCAACCACAGTTGCTGAAATGTCTGCGAAACAGACCCATCTAAGACCCGAAACCGAATTGACCGTGGCGAGTACCTCTCAGAAGGTGCTGCTCATGAGCTTCTCTCCTGTAGACGATCATCTTTTCCGTCTCGAGATCAAAGACACGGGTCCGGTCTAAGTACATCCTACATCTTGACACAGGCTCCCGGACCTTGCATGGGAAAGACTCCCAAAGATGGGCCGACGGACCAGGAACACTTGCCCAGGATCATGTTGCCATGGAGACATTCGAGGTTGGCGTTCCAGTCGACTGCCACCCGAATCGACAATCCTCCAAACGAAAGCCACAGTATGTACTTCTCCATACTGGAACACTCCGCAGGTGGCCGGGTTGAAGTAGATGAAGGAGAGGATTTTGACTAGCCGTTTTTGGTCAGGTCCACAATCAGTGCTTCAATGACGCCCTCTTCCGACGACACATGGATCACGGCGGTGCTCGGCAGAATCGCCACATGCACAATCTGCTGGTTGTGGAGATTGGACTCGAACGCAGAGTACAGGTTTTTGTTGTGGACCAGAATGCAGCGTCCAAGCCGGTCGTGGCAGACGTAAAACCGCTTTCGGTGTCCTTCGTAGGCTCTGCAGCCCTTCCCCAGCGCCAGCAGGTTGCTCAGATGGTCGCGTTCCTGTTTCACCTCAAACACACTACTGGGTTCTCTCCACGGGAACGAGGCGTTGAGAAAGTTGTTTCTTGTGAGAGTCAAGCGCGGCATGACACTCTCCGTCGCCGGATAGGAACTTTCTTCATCTCTAACGAGCAGTCGACCGTCTTCAAACAGCCGTCTTCGAACAGCGGTTCAAAGTCGAGACTGAGGGTCGAGATGGACGAGGCTTTCTTGAGCACTTGTTGAGGGAATCTCACACAAGGAATCAAGTCGGTGAACACGATGGGCGTCGGGGTTGTTAATGAGTAACCCATGAGGTGCAAGTGTGCAAGTATAGAAGGGTAGCTGCTACTGTAGTCCAGTACAAGTACGAAATAGGTGGGTGGTAACGAGGAACTCATCGTTACAGTATATGAGGGAGGATCCCAGAGCAAAAGAGGAATTTTGGTCTGGGAAATGTTTTTTTTAAAAAAAGAAGAAAAATACAAAATATTCACCAGAAGGTGTATTATACAACAAAAAGTGTTTATATTTACCAAGTATTATATAGTACCAAAATAATTGTTGTAGTATCGTCATCTATGTAGCTTACATGATGCCCCAAAACAACTCTTGTATCATCGCAGATACCTACCACCAGATCAACTAACCGGTCTATTCAGACACTGACAAGATGATCTACACCGGGGTGAGGGGTTGAGATACTCTTCATCCAATAGTCCAAAATCCAACGGTCTAAAAGACTTCTCTCAAGAGACTGGTTTTTCAACCCCCATTTACTTAAGATATTTAGTGGATGATTTGTTGGAGGAGCGATTAGGTAAACTAATCCCTTGTTGAGACACTCAAAATTCACAACAAAATGAACACAAGTCCGGAAAACATCTCAGTCGTACTGTATCCACCACAATTAACCACTTACGCCGTGACGAATGGACCCTAGCAACAATAAGATCACTTGATTTGTTCCACACTCATGTTAACGGCACAAGTAACAAACTACAGTGTCGTACTCTGTCATGTCTTCTCACCTTCTCATTGCCTGGCTGGTGTGGCGTTGTAGCTACAAGTAAGCGCACTTGCTTCCTGTATTTCAATCACATTCGTACGTGTACTGTACAAGTACTTTTCACAGTCAGTCCATCTACTCTCGACATGTTCAACTGTAGGCCATCGTTAATGGAGTCACCAGCAACATTGCACATTCGGTGACATCAATCTTCTGGAAGGTGACATCTTTGTTTCGCCACTTGGTGGTAACCACTGGGTAGTCCAGGTCTTGTTCTGGGTCAGGAAAATGATACCAGTCTTGCCGTAGAACTTATGTGGGGCCCTTGTTTCCGGTGAAGGAGAGTATGGCGAGAGGCACAGGGATGGCGACGTTGGTACCAATTTGGAAGGCCTGTATCTGTCTCTGGAACTTGTTGCCTGCCGCACCGGCTCGGGTGGAAGATGGTAGCACCGTTGCTGTACTTTTCGGTTGATGACATCAATGGCATCGTCAAGATCGGTGGTATCGACGACAACAAAAACGGAGACGAAAATCAATTGGTCGTAGCACTTTGTGCTGGGCTTGATACCAGTGATGATTGTGGGGCCAATGACATTACTTTTGGGGTACTTGCCGGAGTGCTATCCTCGGTAGTAGGGTAGAATGGTGGCTCTCTCGTTGATGGCAGACTGATCAGAGACTGGAATCGGGCCTTGGCTGCGGGGAGATGACATGTGCCAGATCTGCGTCAGTTTCAAAGTCACTTTTGATGGTGAGCTTCTTGGCTTGCTCGGAGGGCTTGAGGATGAGAGTGTTTCCAGTCACGAAAGACCGTATCCCGTCTACGCTGTCTCTGCACTTTCCCCCTCTCAGAACCGTGGCTGTTTATATTACTGCAGCCACTGATATTGTAAGCGGGGCAACCTCAGTCACAGGATCCATCGTCACCTGGAACGGTGTCTCATTCCTGACCTAACTCCACTGATCGGATAAAAAAAAACTAGCACAGTTGCGCAATGTTCCACAGACTGGATCTGGGTTGAATGAATCTCAGATAGGCAAGGGATCTGGATACTGTTCAATCAGCGTTGGCGGACTTCCCCTCTCTCCCCAGTCTTCCAGTTGCCAGTCCAGCCTGACAGTATGTACTCCAGACTGGCTATCGGATCCGTTATTGTCCTTCCAATTGCCGTTATTCTTCGATGAGTTGCTTGCCATTCCGGTCCATTTCTCTAATTGTTCTTAATCTTCAGGGAGAAACTCTCAAATATCATTTCAGCATTATTCCAACAAAAGAACGCGAGTATGAATCACCAATGATAGTCACAATGTAAATTGACATCTAGTGATCAAAGGAAACATCAATTGAACCACCAACGTGTGGATAGTCTGGCAACCAGATACACGTCCGAGAACTCACAAAAGATATTATCGACAAATATCTGCGCTCATTGACAAATGGCAACGCTCATAGAAGTGTGGACGTGTGTAAGTGGTTGGATGTCGTTGAGTATCGCGTGTCGTGGAAGTTGCTGAACATCGTGGAATGTCGTGGAACATCGTGGAATGTCGTGGAACATCGTGGAATGTCGTGGAACATCGTGGAATGTCGTGGAACATCGTGGAATGTCGTGGAACATCATGGAACAGTATTTTTTACCGCTGAAGTTTTTTGAGCAGAAAACATACGTATCTTCGCCGTCTGATCATCCCCGTTGTGTGACATGTGGAGATGTGGAACTAAGACGCCAAATTTAGAGTTTATCAAAAACCCGTTTTATGTGCGTCGATTATGCATGTATTATGCACTCCACCTTGGTCTAAAATGGCAGTTTTCTCCCATCACGCCCCAGAAATGAACATAATGACAAAATAGCAATTATTAGGATGTTTTTAAATCCACCAGTATCTGACGGTGCAAATTATGGTCGTTTTTGGGTCACTTTTGGGGAGTCTCTTGGCAACATTTGTTTTGACACACATTAGGTGGGCTCACAGAAAACACAAGGGGCGTCTGGTGTAGTTGGTTATCACATGCGCTTAGCATGCGCGAGGTCCCCGGTTCGATTCCGGTGTCGTCCATCCACGTGTTCTTCATGTGACTTTTTTGCTCCGGTCGAGTACTTTTCAGTTGTGTCATTGAGCAGGGTATGTACTTTTTGGTTCTGAATACGATGTCCTACGAGCACTACAAAAACTCACAGAAACCCATCCAATCCATTTCATTTACAATTACATACCTATGTTTTATTCCTGCATTGTCTCGTCCTTGTCGTTGGACTCGGCAGCGGGTTCAGCATCCTTGGGCTCGGCAGCGGATTCAGCCTCCTTGGACTCTGCGACCTCAGCATCCTTGGGCTCGGCAGCGGATTCAGCCTCCTTGGACTCTGCGACCTCAGCCTCCTTGGACTCGGCAGCGGTTTCAGCCTCCTTGGTCTCCTTTGATTCGACAGCCGAGGTGGCCTCGGTGACACCCTTGGCAGCAGCGTCAGCCATGGGCTGATCCTCTTCAACCTTGGGCTCGGCGATGATCACCTTCTTCCGGGGCACAATGGGTCGAACAGCAAGATACTGGCCGACAATGTCCTTGACATTGGTGGGAACCACTTCGAGAATCTGCTCGTTCTTAATGTAATCAACGTACTTTCGAATGAGCGACTTGGTGACCTGTCGCTTCCACCATCCGAGCTGCTCCGAGTCGGAGTCCTTGACGGCCAGGTACTCGAAAACACTCTTGAAGGGTCCAACGTGATCCTGCACCTCTCCCTCCTGGGCCACCTCATCTAGAGTTCGAATCAGACACTCCCAACCGTGGTTCTCGGTGAAAACAACATCGCCCGGCGACTCAAACAGCCAGGTGATAATAGCAGCAGGCGAAATGACGTTTTCAAGCAGCAAAAAGTGCAGAACAACGGTTCCTACATGGGGCTGGTTTCGGTAAAACTGCATGACGGTTGTCACGGCAGCAGACTCATCTTCAGCAGACTCAATCACGTGCTGGAGCTGCTGGGCAAGACGGTTAATCCAGTCCTGGGACAGAGACAGTGATCGAGAGCCAACAAAGATGGCGGCTCCGATGACAATGTCCAGTAGGAGCTCTCTGTTGTCGGGGACAGCCTCCTTGATGGAATCAATCACCTCGAGGTATGTCTCGGAGACACCCTGGTCGTACTTGTCCTTGAACACGTCCAACAACTGGTCGGCGACTTCTCTGTACTGGTTCTCAGACTCAATGTACTCGTAGGTTGGCATCAACTCGCCGTCAGTAGGCACAAACACCACAAGTTCGTCGGGGAGAGTCTCCTTGATTCGCGACTCGAATGACAGACGGAGCTCCTTCTTGATGAGCTGCTTGATAAAGACGAGCCGAGGGTCCAGAGGTTCCAGATCGACGTACTCGACCCACTCCTGCCACTTCCAGGTGAATCCAAAGTTGGACAGATGGTGCGAAAACCAGTCCAGGAACCGGTGGATTAGCTCTGTGTCAAACGACCGCAGGTTGGCAAACAGGAACCGCACCGCTCGGCCGAAAACAGGGGCAATGGCCTGAGGGGCCATGATACATGCCTCGATGAACAGAGAATGAAAGTACGCAGGCTGTAGAGGAGGTGTGGCGAGCCGAAAAAGCTCTGCCAGGATGGCTTCAGACGCCACGTCTTCCACCTTGAGAGTGGAGATGGGTCTGTCGTCGGCCTTGGCATCCAAAAACTTGCCACTTAGCTTGTCTACCGAGATTCCGGGTCCCGTGAAGGTGCCCTTGTTGAGGAAAAGATCAAGGGTGAACAGCTGCTTGGCGCACTCTTTTCGGTTAAAGTCGAGATTCTGGATGGTGTCTGACAGCATGTCTCTCCACAGCACAGCGTCGTATGACTTGGGGTCTGGAACCGTGTTCATGGCCTCGCCTTCCACGTCAATGGGCATGTAGGCTCGGAAGAAGATTCTGGGGTAAATGTAGTCTGTGGAAGTGGACTCGGCCAGAGTCTCGGGAATAGAAACTGCCGGGAAAACGTGTTTCTGGGTCACCTCCTTGTTCTCCACCACAGGCTCAATCAGTTCTAACACGTTGATGAACGACTTGACGGCCCATCCGTCCTTGGCCACGGAGTTGACTCCCTCGTAGAGGTTGGCCAGGAACAGATCGCACTCGTAGGGCTTGTCGTCGCCGGTGTAGGGCTCGACGATGGGGTTCGACAGGAACTTTTCGATACCGAAATGACCGTTGGCCTTCTCCAGCAGCTGATCACAGGCCTCCACAGACTTGCCCAGAGACACCAAAGTGGATCCGATGTAGGGAAGAGTCAGAAATATGGTGGCGTACAGCTCCTCCACCAGGGGATCACGCGACTCGCTACCCTTGGCCTGGTCCCGCTCAATTGCTCGATCCAACAGTCGATCCAGGAAAACCAGCACTCCTCGTCCCTCCTCAATGGCTCCTTCGAGACACGCCAAAAGTCGCACGGCTATCTTGACGTGGTTATAGTTGCCCTGCTTGAGCCATCCTTCAATCTTGCTGTGCAGATGCTCCACTGCCAGCTGACCTGCCAGCGAGTTGGAGGAGTTGGCCACGAGAACAATGGCTGCAACCAGCGGTGTTTTGTGGGGCTGCTCCATGATCGTGGCAATGAACGTCTCGAGAACTCCGTTTCGGATCGCCAGGTTGTCCAGATCCTGCGCAAATCCGAATCCCGCCTGAGCAACTCGATTTGTCAGAGACATTCGAGAAGGGTCGCCTATCTCGACAATGTCAAAGTACAGCCGGTCGAAGATCTGGTGCGTGGTCTGCGTGTGTCGCTGCCGTCGCCCGCCGTCATACCCGTCATCGTCATCTCGTCCTCGCTTGTTGTACGACATGATGGTTGTGTGGTTGGTAGATTGGTACAGGACTGTACTTCCACTACTACTATGTAGACAAATAATTAGAGCGCGGGTTAGGGTTGGAGATTTTCCATATAGCTTCAGGGAAGAAAGAGTTGTGTGTTCGATTCCGGATGTTGTTTTAGTGGCAAATTAAAATTATGATTAAAATTATGAAGAAAATATGAAGAAAAAAATTGTGAAAAAAAAATTGAAAAAAAAAATTGAAAAAAAAAACTAAAAAAAAATACAAAATGAAAAACTACAGATGATGCACCATGACCAGTATGTACACAAAAAAGTGTTACTTGGATATACACTGTTGATGGAAGGCTTTACCACTCACTACCCCCCAAATATTGACACCATTTATATAATTGATAGTCTGTTTACGTGATACATGTTTTCTACCTAAACACGAGATCGATCTTGAACTGCTACAACACACTATCCCATGCTGGGCTTCAAATCCACTTATGCGGAATACCTGGAGTTCAACGATGATCTCAACGCATATCTGTCGACTCTGGGAAATGAGGCGCTGTGGCTGAAGCGGTGCTCGGTGTCTCTGGTGTCCACCCTGGCAGCCCGACATGTCTTGTGTCCCATCAGCGACAACGATACCGACGAGACGCTGATTCGGCTGGCTAGCTTCATGGGAGCCAGCAACAGTGGTGGCCAGAAACAACAAAAACAGTCTTTGCAACCGGCTTCCTCAGCTTCCAAGTTGATACTTGTATCGCGCAAGATCAAAGAGTACATCTTGACCAGGACAGACCCCCAGCTAGGCGACATGCTGAAGGGCATCTCCGAGCCAATCGACATTGCTACGACCATCGAAAAGACCTTCAAACTGCGCCGACGACGCGAGGTGAGGACGCTGTTCTCCGAAACCCTGGACCGAATCAGCACTCTGAGGATCAAACGCGACAAGCGCGGCCTGGCTATTTTCGTGCAACGCAACCTCGACAAGTTTCGACGACTCAATGTGTCCTTACTGGACGGATGCAACGCCCTGCTGAACGTGGACAACATCGAAGAGTTTGAGTGGGTGGGCGAGTACGACTCTCTAGATAGTTTCGAGACCATGTTTGTGCCTGAACACATGGAGACCCAAGAGGAGGCCCCTGTGGCGCCCATGAACGCTCCCACGGAGACATGCGATAAATCTCCACCAACTGATAAACCCCCAGCACCGCAGACATCCATCACCGGCGCCACTTTGGCTGTAGCTGTCTCAGACTCGGACCGGAGTGCTTCGGGAGAACAACCTGCGACTCCTTCTGCTCCTGTTGCTGCTACACAACCGCCCTCGGGTACATCTTTACCACCAATACCAATCGGAGCTCAAACTGCAAGCTCAAGTACAGGCCCAGCTGCATCTTATAGCTCCGCCATACCTCCCCCTAGCAGTGGAGCAGCGTCCTTGTCTCGAAGCAGTACACCTGCTTCCATACCCTCTGCATCACCTGCTCCTCCTCTCGACCCATCTTCCCCCACCTTGTCCCAGGGAACGCCGCCATCCATTCCCCCTGCCCTAGAAGGCGGCAACACTCGTACAATGAATGAAGCTCTCGTCGAGCGAACCATTGCTCTGCGAGAAGCCATACGCAGAAGCAGAATTCCGCCCACAGCTCCCGCAGCCCATGTGCGACCCTCTGCCGCAGTCCCTCCGGGTGCCGACGTGCTCCGTGCTTCCATTGACAACCTCATAAACCGTCGACTGCACTTGGGTACAATCATGAGCAAAACAACAGACCAGACCGAAAAGAAGAAGTTGAAAAAAGAACGCAGACAGATGCATCTTGCCATTCGAGATGCCGAAGAGTTTCTGGACAAGGTCTGCGCTGCTCGTCCAGATACTATGAACCATGCTGTTGACACGATACCCGCGACTACTACCATTGCTGGTCGAACAACGCCGATTCAGTGTACCACCTCGACTGGGACATCTGGTATTTCCGACTTGACCACTACAATTCCACCTACATGTAGTAGTCACACCGGCATTTCGCAACCGCCAACGCACTCTCCATCGCAACCGACATGTCTACCCCCATCTCGACCTGCATCTCAACCCCCATCTCGACCTGCATCTCGACCCCCATCGCAACCTCCATCGCAATCTCCATCGCACCCGGCATGTCGACTCCCATCGCAACCCCCATCGCAATCTGCTCCCCAACAAACATCCCACACTATTACAAGTGCTGCTACTGCAGCTTCCAGCACTAGAATGCCTACAACAAACCAACCCCCCAGTGCTGAGCCCAAGACAATAATCAACTCAGCTGTCGCTAGATCGCATGAAGCTTCTCAGATTCCATCCAGATACGGAAGTGTGGAGGCAAGCCGGCCTGCCAAGCGACTCAGGTCCCATGCATTCCCTTGGGACTCTGACGACCTCATAGATCGTTTCCGACCCGACGGGCCCAAAGACAACAGTCCTGAAGAACGTCCTGAAGAACGTCCTGAAGCAGACTTAGTCTGGGGCAACCGTAGCACCCTCTACCAGTCTTACTTTGGCAAAACTACGGATAAACCCAACAGGTAAAGACTCCTGGCGGGACTCTTAAACAGTGTCATGGCACTATTCTCGCAACGAGAAAGACGAGTTCCGAAACGGAGACGCTGTGGTATTCTACAGGAACTCTCAGTCGGAGAAACCATTTGACTAAGCTTGTGGTAGAAATGCTTTTTTTTTTTTTTTTTTTTTTTTTTTTTTTTGTTTTCTCGTGTCTTGAACTCGACTGTCGCAAAAGAACGCGAGACACAGAACTGATGCTATGCAATCCCAAGATTACCACTTAATCCTCAACACATTCAGCATCCACTTGAAATAACAAAGTGGCTGTTTCCGTTTCGCCTGTATGTAAAAATATCTTTTCACTCGATATGACCGTCTAATTCTCTCTATGTTCATTTTTCCTCCACTTTTACCATGCAGGAACATCGTCGGCCTCGCCCCGCTCTCCATCCTCCAGAGCCTTGGCAATGGCGTCAAAATGGTCGGCCTGTTCGGCAATCTCGCCCAGTCTTATCCGCATCATATCGAACGCAATGGCCACTGGCACCTTTTGTAGATCCTTCGTCTCCAGAGTCAACGCCGAAAGCTCAGGCAACTTGGGATACCGCTGTGAAAAGTGTGTGAGAACGACATGCTTGGCTTCCATGTCTTTGCACACCCCCAGAGCCTCCGAAAAGGTACAATGTTTCTTAAGGATAGCCTCCTCGGGAAGATCGTTGTTCAAAGTAGCCTCGTGAATGACCAGGTCGCAGTCTCGGGCCATCTCCGAAAAGGCCTCGATGGGTCTCGTGTCACCAGAGTATGCAACGTTGAATGTCTCGCTGTCATCAAGCTGAAAGCCGAACTCGACACAGAAAGACTGCTCGCAGTGATGAGCCCAGCACGTCTTAATCGAGGTCAGACCAGGAACCTCGGGCAAGGCAGACATCTTTCTGTGCTTTTCCAAGAATGCCCAGCAACCATAGTACCTGATTCGAGCTTGCATTTCCGGGGTGAAATTAGCACACTCCTCAAGGAACCGCTTGTAAGACTGGGGACCAACCACAGACAGAGTCTCGTCTGGGTTGGCCTTGAGCCACTGTTCGATGAAGGTGGGAGTGCCTAGATGATGGTCGGCGTGAAGATGAGAAATGTAGATCATCTTGATCTCCCGCATAATCTGGAGACAAGCTTCGGGCGAGTACATCCGGGTCAGAGTGCCGTAGGTGCCCTCTCCACAGTCCATAACAACTCCAGTGAAAGAGCCGTCAGCTCGGGGAACTCGCATGATCAGTCCAGCCACGTTTCGGTACTTAGAAGGACACGCCGATCCAGTTCCCAGTGTCAGCAGCTCTGCCTTGCACTTGAGAGTACCATCATCGTTTCGAAGCGGTCTGTCGACTGAAGTCTCCTCCGGAGTGTATCCCAACCCTTCATACTCACGTAGACCACTGTTGACGACCCGAGAAGTGTTTGTGGTGTTTTCAATAGACACAGCGTCACCCTGAGTCAAGAGGCGCATGTTGAATCGATTCTGGATGGTCTCATCTGCCAAGAAATCTGCCTTGGGGTCGCTCAGAGTTCGGTAGTCCTTACCATGCAAGGGGAACTGATCTCCCACGATGTTTCGAAGTTTGTAACACAAACTGGCTGAACCCCGGAAGGTCAGTGCGTGGGGGTCGAGCCAGGGAGCAGAAATGATGTGCATCACGTTGCTGCCTAACGACTCCATCCACTCAAAGTACTTTTCGGGGTCGCTGGCGAAATAGGACTCCATTTCGGGACCGAAAAAGTGGTAGACTGTGGAAACGAAGGGCTCGAGCACATTTGAGACATCGGGAGTCTTGACTTCCTCGTTCATCTCGCCCGAATCGCGCTTCTGACCGGCTCCATACACCGGCTGGGCGTCTCGAGTATTGTATTTACGGGTCCACTCAGGGCAGTTGATGACACCATCAACGTAGCGAGCATCGGGAATGTCGAGAAACAGAATTCGGCCGTAGTTGGAGGGTTCACCAATACACTGCTCGGGCTTGATCACCGATCCGTCCTCCAAAGTCACGTTGTTGCCTGCGATTAACTGCTTGAAGTCGTATCTGGGAACCTTAAGAGCATTTGCAGCCTCGACGTTGAACTTGCCCTTCTTTTGGTGCAACTGAGCAATGTAACAGGTGGATCTCTCGTCCAAATCGACCGCGGGGAGCGCCGTATCCGACTGCTTCTGCAACTCCTTGCGGTTGTATCCGTAGTCTCCGCCTCGCGAGCTGAACATGGTCTTGAGTACCCGGTTGACGTTAGTCCAGGGCGTGTCCCTTCGCAGCGGTTGAAGGTTTCGGGGAGCGAGCTTCTCTCCGTTCTGGTGCTGCTCCTCCTGTTGCAGCCGTGACTCGGTGGGGGTGATGAGAACGCCGCCAATGTTGATCTCGTCGGTCACGTGGCCCTTGGTCATTCTGTCGGTTCGGATCGCCATGGTCTTGTGAAACACAAAGTGTCTCCAGGTGGCGCAGAACCAGTTGACGTTGTGACCACACGATCTCAGGTCCAGATCAGTCTTTCCCATGCCCACCAGAGTCAGCAGGAAGCCGGCAAGACCGGACAAGGTGGACCAGGTGACGGGCCCTGTGAGGTAGATGCCGGACATTTTGTTGACTCGTGGCTTCTGTTCCAGAATCGCTCTCTGGGTTCCTTCTGTGACATGTCCAAACAGAAACTTCTCTCCCTTCATTGTCTGTAGCGTGACTCCCGGCCCCGCCGTATCGGACGAGTAGCTCATGAAGTTGTACAGAGACTGGGTCGACGACAGGTCGGGTAGCACGCCCTTGGCCTTCTTCTCGGCCTTCTTCTTCTGCTTTTGTTCAGCCTGTCTTTGAGCCTTCATGTTGCGACGTTCCAGCTTCGCGCGCGTTAGGCGGGTGGATGTTCTGTATAGAAAAGCAAACGGTCTTGCGGCCGTGCTAGCAGGTTTGACGTTGAGCTTCCAAATTTTGACGGACTTGGAAGAAACCACAACCAGCCGTATGTTTTTGAAAAGTGGTGAGTTCGTGATCTCTCGATAGGGTTCTGAAAAATCTTAGCGGTGGCGCTGGGGCAAAGAAGAAGTGTGGAATTGCGACGGAAAAATATTTCGGACGATATGGGGGTTTATTGGGCCAGCTGAGAGACGTCACGGGCGCTTTTATGGCGAGAATGGCGAGTTTTAAAAAATCGCACAACCGCGGATCGAACCCAACACGCCCCTTTTCACCTACATGAAACTTTCTGCATGATAAATATTTTTGTACATGAGCAGGAAAATTATTTTCTGCTAGCTACTCAACCCGACACAAATGCCTAACAACAACAATATCCACAAGCCCAAGGTGCTGGGCAAGAAGCCCCGGCAGCACAACAAGAACAAGGGCAACTCGTACGTGCGACGAGACGGCAAGGGTGTCGAGCTCAAGTCTAAGATGGTGACCAAGAAGCAGGCCAAGAAGAACTCGAGAAACGCCGACTACATTGTCAGCCGACTGGGCGAGATTGACGTCGACGCCATCCAGGCGGTGGGCAGCCGAAAGCGAGCCAACATCATTGGCAAGATTGCCGAGTCCGTGGACGTGATGACCAACGCTGACGAGGACGAGGACGAGATGGTGGACGACGCCGAGACCAAGACCCAGCTCAAGCGACGTATGGCCCGAGAAGAGCTCGACCGAATCACCTCGACACAGAATCCCATCAAGATGGCTCTTACTGAAGACCCCGATGCCACAGAGATTGCTTTTCAGAGCGGCTCCAAGGGCACCACTCTGGGCGCTCCTCTGGCGGTTTGAGCTGACCGGACGTCTACACACAAAAATTACACAAGGGATATTAGAAAATGGTATTTATGCATTACGTATTGTAGTGGAGGTAAGGAGTAGATCCATTCCAGGAGATAAGTCGGTTCCGAAGAGATGTTTGTATTGTGAACAGTGTGTGGACTGAAACACACGGAGTTGTGATAAAACTACGACATGGCCAATGCGAGTGGGCTAAATGAGTCGACGGGGACTCGGCGTCCTTTCGACTACAGTACAACTTGTGTCAGTTACAAGTACTACTGTAGTATCGAGATACTCTACCCATTCAGCATGTACAGTTCTTGTAGAACAGTCCAACTTTTCCGGTTCTAACATATATAACACTCTAGAACTTTTATAGAGACAGGAGATCGATGTTGCGCCGGAGACGGTTGAGTCGGACCTCGTCAACTCGTCTAATCGTCACCTTGTCTAATCGTCACCTTGTCTAATCGTCACCTTGTCTAATCGTCATCTCGTCAACCGCCATCTCGTCAAGGGTCCAACCTGACCTCATCAACCCATCCACCTCGTTAATATCATATCATTACATCTCTACAGTTAAATAAGTCCAACTTGTTCCTCGCGTGAATCATATCATTATATCTATACAGTTAATTCTTGTCCGACTTCTTCTTCTTGTACTTCTTGATGTTGACAGCCCCCGGGACCTTGCTGCCATGCAACTCGACAATCTTGGACTCGTCCGTGTACCGGGCTTTGCCAATGGTGATCTGCTTCTTGTCATTGTCGAAGATCATGAGCGCCCGGGAAATGAACATGGGTCCCGCGCTGAACTGCTCCTGGTCCTCACTGACCACATCCACGCCAATCAGTCTGCAGATACCGTCCTGCTTTCGAACCTCGTAGGTCAGATTCACGGGAATGAAGGTGTTTCCAAACTGGTAGGTGACTACCGGCTGCGAATCACATGCAACATGCCATCCAAGGCGGTCGTACTGGCCATCACCATACCGCTCGGATATGGCCTGTACCGTGCTGTTGGGGAACTGCAAAGAGAGCCCTCCCGTGTCCGGCAAAATGGTCTTCTTCTTCTTGCCCTGGAAGGTCATTTTTTGGCCGTCCACCAGAATGTTGGTGAAGTCCATCGAGTACCCGCCCTTGTACTTGACCGTGGTCAGAGGCCCCTCGTACTTGGCAGAATCGAACCCGCCGTAGTACACGTTGTTGACGATGGGCTTTCCTCGACGAAAAGTCCCCCGGTAGTCAATCGCCTCCTCGGCATTGAGCGAGTAGACGGCCCGAGGAATCTTCTTGGACTTGGCCAGATTCAACACGAAGCTGGAATGCTTGTCCTTGTTAGGGCTGTGGCCGAAGATGCCGTAGTTGTTGCGCATTTGATCCAGAGACACCCAGGTCTGGAACGAGTCGAGCTCCTGGCCGGCATAGCTCACCACCTCGGCTCCCACGATTCCTGTTCCTCCCCAGTGGTTGTTTTCGCCGGTATATCGCCAGGAGGACGACTTGCCCACGTCGTAGCCGGCTTGTGGATGGGTGCAGTTTCCCGCTCTGCAGGCGGTCGAATTGGAGCCCGGGAGCCAGAGCTGGCCCGATCCGGTGTCGAAAACCACACTCACGTTTTGTGGTGGCGTACCGACCAGAATGTTGGCCTCGTAGAACCACTCTCCCATGGTCTGGTGGCCCTGCACCACGGTGCCATGGTCTCTGGCGTACAGAGGCAGTCTGACAACGCCGGCGCTGACCAAGGATGCGAAAAACAGAGTCGAAAACATGATCGTAGAGGGATGAAGGAGATTCCGCGGTCCCCCAGCGGTTATTTATCACTTGTCCGGGGATGTCAAGGTTTTAGCAATAATGGCTCAGCACAGGGCGGAGCCGAAAAGTATACATGACGTTGCTGACACACGTGGACGGGCTCCAGTTGATCTGGGAAGATTGTCGGCTTCTCGAAACACGTTGGTTCATTTTGCACAACTTTTTTATCCAGGTTTTGTCATCTCTAGACCCAGAAACCGCCACTATATGCTGGGCTCGTTTGGTTTTACCTCCAACGTTCAACGTTCTCACGTGTGCATGGGCTGACGAAGTAGTTGCCGGTAGCTAAGCGCGATGGTGCCAAAATAGTCTTTCAACTATCTCGTTTGAATCGTCTGACAATGGGCAGTTCAGATCTCTCACGTAAAAGCGCCTAGCGTCTGCCCCGAGTCCGTGGCAGGGGTTCTCGTACGTCCCGATAACGTTGGCGTGCATAATCTCATGCAGCCAAGAAAAGCACGCAATTGCGGGTGATGAGACTTGCTGTCGACTTCTCCGTCACCGGGTCTCGTCTCCCTGGACCGAGCTCGTCTGGCAAACAATTTCCACCGCTCAAGGTTAATTTCCGCAAACCACCGCCGGGCAAGATCCATCTTCCGCTCCGCCTTGAGTGACTTTTCCGAGGCGCAGTTTAACTGTATTCGATATTCAGCCAACCCATTGAAGCCTCCAAGGGGTAGTTGGTTGGTGATAATAGCGCACCGGTTGTGAAGAGGGTCCGTTTCCGAGTGTGAAGAGGGTCCGTTTCCGAGTTTCCGAGTTGCCGAATCTTTCTCGAGTCCTTCCCGAGCTCTCCGTGAGCCCCCTTCTCCCTCATCTCTCGACGAGCTGCCAACCCCCACCCAGAACCCCCACGTCTCGCTCTATAGAAGCCGGGTTATGATCTGAAAGAGCCATGGATTTAGACGTAGGGCTTATTTGTAATCTGAATCTTGCCCCGGCGAGACAGGCTTGAGACTGGCTGAGAGACAGACACTGGCCGAGAGACAGACTTTGACTGAAAGACACTTTGACTGAGACACTGAGACTGAAAAACTGAAAGAAAGACTTTGAAAGGGGCTTCGAAGGGGCTTCTCAAGCTTACCAAATGTTCTGTCATTGTTCCATACAGTACGTCCGATCAAGACAGTTGCCGGATACACTTGTGATCTTTATTGCCGCACATACGATCTTCATAGCCGCGGATACATGACCTTGATAGCCGTGGATACATTTTCACAGCCGCGGATATCATCTTCATAACTGCTGCTATCTCCGAAGTCGTCTCTTCGCCACCCATAACTGTTGTCGAGTATCGGCAAAGCGACAAGTAGTCACGAGTAATGCTGTAGTTCTCATGCCATACAACTCATGACAAGGACTACCACTCCAATTATCAAGGGAGCGGAACTACGTATGCTTCGACTATCAACTCGTCTCCACTACCACTCATCTCTTGGTTTTCTTGGACATATCCAGAGCAGGCCTGCCCCGGAGATACCTCGAGTTTCCAAGGCACATCCAGAGTCTGAGGAAGAACAAACAATCAGTCATGAAGGAGCGTCTCAGACTCGAGGGGAGTCCCCTTGGTGGTGGATGATGATTAATGATGTTATTACAAGCGCTACTCGCGCCCCTTGGCGACTTCTACTAACCCTGGCTATTTACTTGGTAGCGGCAAGAGGCTTGCTAGGAGACACTGAAGTGGACCGATGTTAGGAGGTACACGGATGGGTTGACGTTGTAGACTTGCGAAGAGAATGGAAGCGAGTACAGTGGTGATCAGTTGGAATGCTAATGATAACTGTGAACCCTCGGAGGAGATAATGGAGACCAGCGGGAATGTCTATGAACGCTGTGAGCTCTGGAGAAAGGATCGAGAACGATGAAGTGACGATGAGTCTGTGGAGCTGAGTCTGAAGATCGGCTTGAGCAATAATGCGACGAAAGTTGGTGAGTGCGGTCACGATCCACTGAGGAGGAGATCTGAGAAAGCCTGGATGTACTGGACGTGGTTCGAAGAAGCAACGACGGCGGGGTGGTTCCGCAAAACTCCAGCTAAATCTCGATGGATGCACGATAAGAAACTGCGTAACAACTGGGGAAAAAAAAAACAAAACTCGGCCGCTACGCGACTGAAAAAAGATTACAGCACCCAGGATTCTCGTATGGTCTCCCACTACAATACTAACTGGGCTCTCTGGTGCTTGACTATGGCTGATCGGACGGGAAGCCGTATTTTCACCAGGATATGGCCGTAACCGAGTTGCGCCGACCCGGAATCGAACCGGGGGCCCATCGATGGCAACGATGGATTTTACCACTAAACCATCGGCGCTTCTTTGTATAAATTTCTGTTGTTGTGTAGTATCCGAGTTTTGATTTTTTGAAGAAAATTCACTAATGACGACTTTCTAACGGTAGAAAACGGGTTATCGAGTGATATTTTGATCAATCAGGTATATATATTCAAGAAAAATCCATTAAAGCAGGTCTAAAGGGAAAAAAAAAAAAAAAAAAAAAAAAACCAACAGAAGCGGTCCATTAAGAAAAAAGAAACTGTCAAGGTGGATTGTTTATCGCCATGTTTACGCCCTCTTCCGACACAGAATCGCCGTACTTTTTTATTGACAGTAATTGCAGTAATTAGTCAGTCTATCTCAACGTTCTACCAGCCAATGTCATAGCTGTGAATGCTGCGTGGTGACACAAAAAGCTGTCCTAACCTATATATAGTGCCATCCTCCCGCTCTTCCTTCCATTCACCTGTTCCTACGACCAACTTACGACCTTTCGACCGGTTCAGTACGTGCTCACAAGTTCCAAGGTCACGTCGCGTCCAAAGCTAAATTAAGCCGTTTCGCGTATACAGTAGCGGCTAAAACATCATGTCAGTCTCTTCGTACTTGCAACCCCAACATGACCGACGAAGACGAATACTCGAGACAACAAGAGCTACAGGCAGACTACGACGAGTTCGAAAAGGACGTGGAGAACGCCGATGGAGAACTCGTGCTGGGAATAATCGAGAGAGCCAACCAGGTGAAGCAAAAGTACAAGGACGACCGACGAGCTCTCGTCAAGGACGCCGATCTGCTGAAAACGGTGGCAACCAAGAAAACCAAACACATCAAGAAGTACGCGCTCGCGCAGCCCGGCACCATTGACCTCAAGCAAGTGCAGAATATGGTGACCAGGTTTCTCGACGCCGCCGCCGAGGCTGAAGACCCTGCCTTTGATCGCGTGGTGGACGCTTTTACGGGGCTCTCGGCGGATCCGCAGGCCGTTCCTGATTTCAAGCGGATCGCAGCTCTGGGCCGGGTCGGTATGAAGTACGGACGAGTGGCTCGTGGAGCGTCTCATTTGATTGGAGCTCTGGAGAAGGACCGACCGCAAAAGGTGCGACAGATGAAGCCGCGAGAAATGCCAACAGAGACGGGAGCCCAGGAACAGGCCAAGCAACTCAAGGGCAACGAGATCGACACCACCAAAAACAACATTCAGCGATTCGGAGGAATCATGAGACGAAGACTCACGGACGAATACAACTACCGAAAGAAGCAGGGAGAACCTCTGCCCATGTTGCAGGCCATTATCGACCCTCGCAGCTTTGAGTCTACGGTTCAGAACTTCTTTGTCTTCTCTACGCTGGTGGCTGGAGGAATGGCGAAGCTGTCTGAATACGAGGACAGCACTCCCGTGATTGAGATGTGTTCCGACGAGGAAACCGCTCAGCTTGTGAATGACCGAGATTCGCGGTGTCCCGTTGTGTTGGAAATGGATTATGAGACGTACGAGATGATTCTCGATGCGTACGAGATGAGAGATCAGGAACCGTTGTTGGATCTGGGTGATACCACCATGGGGTTGAGTGCAGAGTAGTGGACAGAGCAGAGTAGCAGAATGTGAGCTCTACTGTCCCAGTTTGGCGAGCTCATGTGCACTTGACTGAGCGTGATGCGATTTGGGTGCACTGCACCGGCTGGTGTGGGGTGACGGAGCGACGGGTCTCCAACCGGACCCCACGGGACCTTCATACAAGCCAGTATTGCACAGTTGATTTGCATATCTGGTGCACTAGCGACTTTTCCAACCAGCAATCATCTCGTCGTTATTACCCTCCTAACTGTGTCCACGAATCCGAGTCCCATGTCGAATTGAAGTGTCCTTCTGGGTGGTGTTTGATGGTACAAGTATGTACTGTACGAGTACTGTACGCTGGATATTTATTAGCGATGACTGTTGTAGGAGCACAACTGAGATCTTGTGATGGTAGGGGAGATTGCACCTACCGGCTGTACTTCTACACCATCTCTTCACGAGGCGTTTTATACAACGTAGAAAGCGTGTCACTCGATATTGATGGATGCACGTGTACAGTGTTCAGTATGTACTTGTATATTCCACATCCATTATGTTCCATCCTCCCCCTTCCAAGCACTTTGCGTATGTCCAACGTGTCTTGACAAACTGCACTGGGACACTCAGACTGTCCTCGTACAAAGGTCAAAGGCAACGATACAAATCATTGGACAACTTCTCACTGCTGTTTCTCTTTCTTTGGTCTCTTGTTTGCATTCCAGGCCAGAAATGTACGTTTGAGCGTCCTTTCATCCGCTCTTGGTGTGCTCTTCGGATGAGTGGAAGTGTTGATTGGTGAATGGGAGAAGATCATGTCTGGTATTGGATTCGGAGATGTTGACATGAGTATGAGTAATTGTACAAGTGAACATACAGGTATTGTGTCCGTCAACTGACCTAGCTGGTTCAACACATTGGTCACACATTGGTCACACATTGGTCACACCGACCGCACATGGGTCACAGCGATCAACAGATACCAGACTTTCCAACTAACTATCATATAAATGCATGGCAGAATCACCTTCTCAGGAGAGTACAGTACTTTCGAAACCGCTTTTTGATCGCTCTAGACGCTTTGATCACTCTAGACACTTTGATCACTCTAGACACTTTGATCACTCTAGACCCGTCTTGGACTGCCGCTGCTTGTCAAAAGAGCCTTGTTGAGTCAAACAAGAGCAACAAAGACGGTCCAGTAGCGACAGACTTCTTCTGCAAGGTGGGCATCTATCGCACATTCAACCGATATCCACAGCAACTTTGCGTGTCTCGATTTCCTTGTTCAATGGGGGCTTAGACGAGGGAGTTCGCGCAGGTTTCGTCATACAAGACGAACTGTACATACTGTACGATACTGTAGCCAACTTGTTTGCCTGTGCTCGTATCATGCATCGAGTCATGTGTTCTAGATGAGCCCGCGACAGACGAGGATTGAGTGGGACTTTTGGTAATTACTTCAACGGGTGGAGCACTACCGTTCGTTTATTCAGCAAGTAGATCCCAAACGGAGTCTGTGGAGCAGCTCTAACGACCAAGCTGATCCACATCAGTTTGCTACGGTCTGAAACACCCCAAGGACATCTGAACCCTCCACATGACCCGGTGCGATTCCTTGTAGTCCACATCTGAGGGGAACTGTTCTTGTCTTGGTTGGATTGCATGAGAACAACGGGTGGACCATGACTTGTTTCGACCCACGCGCATCAGCCCGGCAAGGGAGCGCTCTTGGGCACGTACACGGACTTATAAATCATCTAGCGCAGACATTGAGCAATTATGACTCCGCCTCGACTCTCTATTGGCATTCACTAGAGTCCCCAGATGGCCGTTTTTTAGGGTTTTCGTCGGGCCGAACTGTCGCCGACTCTGCACTTTTGGACATGGAAAAATGGTCAAAAAGTGTCAAAATGAGACTCAAGAAGTACCAGGTGATTCTCCTGACTCAGATGTACGTTCTAGGTCCTGGGCAACTCTAGAGAATGCTCTTTGAGCGCTCTGGGAAGTCACTATGAGCGCTCCGATGTGGGGCCGCTGGAGGAACGTCTCGGCGCAGTTTGGCGCGGCATTGGGCGGTTTTTTTCGATTTATGTCCACTTTAGAAGCAGTCTGTCTGGCCTGCAACTTGCGTTCGCTTCACCAATGTCGTCGATGAAACGCAGGTATCTTCGCGGCTATTGACAGCAACAAACACGGCATTGTTAAAGTGCCAATGCAGATCGTGCAGGACAATGGTGTGGTTGTCTTGGCGCCCGTTGTTGGCTATTGTTTGAACGGTAGTCGGGGGTGTTAGAGTTTTGTGGAGTGGAATAGTGGAATATCGGGAGTGGAAATAGCGGGAGTTGGAGACCATTCAGATGTGGTTAGAGTGGTGTTTGTAGAGAGTCGATAGTCAGTAGTAGTGTCGTCGTAGAGTCAACTGTCGTCGTAGAGCCAACTGCCGTCGTAGTGTCAACTGCCGTCGTCGAAAGGAGGACACACTTCAAGTCTACGAGAGCCACTTATTGGTCCGGAATCAACTATCGGTCGCATAGTCAACTGCCTCGCCTGTCCAGTTACGATGTTCGTTTAGGACGATGCCAGGAGCACTTACTCAACATGTACCGAAAGTTGGACTCTAGAGACGTTTCCCATTAAGACTGATGTACTGCTAACAAAGTTCCACTCGAATCGCTTCTGAACCCTTCTGAACCCATTTGAACCCTTCTGAACCCTTCTGAATCCCTACCCGAACCACCACCTTCTGCCGCACTCCCTCCAAGGCTGCCCACTCGCTACTCGCGGAAACATGTCCGAAAACCGAACCGAAACAGACGCAACTCCGCATTGCAGAAACGCAGCCGAAAACGACCAAACGAGTAATAAATCGACACAAAGACAGTCCTATGAACGGGAGCTTATCACAAACACATTTCTTATCTAGCCGAGGTGAGATCTCGTTGACATGTTCTATGCATGAAAAGAGTGGAAAATGGTCCGATCTGACGAGAGGTGGTATTGGGTTGGTCAGACTGCAACTGGGGAGGGAGTGATCAGACTACGGGTATGGAATTCTCAGACTAATACTGGAGCAGCAGTCTTCTTCAGATTGTTGTATAGGTACAGTATGTACTGTTCAGTAGTTACTTGTTGTAAAGCTCGCTCACGTCTTGTTACCTACCCAGATTATCCCACTGACTCGTTGTTATACCCAGACATGAACCCCGCGAGGCGTAGCAACCCATGTGACAGTCTCTCCGCACATTCTCGTTTCGGCAATGCATCTACACTGTCGGCATTTTGGAGGCAGGAGGGGTAGTGGGCGGGGAATCTTCGGTTTCCAGTGGAAGCATCTAGGAAGTGTACAGTACAGTATGTACAGGAGTTGTACAGGCGGTAGGTGGATTTAAGCAAGATAAAAGAGTGGGTCGGTTTTTGGTTCGAGCGACGGTTTGTTTTTTGTTTTTTTCGCGTTTTTTTAACGAAAATCTGTTTTGTTTCCCCTTCAGATACCATCAATACGTGGAAAAATCATTTGCTTTCCCTTTTGATACCATCAATAACCATTACGTGAAAAAATTGGTTGTATAGTGTAGTGGTTATCACCTTGGATTCTGATTCCAATAACCCCGGTTCGAGTCCGGGTACGACCTGTGATCTCTGATCGTCTAGTTTTTTGCCCAACTGGCAATCTTTTATTCACCGAATTTGCCGGGAAACTTGTCGCACGCATCACTCAACCGACTACAGGACGCTGTTCAATCGTCATTCATAAATTAGTTGTATAGTTAGCTTAAATAGGAGATCAGTTTCGGAGGCCAGTTTCGGAGACCAGTTTCGGAGGCCAGTTTCGGAGGCCAGTTTCGGAGGCCAGTTTCGGAGGCCAGTTTCGGAGGCCAGTTTCGGAGGCCAGTTTCGGAGGCCAGTTTCGGAGGCCAGTTTCGGAGGCCAGTTTCGGAAGTCAGCCTCGGAAGTCAGCCTCGGGTGACATATGAATAGTAGGACTGTGGGTTGGTCCATCTAAGAGAGGGAGACTTGGGTTTTGAGTCTGCGGGGTCGGACTCCAGCACTGGCGACGAGGGGGCAGCGACAGAGGCGACCTCAGCCTCTGATTCGGGAGTGATGCTGGTCTTGCGGGAGTTTTTTCGGAAGCTCTTTTTGGCCGGGACAATGTCGTGAACCAGCTTCATGTGTCTCTTGAGCGAGTCGCATCTTCCAAACCGACGGCCGCACGTCTGGCACGGGAAGTTGAGGTCCGAATGCTGCGACTTGTGGTGTCTGTTCTTTTCCGAGCGGGTGGAAAAGCCCACCACCGACCATGGACAGCTGGACTTGTCGCATTTGCTCTTTCGCATCAGTCCGTGGGAGTCAAAGTGCATCGCCAGCTCGATCATGGTGCGGAAACTGAGCGGCTTGCCGTTGTGGTGGCAGTTTGTGCAGATGAAGACGCCCTTCTTGGTGTGACACGCCTTCCGCCACATCTCGGGGCTCGCGTACAGCTGGGCAACAACAGAAGCGGGATCGGAGGGCAGCAGAGGCTTCGCATTCGGATTCTGTGCTAGACAAACGTCCTTGGGAAGAATATCCTGAAGATCCTGCAACGGAGGGGGACTGCTGTCCGACTGGGTCGACTTTGGAGGAGTGGGGAGAGAGGAGGAAGCAGACTCGAGATCTGAGGTCTCTGACACATTGGAAAGAGGCTCCGGAATCAAGTCAATGGCACTGGCCAAATTCTGCTGGGCGCACTGACCATAAGTGTAAGGAAGAGCGGAGAAATACGACGAGTCAACGGGCTCGCAAGAAGGATCGAATTGCGGATGCTCCAAAATCGGAGAAGGATACTCGTCCGGGTTGGAACTGTCGCTTCGCAACTCGTCACTAGTAAAATGGGCCAGGTAATTCGGATCCGAAACAAAGGCCGAATAATCCGCCAACAGCTCATGGGACTCCTCCGCATTCACATAGGCATGAGAAGGGTAGGGACCAGGGCCATTGGATGCCAGAATGTCGTAGGACTCGTCAAAAAAGGGGTCGTAGACATCATGTTCCTGATATGCCAGGCCCCCATAATGTCTACCATAATAGTCGGTGCCTGGTTGGTACAGACACATGTCGATAACTTCTTCGCTGTGCATAATGTGATGTGTGTGATGGAAAAGAATGCAAACGCAAGTGATGGGTCAAATAATACCGGTCTACTCGGGGTCCAGCCCCAATATATACTTGGTGGTGAGGTTCAACAGGAGTAGTTGATCCAGTACAGGTCCAGCGGTGTGTATATTTAAAGTTTGTAATAAACTTAGAGTTACGAGAAGATTGCAGACAAAGCGGGTATCTGAACAATGAGGTGGTTTCATGCACGAGGCCATTTCATGCACAAAATGTGAGTCTGCAAGCCGTATATATTATGTCTAGATTTAATACTGGTCTGCGAGGGTCTATACGGCATGCATCCTCGACTGTGCATGTTCATGGGTATTTAGGAGTGCAGTAGATGGACCTATCTCTGCAACTCCTCATCTTTAGACCATCCATTAATGCCATTTATGCAAGTTGACACGCGCCTTTTGCCTATTTTTTTTTTTGCCTTTTTTTGTCTTTTGTGTTTTTATCGTTTTGCCGTTTTGTGTTTTTGCCTTTTTGTGTTTTTGACCACCGCGTTTGCGATGCACACGTCTGCGGTGCTGCAGGGCCTCGCAGGCGTGGATCTAGATTACGGAAATAAAAAGTGCTGGTTGTCGCCTTGGCGGAGGGGCTTGGGTGGGGTAGGAGAATGGGGCCATGGCAGTGGGTCCAATTGAGGCCCTGGCGATCCATGTGGCCAGTCCGCGTGAGATGACGAGTCCCGAACCGTGTTTTTGGTCGTATCGCCAATGTTCCGCGTAGCTGTCAGCTGCGAAGAAGGGTGTTTCTGAACCCAGAAGACACTTTAATCGGATCATGCACAATGGCACGGCTAATGTCGTATCCCGTCACCTGCGTCACATTGGGAGCATATCTGAAGGCAGACCACACAAGCCGAGACAAGACATGGCAAGGAGTGAGGAGCGAGGCGGTCAACTGAGCTGAGTGGTAGAGACAGACCGTGACATGGACCATGTCATAGCCGTGCCATAGACACAGATATCTTGGACATGCATTCTCACACTCGAACCATTTTTGATCGCCGTCAACAACTGTCAACAACTGTCAACCACCATCAACCACCGTCAACAACATCAACCACCGTCAACAACATCAACCACCGTCAACCACTGTCAACCATTCTCATCCTATCCGGAGAAGGATTACCCTTGACAAGGCTGTGTCGATATGATGTGGTGTAGCTGTGTAGCTGTGCCACGGTCTGTTTGTGTTCAGGGTCTTTTTGTGTCCCTGTTTGTGAGTGTGTTTGTGTGTCCTGTGTGTCCCGTTTGGGCCATCCGCTAGGACCAATCTGCGTCTGTGCTCATTTGGCCACATTTGGCCACACGTGTTTCATGGTGGTTCTGGGCGAACCATCTCCCCTCTTCTGGGTCATTTTCGAGGCGTCACGTGTCGGTTTGTGGGGGAGGAAAAAAAAGGGAAAAAAAAGGAAAAAACCCACATTTCTGGTGTGGGGTTTGTGATTGTGTTTTATTATTTCGCGTCTGAAATTATTATTAGGTCATGTTGTTGGTTCGATTCGTCTTGGTTGGTGTTTTTGCTGGTGTTTTGGTTCCGTTCTCTTGGTTCGATTCTCTTGGTTCCACGGTCTTGGTTCCATGGTCTTGGTTCCCTCGTCTTGGTCACCTCTTCTGAATATTTCCAACTAATACGAGCACCGAGTGAGCAGACCAGAGTACGATATTGTTTCTTCGCTCTCGCCAACATAATTTCAAACCAATACACATCTCCTTACATCTCCACTAACCATCTCTCAAACCATCTTAAACCGCCTCCTCGACCACCTCCTCAAACACTCCGCAAACGCCCCTCGCTCGGGCTCTCATTAATGAAACGCCGTATAAACTGGACCCTGTTTCATTATCACCGGGCCGCAAAAACAGTCATACGGCAACAAGTGGATGAACAAAGAGCCCCATCTATGATAAATGATACAATCCCCACAGCTATGCGTCTCTTGTCTGATGCGCCGCGATTCTGTCTCATATTATGCGCAGTAAGACCTCCTTCCCGGAGATCGGTGATAATATATCGACAGAAACATGTGGAAAAAAGAGCCTAACGCTCCAATTGCGGAGAAGACCAGTGGGCGAAAGGGACAGAAAACGGGAAATGGCCGTTCCTTTTCCAACACCCTCTGCAGCTCCTCTCACCAAGGCACCTCGTACCACCTGTCAACCTGCTGTCAATGGTGCACAGCCCTGTCAGTGAAACGAAAAGTACCACCACATAACTAAAAGCACGACGACGAAACGAGCATGATGACGAGCCAGTGTGATGACGAACTAGCACGTGGACGACGACAAAACAGAGCGGACTACAACCACCTCGGCCAAAAGACAACACCATTGGTCCGTAAGGTACGATAGTTGAGGGTATCTCTAGATTGGTCCGTACATATCCGAACAATAGTACAGTACCAACATTCAACTTACGTAAACATCGTCTCGTCATAATAATACTGTTCACTCTCCAAACAGATCTTCTGGATGGTGATACAAAAAAAATCCTTAAAAGAAATCGTCACCATCTTACACAACTCCTATTGTACTAACAAGTCATCATCATTCGATAGTATCACTCGGTATAATCATCGACAATATCACTCCACATTCATGATCACCCGACCCCCCAACCAGCCCCCAACTCAGGAATCATTATCCGCCAGATTTTCCAAACTGCAAAACCACACCACTTCCCCGCCTTAGGAAACATATCTCTCCAACTCCACTCCCGCCAACTCCAACTCCAACTCCTTGTCTCCAATCTTCCTGAACTGGAAATATCTGAAACACCAGTCAATTCGCCATTGTTCCCGCCGCTAATGGCCACAAAATGTCATGGGGATGGCCCACCAGGTCCGCAGCACACCGTCCATTGACTACTCTACAAATAGCTAGATCCCACACCCATTGTTTGCCCCTCCAACCCCACTCAAAATTTAATGTCCCAAAACCACCCTTGTATACTGCATCGCGTTGCATTACATCCGTACAGTGCCTTGCATTGCATCTGCATAAGGGTAGATCGGGACATGCACAGTCTCCGACCACCTCGTAAAAGGTCTCCTTTCCTCTCCAATGAGACATGTCTCGGCAGTTGGTGCCGTGACGTGCCCCTGGACATCTCCAGAGTCTTTTTATTCTGACAGGATCCTCCCCGACTCTTCGAAATACCTGTCATTTTCCCGCATTAACCATTAGCTGCAAATCATTGTGCATGTGTAACACTCGCTCTGGAGAGTTAGTCATCCGACAGGGTAACTCTAATCTCCCAACACCTTATTAACTCTGCGTAACTGTAACTCTTCTTGCCACGTCGATCTTACTCAATTTTCCTGCTCATCATCTGCTGGATTGTTGTCTATCGTCTGGCTCTAATACATTTATTGTTTATTGCCCAAACAACATTCATTGCACGTAAGTGAATTGTTTTATAACAGCGTTCGCCAATTGCTGCGCCATCGTCGTCCGGCTGTCCTACCGTTAGGGGTAGTGTGTCTCACACTACCGAGGTTACTAGAGTTGGGAAAGCGATACTGCCTCGGACACACCACCTGGGTCTTACGACTGCAGAGAGAATCGGCGTTACCTCTCTCACAAAGCCCTTCAGTACCGCCGCCTGTCGGGAACCGCGTTCAGGTGGAACAGGACCACCTCCCTTGCACTTCTTGGTATATCAGTATAGGCTGATGTATTCATAGTGGGGTTTTTCATAATAAATTTACTAACGGCAGGCAACATTCACTCGGCTTAAACGCAAAACGGACCGTCTTGATATCTTCTGACGCATTGACCACCGAGAAATAGTGTTAGTTACCGGGTGAGTTATTGTTCTTCTACACAGGCGACGCCCATCGTCTAGAGTTGATGTACTAACTCAGATTTCACTACCTACCCTATCCCTGGTACGCACAAAGCACTTTATTTTCTCACACATGCCTGTGCCATTCGATTTTCCAACCGAAACTCTAGCTGTGGAGAACCTGCAGCCAATGTCGGGTCCATCCAGCCATTTTTTATCGTATTTTCTCGTTTCATTTTTGTCGTATAATTCTGGTTTCATTTTTGTTTTTTTCTTGTTGGAAATCTCGTATATCCAGCTCCAAATGGCGATCGATTTAATTTGGAGGTGTGTGAAATTCAAAAATCGGGAGATAAAAGTCAGAATTGGAGATTGTGGAATTAATTCCGGAAAATCAGCGAAATTCCAGGGAAACAGCAAAATGCCAGAAAAACAGAGAATGCCATTATTCAGGAAAAACTCCAGCAACACGCATTCACCCCATTTTCGCCATTCCTTCCACAGCGTGCACGAAACTACAATTCATATTCAACGCAACTGCAAGATAAAGTGCATGAAAATGAAACCCAGCCGAAATTCGCAAAATAAAAGACACAGAAAATCAAAAAAAAAAAAAAAAAAAGACACAAAATAGACACGAACAATACAAAGACAAAATGGGTGAGCCCATATAGCTTCTGAACCCATTTATTTCCATTTCTTCCCCAAGAAGATGGCGGGGTAACACCCTGCAGTCATGTGTTGTCATGGAGACAGGATTGAATTGACGAAATCGGATTTAAAAATAATAATAAAATAATAATAAAAACATGTAGAAACAGTCGGCGTGAAGTATATGAACTTTCGTCGAATTTTTCTCTCTCTCTCCTTCCTTGGAACACATCTAATAACGACACAATCACTTCCCGTCAAGTCCTGCCCTGTCTCGATTTATTCTTTATTTTCTATTTTTAAACCAATTTCTTGTGGCATTCAAGGTTAGGGGAAAGTCTGAAATGCATTGGCTATGCAGTTTATGCACGTCACTGCATGTTTGCATTATGCATAAAACAAGCTTGAGCCTACGATACTGTGTTGGATCAACAGTTGTGGGGCATTTTGTGGCCAATCGAAATTTTTCACGTGACACGATAACCTGATAGTACACATACTCACGTGCCAAGTTTTAGGGTGGGCATTGGATCTATTTGGTCATTTATTGTGTGAATTTGTTATTTTTTTTCTCATTTATACCTCATTTCTGGTGTGTTTTTTGTATATTTCTGGTGTATTATCCGTACACTTTTCAGAATTTTGTTTTCTTTTTTTCGTTTTAATTTTTAAATTTTTAAATTTTTCGACTGCCTAACCGTTATCTGTCACAATGATTGCTGTGAATTTAGACACTGTGGCTCCCGGATCAGCACATGTCTCGGACCAAGAACCGCTTGTTCGATCAGGTTTCAAATCGGAAATTAAATATCGGGGTTTTGTCACGTGGGTGGACTTTTGCTCTCAATGTGTCCGTGTCGGTAACAAAGTGGACTATTATACGGGACTCCCGGAAGTCCGATTTGTAGAATCTACAGCGACGCCATGAACTCATTGATAGCACAGTTGGATTCGGCTCGTTCACACCATCATTTTGGTACCATTTTCGATATGCTTCTGTCGACATGTACCTCGGTACTCGGCACTTTTCAGAGGACGGTTGGGAAAAGGACTCTTGGAGTCATGTGGATAATCCCGGTCCGGATAATACCAGTGACTCTATTCCGCTTCCTTGCGGTTGATCTTGTCGACGCTACATTGTACTCTCTTTTTCACCTGTAGGAATATTGTAGTCGTGCTGTACTGTATTGTAGTTGAGTTGTAGTTGGTCTGTTGTTGTACCGAAGTTATTCTTTCTTGTACTTGGTTAGAGTGCGGGATTCTACTTGGATTTTAGTTGGAAGCTTCCAAGAACTCACTAACGAGTTCCAGTCTGTTCTTCCGCGCCGGACATGTATTTTGGACTGTAAAAGCAATATACAGTGCGTGCAGGCATCTAGAGCAAACAATATTCCCAATATTCTTCGATATTTTTCACACAATATTCTTCCCGCAAAAAATATCAACATTCTCCTGTCCCACTCTCTCAAAATACTGTGTACCTTTATGCTGGTTGGGTATAGCTGCATTTTGGCAGAAAACGACAGTGGTATGCAGGCCAATAATAAAATGAAATAAAATGGAAATATCCAGATAGATGCAGACACAGACACACTCCAGTTAACAACACTCTCCAGAGCACCGCCAAAAAAAAATCTCCCGGGGGCGAGTCGAACGCCCGATCTCAAGATTACAATTTTACCATTACAGTCTCGCGCCTTAAACCAGCTTGGCCACCGGGAGGAGAATTTTCTTGGTAAAAGTGAACTTTTGTTTTATTCCTAAAAATGTTAAAAACGAGAAAATACGTCGCTGACGGCTTGTAAAGTAACATGAGATGATTAGTCGCCCCTTTATTAGTAGTATCGATCAAAAACATTTCCTTTTGTTTCACTGAATGGGATTTTAGAGACCCTCAAAGGTGGGAGCAACACTGTTTTCTGGAGAGGGTACGGATGTGATGGAGATGGACAGAAACTGGAAAAGTAATGTTGTCGGTGTTTGCAATTTTCATCAGTATATAGATGGAAAAAAAATCCTACATATATCTGGTGTCTTTGGGCTAGTTGTGGCACCCTGAAGGAGAATACAGACGAGAAATGTTCATCAAGAGGCTTGGTCTGATGGTTGGAGTCGGTGATTTCGGCTATGAAATTGATGTGATTCAATCCATTTCGAGGTGTTAAATCTACTCAAGGAGTCATAAATCAACTCAAGGAGTTACATTGGTTCCTGGTATAATGAGTCGTAACACAGTCTGATGCTAGGCGACTGAGTCAAGCTCAAAAGGGTCTTCTTTCCCGCAGATTATGACAAGCCTGTTGACCTTGGATATGGTTTCGCTAGAGTTGCGTCCTATGAGACCTTCACAAAGGAGTTTCGCCCTGTGAGTATGAGTATTTCAAACAGGAGTGTTGCCTGTGGAAATGATAGGTCCTCCAGAAGGAATACAACCCTTGAGTCCCTCACAATCCGCGGCTCGGGCTCAATGGCTCGGGCTCAATGGCTCTGGCTCATTACTCTGACGACTTCAATTGCGGTTCTTGAGAACTCGAAAGGCACGGGGGTGACTCTGGTATTTTTCAGCCGGAACAATTGTATGTGGTTTCAGGTTGAAGGAGGCATGTTAGTCGGAAAAAACTCGGGGAGTAGTTGAGACACGAGTCAAGAAGGTAGTCATTAGGTTAGAATGGACAGGTTCAACACGCTCTACTTGTAGTACTTACGGAGAGACAATAATCCGAGAGATGTCTTTCCATTGTTTCTGAAATGTATGGTGTTATGTTCATTAGATAAGTTGGAGCATGTTGTCCTTGTTTCAAGCAAGACAATCGGGACGGTCTAAATTAATTCTTTGTTGGGTTGGATCGAGAAGTTGCCGCTTTTCTCTTCTTTCTAGCCAAGGGGACCTTTTTGTCTCTGGTCGCAGTAACTTTTCTCTTCTTGCGACCAGTGTCCGAGGAAGAGGTCGAAGGAGAAGCAAAGGGTTGATCCTCTAAGACGGGGACATTACCGGCTCGTTTGCTTTTCCGAGACCTTGAATCGCCGCCAGCATCTGATTCCAGAGGTGGTGAGGGAATCTCTCCAGTTACCGCGGTCTGAGAACCCGCCCCAGTTGTGCAATCAGACACAAACACCAGGCCACCCAGCTCCAGGTATCTCACCCACCCTCGCAGGTCTTTGAGACGGGCTCCGGGCTTGTTAAAGACACCAAGACGGTCTCCGGTGCCCACAAACTGCGATGTGAGAGACACATTCCAATCTGACGGAAGACGGAGGACAATGTCGTCGATCAAGCTATCTCTGGGACAGGAGAGAAAGTATCTCTTGATGTCGCAAGGATTCGTGACATTGTGGAACCTCACAAGGACAATGGATGGGTCATAGGCTTGGAGAAGCGTGACCTCCTTGGAGAGGAAGTGGTTGAGGTTTACGAGCCGGTCAAACTCCAGGCTGAGTTCGTGGACCTCCAGCTCGAGCTTTGCCACTGTTCTGGCGTCGGGAGTCTCGATTCGGACTGGTGAGTCGGGGGAAACACCAGTTGGAGGGGTCGAAGAGATACTGAAGCCGAAACCGGGCTCTCCTTGCTCGGGAACTGCGACCCTGGCGGGCTCGTGATTGAGACAATGAACGTTCTTGAGTGTCTCCATTTCGGCCGCAAGTCTGGTATCGCAAGCCTTATTGAGCCGGTGCAAGAGCCCGTCGTTGCTGTCGTTGATGCCCTGAACCTGGCATTTCAGTGTATATCGTTGTTTCAAAAGCTGGTTGTAACGTAGATTGAGCTCGAAACTGGCGACGCCGCCATCTTCTCGGCGGGTGTTGGAAAACATAGTGACACAGTGACACAGATGCTTAAGATGGTGACAGAATGAATAAGAAGACAACTCGGGATTAGACAACCCAGGATTAAGAAGACAACCCTGGATTAAGGTGACTTGACTGAGGATATAATGAACTGACTGAGGATATAATGAACTGACTGAGGATATAATGGACTGACTGAGGATATAATGAAACATGAGGCAAAGACCGACAGTTGTAATGTCAAGATGAGTAGTTCCTCCATCCTGTTGGTAAGCAACTCTCCAGGTCTTGCAGTTTTTGATACTCTTTCCAATTTGGTACTCCTTCTAATTAGACATTATCGTGCTGTATTAATGAATACTTCACTTTTAAGAGAGACTGTATTTCTGTATGAAGTTAGATAGCAGTTATTCAGAGCCCCGTCGGTCATTCCCCCTCTCCCCCAAGCGCTAGGAAGTCTCCATACAGAAAATGATTCTGCGGACTTTTTCATTTTCTAACCATACACAACTACTCATGATACATGGGGATATTGAAGTGAAAGCCTTTCTATGCTGTTTCTTGAACCTGTTTAATCACCATGACTGTATTTAATGTGTCAAAAATCCTCTGGAATTGCGGAATTTGAGAGTTTTTTTTTTTTTAATTCTAATGATTTTTTTTATTCTAATGATGATTTTTGACGCTTTGCGGATACCGCAGTAAAACCTCGAGCTCCTCTCAAAATCCGGTCCTATGGCACAGCGGTAGCGCGTGAGATTGCAAATCTTAAGGTCCCGAGTTCGAATCTCGGTGGGACCTTTTTTTCTTCAGGCATCACTGATTTTTTGCACAATTTGGCAACTTCAAGTGCAATTATTCACCTTTGAATATCCCAGACAATTCACTTGGTTGCATTTCTTCTTCTCATGTTGGCTTGTTTGACATCTGACAGTTTGATATATGCAGACCAGTTGGATGTTGCAATATGAGTTGAAAATAGCAATCGAGCCGCCTCTGACGGAGAAGTCACTGTTAGCACGCAACTCGGTTCAATATGTTGTACTTGTACTTACTTGTACTTGTACTTGCGCAACCAGCTCCATCACCTCGCTGACTAAACCTGTGAGAATGTCGATAATCTGGCTGATATGGTCTCAGCTCAGTTGATGATCACGGTGGGATTGACGGAACGGAACTTTTACGATCTGGAGCTCGAGAAGAACCGATTGATCCGATTCTGGTTGTGTGGAGACTAGACTCTATAGATTGGTATTGGATTCTCCCTGACGAGCAGACTCGTTCCGGTAGTGATTCATCTCACGTGGGCATGGGTGTTCACGTGAGCATGGGTGTTCACGTGAGCAATCACATGAGCAAGGATTTCAGAGGACTGACAGACGATTCAGAAACATGGGCCTTGTGAACCGAGTGCGGGTTTCGGTCGTCTTTTGACGGAGTTTGACGCGTCGACGACACTTCGAGTTAATAGTTTTCGTGACGCGTTTCAGAGCTAAATTAATTTCGTGATAACGCGAGGTCCAGAGTAAAGATGTGGATGGATTTGAAGGCAGGATGAGAAACTGGGTAAAAAGATGGCAAAACTCGGCCGCTGCGCGACTGAAAAAAGATTACAGCACCCAGGATTCTCGTATGGTCTCCCACTACAATACTAACTAGGCTCTCTGGTGCTTGACTATGGCTGATCGGACGGGAAGCCGTATTTTCACCAGGATATGGCCGTAACCAAACTGCGCCGACCCGGAATCGAACCGGGGGCCCATCGATGGCAACGATGGATTTTACCACTAAACCATCGGCGCTGAGTTTGATTTGTTTGTAACGATTCAGAAGCTAGTCATAGGGTGTTTTGATTAGTCATGAAAAATCCGTCTACGATCTTTTATGAGAACAAACTAAACCAACCTCGAGTCTGGATAAGACATGAAACGATTGATATGATTTCTTGATCTGTTAGCCATGATTCACCACCACGAGACCACGACAATGACATCAACCAGGCGAAGCGTCGACAAACCAACCGACAGCGCCTCGCAGCGCACACCGCAAAGATTCAGAAGTGTATGATTTATTGAACGCCAATAACCCGGCTTACTAGGTATATAGCTGTAATGAATCATTAGAATAATATATAGCCACCACTCGCAAGTATGAAGTTATGTTTATACGACTTCCGGAGCTCGTACTATTGGTGTATTGCTCTGTAGAGTAGGATGGCCGGTTCCTGCTTCGTATCTAGGGATATATTGACGATATACCCATCACCGATTAGTTACAGATTTGGAAGAGTGCTATCATTCAGCATCCAATTTCTGCTTACTAGAGAGTAAAAATAAAAAATCATAGAAAAGACAATGGAAAACCTGAAAACGTAGTAGAATGACATAAAATGGAAGAAAAACCTACTCACCAGGTGAGCTCAAGAGATCAGGATCTAGTGAACATATTCTATATGCCAATTTTATTGCATACTCGACATACTCCGCACAAGTCGACATAACTCGACACAAGTGTAGGTGAGATGATAAAGTAAAAGTGGAGGGTGGAACTCGAAGGCTTTCTTCATCTTTTATGGGGTTTGTTTCTTTGATTCGCTCTAAAAACCGCTTATTGGTGGGTTTGAGATCCCCTCGACTGTACTAGTTATAGTAGTTATAATTTAGTTGGATCATGTAACTGAATACTTGACTGAACATCTGCCTTCTATTCCCTTGTGTGTGTACAAGTAAACCCAGATCTACGTACAAGAACAAGTGCAAGTACTGCAGGATCCCATCAATTGAAGTCTCACTCATCTCAGACCCTCTTTATGAATCACTTTATAGATTTCACTTGATAAATTTCGCGTTGCAACTTGATTTGGCAAGTCAAAACGCAGCCTAATGACACATCTCAGCCTCTCTCTCCACCACCTCGGCCAACGAACATTGAGGTGAGTGTGTGATAGGTGTGTGAGATATAGGTGTGTGAGATATAGGTGTGTGAGATATAGGTGTGTGATCTATCAGGTGAGTAACTCGGGTCGGTCACGTCAGGACCAGCATTGAACTACCACTGATTACTAACATAGCGGCGACACTTCAGTCCCTGGAAAGTCTGAGTTTCTCCTGTCACAGCAGTCCGCCATGGACTCGGTGCTGCAGTCTGAGATTGATCCTTCCCTGCTGGCCGAAAGTCTCAACGCAAAAAGGTCAATCTCAGTCCAGGGAGATCAATTACTCTGGGAAACGACCTTGCCAAATGGACGTCGCATTGCCAAAAGCCGTAAAGAAGAGCCAGACCTGTGGGTCTCGCTTCCAGACGAGCGAAACAAATGCTGGGCAACATGAATCCAATGAAAGGGCTCATTGCAATGTTGACAATGGCCCCTCAAATCTTTTGCCGTTACCGAACGGAAAATGGTACCAAAGATAGTAAGCCTATCTAGAACTGTACAGTATGTACATACTGTCTCTATCCTACTCTCGAATCAAGCCAATCTGTCTCTTATGGGTGTAAGTAGTATTATGAACTAGAGCCGCACAATGTCGTCTCACCGAGAGTGTCCGTAGCTCTGTATCCCTGCCAAACCTATGACGATCGTTAAGCCCTTTGATACTGCAGTACAATATCTACAATGTACAGTATACCGTATGTACCACGTTACTACTAATACTGTACAATTGTCAATAGATGGATCAGCAGAGGTGGAGCAATAGACGAGTGAGTATCAACGAGGTTGTTTATATTGCTTGTAAGTTGCTTGTTATCGTATGTACAGTACATTCTGTACGTTATGTGATAAGTTAGATCTGAACTTGCTCAGAGAATGGTGAGAATCGTCGCAGGCAGCAGAAACACTTGGAAATACACTGTGTATATCCACAGAGGTGCTTTCCATGAAAAATTGGACTGAATTTTCACATACTCTAGGCTGTAAAGTCTCTCAAGGTGGGGCGGTTGAAGTACTTCGACAAGCTGTACTATGCTCCTGTACAGTACCGATAGTAAACAAACGACATACTGATACCCTGATAGTGGTGGATATAAAAAAGGGAGCCCGACGTGGGGCTTGAACCCACAGCCTTGAGATTGCTTTGAATAAGAGTCTCACGCTCTACCGATTGAGCTAGCCAGGCGCGCGACGGGTTTCGGTTGTAGAGTTGGGTCCACACAATGGGAATATTGCTGACTAATAAAGCAGTCAAAAAAAAAAAAAAACAATCAAAAACAATCAAAACAAGACCGTGTGATGTTTGTTTCTTAATATATCGCCGAATATAATCATAACTGCTTCTATAATGATATTTTCCAGCAGATCGCGAGCAAACGTTGATGAAACTGACCATGACACCGGCTGTTGTTTACTAGGAAGGGGGAGATCCGATGTATATAATGAACCAATGATCGGAACGTGTAAGGGACTTTGAATCGCCATTATTCATGGTCAAACAGACTCATACTCTTACTGTAATTGTAGTTGTACGAGTACTTGCAGTTGTATGAGTAGTTGTAGTTGAATGAGTTGTTGTAGTTGTACGAGTGTACACCAACATTCACTTCGTCGACCCACCATTGTGGTTTTCTGTGACATTACTCTAAGAGAAAAACGCCCCCAAAACAAATCCATGCTTCTCAACTAGTCGTATTACTCTCAATTTACAGAATAGCGCATCCTCCTACCTCCTCCACTTACCGCGTTGTTTCTCAAATGGGTTTGATAATGGCTCATGTGTCTAGTATGTCCAATACGGCAAGGGTAACATTTATTACAAGCAGCTAGGTCACGTTGTTAGAGCATTTATGGCTCAGTCGAAGCTCGTTTGGAGCTCGTTTGGAGCTCGTTTTAGGCAGATTTTGGATTCGTGAGGGCTCTGGAGAACCGTTCTGGAGCACTCGGGTTAACATTTTGGGCAAAATTCACTCCTCACCTCCTCTCTGGACCCAATGGCATGTTGTCGGACCACAAGGGCCCGTTCGTACGGCAATAACTTTGGTGATCACTTCTGTCTGTCAAAAATCATGAGTTAGAGAGGTACAGTACTTTAACCACAACTCACTCCACTCAGCATCTTCAACTAATATCACCATCAGGTCGCGGAAGTCAAGAGCTTCTAACTGAGCTTGTGTACTGTGGCCCAGTTGGACTTCTCAATGTTCTTCCAGGTACAGTACTCGAATTTTGGGTCACTGGCGCTGGTGTCTTGCTCCACCGAAGTTTCTACAGCTCCAAGTCCACCTTGACAACCTGTTCAGCAGCTTATGGTCTGGCGAGAGTGCCTTTATCGCCTGCAGCATTGGAACACTCGAAAAAATTGGTCCATCTCCGAGCAGCAGGTTGACTGGAGACGATTCAACGCGAACTCCGTCTGCCAATGGTCCATTCGGTGGTTGTCTCTGCCTCTGCCACACCCGACTTGTCCATGTTCCAGACGACGCAGTCGGGGTAATCTTCGTATTCTTTGAGGTCTTCGTACAACTGACAAATTTCAGGAATCAAGCAGTGAAGACGATCTTTAGCCATCGTTGCAGTTTGTTGGTGGTGTAGATTGGGCTTTCGTCAAAAGAAACTGTCGACCCAACTAATCTGAAGAGTGGCGTCACGACCAATCTCTCTGACCATTTCGTTGGCCTTCTTCAAGATTTCGTCGCGAGTGACAGAAACACCGGAACCCGCCTGCCAAAAACCCATTCTTCCAACACGTTCTCTAGATTTTTGGTCAACATACGTGAGTCCTGGTGGTACTCGTGTCTGGCCCTAGACCCGCGCAGTCGTCGGTGGAAAGTAGCATAAGGCACATCCCAGAGCTTCGAAGTCCTGTACACGGTATAATCGTGCCTCTTGAAGTTCTTAATGGCTTTCTGCATTTGATACTCTGTCCATTCTCGCGTCTGCGGCGTCGACCGTTTTGGTTTCTGTCACATTGTTTGGTTTGGTTTCTGTCGCGTTGGTTGATTTTGTGTCTGCTGGACTCTTACTAGTTCGGTCATGTTGAAGAATACCAGATGAAGGAGACATTTCCAGGCTGTTTACAGCCGACATTTCTGCACCAGGTGGTGAAATTTCGGTTTCAAAGGTGTGTGAAACAACCTCCTGTTTTTTACATTCTTATGTTTACCGAGTTTAGCCCTATTTCTCAGTTCCACTTTCTGATTCCCCTGTCGATTATTGAGATGATGGAGTGAGGATGGAGTGAGATATCGGTGGATATATTGGTGGATATATATATATATATATATTTTTTTTCTGCATATACATTCATTTAATTATAACTTTGCCGTGAAAGAATAACCTTTGAAATGAATGTACGCTTACACGAATATTACTAATTAAACACGTTTAGTGTCATGGTCCAACTTGGCATGTACCTATTTCCAGTAAAAAAATCATAAAAAAACCTGGTTCAGTCCGTGTTGTATGTTGGTCCACATAGCTTCGCGTGTTTGTTCGTTCATCGGGAAAACGCCACTCCAGTCTCCAGTTCTCTAATCTCAATCCTTCCATTGCCCTCTTCATTTGCATTGCCTTTGAAAACGTCTCCTTGTGGTTCTTCTTCGTCATTGGTTTGGTTCTGCGTCCCCTGTGGTGACTACGCGCCCTGCTACATCAATGAGGGGTATGAGTACAAGTACAAGTACGAGTATGCACTGTACTTCAGTGAGGTGGTGCTCAATGTGATGTCAATAGAGAATGTGTGATTGTGTTTCGGTGATTATTTCAATTATATCTCTTTTCATGTCTTTTTTGTGATTTTTATCAATTTTTTGCGAATATTTCAATTTTTGTGAATTTTTATAACATGATTGTAAGATCACTCACAATACATTCAGCTGTATATATGTTTATTGTTTATTATATTGTTGAGGTAAAAGTGACGATGAAAAGTTATAACTAAATGAAAGTATATGCAGAAAACTATATATATATATATATATATATATACAGTACATACATAGATAAAGACTTGTACAACACTTCTACGGTATGTACACTTCTAAGGACGTTCCGAAGTAGCACACACCAAAGCAACACCAGAAGGAGATTAGATCAGCTGATACACTATTGGATCTCGTCTACAACCAACTTGCTGTCAGGTTTACTTGTATCGCTATTACCCGCTATATTTTTTTCTGCCTACATTCATTAATTTGAGTCATCAAAACAAAGCTCCTCATCCGCAAAGGTGTTACCTCAGAACGACAACTGGTGCGACATTACATCGTACATGTTAGTAAAGTCCCTGGAACGAGTCTTTGGTGTCCAGGACTCTTGCAATATCCAAGGGGGTTCTTCCAGTATTACTACATACGGTGGAGTCGAATGCAGCAAATCGAGACCATAATACCTGGAATCGAGTACGGGTAGGATCAGACACTTGGCCATGAGCAGAAGGTGCCGTCTTAACTTGGCTTTCTTGGCCTGATGTGTCCACATCTTGAAATCCTTGGGCATTGGCTGTGCGAGGGACGAGAATCCGATGGACTCTGGAATCTGAGGAAAGAACATGCAGCCCACGTCCGCCTTGGAAGATCGGATTCTGTCCTTCCCAAACTTGCCAATAGTGGACTTCAACGAGCCGCTCAGCTTGTACTGGTAATTTCTGACCCTTCATCAGACACAACTTTTGCAGGATAGACACAGTCTTGCTCTCGCAGTAAATATACTGAGATTCGAGGAGTACAGTAACGATCTATTGTCACATAAAAGTTCATTTATTCATCAATTATAACATCACTAGGGCTTTTGCTTTTTTCGAACTGCTTTTTTTTCTTTCTGCATATACATTATTTAATGATAACTTTGCATTGCATTAAGTTTGACTGGATTATATCAGAGTTAACGAGGGTTTGAAGAGCGGCTGCTGACGTCTTGACTAGCGACTGCTGACGCCTTGTGGAGTCTCAAAAGACCCCCCAAAAACAATACTAAGCAATATTACTGACGCCGACATTGTTTTTTCCCAATTATTTGTTGGAAAAAATCGATGTCAACGCGGTTTTCGACCTTTCAGCGACGACATTCAAACTCCACTATCTATATAGAAAGTTCGCCCTCCTGCGTCACACGTGTGTGCTAAAAGTGCGCTAATATGGGTCCATTGAGGAAGGTGGAGCAGAGGCGGAGGAAAGAGGAGGGAGTGGAGGAAAAAGGAGGGAGTGGAGGAAAAAGGAGGAAAAGTGGTTCAAATCCTCACTTTTGTGCAAAAAGGTTGAAAAATAACGGCTATCAAGTGATCCAAGTTGCTCCGATTCTGCTCATTAGATAAAGGTATTTCTTCCTTATTTTTTATTTTTTGAAGACTAACTTTTCAGCCCATAACCGGAGCGGAGGATCTTTTCTCTCCACAAGGCAACTCCTCTCGCTCTTCCTCTTCCACCCCACACCAATTATCGCCATCACAAAAGACTCAATTACCATGGCTCGAGGCAAAGAATCGTACTACGCCGTCCAGAACGGCCGAGAAGCCGGCGTCTACAACTCCTGGGACGACGCCAGACAGCAGGTGGATGGCTACAGCGGTGGAGTCCACCAACGATTCGACACGCGAGCCGAAGCCGAAGCCTTTGCCGGCGGATCTGGAGGCTACGGCGGCGGCTCCAGCTACGGCGGCGGCTCCAGCTACGGCGGCGGCTCCAGCTACGGCGGCGGCTCCAGCTACAGCACCAGCAGTGCCAGAGTTCCCGTGTACACCGACGGAGCCTGTCACAACAACCAGGGCTCCAATGCTCGCGCTGGTGTTGGAGTGTACTTTGGACCTGGTCATCCCGACAACGTGAGTCGACCTGTGCAAGGATCGCGACAGACCAACCAGCGGGCTGAGTTGGAGGCTATCCACGACGCTGTCGAAACCATCCACCGGCGAAACGACGGCATCAATTACGAGGTCAAGACGGACTCAGCTTACGCGCAGAATGCCTTTAACAAGTGGGGCAGCAACTGGCAGCAAAACAATTGGACCACCTCCAAGAACGAGCCTGTCCAGCACCGAGATTTGATTGAGCCCACCCTCAATCGACTCAACGATCTGGGAGACCGTGTCGAGATCTCCAAGGTCAAGGGTCATTCCGGCAACCCAGGCAATGACGCTGCCGATAAGTTGGCCGGCAAAGGAGCTAGAGGCTGGTAATGTCTTGGAGTACAGATAATTGATTGTTATGTCTACGTAGTACAAGTATATGACCAATTGAGTCAGAATTGTCGTGCTTGTATACAAGAGCACTTCTAGCACGTGACTGGTAATCAATCGCGTGAGACAATCACTTTTGGTTAAATCAATCGCGTGAGATACCCCTTTGGTTGTTAAATACCCCTGCTAACCCTTAGAGAAACGTTGGCACAAGACCCGCTCTCTTTGATGGCGAGAATGCTTTCGATCAAGTCCTTGTTGCTCACGGGGTCTCCGTCGGAGTTGACCCAGCCGTTGTTTTGCCACATCTGATGCCACTTGGTGAGACAGTCAATGGCGTAAGTTGACTCGGTGTAAATCTCATATTGAAGGCCATTGTTCATTGTTGCAATCGCCTCATATGCCTTCAGGATCGCCGCCAGCACGGCTCTCTGGCTCGTCTGAATGGGTCCCGCCAGAGGCTCAGAGACGTTCATGGGGTTGCAACGGCCAAACCACACCCCGACGCCCGCTTGGGGCCCTCCCTGGCCATTTCGAGCATATGCTCCATCGACATAGACCCGGTACAGCTTCTGACCTGCCCCATTCACATAGCTCGAGTCTTGACGGTATCTGGGGACGTAATGATCATAGCCGCATTGGCGAATCACGTTCACGGCTTGACTAAAAGAGTACACAGTGACGATACTCTCGACGCTTCGGGCGCCACGAACAGCCATATCCCAGTTGTCGAAAACTTGATCCTCGAAAACATACCACAACTTGGTGCTTTCGGGTTCTGCGGTTGTGGGCGTGATTCTGATCTTCTCCGGCGTTTCAGCTGATAGAGATCGAAAGTTCTTCATCAAATCTTCATATCTCGTCAGATTCTTTGTGCTGGCGAGCTCCTCCTTCACCTGAGCTAGCTCCCTTGTCTTCTCTTCTAGTTGGATTAGAAGCTGGGCGTGGGAGAGCGAGGCCAAACGGACGTCTTGTGGTCTGACAAAGTCGGGGGAGTCCGACATTTTGAAGATGATGCCGTGATCGCCGTGGGTATGGAGAAATCAAGTCTCAAGACTTTTTTTTGGTTCCAGCATGTCTCATGCCAGGTAATCTGTGCCTGGTGATTCCACGCCAGTATCGGAGCCCACCGACAAGGAAGAGACGCAAAAAGACATCAAGAGTGCAAAAAGAGTGAGCTGTAGGGGAATTGAACCCCTGGCACCTGCTATCAACTGAATGGAAGGCAGATATGTTACCACTACACCAACAGCCCGCGTTTTTTTTCTCTCAACATTACGATGAGCTATAATCACGAAAATAAGAGCTTTTTTCGGCGAAAAATGAACTGAAACAGACACAGGAAGTTTCTGGAGCTATCGGGAAAGTACCAGAAAAGTTTTCCATCTTCAAAAAACATCGCTTTTCCACCGAGTTTGTCAAACAGTATGTCCCCGGGCGTATTATGTAAGCATACACATTGTGGTATTACCTCAAACAAGATGACGCTTTCTGCATGGATATTTATTCAGCTGTTGAAGTCCACAGAGCCAGCGTTGGAACTGCCCCTTGTCTATTCCATCGTATAAAGTCTCCCTAACTAACACTCGAACCCTCCTCTTCCAACCGTGCTCCAACTCTTCTGACAATGTGTCGACCGAAGCAATTTGATTCAGGTTCACCATGTCAAGTCGACGTTTCGACTCGAAGTCCCACGCCAAATCTCATCTCATCTCAACAAGTCGAAGAGTTATTCGTCAATCTTGTCGTTCCTGCGGCATGAGTCGTACTTGGCCCCTGTTCCTGAACATGTAGAGCTCTTCAAATCAGGTACACTGTGACTCCCTTTCAGCTTGCAAGAAGCGGTTCTTCCTCAAGAAACTGACTTCGCATTCGAGGAGCTGGAGGAATGACGCAAGGAGAAGGAAGAGAAGCGTGGAAAGAAAGAGCGTAAGCGATAGCAGGAGTTGCGGAATGTGCGTTAAGGGCAAATGACAGCGTAATAACTCTGCCCGTTCGTCTCTGGATCAAGAATGCACGGAGTTCAAACAGTACTTGTACAGAGAGGAAGTGTGTCGTTTGTTGATGATTTTTGATAGTGGATATAGGATGGTAATGCGTGTCTATTATATGATGGACACTCAAGCAACATGATGAAACTACAAAGAACTTATAAGATACCTCTCTAGTAGTATATATTGAGTAGAACTCGCACCTCGTGGAAGATCATCCTGTTAGAAGTAGAGTCCCTATATTTGGATGGAAGGGGGTCGCAAGTACAGTGCATTTGGAAGAGATTCATATGAACATACGTCATTCAAAAGAGATTCGTACATTGATCGTTCATCTGATCTGCTACCTCCTCACAACCTGAATATGGCCCTTATGAACCTCATGGATCCATCCGTCAATGGTCAACCACTTTGACAACGCGACCTTAATCTTGGAGAAACCTCCTGGCGAATGAGAACCCAGACCCGTATTCAACGTCAGCGGTCGGATGTCCTTTACTGCCTTGTCTTTCTCCACCTCCCACCAACTGTTAACCTTCACCTTAGCCACTTGCATGGCTTCAGGAACATACAACCCGTGCAAGTCCGTGTACCACGGCGTCTCATTACGTGGCTCTGTGAGCTTGGCAATACGTTGCTTGACGGTGTGATTCTTGTCCTTGAGCTCGTTGTATGTCTTTTGGAACTCGTGTCGTAGAGCAGGGTCAGTAGTATTCAAGAGATTTGTTTTAGCCAGCTGTTGCAGGTCGTTGTATTGCTGTGACTGCTGGGACAGCGACATGGAAGCCTTCACCTTCTCCGTACTAGCCTTGTCTCCCACTCGTGTGAATTCTGTAGGTTGCGGTTCTTCCGCATCGGGACTTTCAATAGCTGGCTGCTCAATGCCCTCCACCTCAGGAATGATGAGGGAGTCCCACGCTTCGAAATCGGCAATTTTTTCGGCAACCTGGAACGCCTTTTCTCCATTACCTTGAACAAACAAACACAACCGCACAACGACTGGCCAGGGAATAGTCTGGAAAACGATATTCGTGTTTTCAATCACTACCATGTCGGCTGCGGTAGGAGGGTGTGTTTTAGCGGTGATAATGAGCTCCAGAATCGTTCGCTGGGGACACGCTTTGATCTGTTTCCAGTGATAGACTCGTTCGACCTTTTCAAAAGGCAACCCAAGCAGCTCAGATATGTCCGAAATCTCCTTGGAAAAGTTGTTGCGCGTAGATAGTGCAACGTAGGACTTTTGGGGAGACGTTGGGACTGCTGGCTGGTTATAGAAGTTCCTCGGAGAAAGCTGGGCATTCTGTTTCTTCTGAGAAAGTTGGGCATTCTGTTTCTTCTGAGAAAGTTGGGCATTCTGTTTCTTCTGAGAAAGCTGAGCATTCTGTTTCTTAGGACTCTTGCTGTAATTGTAGTTCATTCGAGCCGGACCCTTTGGCACAGGCTTGGTGTTTTTGGTTTCATGTGACATAATGAGGGATGTTAGCCGCTTCTCAAAGTCAGTGATGTCCTCGTCGGGAGGCACAAGCTCGATTTCGTCGACTTCGGCGGCCCCAACTATCTCATTCTCATCGTTGTCGTCGTTCTCGTTATAGTCAAAGTGGACATCAGGGTTGATACTGCTCAACTGCCGCACCGCCTCCTGTTCCGTGTCGTATTCCGAACAAACGGCAGTTACAATCGCCTCGCTGAGACTGGGATACCGTGCACAGAGCCAGTCAATGTCCGGTGGGTCCATGATAGCACTGGTTGTAGTGTGTGTTGGAGTTGCGGGACAGACGAATGGCCACGGTGATGACGTATTACTGTAGTGTCGTTTCCGTCTGGGTAAGTCGGTTGATCTGAAGCTGGAGCTGTTTCTGGGTCAATTGGGTATTTGTGTATCAACCAAAGTCGTTCAATTGGCGAAACACGCGCCCTGAAGCTCGCTCTGCTGCGCGTCTTTTGATGTAAGGTTCGGAATCAATCAGTGTGGCTGGAAAGTATGTATGGTAAACGAGTAACTGCAGCATGTATCAAAAGACGCAGGTAATGCATGACCTTCGAAAACACTACATCGCCGACGCCAACAAAGCACAAGTTCTTCACCTCATGCGGATATCTCGACTTCCGCTCGTGAAATGGAGATACCCTGACGACCACGTTTTCACCAAGAAGAATCCAGGATGCGGGCTCTGTGATAAGGCCATCATTCAGGATCTGCACGAGCATATCTTCTGCAAGTGCGAAGTTCTTCTTTCCATGTTGACCAGGATGAAGATTCCGTCAGTGAACTCTCTAAAGGACTGGATCTTTACCGAGTCGAAATGTGGAGTACTCCCCTCTTTCCCAGGGCATGTGAACAGTGACGCCCCCCGGAAACATCAACAAGTCAAGACACGCAAATATCTGCGGGAATTGGCTTATGGGATCTGGAAGATGGAGAGATCCCTCCGGTACTCAGGGGACGACGCCACCCTGGGACATGTCCAACAGGGTTTGCTTCAATTCCTGAAGGAAGCCCAGATGTGTTTCTACGATGGACAACCGCCAGCACTTCACGATGAGCGAGAGTAGAGACAGTAGCAAGCGCAAAAGGCGGCCGAGGCCACCGAGAGAACAGCGTAGCAGGGCGCGTAGTCACCACAGGGGACGCAGAACCAAACCAATGACGAAGAAGAACCACAAGGAGACGTTTTCAAAGGCAATGCAAATGAAGAGGGCAATGGAAGGATTGAGATTAGAGAACTGGAGACTGGAGTGGCGTTTTCCCGATGAACGAACAAACACGCGAAGCTATGTGGACCAACATACAACACGGACTGAACCAGGTTTTTTTATGATTTTTTTACTGGAAATAGGTACGTGCCAAGTTGGACCATGAAACTAAACGTGTTTAATTAGTAATATTCGTGTAAGCGTACATTCATTTCAAAGGTTATTCTTTCACGGCAAAGTTATAATTAAATGAATGTATATGCAGAAAAAAAAAAAAAGACGCAGAAATACCTCGATTTCGCTGAATTCTGGAACATTCCATTTGGAACGTCGTGTGGGCACTCACACCAAAAATCACACCCATAGCGTCTCTACAACACCCTAAAATCTCCTATCTCTCCTGACAATATTAGTATTTTAAACTCCTGCATAAAAAAATTAAATTAATTGAAAAATCGTTACGGCGAACTTCGTTATTTCAGCCGTGTAGCAAAAAGTTCTCTCGAGCAAAGATATGGAGCAAAAGTACTCCCAAAAAAGTACTCCTAGATATATGGAGCAAAAAGGGAGTCTCTGCAACGACGAATTGAACTCGGATTCCCCGTGTGCGCCAGACGGGAGTTCTAGCCTGTTTTTTTAGTTCGTAAACTAAATTATTGCAGACCGTTAGGACGGTTAGCGGCCTGCATATTATGTGTAGAGTGGAAATTTAGCGAAGACAAGAAAAATCAATTGAAAAACACCTCAATAGACATCTGATTAAGCAGCCACAGTTGGCAGATATCCAATTGAGGATAGATGGTGGATTACAGGCGACAATGTGTCAGGTTGTATCCAAATCACCTCTGCAATGCCAGAGGGTACATTACTTTATGTTTTGTTACGAATGTGTTTATTAAACAAGAATCTAACAATTTAGTTGGGACATGGACATGAAACAGACCTTTTTTTCATTCCTTTTTGTTCGTACTAATTGAGATTAACACAGGGTCTCCGCTAGACTCTCATAAGGCTTGTAGACATCCTCAACTGATCTCTTTTCATCATCAGAGCAATATCAGCGAGTATAGCGACTTGGATGGTACTGTACGGTACTTAGTGGGTTGGAGAGTACTGCACAATAACTCGTGACTCCCCAATGATTCCTAGAACCACTGTTGACACACTTGGAACATCTACTCACTCATTGAATTAACAAATCTACAAATTGGTATCTCTTAGAACAGAGCCATAAGGGCGGGAATGACAGCAGCAGCTCCAACAACAGCCTTGGCAGCGCCGTTGGCCTGGGCAGGAGTAGTCTCGCTCTTGGGGGCCTGGGCAGGAGCCGACTTGCTGGGCACCATGGTGGTAGCTGCGGACTGGGTCTTGGTCACGGTCTTGTTGATTGTCACGGTAGAATCGTTCTCCTTGGGGGAAGCCTTGGGGGTCTCGGCAGCCTTGGGGGACTCCTTGGGGGTCTGAGGGGCAGAAGTGGTCTTAGGAGACTCCTTCGGGGTCTCAACAGCCTTGGGGGATCCCTTGGGGGTCTCCTTGGGGGTCTGAACAGAGGTGGCCTTAGGAGACTCCTTGGGGGACTCCTTAGAAGACTCCTTAGTCTCGATCTTAGTGCACTTGGGACAAACGGTCTCGGTGACGGTGGACTGAACAACCCGAGTGGTAATGTCTCCATTGGAATCGACGGTGGTAACGGGACAGTCAGTGACGTAAACGGTCACGTACTCGCCATCAACAACGGTAGCGGTGGCGATGGACTTGGTAGAAACGGCAACAGACTGAAGAGTAGCGTTAGCGGAAGTAGAACAGTTGGAGGAGATAGTGACGTACTGGCCCTCGATAGAGGTGGACTGGACATCAGCAGACTCGGCCGCATTGTTGGAGGGGGTGGCAGACTCGGTCTCATTGTTAAAAGAGATGGCAGACTCCTCGACAATCTTGGTGGGACAAGTGGAGGGGGTGGCCACCTTGGGGACCTCGCCGCCCCAAATGTCGGCAATCTTCTGGTAAATGGTGTTTCCAACCACTCCAATGGCGGAGGCGTTGGGGGCGGGGATGGGTACTCGCTCGTCGTTGAAGTAGCCGACAACAGACTGGTTGTTGAACTGGCCAGTAGTATCGTAGTCGACGACGGAAATGTTGAGCTGGTCGGCAACAAACTTGAAGGGGTTGGCAAGCGCGTCGCCTCGTCCGAGATGGGGAAGTTGCCAGTTGGCCTGGACGGTGGCCAGGTTGGAGTAGTGCGAGTAGTAGGTGTCGTCGGAGGTGCCCTGGAGCTCCTTGGGGACAGCTCCACCAAGAAGAACTGCCAGGACCTTGTTCTCCAGACGGTAGGTTTCGTTCTCGTCAAAGGTGACGATGATCAGGTTCTTGTCCATGAACTCCTTGTTAGCCAGCAGGGGCTCGAGGAAGCCCCGGGTCCACTTGCCAGCGAATTCAATATCGGTATCGTGGGCATCGTTGGTCATATTGGGGGTGATGAAGGCCCACTGGGGGATCTGGGCGTTGGAAAAGTCCTTGTTGAACTCGGTGAAGTTCTTGAGGTTGCCGAGTCGCTCGGGAACGTTGACCACGGAGTCGTAGTGGACCAGGGGGTTGTGCTTTCGCACGTAGTCGGGGGCAAAGTCGCTCTGTCGAGAGAAGTTCATGCCCTGGAAACCGGTGTAGGGCTGGTGCTCCTGGTACTCTCCCCAGGAGATGCCCTTGGTATCGAGCAGGTCGGCAATAGTGAAGACATTGTCGGGGATTCGGAAGAAGTCGTCGTTATTGATGCCAAAGTAGTCACCGCCAACAGCCGCGACGTAGTTGGGCTCGGAAGGGTGGGTGAGGGACCAGTAGTTGGTCAGAGTGATGCCCTGGCCCCGGAGCCAAGCCATATCCTCCTGCTCAAACGCCTTGTCGTAGTCGGTGTTCTCCAGCCAGATCTGGTAGTACTTGTCGAACGCACATCCGGGAACAACAGGGGCGGTAAACTGGTTGGAGACGGCGGTGGACTGGGCAGCAGCAATCTCCACCAGATTGGGGGAGATGGTGGTCATTGCGGGCTGGTGTTTGTTCTTCTTGGCCTCGGCAGAGGTGAAGAGGGCGGCAGCCACGATCACAGTGAAGGTTGAAAACTTCATGATAGTTCAAACGAGTGTGAGGGGGAGTGGGGGGAGGAGGATGGTGTCTGTGAACCTGTCAAGAGCCATACTTGCGGTATATATAGCCCATGGACCAGGAGACCTTTTCCTTAGTGCAGAAGGACTTTGGAATGTGATAATACAGTCCTTCTTATTGGCCCTTAGTGCGATAGAGATACCACGTGCATCGCTAGATGATATGATATCTGACAGCTATAGATCTGATGAGACCGGGCAGAGTTGTTTCGTATCAGATCTGGGGGTCAGGAGAGAGAATTGACGCGACATACAGGGCGATAAACACACCCGTATGTTGAGAAGGAGAGGTTGATTCCTCTCTCGTACTTCAATGGACATTCCGGGGGTGGTCAGGCCCAAAATAGTCCCATTTCGTGCTCCCCTTTGGGATTCTGTTAGCTCGCCGTTGCGGAGTTTCACGCTAACGCGTGTGCTGTTTGGACGGTGTTGGGTGATACGAGAGCCAAGCAGCCAAGACCGTTGCCAATGGCTGGGCCACGTGTTTACCGAGTTCTTTGTTACCGCTCAAGTACAGTGTACAGCACCATCAGAACAACAGCTATTGTACGCCATACCGCGCTATACCGCAGTATATTGCTGTTTACTCCATCGACGGTACTCGGATACAGCCTGGACCGTCAACCTGCGCTAGCCGACATTGTCCGTCCACAATTAACCATGTTGATATCAAAACATCTCCCAGCCTCGGCTCTGTTGGTCTCAAACTGGTGAACTGGAATCCTTCCAAGACAGCCCTCGGAACGAACACCCACTCCAGTCGCCCAATAAGATGGCTGCTTATTCGACACTCTATCTCCAAGGCACCGCTCGGAGATCTTGTTCTGACAGTTCAGCAGTATTCAGGGGTACACTGCACCCACGTGTTTCAACAGAGACGTACGGCAACGCGTCTCTCTGACACATGTGAACTTTTTTAGCGCCGTTTCAGGCTCTAGTGGTGCATCAATAGCACTAACAATTGAACTATCGTCGAACATATCAATAAATCAATAGTAGACCGTGCCGTGTTGACCGAGTGAAAGAAATCCAATTGCATTATATCAAAACACACCAATTGCATCAATTAAATCACGAAAAAGTTCTGTTCAGCCCATGTGATGAGCAAAAAAGGGCCCAACCGGGAATTGAACCCGGGACCTCTCGCAAATTGCCTAGGACACCCTAAGCGAGAATTATACCACTAAACCATCGGGCCGTGCGATGTTACATTTAAAGGCAGACTTGTGTTAGTCTCTGATGTGATGCTTAGTCAGCGGTAATGAATCATTAGAATAAAAAAAAAAACCGGAGAATCATTAAAATAATATAAAAAAGGAGAAAACGAATGAACATAAAAGACACAAAAACAATCTGAACCAACATCGAGATTGGAGATGGTTTGGTATAATATTAATGATTGATTTACTAGTCTTGATTCACTACAAAGTCACCGTGACAAGAGCCAGATGAAGCGACACGAGATTGACAGGCTTGATCTCAGAAAAGATCTCTTGAACAATTTATTGAACGCCAATAACCCGTCTTATTACAAGTACTGTAGGTATATAATAGCTATAATGGATCATTGGAATATAAAATAAAACTCTCAAACGTCAACTGTGTTTTATAGGAGAAAACTGGCACTCTACGTAATTGTATGGATACAAGATGAAAAAGTAGAAGTTGCACCTTGTTTGCTGAAGCATAGGTACTCCAATAAAAGGATTTATATGTTCTAGATCCAACAATAATCAACACTTTACTTGGTGAGACAGTGTCAGATACAGTATGTACAGGAATAGTAGATGGTAGAGTATTCAAGGAACTCGCATACTGCTCTTATCAGTCGATTTCTTTTTCATGTAATCATATGATGAGTAACGTGAGATTTAAAAGTGTTAGTCTTGTACCTACTGTCATATAGGAACCATCTGGACTTGAGCAATAACTACTTTGGTTCTCTAAAGTGCATATAAACATATTGCACCATTGACTAACAGGATTTCTCCTTATATGTCTATCATAAGCCGGACAGCTTCATCGTGGGAGTACTGAGCCAACATGTCAGCGGACCCCTGAATCTCTTGCAGATGCTCACCAAGGAATGTTGCAAGATAGCGCTGCATCGAGTCACATCTGGCCTCGTAGACGTTCCTCCATCCTTCCACGCACTTTCTGACGGTCAAGGTCTCCTTGACCAACTTCCTAACTGCTAGGTCGCGCAGTTTGGGAATGTCGTAGATCTGGGCAAGTACTAGCACTCTGTGGTTTGCTGAAAATCCATGTCAAGGTCTTCTTCGTTAAAAAAAAAAGGCAAGCATAGCCTCGATCCAAACATGTGGATAGGGCATCTCCAACTTCTTTTCTTTTCAGACACTTCGTTCATGTTGGCTTCCAGCATCGTCTTGAAGAAGGGCCAGACGCCAGCTAGAACTAGAGAATGGACTTAGTGGACTTTTGCATCTTTGGAAACAATGGAAAATTTGGAATTGCCGTTGCAGCGAAAGAGGGAGAGGCCCGAGGGTTCAGGCAAACACGACTGGTGACAGTGAGGCAACTTGGTCATTCATTTTGGTACAGGGCGATAAGAGGGGTTTTCGAAGTTGTCACAAAAGAAAAAAACGACTTTAATAAGTAGTTATCTACAGTTTTCCGATGAAGTCAGAGTGTTTTTCAGTGTTTTGCTGCTTCTGAAACAAGGACTTTCCATCCGAACTGTATCCACGATGAAACTAGTCTCAATTTGCAGCCAGCAACCAGGATTTCCACAGATTGATCTCTTTGAAAGGCGAGAAATGGGGAAATCTGCCACTTCCGTTTATCTCACCTTGTTTCCCCCAATTGCTCATTATTCGACACCTCATCTGTCTTGCCTCTTTTACGTCTGATTATGCGGATCTCTGCAGATATGCATGGTTTCCTTTGTTCGCCGTATTTATTTTTTCTTTGTTCCACGGATCGAAATTTGGACACTCCAACAGGACTAAAACATCACTCCTGACCACACAACGGGTCTAAAAGGAGTTGCCTTGAGGGTAAACAAGTCTGGAACAGAATCACTCCACGAAATTATCCATTGTTCCACGACAAAAAGGATACGATCCACGCAACTGACAACGTCCAACTAACTCTGATATTGACGACGACGACGACGACGACGACGAGTTTGCCAAAAATATCCTTGCGTTTGTCTAGGACCGAAAGGTACAGTTGCCATAATCTCAATAGCAGACGATCCAGAGAGTGTTCTTATTGGTTTTGTTGCATCTCTTCCTTATCTGTGGACTCAAGGTGAAACTCGTTAATCTAGAATGAGGGGGCAACTACTTGTACTGCAGATCCTCGCACTTGTCTGGGCTTGTAGTTTTGACGGGTCCAGCACCTTACTCCCATACTCCAAGACATCGAAAGATCTTGAAACCAACTCCTCACTCAAAACAAGGCATATGGTGTCGGATCCCAGAGGTCGGATCCCAGAGGTCGGACACCGGGTGTCGAATCCCAGAGTCTTCAGTGACATGAGATGAAATGAAAACTGGCCGGGAGGGGTAGTTCAGAGCATTGTCGTCGTGACGCAACGCTGACGAGGGAGAAAAAACTATATCAGTGGTGGAGGAAGATTTTGGTGACCTGGATAACCCATACGTTCTGAGTAAGTCCATTATCAACCGCCAATCCTGCAGTGTCCCCAGACAACCCCCGAACTCAGGTACAAAAGAGGTGTCAGGGTCGGGTCTGCTCCTCCTTGACCAGAACCTTCAAGATCAAGCATTTGTCTTAGATTAGCGCCATACCACTCAGAGGCCACCAACTGAAGACTCAGACTCGGAATATCTTGAAAGAGGGTCTGGTGGCAAGGTCGGATTATAGATGCCGACATCAGTCCGCAGTATTTTCTGATGCAGTTTCATCTCAGAGAGTAGAAACGTGACCCTACTTCCATGTTCCAGACAACCAAAGACGTTTACCAATGGTACTGTATTCAGGCGATGTACCAATCAATCACAACCAACATATCGACAGTCATTGGGATCACGCAGTGATATGGGAATATGTCATTGGATTCATTCTGGAGATCCCAATCATACCTCGTCAACCGTTTTGTTCCAGGAAGCTGAGAGTCGACCCATTTCGGGTTCACTTGAATCGTCGTAGAGATAACGTGACACTCTCGCGTCCAATGAAATAATTTTGTCGTAGTGTTGACGCCGTTTGACACTGGTGAAATTCCACCAGTTCTACCACCACCAGCTCATTTGATCTGTTTATTGATTATCTACATCCTGTCCTCCTTTTTGACCCTGCTGTCCAGCAACTGCCGTTCCTGGAATGTCTTCAGAAACGTCCTCAGCTCTTCGTTGACAGTCTCCCAGGTCATGTCTGTGCCCTTGACACCCACCAGGCGTCCCAAAACCACCTTTTCATGCTTGCTTAGCTTTCCGTGCAGCCGACACGTTTCCCCCAACACCGATTCCACCACTCTTAGCTGATCCGTGGTGGAGTTGCCCTTTTGTAGATGCATCAGCCTCCCTACCACAACCTGTCGATAGTCCATCGGATCCATGGTGGTCTGGTACTTGGCGAGAAACCATTCGCGCATAGGTATCCACTCAAGCATGCCGAACCAGCGGCTTTTGTAGGCCTGTGACCAAGCGTTGAGCACCGGGCCCTTAATGGCGTGGGCCAGAAGAACTGCTCGAGAATGGTTGTCGGCAGTCGTGCACCCCGTTCGAGGAACAAACGACTCGAGATCTTCGAGAAACAGCCGTCCGTCTGTCTCATCACACACTCCGCCGTACGATAGCGTAACTCCCGGAGGAAAAAGAGACATGTACTCGTAGACAATGGCTGGGTTCAAGGGATCGACTCCGTGGCGCCAGTCCTTGAGTAACGTGACGTGGTAGTTTGGTTTGCGCGTCGTCAGCCGGTCGATTTTAGTTTCCAGCTGACTAATGTCATCTTGCAATGCCTCGATCTGGTCTTTCAGAGGCTGCACGATTTCCATGGTTGAACGTGACGATAAAACGCGTGCACAAATGACAGACGCGCGATTATCACCTAAATTGAACCTTATCGCGATTACGTAAGGGGCGGCGGCGAGCAGAGCATGGCGACACCCACGGACTGAGCAGCGACTCAGGCGGCGGCGCAAGTGAAGATATCCTGCCGTTTCATGCTGGTGATGATCTCTCAACACTGATATTTTTTCGGCTACTTGAAGCTTATATTCCCCGGACTGAGGTATTATTACGGGCTCAAAAATGGTCTGATTTGGATAAAAGTCGATTCAAAGGGGGATTTGGGCTTGTGAATAAATTTCTGACCGCTTGGCAGATCTGACAGACCTATTTATCCTTTTTATATTTATTTATATTTATTTATATCTATTTATATTTATTTATATCTATTTTTTTATTTACGTATAATAGTCAATAATAAGTGGAGGTTACGGACCTCGCTAGTTGCACAATTTGAGAGTAAACGAAAAAAAGGGGATAAAATATCAATCTAGATACACTATAATGGAAGATGGTATCCTTCATTTCCGGTTTTGTTGGTTTTTCATTATTATTATTATTTATTTATTTCTTTATTTCTTTATTTTATTCTAATGATTCATTAGTGTTTTTTTTATTCTAATAATTTTTTTTATTCTAATGATTCATAATTCATATTTTTTTATTCAGCGTTCAAACGTCAGATTTTGAATACGCTAGAAATAACTCGGTAAAATATAAAAAATCCGATATAGTGTAGGGGCTATCACATCACGCTCTCATGTTGAGAACCGTGGAGACCGGGGTTCGATTCCCCGTATCGGAGGTTTGGTTACGGCCATATCCTGGTGAAAATACGGCTTCCCGTCCGATCAGCCATAGTCAAGCACCAGAGAGCCCAGTTAGTATTGTAGTGGGAGACCATACGAGAATCCTGGGTGCTGTAATCTTTTTCTCAGTGACTTGTCTGCTTTTACAATTGGCTGGGCTCTCTACGTACAACCTGGTCTACAAGCATGTCGCCTTCTCGTATGTACTCACGTCAGACACTTGAGGAGAAGTGAGACATGATGAGGGGCTACATGGAGATGGGCTAGATGGAGCCTCGGGGCTAAACGTGGCTAAACGGAACTAAAGGCAACACAAGAGGCGCAGAAAAGGACCGTATAACTCAGAGTTGCGCCCCCAAACGTGCAATCAAAGTTCCTTTCCCCCGGCTCTCCGGAGTTATATCGTACTTGTATAGGGTTCCGAAACGTGAACAACATTTGTCGAGGGAGTATCAACATTTGGCAACGACCATTAAAGACCCAATAAAAGGTGGTTATCGGCTAGAATAACGACTAAAACCGGTTTTACCGACCCCGCTTTTGATTGAGTCGCATTATACAGCTCTCCGGCACTAGCCCCGCCACTTAATGTCCACTATTTCCGCAGACACTAGCCACGGACCCACTCGCCTCTTTTACGCCCCTTTGCCTCAACCCTGGAAAGATCTGCGCTCCGCCAAAGACCGAGCTGCAAAAGCGCTAAGAGTCCGCCGCTGGTGTGAAAGATCGGCGAGCTACTTGGGACTGTATTTGGACTGTATCTGTGGGTTTTTTCCGAACGTTTCCCGCCGTTTCCCTCACCAATATTTGACCCGAAATCAGCTTTTCCGTATCTTTTTTTTATTATTTTGCCTTTTTTTGTCTTTTTTTGTCTTTTTTCTTTTATCCAGTTTACCGAGATTTTCAGTTCATGCTTAAATGCACCACAATAGAAGCAAGTTGTGACGGGATCCGAAAACGAGCTGGAAAGCGCGTGGAGCAAGAGATGATGAATAATAAACACACGTGGCACAAATAACACACCTATTACTGTCAATATCGCCCTTCTTCAGCTTTCCCTAGAGAAAAGCGCCGTTTTCGATCCAGGCCAAATCCGATAACCCTGCTGATAAACTTTTGCACAACAGAGTTCTGCAGCAAGATAGAGCAGACCAACTGCATACAAGATAAATCCAAGCTGCCCAAAAAAAAAACACCATCAACAAGTTGGAGAAGACATTCTGACACCCAAAATGACGATACTACACGCCCTACAACAACTGCCCGCAGAAATGGCCGCGGAAACGCTGGCCCATGTCGATCTGTGGACCCTGCAACAACTGGCCAAAAGCTGCACCACTTGGAGAAGTTTTCTGCTGACCCTTCCAACACCCTGGTGGACCCAGAAATTGAATCAGACCACCGTTGGAAGCGTCAGCCACGTGACCGCAGAACAGGCGGTGGTCTTTGGATCGTCAGACGGAACTCCGGGCCTTCTGCCGTTGCTCTCAGACATCCGGGACGTTCAAAAACGCGACTTTGCACTCGACACGCTCCAGAAACAGTCCGACTCGTCACGTGACCTTCTCGACACTTTCACGCCCATTGTATCCCGTGGGTGGACCGATTACGAGCTCTCTGAGGACGACGAGCTGGTTCCTGTCGACATGGTACGGGTTTGGGAGGCTGGATCAGTTTACGATGAGATGGCTGAAACATGGGCAGAGAAAACTATTGCTCGGCTCGAGTCACGTGATGGAACCGTTACTGTGTCTAGAAACGGCGTCTCTATCACCGTTGAAAGTTCCCCGTTGATTCTGCTTCAAAGAAACAAGAAGCAGACATTTTTGCATGATTCTGATTCTCTGTACTGGGTCGATTGGCACCGAGAACGAATTCTGAGGCTGGTCAAGACCAGCAATATGTCCGACTTGGGTCATGTGTGTGTCATCTCTGGCCACATTATATGCTCTTACTCTGACTCTCTCGTTGTAATTGAGTCTCAGTATCCTGAGGGAGGGTCTGGCAGCAAGGTGGGTCAGATCATTGATCCCATCTCCTCCGCATGTTACCGAGTCCCTCTTCCAGCGAATCTCATTGACAAACAGACCCAAGGTCATGTGACTGTTTCTGGACAGCATGCTCTCTTCCTCTTTTCCACTCCTCATGTTCGTGGTTTTGTGGTTGATTTGAACAAAAAAACCGTGTACAAGGCAGATATTGGAGATTTGGGCTGTCAGAGTCCCATCTATGGTCTCACAGAGGGTCTTGGTTTATCTGTTGATGTTGTTGGGCTCTCCGAGTGACCATCATGTCTACATTTATTCAGCAATGCATTCATATATACGTTCGTGGGTGAAATTATACCTACAACTTGTAGTTTCGCAGCTGGTTGGCGCCCATGTCTTCCTCGTACGCCAGACAAATGTCGAGAAGCAGCTCGTTCTTCTCCTTCTGGCTCAGCGCTCGAAATCCCAGAGTCATACAAGTGTCTCTGAACTCGAAGGCAATCGAGTTGCAGACCCGCTGAGCTTCCGAGCGCTTGCCCAGGCGGTACAGCTCGGTCCACTGGGCCACGGCCCGGTCGATATGTTTCAGACACTTGAACAGGTCTGTTTCGTAGCCGGCCTGCTCGTCCAGCAGCTGCTTGAGGTACAAGTGGTGGTTGGAAAGACCAGTTTGTCGCACTTCGGGGTCAGACGAGGACATCTGGGTCCGGAACCGGTTGTGGGCAGCCTCGTGGGCACACCGCATGTTCATGAGGTGCTGGAAAGGGTCGATAGGCCGACCGAACATGGAGGGAGTTCCGAAAATTGACATTACAGAGAACAAGAAATTAAAAGGAAAGGTAGACAAGAAAAGAAAAGAGAGATGGAGTCTGGCGGCGGTTGAAGCTGGCAAGGATCAGGGCAACTGGACCGATATATATACATTATTCCCCCATAATTTCCCATATTACTCCCCACGGGGTCCATAGAGTAGAGAGCTCCCATAAACAGAAGGTGCAGTGCGACAGACGCATATAGACGCATATATTGGACCTCTTCCACGGTCATTAAAAAGTGGAGAAGGTGAACTGGCAGCTGGCATTAGTTCATCTGAACAATATATACTGTAGACAACGTAGTAACGAATTTCAAAAAATTTGAGCTGTAGGGGAATTGAACCCCTGGCACCTGCTAACAATCGAATGGAAGGCAGATATGTTACCACTACACCAACAGCCCGAACTTATTATTTTGAAGTTTTTTTGGGGTAGTGTTTTAGACCTTTTTGGCCTTACTTCCGTTGAAAACCCGTTCATTTTTGCCGATCTCCGGCTTTTGGATGAATCATGGCATAATTTAGGTATTTATCAGCTATTTAATGTAAAAAATTTGGATCTTATTGCCCCAGTGGGCATTGGATCGGGCTTCAGATGTCTTCATTGGGACAGTAGAATACAGTAGCTAATGTGGAATAATTGTATGGAGAGCAGTGTCAGATGATATTCCCATGAGTTGTGATATCATTCTGTGGATTTCGGGTTTTGAGGAGGGATTTTCTGTTTATGAGCTGTTGTACTGGTTTCAAATCACTCAATGTCATCTCGTTTCGTCTTGGTGGTTGCATACACAAAAGATGTGGCGAACAACTGGCACGTACGCTACTCTCCAATTAAATCGATACAGGCGTCTTACCCAGAGCTCCCTCTTTGCTGTCGGACTACTTCCTCGTGTACAGTATGTACACGCTGTACTATTCTCGATTTGCCTTCGAGAAGAGAAAACAATATATTGTATTTATACACTTCTAACCATGTGGTGACGTTCTCCAACAGACGGAGTCAATTGCTGTCCCCCTTGAGGTAGCCCGTGCTACGGTCCCGAGAGATCGTATCTGAAGCCCTTCCCACCAAGAAGTGAACATTCCTTGTTAGAATCCGCAACATCCTTGTTAGAATCCGCAACATCCTTGTTAGAATCCGTAACATCCTTGCTAGAATTCCCAACACCCTTGCTAGAATTCCCAACACCCTTGTCGGAATCCCCAATAGCTGTCTTTATCGGAAGCAAACACACCCGAGCCTTGGCGAGAGACTCTCGTTTGTTTAACATGACGTTTAGTGACCGGAGGTCCTTGGATACCCTGTCGCATAGCAAGTGCTGCTTCTTCTGAAGATTTCGTTTGATTTCTCAAATGTCTTTTCCATTTTCTACAACGTTAGAACATTGTACAAGAAGCTGATTCCAATCAACAGTATATGGAGACATTGCTTTTCAGGCAACTAAAGCACTCCGGCATAGTCATCCGTGCAGGGAGTTGTACACCAGGCAACTACACGGCATGAACTCGCAGAGTCTGCATCTAAGAGTTGCCCGATTTCAGATTACTGTTTCGAATCTGTTCATAACAATGTTCATACGAGCATAGTACGAGTCCTGTACACACTGTATATACTGTACACCTACCTGTTGATAAATTCAACCCTACAAACCACAAGTTCGTCACAATTAGCACTACTCAACACCATTGTGTCAGTCACAGCCAGAAAGTCCAGATATGACCGCAGCCAGGTCTATGTTTCAGGTTGCCAAACTTGGTAAGTCCAAAATATTAGAGTTCCTTATCTTTCACTATCAGAAAGTATAGTTTATGCAGGAGACGAAATTGTAGGTGTGAATGGCAGTGACGACCGGGTGTGTACAGTTTCTTGTACAGTTTGTTGTACAGTTTGTTGTGCAGTTTGTTGTGCAAGTAGTTGTGATTGGTTCAACATGTCTGTAGTTCGACTGTGGATCTACCAGATTGGAGGGATTTCAGGGACATGAGCAGTTGATTGATTAATATAGCACACTCTTGTAGCTGGTGGTACGTACTAATACGAATTTATCAGTACGGACACGGTAAAATACTTGTTGTCGTACTATAACCACTCATACTTGTAAGGTACTCTCAATAAATAACGTCCAACGTCCACTTTCTGCACCCAGAATCTCGTGGACTCCCACTACACTGGGCTGTCTGGCTCTGGGCTGTCTGGCTCTGTCTACAGTAGCTCTACGTCGCATATGTAAGCTTGATCTCACGGACGTGTTCTTGGGAAACAGCTCACACCATTATCGCCAGTGATAGCCAACTGAAGTTGTTGATCCCTGGCTATCGGACAAGGTACAAGCACTGGCACTCATACAGAAGCTGGAACGTATTTCCCAGAATCAAAAAAGCAAAGTATCTTTTGATGAAACTGAATTCTTCTACCGGGATCGAAGCGTGTCTCGCTTTAGCGTCTATCTACACTCCCCTACCGAGAGAGCTTCTTTGAAGCTGGCAATTGCAGAAAAGTGCATCTTTTTGGGACAAGTGCAAATAAATTGTTTTCCGCAAGTTGAAAAATTGGACCTTTACAGTCCAGTGGTCATTTTGAGACCAATATCGAAGCGATATCCATGAATTACGAGCGTGATCGTATGAATGTACAAGCTGTACTTGTGAACCGCGATTTGGGCCAAAGTGAAAGTGTTTTTTTGGTAGATCCACGCGGTCTGAAGCATTGACGCGATAATTACCAATGTCTCAGAGTCTGATGATGGTTTAGCGTGGGTAGAGAGACACGTTGGTGGGCAAACGCGGAGAGAGGTACGCTGGTGGGGCGAAGTTTGGTTTTTTGGCCGTTCCGTGGGTTTCGTAATCTGAAGGATATCGACGACGAGGGAAAATATTCGTTTGGTCTTTGAAGATCTTCTTGTCGAAGTTCTTCGAGGCCAACGAGAGGCGTCAGCGTCGTGGACGCTCTCACACGGGACGGCTGCTTACTTCAGAGATGAGACCAGCCTTGGTCCTGAATGTGATTCTGAAGAATCAGATGGGGAGCCCGAAGACGATAGAGATGCTCTAGACTCTCTATTTTTGCCAAACTATGAGCAGGAGAGACATTCTGCCTTTAGAAGAACCCCTAACAGAAGATACTGTGAAAAACGACCATCAGTGAGAAGAAATCAAGTGAGAGACGACTATCAAAGAAGAAATCAAGTGAGAGACGACTATGACGGAAGAAGACGACGCAGAGCTAGAGACGATAGAGAGACGAGGACTTTCACTAGAAGGGCTGCCATTTCTCAAATCCTACCGCAACCCTTCTGATAATCCAACAACTCCACCTCCAACAAAGTCTCCTGAGAACTCTCCAATTCGGCCCAAACAAGAAGAACAACCTGCACAGGTGAAAGCCGAAAAACGCAAACTCCTCTTTGTTTGTCTAGGCTTGAGGTCTCCAGTATTGAAGTTCTCGTCTCTCTGTGTCTGGCAAGACCGTAACTTTTCTTACACTCGTCAAAGATGCCCTCTGACCTCTGAGATTACGCACCCAGTGGCTCCCGGCAGACATGATCACCAGAACTCAGTACCACATGTATCTCAGAGGCCCGCAAGAGACTGGACCTCATTATGGGTCGAGAAGGGCGAGCTCACAAGAATTCGGCAGTAACATGGCCCAATTGTTACTTGTCCGACTCACGACTAACTCGCGCCGAAATGGACATGTGCATGGCTAGAGACCTAGACAACTTGAGACTCCTGCCAAGTCAGAAGCAGACCTTTTCCCAGGCACGACGAGCGACGTTGGGGAACCTGAACAAAACGTTTTCCAATTATCTGATTGACAATTACAAGAAGGCAATGCGTTTGATGAAGGACACGAGAGTGAAAACGGCTCCGATTCGGATATGATGGATGTTGATGGAGAATGAGTTGAAGAGGATCACGCACCTCCCAATGTGTCTGCTCGAGAGCTATTACAGCGCCGTTTGGATGGATAGTTCAATGAAAAACGTTTCCCTCCTGTCGCTCCTCGATATGTAGTACTGGCATGCCAGGAGCAGGGGTGCTGTCGGAGACTGTTGTCGACCACCTCAAAGAGATGTCGTTGACAGCGGTTGTGTAGGTTGGTTGATGGTGTTGAAATAACTACAACTACAATAGACAGTATACTTTGAGCAGTAGAGTGAGAGTAAAATACATTCTGGTCGAGTTCTTGTACTGCTATACTGTGCTGTACTTGTACCACATTGAACCACCTGTACTAGTTTCCATTCTACCGTTCTAGCGGAAATCGTTTCGCGTAAACTCCAGGTTGATGTTGGATTATAAAACTTATAAAACATTTAAATCAATGAACTCAAGGGTTCTCGTACTTCGTCTCTTGGTGGAAAATCCCGCAGCAGAGTGTCCCAGAGTCTTGACTAGTTCTAACCTCTCTCAGAATGAACAATGATAGGAGGAACAACGAGCTGCGGATGGGAATAGAAAGGATGATGACACTCTACATGTCGGAGAGACTATACAACTCCAAGTTTCCGGTTGTTTGCAGAAGTCAAGGGTTCAAGGGAGTCCATTTGCCAACCCGTCCACAATGGACCACTTTCCGAACACTTAACTGGAAACAAAATCTACTTTAGATGAAATGAAGATCAAGATATTCTTGGGTTAACAGACGATTCGGTATCAACTGAACAGTATCCCCTATACCTGAAAGCTTGCAGACGTCTTGACATTATAGTCCACAAAGTGCGAAACGCCCATTGGGATCTCATAAGGGGGATCTTGTACGTGAGGGAGACCCTTGGCACAATCACTTCTTCGACGACAACTTATAGGCATCCGACATCCGAACGACGCACCCTATGGCATATTGAACTACGTTGTACTACGAGCGATGATACGAGCTTCCACAAGGGAGTATTTCGTTATCAAATCCAGTCAATTGCTTATATAAGTTAAACAGCTACTTGGAAACGTGGGCCTTGTGCTCCTTGTCGTCACCGTAAGCCTTGGTACCGTAGTGACCGTTGATGCAGATAATGTCCTGGGGGCGGTAATCCTGCTTGCCAGAGAAAAAGACCTCAAGAATCTTCTTGGTACCCTCAGCGTATCGGCCCTGGGCGTCGATGGAAGTACCGGAGATATGGGGAGTCATGGCGTTTCCACCGCCGTACTTGTTTCGCATGGTTCTCCAGGGGTGGTCCTTGGGGGCAGGCTGGGGGAACCAGACGTCACCACCGTAGCCTCGGATCTTGCCGGACTCGAGAGCGTCGACAATGTCCTCGGTGACGCAGATGGCTCCTCGAGCAGTGTTGACGAGCCAAGCGCCGTCCTTCATGTGGGAAATGAGCTCCTTGTTGAAGAGACCCTTGGTGGAGGCATGGAGAGGACAGTTGATGGTTACAACGTCACAGAGAGAGAGCATCTCCTCCAGAGACTCGACTCGTCGGCATCCAATCTCATTCTCCACATCAGCTGGCATAGCCTGGTAGTCGTAGTAGAGCATCTCCATGGGGTCAAAGGGCTTGCATCGCTTGAGCACTCGCTGGCCGATTCGACCGCCTCCAACGGTACCGATGACCTTGCCCTCGAGATCGTAAGAGTCCTTGGCAACCGCAGCAACGTCCCAGCCGCCAGAAATAATCTGCTCGTGGGCAGGGACAAAGTTTCGGACCAGCACCAGCATGGTCATGACAACATGCTCAGCGACGGACTGGACGTTCGAGCCGGTGACCTCGAGAACGGCAATGTTTCGGGCGTTGGCAGCATCGAGGTCCACGTGGTCGGAGCCGACACCGGCGGTGATGCAGATCTTGAGCTTCTTGGCCTTGTCAATTCGCTCCTTGTTGATGTAGCCGGGGTGGAACGGGGTGGTGATGACTACATCAGCGTCAACAATCTCCTTGTCAAGCACAGAGTCGGCACCGTCCTTGGAAGAGGTGGTGACGAGAGTGTGGCCCTGCGACTCGAGCCAGTCTCGAATACCAAGCTCGTTCTCGGTGCATCCAAGCAGCTTGGGCTCGTCCTTGGCGTGGGAGCCGGCATCGTAGAGAATAAGAAGGACCTTCATATTGGTTGTAGTGGTGGTGGTAGTGGTGGAGGTGGTATGTGGATGGGGAATTGAGACGTCCCCCGGCCTCCTTTTATACCCCAAACATCGTGGTGCCTTGAGACTGACGATCTGTGCGACTTGCACGAATCATGTCCAGACACGGTGATTAGACGGATGTCAAGTGCGGCTCGCTTAATTATAATTTGGAACCCGTTTAACAGCCCGGGATCAGAACATGTACCATTAGTGGAAGATATTGTACTGCCACCTGGGCAGATAAAACAATAAATCGATATATTAATCATTTGCTAACTGATTCTGTCGTTTTTATTCCACATTCGCTAGCAATATTCGCAGATATGAACACCTTCCGAACACCTGGATCGACATTTCCGAGCCGCACTCTCGGCTATATTGCATTTTCGAGCCGCACAGTTATGACCGGGGTGGAAGACTAGTCCGATTATATCAATCGTAGGCCGCAAGTATACTAAAACTCTGGTTGGTTTTTTTTACTGATACGAAGACTTCTTGGTCTTCTTTTGTATACGAAACCGCCTTGATTTTTTAGTATACGAAACCACCTTGGTTTTCCTTAGTATACGAAACCACCTTGGTTTTCCTTAGTATACGAAACCTCCTTGGTCTTCCTCTCAAAAATTTGGTCTATGTAGAGCACTATTAGTTGAATCGGTCAAGGACAACCACACGACAGTTTTGCGACGTTTCCAGTAAAATCATACACATTTGATAGACGTATGTATCACACATTTGGTGAGACGGTTGTAATCGTCTTAGGCTAAAAATACTGAATATTTACTGAATAATGTTGATGAATGTATGTATGTTAAAAACGTCTAAAAAATCCAAGATTAATCGGGGGATATTCTATTCGTTCTAGAGGAATACATTTTCAGTTACTTAGACCTATAAACAATGTCATTCCTGCAAATCGGACTTGGAGTCTGGGGACGATGATTAGGCAGTTGTAACCTTGACAAGGATAAATTTCAGATAATTTTCAACAATTGGCATTCTGGCCGAGTGGTCTAAGGCGCCAGGTTCAGGTGACTGAATCAATATCCTGGTCTCTCCGGAGGCGAGAGTTCGAATCTCTCGGATGTCATTATTTTTTGGAATCTGCCCGAAATTAAAGTTTTTCATATACACATCCCTTTTTCTCTGTCCAATATAAAACATGCAACTCTTGTGGAAGATATCTAAGAACTCGACTTTCTGCTGTGATGATTTTGGTCACGTGACTTTACAGACATGGTCGTTTCGTGTCTTGTCCACAATTTTGTCGCAACGAGAATCTCTACAAGTGAGTACATACAGTATGTACTTGCAGTTGGTCAATCATGCGATGTATTAATAATTAGTATCTATGTCTGCTTCAGAAACTCCTCCATGTTAAGATGAGGACTTCCAGTGCCGGACCGGGACTCGTGAATGGCACCCAGAGCACCCTGATCGGGAACGTCGTCCAGCTCGGCGTCAGTGGAAGAAGCATCCGACCGATCGCTTTTCTTGCCGCCAAAAAAACTCAGCTTACCAACATTGAACTTGGCAGAAGACGTGCTCCCCTTTCTGGGAGAGGTGAGGGTTCGGATTCCCTTTTGAATGATGCTTTCTCGTCCATTGGAGTCTTTGGAGCCATCGGTCATGGCACTGTACTCACTGTGGGTGCTGGAAGCACCATGTGGTTCAGCGGTGTCGTCATACAGCTCCCTGGGCTGATCAAACGCCTTAAAGCCAGGAGCAAACGGACCCGAGGAGCCTCCATAAGAGTCCACAGACCGGTTGCTCCAATCTTGCTCTCCAGAGGGAGATCCAGACCACTCGGAGGTGCCAAAGCTGGGTCCAAAGATATTGCCTCCGGGAGAGTTGGACCGGTTCCAAGACGCCTGGAAGGGGTCATATGACTCGGGAGCCACCAGCATGTCGTCGTCGGGCTCCTTGCCCTCCTGCTTGCGCTTGTTACGGAAGAAGAGGGAGCCTTTGTTGGCAGGTTCAGGGGGAGGCGTGGCCTTAGCTCGGTTGAATCCAAACATGCCGGAGAGCCGTTTGGGACGAGTCACGGGCGAGCTGGTGTCCATGTCGTAGTCCTTGGAGAAGAAGGAGGGGCTGTTGGGGTCTTCGGAAGACACCCGGAAAGCGTCAAACGAGCTGGACGGAGAGCTGGTCTGGGCATGACTAGGGTATGTAGGGCCCTTCATGGGCAGTTCGTCGATTGCCTCAAAGGAAGACTGAGTGAGGGAATCGTTGAGATCGTCAGCACCAAACAAATTGGATGGGAGAAACATTTGCACCGCAGTATTGAAGTTTTCATCTCCTTCAAATGCGGAGGGGCGGCGTCCAGCGTCAGGAACGGACTGGGCCGGAGCACTGGTGGAAGGCGGAAGCTCAGGTTTGATCATGTCGCGACTTGATCCGAAATCGAAGCTCGACGTGGAATTATCGATGATTTGAGAAGAGCTGTTGTTGGCGCTTGCGACTACCTGGAACTGCTGGTACTGGATCTTTGCCGACTCCAGTAGCCGCGTGGCCTCGCCGTACTCACCATACACTTGCACATATCGCTGCTCAAGCTGACGCTGCACGTCTCGCCACTTTTGGTCCAGATCGGTATCGAAATGGATCTGTTGGCGTAAGATCTCGGCCTTTCCGTCAGATGTGCCCTCGAGAATCTTAAGTAAAGCTTCCGGCGAGTTGTTGGCATCGCTGCCTCGGCTACTGCTGCCGTGTTCTGCCAGACTCTTTCGCAGGGCGTCAAGCTGCCGGATCTCGGCCGTCATAGTCTTGACCTCCTCTTCCACGGCCGCCAGCGACTTTTGTAGAGTCTCGGCCTCCACGAGCTTCTTGTTGGCGTTCTCGTGGTACGTTTCTGTGTCGGTGGTTGTGAGATCCTCCGTTTTGCGCTCCATGATCTGCGACGTGTTGATCCACTTGCTCTCTTCCACCTCCATGCGTTTGAGCGTCTGCTCAAGGTTCTGCAGCTGCTTGTCCACCTTGGCCCTGTGCAGCTCAATGTTGAGCTTCTGGTCTTCCAGGGCCTTCATTTCGGATCGCAGCTGCGATCGGGACACATCATCCTTCTTGCGCTGTGCCCGAAGCTCCTGTGACTCCTCCTGCAGCTTGTTTTCCATCGCCACCAGCTCCTTCTCCACCTCTCGATACTGCATGTTGGCATCCCGGATCTCCTGCTGCGCAGCCTCCACCTCGGCCGTCAGTGACTCCACCGTGTATGCAGACTTGTCAGCACTCAGCTTTTTGGAAGACGAGTGTTTGTGTTTCTTGTGCTTGAGCCCCGCGGCCGTAGAGGTGGCGGGGATGCTGGTGGCCGAGCTGAGGCCAGAGGTTGTAGATGCGGTTGATGTTCCTGTTCCGGACGCGAGCACCACAAACGAGGGGGTCACGGGGTCCATAAGAACGGGCGCCAGAGAGTCCAGAGACGGGTGCTGCACCCGTTTGCGCGTGTGGACACGGACTGTGGTTGTATTGGATCTGTACTGATTCGCGTTGACCGTGAGCACGTTGACAGAGTACGTCTTGTCCGGCTGCAGGTTGGTGAGCACAACCGACGTGGACCTCGAGCTCTCGCCGGCCTTGATGCCGTTCACCTCGATGATATGTTTGTGAGCTGTGGTCTTTTCCGGTTTGGGCCATCGCAGCGTGACCGAGGAGTCGGACACATGATCCACACAAATGTCGGGCCGCTCGGGGATATCCACACCCAGCAGCCGGATCAGCGTCGTCGCGGGGATCTTCAGCAACCGTGTGGCGCGATGTAGCAGCCAGAAGACCGCCAGAATCGTGGCTATCAGGCCCATAGCTATGTGTCGTGATGGAGAAGAAGGTTGGGAGTTTCGCTTTTCCGTGCATGCGAGTGAAGAGATTAGTCAGCAGCTACGTAAAGAAGAGGACGTAAGCGGGCTTGTGTAGCGAGGATTCGAGAGGACGACAAACGAGTTTAAAACAGTATACAAGTTGGACGACTACTCTTACTGGTATTACTACAGTATTGCTACAGTATTGATACAGTATTGGTGGGTACAATGAATCAATGTTTAGCAGGGTCATCACCAGAAGTTGGCCGAGGTACACTGTTCGATTCTGGGGTGTGTGCATTTTCGGAAGATTTGTTCCGCTAGAAGAATGTACGACTACGAGTGGAAACGTGTTTGTTTTTGTGCTGTACAATACAGTATGTACTGTGATTGTATTTGTCAGTATTTGTATTGTATTTAATGTACTATTACTTGATATACTTGGACTTGTATATACTGTGCTTGTACGAGTAACTACTGTATGTATTGTTCAAGTCTCGAGGTCAAAGACCCTCCAATAAGACCCTCTCATGACGTTCCACCGTCCTTCTTAGAATCGCCTTAGAACCGCCGCCTTAGAACCGCCTTAGAAACGCCTTAGAACCGCCTTAGAATCTCCCTTGTACCTGAATAACGAGCTCGGGTCCAACAGGATCGAAATGATAAAACTTGTACATTTTCTTCACCGTGACATCGTATGGAATCCGATCCATGAAAAAACCAGTCCTGTTACCTCTGCGAGCAAGATCACCGCTGAGCTTGTTCAAGATGGAGATGGCTGTAGCTCGCTTCCATCTGATGAAAGAGGGCGTCTTGCCGTTGAAGAAGGGGAACACAAAGTTGGGACGGCCTTGACTACGGTCTTTTACGCAGTACGAAGTGCCAGTGACCAGGTCTCCAACAACCCGTCCTCGACTCACCGAAGCAGAGACAAACCGACCACACACCGAGCGGAATGTGGACTGTTTTAGATTCTTGGTCTTCTCGAGAGTCGTTTCGGAGTTGTCTGCCAACCGGAACGCCTTCATGGACTTGGAAACCCCAGCCGGAACGGGAGTCACCCAGATGTTGTTGAGCTTCTTGCCGGGTCGCTGCAACTTCAAATCCACTCAGAAAGGAACCATGGTGTTGAACAGGTTGATGTGCAGCATTCCATTGAACACGACAACCTCCATTGTTTTGAGCACGCGTTCATCTGCCGAGAAAGAAGTCAAACAGTATTTCTGTCGGCGGTCTGCCACCGCGTCAAAGTAACACACTTGATACTGTGAACCAGAGCGCAGAAGCCCAATAAATCCAGCGCCACCACCCAGAAGCTTGCCAAAGCCCGGCTCAAAAGACGAAACCATGCTGGAAAAATGTTCGCGGTCGTATTTGAGGATACCGTCTTCAGTTTTGAAGGCACAGGACTTATCCACAAACACATTAGTCTCGCCGTCCTTGATCCACAGCACGCGGTCGTTTTCATCCACAAACTGAATGGAGGCGTGGTCGTTGTTGACGAACATCTTTGTTCCTCGAGGCGTGAAAAGAGCGTGCTTCTTCGGAGTGTGAAGTGGCTCGGTCTTGATGGCCGCCTGCTGGACCTTGAAAGTCTTGAGGTTCAACGATACGTAGTCGGTAAAGATACAGTTGCCCTGCAAGTGAAACACACTGAGCCCGTCACGCTGGAGAATGAAGGGCATCAAAAAGGCACCCTCAAATAAAGGCTGAAAGTCCACTCGACCTTGGGCATCCACAGGGTCAATGAACGTGAGATCGGACCGCGGAATCGAGTCCAGGTTGTCAGCACATGCCCAGGACGCGGCATTCGAGCTGAATCTCCTTGCTCGGGACACCACGACTCGTCCATAGTCGAACCACGACGTGTACTCCGACTCATGTGCTTCAAGAGAAGTAGCCCAAGGAATACGAGTCTGGACCTTGTCACGAATCAGCGTATTCTCAGCCTTACGGATAGCACTTTTGAATAGAGTGCTTGTATCAGCCAAAGCAATGCAGGTTTCCAGATCGAGGTGGAAGCACATGTTTTCAACCACACTCTCTGGGAGCTGTGGAAATGGGCGTCTTGTAGTGCTGACGTCATCAGTCAACTCGACGGCCATTAAAGCAGCCGCCGAGACTTCTCGCTTAGATGCAACGGGAGGCTTGGATACGTATCTGGGTGTTGACTCAACAGCAGGTTTGAACACAGGCGCGCATGGGTTGAAAGTCGTTTTGGTAGAGGTGGTTTCGGAAGGGGGTGTTTTGGCAGCCGAGTTATTGGAAGTCGAGCGAACAGCTGGGGGTTTATTTGAAATCTTGACAATCGGAGACTTATCCTGCATCTTGGCCAGCTTTTCATCTTGCACCACCTGTTTTTGTTCCTTGCGCTGCGTTATCGGAGGCGAGGAATGCGCCTGGTGAGGTGGAGTCAAGATTGGAGGACGGGTACCATGAGGGTAGGCCACTTTGGGAGATGTTTGAGGATGGTTGGTGTAACGGGGCGGAGTCAACAGCGGGACTTGAGGCAGCTGAGGAGGCTTATGAATAGATGTGTACTGAGGGAGTTGATGGTTGATCCCAAAGGCATGACTTGATTGAGTAGTACATCCCAAGCCCACGACTTCACTTTCGAATAGAGTCCCATTGTCTTGCACTCTCTGAATAGCGGCCCGAAACCCATCTACAACTGACACGCCACGCGCACGCAGAATCGAGATCTGCTCGGCAATGCCAACATCCAGTGCCATGCCTTGGGAATTGTGAAAATAACCGATGAAATGCACGCACCGTTCCAGTTCAAACCGCTCTCTCTCGACTCCTGGATAATGGCTGAAGTTGTGCAATAGAAACCTGCCATGCTGTTCAATATCCCACAGCTCGTAGCTTAAGGACCAAGCCCCCTGGGGTTAAGAAGGGACGTCCATGCACTGTCGTTTAGCCAGGGGAGATAACGGAGGAAATGACCGTTTGTAGGTAGTCAGTTGTGGGGCATTGTGAGGTGGGATGGCAACGTTGGCAGAAGACGGTTTTGTGGGATTGGCCCTAGTACTGCCAGTCTTAACAGTCTCGCCAATTACTACCGGCACAGATTTTGTTTGACCATTGTCTCTTTCGTTTGCAAGCTCGGTCTCAGTCGATTGAGGAGGGACAATTGTACTTGCAGAGTTTCCACCGTCCAGTCTGGTACGCTCCTCAGTCGTTTTTCCGGTAGTCGTTTCTCTGGTGTCTGCGACTGCCGTGGACTGCTCTGTCTCTGAAGGGATGTACCTGGGACCCAGCAGGAAGCACTTGGCAGGATAAACCCCGGTCTCAAGAGTCTCCATAAAGGCATTCAGACTACGGAGGTTGGCCCGCTGCAATCGCATCGCCAACTGCTCCTCTGTCAGGGAAGAGTGGCTGAAAAACAACTGCAGGGTCTTCACCAAATCGCCTGACGAAAATCCACCGCGTTGGAGATACTGCAGCACTCCAGGACCCACAATTGTCTTCACCGACTCCAGGGAGAATCTCCTGGAAGCATCCGCCAGCAACTCCAGTTTCTCGGGCCCCTCTTCTTCAGCCGGAGGAGAAGGTAGCCTGGCTCGTGGCCATCCGCATGTGTGTTTGGTCGCATCTGATCTCTGGTGTCGCGCGCACGGTTTGCGGTTCAGAAACGAATAAATGTCATTGGCCACGTGATCTGGGCCGAGTTCGCGGACCGTTGTAGTTTCCGCGTCCTTCATTGTGGTGTTTTATGAGTATAGGCTGGACTACTTACTGACGATTTATTTATCACGCGTGACGCGTCACGTCCGGAGTTTAAATGAATATCATGACAGGCGTGTTTAGTCCTGCGCGACTGAGCTGTTACTGTAGATTGAGTACAATTGTTGAGATTATAACCAATCAACCAAAAAAAACAACAGCTGTACTCCTCTCCCGTCCAAAACCAATAATATTCATTTCCATACGACTGTTGATTCGTTTGGCACTTCTAATTTCAGATACTGATTCGTGTTTTGGCCAACTGCACTCATTTCCCCACGAAATTTGACGATATCGGTGCAAAATATCAGTATCAAAAATACTAAAAAGCATTTTTCTAATGATGCATTATAGTACAGTTGAATTTCTTACTATTATTATGACATTGGGTAATATTGGAGCCCCAGAACCGTTTTTTCCGAAGACGGATGATGTTTTTACTTTTTTTTTTTACTTTTTTTTTTTTTTCATTTTTTTTTTTCATTTCGATTTTACTGTACATATTACTCTGTACCTCTAAAGTAAAATCACTGGAATTGGATTTTCACCATCTCCGAGTCCATCGGATAATTACTTTGTCCAACCAACCCAACCCGCGATACAGTGCTCCTATCGGAGGTTTGACTCTCGACAGATTGGTGGATGAAATATTACGTAATTTATTCGACAAAAGATGACTGTGATTTCGCGTTAATACGCGCACTTGAGTCACTGAGTCATCTGAGTCCACGTGAGTCACCAACGAGTCACATGCAAGTCACTTGCACACATCCCACCAAACGCCTCGACATGGGTCGGTCATGTGACCGAGGACCGAGGGAGGCTCGGGTCACGTTCCAGCACGTCATGACGTAATTATCTTTACGTTTGCCCCGAGGAAACGCCGTACAACCGTGCTGCAGGCCGTTTATCCGGACGTTTGTAATCACGCCGAAGTCTGATTCTATAGGGATGAGAGTGGAGGGGATGGAGGAGATGGGGGAGGTGGTGGTGGATGTAGAAATAGGTAGAGCTGTTGGTTATACTGTTGATTAGACAGTTTTTCTGCCCACAAAGTGTTTTATCGTCACTCAAAGACGTTGTACGAGTGTACTAATGAATGCTAAGGTATAAGCATTTTATTTTAGGACTAAAAATAGTTCGAGGAGGCGGGATATTATTTCAGTCGCACGACTCCATTGTGCATAAGCCGAGGTGTACGTTATTTGGTTTTATGTATTAATTGTAATAATTGTATGTTATATATATTTATAATGTATAGTAATCCATTATATATAACTTGTACTTGTACTGACTGTACTGACTGTACTGACTGCACTGACTGTACTGACTGTACTTGTACTTGACTTGCACTTGTATCGACAGTACATAGATTTATGGTATCGTACTTGTAGCTAATACTTCATGCAATTTATATTTTATATTTTATATTTTATATTTTCTGTTGAAAGTACATACCTCCTCACATTTACAGTATATTCTAATCTGTAAAACATAAACCGGAGATGCCATCCAGATACCAACCCACCAGAGACCATCCACCAGAGGCTCTAAGACCTCGAAGGTCTCGACTACCGAAACAAATGCGAACACCGAACACCGAACACCGCCACACACCGCGACCCGTTCAAGCCACGGTTTCGCGCACAACGCTGATATCCTTCCGTTCTGGCGTGGACGTTTCGGCATTTTGATCTCGTCCGAATTCAAAATCATGTTTGGTCCGGTGCATGGTGAGATGCATTTCCCCGCTACGAAAAACAGACGGTATTGTCTGGGGAAGGCTGAGGGCGAAAGGAAGGAGAGAATAAAAAAGGGAGAGGCAAAAGGAGAGGCAATGGGAGAGGGAAATGGACGGAAGAGGACAGTAACTGTAGACAGAAAGTGTAGATAGAAAGTGTAGACAGTAACTGTAGAAACGAAGAAGATGTGATTTCCTCACACAAGATGCGAACACTCCAATCTTGCACATTCCACCAGACTCGACTCATCTCATGAATCTTCCTCAAAACATGCACGTCAAGCTCCAACGTGCCCCCACAAACCCTGTCCGTGTCAAGTCCGAGAGCTCGTTCTCTCGAAAGGGTCACGCGATGGTTAAACCGAGACCCCCGCCAAATCCAGATTTGCTGGCCCTGTGCAAAATCCCGTTCCCGCCATCGGCTTTTCTAGTCCCCTTATTGTATCCGCCTCCATCCATCTCCATTATTGTAGACGTTTCGGCAATAGCCCGTTCGGGATTTAAGCTTCGGAGAAGTGTCGAGCCAGCCGATTGGCTAAACGCCGAGTGTGAAAAAGAGGGCCGTGCACTTTCCACACCGTGGGTGGCAACGAGGCGTTTGAAAGAGCCCCCAAAGGCGGCACAAGATAAACCCGACGCCACAGTTGCCATGTCGCACCACGGAGCGCTTGCATGGCGCCATCCAAAGCTGTGGCTGGCACTTTATCCTGCGCAATCAAACACAATCAGTGCGCCAAACTCTGATGGCTATTGCGTCATGACAGCCGGCAGCGAGAGGATATATATAGGAGACGAGACGAGCCTTCCAGCCTCAATCGAGACAGCCTGAATCGACTTCTCGCGCCACCTCACCGACTTTGCGCCTCCACCGACTTTGCGCCTCCACCGACTTTGCGCCTCAACCGACATCTCGAGCTCCCTAACAGACTTCTCGAGCTCCCTAACAGACTTCTCGAGCTCCACAGACTTCTCGCGCTCCTCAACTGACTTCTCACGCGTCTCCTCAGAGCCACTTTCGAGCACCGACGAACCCAGACGTGACTCAAACGCCCGATACAAACATCAACCCAATCAGGTCCACCCCAACAACTAAAATGGCACCCAGCGCTGAAAAACTGCCCTCGCCGGCATCATCAGCCCCCCAGGTCTCGACCCTGAAGTCGGTCATTGCCGAGGTCGAAGCACCCTACAAGTACGACTACCTTCTCCCCGTCTACCCGGACCTCAAGTGGGACCCCCTCGAGGAAGTCCCCTACACAGACGCCGGTATCGACGCGGACCCCAACTACACAAACCTGTTCAAGGACGCGTCCAAGGTGATTGAGCTGACCCCCCGGTTCGGAACCGAGATCCACGGTGTTTCTCTAAAGACGCTGTCCACAGAGCAGAAGAAGGAACTCGCCCGTCTGATCTCCTTCCGAGGCTGCGTCTTCTTCCGAGACCAGCCCGACTTTGAGATCGAAGACCAGCTCAACCTCGGCCGGTTCTGGGGCACCCTGCACAAGCACGCCTCCACCTCTGTGCCCCGAGACTGGGAGGCCCGAAACCTCGACGAGGTCCACGTGGTCTACACCGACTACCACAAGAAACCCAACACAGCCTTCCCAGCCACCCACCTGTGGCACGCGGACGTCACCTACGAAAAACAGCCCCCTTCATACACCTCGCTCAAGGTGCTGGCCAACCCCCCAACCGGAGGAGACACCTTGTGGACCTCCAACTACGCCGTCTACGACTCGCTGTCTGAGCCCATGCAAAAGTACCTCGAGAGTCTCACTGCCATCCACTCGGGAGTCGCCCAGGCCGCAGACTCAGCCCGTGTGGGCCAGCCTCTCCGACGAGACCCCATTGAGACCGAACATCCTGTCATTCGAACACATCCCGTGACCGGCTGGAAGTCCGTCTTCCTTAACCCCGGCTTTGTGACTGCTCTGCGGGGCATCCCCACCTCCGAGTCCCAGGCCATCATGACCTACATCAACTCTCTGGTGGCTACCCAGCAGGAGGACACTGTCCGATTCAAGTGGAACTCACAGGATGTGGCCTTTTGGGACAACCGAACCACTTCGCACAGCGCCTCGTTTGGATACTATCCTTACCGACGACATGGAGTGCGAGTAACGGTGACTGGAGAGGTTCCCGTGTTTGACAAGAACGGTACTTCCCAGCAGGATCACTTTGATGCCGAGGTTGGGCTTGTTCGAAACAAGGACGGTTCTGCTGGTGGAAACTACAACGACTAAGCTTGTGGTAGTAACGATATGAACGATGTAAACGATATATATGATGATTTATGATTTATGTTGATTTGAGGTGATCAGGATGACCACATTAATAGCTATTGTAGATGAGCGGTACACTCGTAGTATAGACAAGCGATGGAGTATACATACAGTACGAGTATGTACATGTGGATTGACGTAAGCGCATATCGACTACTACACTCTCCCAGAACCTATACAATCATGAATTAATCTATATACGACGTTACTCGTCATCTTCGTCATCATCCTCCTGGTCAGCTTCATTCTCCTCGTCCTCATCATCTCCAGCTTCATTCTCCTCATCACCGTCATCTCCCTTGAGCTTGGCCTTTTCCTTTCCTCTTGCCATTCGTCCCTTCTTCTCTGTCTTGGCCTTGACGTTGGCCAACTGCTCGGCCTTTCGGTCGGCCTTGATCTTGGCGGCAGACGAATGTCGCTTCTCCAGCTTCTTGATCTCGGCCTCCGACTTCTTAATCCGAGTATGATGCAGCACCTTTCCAGAACACACGCCGTCCTCAATCTTGATGAGATCGAGGGTCATTCGGGGACCAATCTCCACGAGCTTGACGGCCCGTTTGCTAGGGCCCTCCTCAAGAGGCATTTCGTCGTCGTCGTCCGGGTTGAGGTCGACAATGGCATCCTCCTCGACCTCGGACATGTCCGAATCGGAGGTGAAGGCTCCGGCATCGGGGTCCAGAAGATAGTCGGCCATATCCTGCTTTTTGCTGAGGTTGGGGATCTTCTTTCGCAGCTTGTGTTTGAGTTTGGTGAGCTTTTTGACGCCCCGGGTCACGTCAACCGGACGGGTGTCGATGGCGTAGTGTCGGAACTCGATAGAGCCCGTCTCCTTGTCCTTGTTGAGCATGACGACCCGACGAATCGAGGGAATTCTGGTGTTCTGCGCAGACAGAGGGGGGAACATGTTCTGGAACATCTGGGTTACCAGAGTCTCGTGGGGGTTGGTGGCATCGTCACTCTTGAGAGAAAAGTTGTTCATCACCAGCAGAGGAGGCTGCTTGTACAGCTTGCCGTCGTTGGACTTGGGCGACCGCACAAACTTCCGAACGTCCTTGATGAGCGAGTACTGCGACACCTTGAAGTGCAGAGTGGGGCCCCGAGGCACACGAGCCATTCGCAGCGAAGTCATGCCAGACTCTCCCTTGGTGAAAATCATCAAATGTGACACTCCGAGAGGACCAGCCATGGTCACAAAGTCCCGCAGCTTGTTTCCCTTTCGCTCCCGCAGTTTGCCGGCGGTGTGGGGTTCCATGGCACATCGAGTGTCTCGAACTAGTTGTGTGAGCGCATGCTGAGAGGCCGGGGACGCTGCGACACTGCCGACCTTTTTGGAGCCCATCTTGAAGATCATGGACTTGGGGATCTTGTCCATGTCCTCCTCGGAGATCTGGACGTGCGTTCTCTTCTTGCTTTTCCGCGCTGCCATTTTTTTCTTAGTCTTGGTGTGTGCGTGTGTGATGATAAGTTGCCCGCTTTTTTTTGCATCAAGATTGGAATTTTTTGAAATAGGCTTCACTCGTGCATCTTGGGATGAGATGGAGACAAGCCGACCAGAGCGTAGATGTGAGCGTAGATGTGAGCGTAGAGCGGCGATTTTGATGTGATATAGGGGATTTTCTCAGGTTTCATTGGTTGAAATGGTTTGGAGTAGATAATATTGATTTTTTGCCGTCATATCAAGCCGTTTTATCGTCATATCATGTCGTAGAGATCAAACTAGCTATAGTGGGCAGCGGTGCCAGTGATACAGTCATTGTGAGCAAAAATGTAAGGATAGTCGTTGAAATTTTACCATATACAGATCATCCGCTTTTCCATTTATGCAATTTCCCTCTTTAAATTCGTTTCTATTAAAAACTGGCCGAGTTAGCTAAATATATGCGTAATTCACTCAACCAGGAATCGAACCGACGATCGCGAAAAACACAAAAGAACGAGGTGGCGGCGGTAGGAGTAACAATGTTGGAAATCAACGAGCGGCATTGGACCAGTTTTCCATCAATAACTCTTGCAACTCCTCTATTATCCCGATCCTGTTGTCTGGAGACGCTATAACGATTCTCCTTATATAGCCTTGCACATGTCATAAACTCTAATATATTTTTGAAGCTGCATGCACATTTTTTTCTCCATCGAACCTTGATTATTTCACATACAACTACTGTACACACAACAATGGCCAAGGCGACGGAAAAACGAGTGAAGCGAGCAAAGAAGGAGGAGAGCGGGTCCGAGTCCGAGGACAACGATGCCATCGCGCAGGAAATCCTCGACACCACCAAGTCCGACAACGAGGAAGAAGAGCCCAAGAAGAGCTCCAAGAACTACACCTCGGTGGAGGTGGATGAGAGTGAGGAGCAAACCAAGACCTTCAAGGATCTGGGCGTGATTGACTCCATCTGTGAGACCTGCGAGGAGCTCAAATTCACCAAACCCACACCCATTCAGGCCCAGAGTATCCCGTACGCCCTCGAGGGACGAGACATCATCGGTTTGGCCCAGACTGGTTCCGGTAAGACGGCCGCCTTTGCCATCCCCGTTCTGCAGAGTCTGTACGAGAACCCCCAGCCGCTGTACTGTGTGGTGCTAGCCCCCACTCGAGAGCTGGCGTACCAGATCAGCGAGACGTTTGAGGCGTTGGGCTCTGCCATGGGTCTGCGAACCGCTGTGGTTGTGGGAGGTATGAACATGATGACACAGGCGGTGGCGCTGTCCAAGAAGCCTCATGTGATTGTCGCAACCCCTGGACGTCTGGTGGACCATCTGGAGAACACAAAGGGATTTTCGCTGCGAACCCTCAAGTTCCTGGTCATGGACGAAGCCGACCGACTGTTGGATATGGAGTTTGGACCTTCTCTGGACAAGATTCTCAAGGTCATCCCCCGACAACGAAACACATATCTCTTCTCTGCCACCATGACCTCCAAGGTCGAGAAGCTGCAGCGAGCCTCTCTGGTGGACCCTGTCCGAGTGGCCGTTTCCACAAAGTACCAGACTGCAGACAACCTGTTGCAGTACATGGTCTTCTGTCCCTTCAAGCACAAGGACACACATCTGGTCTACCTCGTGTCCGAGAACGCGGGCAACTCGATGATTATCTTTGCCCGAACCAAGTCCGACACCCAGCGAATTTCTCTGCTGCTGCGAAACCTTGGATACGGCGCTATTCCTCTGCATGGAGATCTGAGTCAGACCGCGCGACTTGGAGCTCTCAACAAGTTCAAAAGTGGATCTCGAAACATTCTGATCGCCACCGACGTTGCCTCTCGAGGTCTTGATATCCCCGCCGTGGACCTGGTCATCAACTACGACATCCCCAGCGACTCCAAGTCGTATATCCATCGAGTTGGACGAACTGCCCGAGCTGGTCGGGCCGGCAAATCTGTGGCTCTGGTTTCGCAGTACGATCTCGAGCTTTATCTGCGAATCGAGGGCGCTCTAGGCAAGAAGCTGGACTCGTATCCTCTGGAGTCCGAGGCTGTCATGCTCTTTTCTGAGCGAGTGGCCGAGGCTTCTCGAGCTGCCATTCAGGAGATGAAGGGCGAGGATGGAACTAAGAAGCGAAGCAAGTTTGACAAGAAGAGACGACGAGACGAGATGGACATTGGAGAGCAGTAGATTGGTCCGGGAACTAAAAGACTTTCAGATGCGTATGCGATTGAGAGTATGTGATAGATAATGTATTTTTTATAGTCAAAGGTGAGGAGGGGATATTGGACCAATCGAGAGGTGACGACGAGTGGAGAGATATTGGTCCAGTATGCACTGTATGTACATGGTTCAATCGAGTAAAGAGGTGTCAACATCTCGATAGTAATTCAGTTATTACCGTAATTATAGGAGCACTTTGGCAATCGATGGATAATCGAACATGACTTGTGAGCTTCGTATTATATCTACAATATGTACAGTAGATATTGTATATAATTACTGTAGTCTTTAACTACAATAAATACGATACTGCCAGTCCAATCAAACATGATAATATACCTACAAGTACATACAAGTAGGTACTTGGAGACGAGTTATACCAAATTAGACCCGATATTATTGCCTAGAATCGAAAATACAGCCTTTCACGGTGATAATATCGCGATATCCAATTACATGCTGTACGGTGAGGGGAATTGATTGAGTGTTATGGTAATTAAATGTGTCAGACAGTCAGAGTGAGAGTGAGAGTGCAGAAGTGGTTCGTAGGCACAGACTGCTTCTGCTTCGGTGACACAGACAGCTTGGTTAGTCAGGGTTATACCTTTCTCACCAACATCTTATACTCATCCTTTCCTGCCTCTTCTCACAAAAATTGTACAATGTATTTTATGATATTTTTCTCACAAGTTGTCTTGTAAGTCTAGAGCGTATAAGGTGGGAAATTTGGGCTATTTTTCTGTCGGGCTCCATTCTTTCGAAGACCCGATGAAATGCAAAGGTTTTTTAACCAGTGTTTACTGGCGGGGTTAAGTGAGTTGGAGAATTATTCCGTAAAAAAAGACTAAAACCAGAAAAAACGAAAACCAGAAAAAACGAAAACCAGAAAAAACGAAAACCAGAAAAAACGAAAACCTGAAAACCTGAAAACAAGAAAACAAGAAAACCAGGAAAATACGGGAGTTGCGAATATGAGATCGAATGATAGTACTCGTACCATGAGATTGAGCGATAATACAACCAAATGTTTCCTAAAATGGGCTCAAATCACCGAGACTGAGGGCCAAGCATGTGGCTGTGGTATGGTATGTACATATATATTGTGCTTGTGGTAATACGGCAGAAACCTGAACACCGAAATACAACTATGTACTACAAGTAGAACTGAATTGACTGTCACTTGTATTGATTCATACGATACTCAGACCCAGACTCTACAGACTGTCACCGGGATCGATTCTGACGTGAAACCTCATTCTCACCGTCTCACGGCCCCACGATAAGGCCTCCTTACCACCGTCTCACAACCATGTCTTGTTCTACTTGTAGGTGAGACACTGACGACCGTGGCAGATCAGTATCCACATGAAATGGCAAATGGAAACTTGACCGGTTGTCTGAAAACAGCGATGTCCTGTTTGGCACATGTCCGTGATACTAATTGTAGTACTGTCGAACGTCAAACGTCAAACGTCAGAGTCTGCAGCCGAATACGGAAGCCAAGGGACGATATCTCGGGCTTGTAGGGGATTATCAAGCCGCAACCCAGCTTGAAAGAGACCCCCTGGTCCCCTGGCTTGTATAAATGGTCTCAACAAGTAGCAAAAAAGGCGGTATCGCACTTGAACCGATGCTCTACCTGTATCAGAACCCGCAGCTGCATTATCACCATTGCCAAGAACCAATATTTCGTTAGCTCAGATCCCTGGAAGGTCCATGAGTGACGCATGCGGGCACTTGACGCTGATCTCTCCAGAACAAGTCCAGAATAACTCCAGAATAACTCCATTTACGTGCTGGAACGTGAAGTTGGGTGGGCTAGTTCGGGGACTGCGTTAGACATGGCCCTTCCCAAAGGCGTGATAACGTTGAATAACACCCAGCTAAGGTACAGTTAGTACATACATCGGGGTCATGATGTTACGCTGTCGTCTGGAGTGGCTTCCATTGCCCAGATTCCGCCGCATGTGACGTACTCGTACAGCAACGGCTGCTCTTTGGAAAGCGTCCCGATAGTGCATGACATTTCATTGTCCGAGTGTTTGCCAAATGAGTGTGGACATTGTTTTCATTCCTCAGGCACGGCACATGCCCCTGGCTCCTACAAGTAGTGTTTGATCGCTGCAAATCCCAAGCCTATGTCTATGTAGCGTTCCGGAAGAGTGTGGGTAGATGGACGGATGCGTCGCTGCGGTTTGCGACGCTGTTGCAGAGCGCACTAGTGCCAGCTGCTGCTGCTCCAAACACCCGCTGCAGCTAGATTAGCCGTGACAATGGCAGGGCTCGTGGGCGTCTGTTAGTTTGCAGGGTCCTGGAAGTGGTTAGGAAGCACCACCCTGAGACGTCTGGACGTCTGAGACTAAGACAATGGGTGTTGTACCAGGCGGTTCCAACCGTAACAACTTCCAGCCGTAAGAACCTCTGACTTCCAACCGTAACCACCAGCTGATCGAGATTGCCCCTTGAGCAAACTGTCAAGGGCCTTACTACCTCAGTTGAGTGAGACAAGACAACCCACCATGCCATAAGATCAACACACACGCCGCTGAACCTGAACCACAGCTCGCAACCACAACTACTTTAGACCATTCCTCTTTTGGTGATACTAATTGAAGCAGCCAAACTGGGACTTGACAGCCACCGCTCGCACTAGCCGTGCCGATGACGTCCCGCCTCTGGCCGACCATTGTCCCCGCCCCGCCGCAGCCCGGCTGAAATTACGCCCCCAAAATATCGCCCCATGTCCCCTCAATCACGTTGCGCGATCGACACGGGCCCCACACACGGTTTCATAATATATAAAGTGCGCACATGTACGACTAAAATAACCCTCGCTAAGGGGAAAGTAGGTTGGACTACAGCAGTACACTGCCAAATTAACTTTATCAAAAAAAAAAGAAAAAAACAGTATGGCCTTGTGTGGTGACATGAGAAGGTGGTTGTGGCAGCTTGGTTGCACATCTTTGTGGCTCGATTTGGCCGCCATCAACGACTTATTACGGGCCGGGAGACCATGTGACGCCCCGAGCGTGCGCTTGCCCCATCTGTCATCCAGGCCCGCGGTCGCACAAGAAGATAAATAGTCGGTGGTGTCTAAGCTCCTACCCCTTTTTTTGCACAACAAAGACGGACCCTGACGCATCCGGAATCGCCCTGGATCGTGGTCAAAGCCCTGCCGACGGTCACAGATAACTCTCACTCTATCTTAAAGCGCCCTCTTCCGATCAATCGCCATGTTCATCACTACTAAAGCCCCCGACAAACGCACATCGGTGCTCAGCTTCGACTTCAAGTACACCGACGTGGAAGCCATGTCCACCCAGCCCGTCACCATGATCTCCTCGTCCCCAGTGACGCAGCCCAAGCGGTTCTCGCTCAACCGAATGTTCAGCAAAAAAGGCTCCTCGTCCATAGACAAGAGCACCCCAATCTCGGTGCCCATGGACCCCACCCGAATCGACGACTGCTTCAAACGAGACAAAAAGGTGCTGGAAGCAGAGATCCAGAAAGAAAAGGCCAAACAGGAACTGCTCTTCCTCATCGGGGAAGGCGATCTGGCAGAGAAAAGACACAAGTCCAAGAGACCGCCCTCGTCCTCCTCAACTGCCTCCATTGCTTCCTCCAGACGACCCTCCACCTCCTCGTCTCGCCCCCAAACTTCAGCTTCCTCCAGACTGTCAACACACTCAGAACTGCCCCTCCACTCACTCAGACCCACCTCGACCCGATCGTCCAGATCCTCAAGATGCTCAGTCGCCCCCTCAAACCCCAACTACTACTACACGGGCCTGTCCTTGGTCAAGCTGAGCAGCCTCGACAGCTCCTACAGACGCCAGTACGGCTACGGCTGCAAAACCGTGGAGGAAAAGAAGATTGTCCACCAGATCTGCGCCACCCGAGACCTGGAGTACCTTCCTCTGGTGCTGTTTCGATGCATTCGCGAGATCAACAACAATCTCACCGAGATCGGGGTCTACAAGCTGAATGCCAGCGCCCAGAAAATCGAACAGCTCCGAAGATGCTTCACCGACAACGGGCCCCTATGTGACTTGGGCGACTACGATGTTCACACTCTAACCTCGTTTCTCAAGAACTTTCTACGACAACTGCCTGACGACCTCTTCCCCAACCCCTACCAGGAGACACAGCCCAAGGTGCTGGTATCTGTGGTCAAGACTGCGCTCGGAAAGCTGCCCAAACAGTCCATTGTTGTACTGAGGACTCTGTGTACACACATCCAGGACGTGTCCAACCACCACGAGACCAACAAAATGACGCTGTCGACGCTAGCCCGCATTTTGGCCCCCTCTCTTAGAATTAGATCGTCTGTGCTTGAAACTCTGGTCAAACATACCCCTGAACTTTGGTATGGCATGGAGGGTAACGGCGTCTACACATACGAGGCTATCGAGGTCCGCCGTCAAGAGGCCGTGTCTCCTACCTCATCCAGCTATCCCGCTGGCCTCTTTCCTTCTCGAATGTACTCTCACGACAACATTTCTGACGAGTCTCTTGAAAACCAGATCAATGGTATCATGTACTGCGGAGGAGGCATTGGAGATGTGGACAGTGACGTGGAAGATGATTCTGCCACTTCTGCGTCTCCGCCCAGATCTTCGTTTGAGTTCTCGGAGAACACTGACATGGAGCATACTGATGCGGAGGACCATTCGGATCACTCGCGTCGGCGAAAATGCACTTCTGTGGTCTCCACCAGCACCACCGAGAGCCAGATCGAGCCCAAGTCTCCTATTGCTGAGACCATCAACATTGACGGCGATGTTGCTATTGTTGGTCAGGCGGTGATGCTCAATGGAACCGTCACTACTGCTGTTCTTCGCGAGTACAAAAAGGCTCCTCTTCCTGCCATTCCTCAAGATAAGGGCAAGGAACCCGAGGAGGCGACTGCATAGTCCTTAGACCTTTTTATTTATTTATTTATTGTCATTCGTTGTATAATAGGGGTATGTACTGTACATGATGTGAAACACGATTGTATTGGATATTATACGGGTCAACGGAGCCATATCAACGAGATGTGAAAGGGCGGATATCTGATATTGCGAGTTCAAGGCAAAACCCATGGAGTGTAGAAACAGTTCGAGTTCTTAGTTATGCAATGATGCACTTGTCTGCACGACTCTGAATTATACAATTTCAGAACAAAACCGAGTGAACTACTTGTACTTTGGAACTGGTACTCGTACAATATATTACTATGTAAGACTAGGGGCTGTCTACACCACCATCTTCTCTCGATGGTAGTGTTTCGACGCTAGTCATAATCACGTAGTCTCATCAGGACAGCCGCATTTCAAGACGTTGACAACTAAAATCATCCTAGGGTTTTAACAGGACACCTAGAAACCTGATCGAAGACTTAATCACCGAGCTTTCAACCACATCTTAACTTGCACTTGGTAGCGATTTTTGGCTTTTGAGGTAGCGCTCACACCTATCGTTTTGACAGATCAACTGAATGACTATCGGGTTTGTGGCCGGAGCCGTTTCTTGGGGTTCGTGGCCGGAGCCGTTTCTTGGGGTTCATGGCCGGAGCCGTTTCTTGGGGTTCATGGCCGGAGCCGTTTCTTGGGGTTCGTGGCCGGAGCCGTTTCTGGGGTTGGCCGGAGCCGTTTCTGGGGTTGGCCGGAGCCGTTTCTTGGGGTTTGTGGCCGGAGCCGTTTCTTGGGGTTCGTGGCCGGAGCCGTTTCTGGGGTTGGCCGGAGCCGTTTCTGGGGTTGGCCGGAGCCGTTTCTTGGGGTTTGTGGCCGGAGCCGTTTCTTGGGGTTCGTGGCCGGAGCCGTTTCTGGGGTTGGCCGGAGCCGTTTCTGGGGTTGGCCGGAGCCGGTCTGTTGATTTCGGATGCGAATCAAAAAAAAAAAACTGCTTTCGCAGGGTTCAATGGAGGGGTTGCCCCCAAGGGACACGATGACACGCGTGGTCAAAGGTGCCGCCAAAAAACTGGGACTGGACGCCTATTTATATTCGAAAGGCTGTGGTGAATAAAGTATTGGGTTCGGGTCTTTGTTTGGGTATTAAAATGGGGGCAGGACGATAACGTCGTGAAAACAGATCATTGAGACAGGAATATGACAGACAAACGACGCATATAGCTTACATAACCAGTTTCAGCGTTATTTGTAGCTCGAAATTTCCTTTTTCCGTCCATTTGCAGCGTCCAATCTCCTCAATTATACATCTACCATTGAAGCTCGAAAAGGCTATTATTGTATTTATTTACACATCCCAAACTAAAACATTCCAATATATGCCAAGACACGCAAATATCTGCGGGAATTGGCTTATGGGATCTGGAAGATGGAGAGATCCCTCCGGTACTCAGGGGACGACGCCACCCTGGGACATGTCCAACAGGGTTTGCTTCAATTCCTGAAGGAAGCCCAGATGTGTTTCTACGATGGACAACCGCCAGCACTTCAAGATGAGCGAGAGTAGAGACAGTAGCAAGCGTAAAAGGCGGCCGAGGCCACCGAGAGAACAGCGTAGCAGGGCGCGTAGTCATCACAGGGGACGCAGAACCAAACCAATGACGAAGAAGAACCACAAGGAGACGTTTTCAAAGGCAATGCAAACGAAGAGGGCAATGGAAGGATTGAGATTAGAGAACTGGAGACTGGAGTGGCGTTTTCCCGATGAACGAACAAACACGCGAAGCTATGTGGACCAACATACAACACGGACTGAACCAGGTTTTTTTATGATTTTTTTACTGGAAATAGGTACGTGCCAAGTTGGACCATGACACTAAGCGTGTTTAATTAGTAATATTCGTGTAAGCGTACATTCATTTCAAAGGTTATTCTTTCACAGCAAAGTTATAATTAAATGAATGTATATGCAGAAAAAAAAATGTATATGCAGAAAAAAAATAAAAAAATATGCGGGGTTCGTCTGGGTATCAGCAGTGATTTCCGCCGTTGTTTTTCGTAATATTTTAGGACATGTTGGTTTTTGGTGGCGTTGGAAATACTCGGTTGGTTCTGTGCTCGAAATTTGACGGAAAACGGTCCTCTAGTCGCGATTCTAGCCTGTTTTGTGTGGTCATTAGGTGTTTTGTTGTCGCTTGTGCACTGCTTTACAGTACATCCACAATTGGGAGGTACAGTTAGATTATTGGGTCATTTTTAGGTCATTTTTAGGTCATTTTTAGGTCATTTTTAGGTCATTATTGGGTCATTATTGGGTCGTGGGGTCCTTTTTAGGCCATTGTTAGGCCATTATTGGGTCATTGTGGACTAAAAATTGGATCAAAAAATTGGTGGAGATTGGAAAAAATATATGATCAGGTTGGGAAATTGGAATAAATGGGAAAAGTGAGGAAATTCGGAGAAAAAACGAAGAAAAGGGCTGAAAATTGACAGGATAAAGATTTATTTCCAGAGTAAAACCTATTAATTAAAATGATCTCAACATTTAAAGAATTACGGTAGATCTGGATGTCTTTCTCTCTCACCCAGAACTCAGCCTACCATTCTCCATGGGACATGTCTTCGGAGATGAAAGATAACTATTCTATGGAAAAACAATCATGTGAATGGTCTTGTCAGAATCCACATTCACCCCTTCCACTGTGTGGAACTATCAGATGATAAGTATGTTGTACAGCACAAGCAGTTTTGCACAGAACGCCGACCAAGTGATTTGAACTACCGGATAACGGCGTTTGATCGGAGTATCAATCCCAGACGTTACCAACAAACACGATTTCCAGTATCGGTACTGTTCGTACTGTTCGTGTTCGTGCTATTCTGTTACTTCTGGATTGAGAGATGCATGTTTGGATGGTCTCCAGCAGTTTACGAGACAGATGACTGCTACAATCGACTCGAGTGGGCTATACATCTATTGTGCAAAGTATCCGTACTGTACTCGCACTCGCAGTCAACGTTCAAGCATTAGCAACATCTCCAGTCGTCAGTCCCAGTCAACTACACTCGATAGAACTAACCTCAGTCACAGAGGTTGAACTACGACAACATACACCGCTAGATCAGTCATAACTACTGCATTGAACTTGTACAAGTACGTTACATCCACCAAACAACTGCTATCGCATACCCGCTTAATGATCAAAATATAATTAGTCTATTTTTCCACCTATTTCGAAACGCCCCGCTTGAGGTTTCGCTCATGCTGCTTCTGGTTCTTCTTGACCAGCTTCTTTCGAGAAGCTCGGTCCAGAGCTCGAGGATCGAGCATAACGTCCTCCTGGTTCTTCTTGGATCCCTTACCATCGTCCACCTCAACACACCACTGCTGGTCGAGCTCCTTGTTCTTTCCGTTGAAACCCCACTTGGGCACCCACTTGCCGGTGGCCTCGTCGTACACAAGCTTGCCATCCCGGGCCTTGGACTTGATGCCCTTCTTGAGAGCAAACTCTTGCCACTTGGTCATGGCCTTGGGCTTGGGAATGGGCTTCTCTCGAGGGAGACGTGTGGACGGCTGTGGCAGCATGATCAGAGACATGGTGGAGTTCTGGTTGCCGCTGGACGAATTAGAGTCCGTGGTGTTCTTGATGGGTTGTGACAGAAGCTGGTTGATGAGCAGCTGGGCATTATCTCGAGACACGGCTTGGAGAGCCTCCTCTCGGGCCTGGCCGTCCACGTTCAGGTCGTTTAGATCCACCTCCACGGGATTTGTGTCGAATACTGCAAGGTTGCCCAGATCGTACGTCACGGGCACGGGCTTCTCCACGGTCACTGTCTTGATTTCGCTCATGGTTGTTGTTGTGTATCTTGTGCGTAATAGTCGAGATTTTCCTGCAGCCTGAAAAAAATATTTTGATAAGGTTGATGTGGGTTTTGGCTTTTTGATTAGTCAGCATGACCACGGAGCTGGTGGCGTCCAACTACTGTAGTAGATATGCAAATCAGCCTGTTGGGTCAGGTTTTTCAAGGTAATTCAACGTCGGGGGTTAGGGACGTGTTTTACATACGACATTACGGTAGAAATGGCGCTGGATATACAACGGTCTGACGATTTGGTCCAAAATTGGTATCAAAATAATCCTAACCTCCTGGCAAATACCAAAATGTTGTTAGATTTACAATATCTCTACTCCCCATTGATAACGGAGATATATTGAAAATAAGGTTACCAGATGGGGTTCCCCGAACGGATCCAACATGTGCCAAAGTTGATACGATGATATGATGATCACTTCGAAAAACAGTCATCTGTGACTTCCAGAGTCGTTAGCAACACTCTCAACCGACGTACGAACCGGTGAGCTCAGTTGATTCGTTTTTCTGAATTTCACCTGACAAAAACTTTATTTCCCCCGAATATTTCACCTCGCATTTTTTTTAATTTTTTTAATTTTTTTAATTTTTTTAATTTTTTTAATTTTTAATTTTTTAATTTTTTTGTATAATAACAGAACGGCTCTACAAGGTTGCTGGTCACGTGACCTGACTCCGAGCTGGTGTCCATATATGCGCTTTTGAATGTGAATGCCAGAGATGTCAACTGATTGTTTCATTCTGAAGGATGTGTGCAATCTCATTTTGCTGTGGTGAAGATGAACAGTCTGGTCAGTACATAGTTGTACCGGTACATCCAGGTATCATACACTATACAAGCTGAGCCGTTGCCACGATACGTTTCCCGCAGTTAGATCGACATTCACGTCCTACAAGTTTGTACTTGTACAAGAACTTGGAGCAAATGTGCACTTGTGCTCGTACTCGTACTATGTCGCAACTCGTTTCAAACCCCAAACACTGCAACATGTCTCATTGTACCCAGAGTCCCTGAACCGGCGCTGTTTCAGTCTCTTCAAAACCGTACATACAAAGCCGTATTGCACCGTACAGAGCCGGTATTGCACCGTACAGAGCCGGTATTGCACCGTACAGAGTCTGGTGCATGCTGTACGGTATCGTATGCGCAGGTCTCGTCTCCGACTTGCTGCCGCCAGTCAGCCATCGCCACAGAAAGAAGGCCACGGGAAGATACCGAACTATGGCATTGTTGGATTGAGTTTCATGACAATGTCCGGCGAGGCTGGGCGTACATTTGTCGTGTTTGGTGGAGGCCGGGACAATCTGCCAAGAGTGTTCCATGTTGGAGCATGAAGTTTCGCGGGTAAGGCCGGGTGGAATGGTCCGAGAAAACGGCTGAGATGGCTTACTCAGCCATTTGGAGCCTGAGCGGCGCGCGACAACAGCTAGCACGCTCTCAGTTGCTCTTTCTTATCTCTGAGATTACTGTAATTGAGTCTGATGATCATAGGACCGAGGCTAAACGAATGTCTCGAACCTAACCCTGAGACAAAAATGGGAGCTGAAAAAAACAGTCGATAGCGATAATCGTGGTTCTGAGCGTGTGAGAGAGGAAAGACCGAAAAATCCGACTCGTTTATTGGCCATTGGAGCCCAAACACAGGGTTGGGCGGAAAAATGGCCGTTTTCGGGGCCGTTTTGGATGACTAATCAAACTCCCGGGTATTTGTCAGTCATGCAGCAGACGCGGTTACAATTGGGTTGGCCCAGATCTCCCTGTATCATCATCACCACCCCCAAAACACACACTCACACACAGCACTTTGTACCAACTGAAAATGACCGACTGTACTATTAAGGGTGTTGGCGCTTCTGACGCCATTTACGACGGCTCCGACTTCAAGATCGCCATTGTGCACGCGCGATGGAACGAGCAGGTGATCAAGGCTCTGCTCGACGGAACCATCTCTTCTCTGTGCGGCTTCAAGGTCAAGCGAGAGAACATTTTCATCGAGTCTGTGCCCGGCTCGTACGAGCTGCCCTACATCACCCACCTGATGGCAGACTCGCACAAGTACGACGCTGTCATCTCCATCGGCGTGCTCATCAAGGGCTCCACCATGCACTTTGAGTACATTGCCGACGCCGTTTCCCAGGGCCTCATGCAATCCCAGATCGCCACCAAGACCCCCGTCATTTTCGGCGTGCTCACCTGTCTGACCGAGGAGCAGGCTCTTCAGCGAGCTGGTCTCACTCCTGATGGACACAACCACGGAGAGGACTGGGGAGCTGCTGCCGTTGAGATGGCTGCCAAGCGACATCTTTACCTGCAGTAGATGCCGGGACCTGCCAATTGATGTATCCATAATGATGTATGTGTATTTTTATCCGTGAACTGTAGGTGGTGGGTTGGTGCCGAGGTGCGGTATGGCGTTCGCGTTTCAGCACTCTTTTGGCACTCTTGGTGCTTTAGTTCAACCAAGTATCCAGTCTACCAACAAGCACCCAAGTTCTACTACCAAGTACCTACTGTACCGTACCCAATCTCCACCAACAAGTAACCAAGCTCTACCCCCAACTAAGTCTCTACCACCAAGTACACAGTGCAAGTTCCGACTTGACCAGTTCGCCTTCTTCAAGCCCATTCTCCTTCGTCCATTATACTGATCCTGAGACATGTTCCTAGGACCGTATCCATATTTGGTCGGACATCTCTTCAGGATGAGTTATCTCTCCCTAATTGTAGAGTATAGGGTGTTGGAGATTCAGTCATGGACAAGTGTTCTAAATCCTTTCGTCTTCTTGTCAATCTCCGTTGAAGCAGGTCTAATGGTTCATCAACTTTTGACCTCTCACTGTTCTAGTGCGAGCATCTGTAGAGAGGGGGAAGCTCTAAGGTGCTGTTACTCTTCAACGAGAGTCTGCCGAGTACGACAAGAGTGTGTAGTAGTTGTACTGTAGTCGCAGAAAGACAAGATCAAGCAGGAGAGAAGGCAGACATGGCGCTTGATCGTATAGCTTTGGTCATTTTGCAGACAGTTAAAGCTGGAATTGCTGGCAGCTGTGATTTCGAAGAAATGTTGTGAAAAGAGTAACTTACCTAGAAGCAAGAACTTCACCCGCAGTTCTCACAATGTTTGTTGGATGCGAGGTCCAGGTTTGTGTCAATGATAATTATCTCCAGACGCTAAGCGAAGTCTTGGTCGACTTTCAGCTCGCACCGGACTTGTCCTTGTCCCTCGGATACGACAGTCCGAAAGTTGAGGGGATCAAGTTGTCTCTGGAAGGGTATTATTTGGTCTAGATGCTCTCTGAACAAAGTCTCTTGGTCCACACGTACTTGAAGATGGACTTTGCCAAACGACACTGACCCAAGACCCCACGATCTCATTTGACATTTGACAGGAGCTTCAGACACCTTTGTATCCTTTGATGTGCATCGATGACAGTGGAAGCAGGATTTGTAGGGTAAACTCGAGAGGTTCCTGGCTATTGGAACAGTTTGATCACAGGGGAAATCTCCATACAGTCATCCACTAGTCGAAGTTTCTCATCTTACGAGGTTGACGATATCATCGTGGAGACCTCGTAATCATGGCAGAAGAAGCAGCCGTATGAGGACCCCTATAACCGTCCCTCCAGTCAGTGAGCAGCTTTCCGTTTCACTCTCGGACCTTGTTTGATTCGGTGGGGGTGGTGCGTTCATCATCTCCAGTTACTCATGAGTGGGGGACAACCAAGTCTTTAGCAGCGGTCAGTGGGAACATGCCTCTGATATCTCGCTTTCGTGGGTGTCGGAGTCGACAGTCGGATCCATCTCGTATCCTTTCGTGTCCAGTCTCTAGTCGGCTCCAGTATCATTTCTGGTCCACACTCTGGTTCAGTCCAGTTTCTTAGCAACTCAACCGCTGCCCCCAGTCCTGGATCATCCAGCCATCACCAGTCTGGCACCCCGACGATGGAGTCGAAAGTGCCAGAGGGCGAACTCTTGCCAACGATCTAGCGGACGATCCGGAGGAGAAAAAGATCGAACAATGACAAAAGCGTCAATCCCGAGACACGACAAGAAACGAATGCCACGCTCCAAATGTGCGTGGAAGTTGCAGCAGTCAGACATGACTCGAAACTGTCGCACGACTTCTTCACAACTGTACTCTTCACAGTAATGCCATATCGGCCCCAGGTCTGTTCGTTTCTTCCAACAACATGCCACGTTTAATGAACAGTCACGAACCGAGTTGTACCAAGTCGAACTAAGTCGAACCAAGTCGAGACCGACAACCAACTTGAGCCGAGTTGAGCCGAGAACCAAGCCAGCCCGGCACCAATCCACCCGGTGCTAAAAGGACATCGAATTCTGGACGAGTAACCAATCACGGGATCACGAGATCCGCAGAGGCATCGTTGGAGTGTCTGGAGGAAGGAACCGGCAAAAACAGAGTGAAGAAAAAGTGTCGTGTAAGATGTATCCTAGTATAAGTATGAGAGTAAGCCAAGTACTTATACTTGTAGATACTGAATGATCATGCTACAAGCAACCAAGTACGATACAGTATGTACGACCCAGTACAATACAGCACTTGTATCGTACAGACACTCATATCATACAGATACTCGCATTGTACTTGTATCTACGCCCCTATCGTACATTCCTATTGTACACTCATATGTCAAATCGAATCGCACTCCTACTCCCACTCACTCTTTACCGTACTACCACTCACCCGCATCTCAAATGTCGCAGAAATTTGCCACACAATAGGCAACCTCCAAACACTACCAAAACTACTCACTACAAAACTACCCACTACATGTTCTCATAATTCTTTCCTATATATATCCTAGCCATTCCTGTAGACCGTGTAATGCAATAAATATGTGGTGCTTGTGTATCTTCGTTAGACCGTGAAAAGCTGCTGGGCGCCGTTGAATGAAGCAAAGGGGTTGGGGGGCCGGTAGCCCTGGTCGTCAAGCATGTCCCTGAGGAGATGCAGCGACGTCTTGAGACGGTCGCCCGACAGCTCGTTGTGTTTTTCGAGCCGGATGAGCCAGTTGCCCACACCGGACATGGCCAGTGAGCCTCTCTGGCGCTTGGCGGCCTCCTCGCACACCAGGGTCCATGCCACGTCAATGTGTTCGTACGTCTCTTCCTTGAGGCGGTTGTTGGCGGGGCTGGACCACTGGGGCATGCGGTGCACCAGCGACGTGGCCTGGTCCAGAAATGCAAAGGAGTTGGACACCTGGGTTTCGTTGGGCGGCAGAAAGTGTGACAGGTAGTCGCTGAGCTCGGCCAGGAACTCCTCCAGCGCCGGACGCACCCGGAAGAAGGCGTAGTCGTTCTGGTGGTCGCCCTTGTAGGGGAACAATGCAAACGCCTGGTCGAGCGCTCGCGACAGAACGTCCATGGCCGACGAAACTGTGGGCTTGGGCGTCACTTCCATCACCTGGCGCGCCACCCGGTCGTCCTGAGCACAGATGCCCTCCAGCAGCGACACCAGCGTCTTCTGGTCCAGCGACGACAGCAGCCGCGACATGGGCAGCGGCCGTGACTGCAGTTGCCGTGTGACCCGCGCCCGCTTGTGTACAAACGGCGACTGCTGACGTGGCTTGGAAGGTGACTCGTGCTCCATGTGGCTGTCGCCGGCTTCCGGAGTCACCGACAGACGGCGTTTGCGGCTGTGTGAGGGGGTGGGCGAGCCATGGCCCAGGAGGTTTTGTCCCGCGGACAGATTGAGGTCCCAAGCGGGCGAACTGAGCGGTACCACGGAGCCCATCATGCAGATGTTTTGTGGTGGTTTGTGTGGTGTGTTTGTTTTTGGTGTTTTTGGTGTTTTTGGTGTTGGGGAAAGTGATGGTGAGGAGAAGAGGAGAGTAAGAGCCGATGGTGATGATGACACACAAGTTTTATACCTGCAAAAAGATGCGCACCAGGTTGGGAGGAGAGACAGGTTAAGTGCTAATTAATGGCGGAGTGTAATGATATTACCAGCGTCTGTGCTGCACTGTAGGGTCCATTTTACCACAGGACGCTAGCGCTGTACTATGGCAGGAGGGGGTTAGGGGGGATGTGAAAAGTAGGAAAAAATAGAAATAAAAAGAAGAATAAAAAAAAAAGAAGAATAAAAATAAAATAAAACAGTGAAAATGTTTAAACCAAAATAGGGCGACTATTTTTCGAAATTCCGTCAACACGTGAGTTGAATATGAAAAAATAAATAAATAAATAAATAAAAATATCCAAAAATGACAGCCCCATTTTGTACAAGTGCTCGAACCATCCAGAATAACATTTGTGCTGTATTTGAGGTTGTATTTTTGTTCCCAAAATGAAAGAATAAATGTGGAAATATTGAGGGCTTGTGGCAAAAAGAGCAAAAAGGAAAAACAGCGAGAAAAAAGAGAAAAAAGAAGGAAAAAATGGTGCTCAATGGACAAGAAAATTTCGACAAACTTATGGTATAGTTAAGGCGACATGAACAATGGAGATGTGGGAGATATGGAGAGATAGGACAAGATGGGGTTGAGAGTGAAAAGAGGATATCAATTAAAGTGGGAATAAATGGGAATAAATGGGAATAAATGGGAATAAATGGGAATAAATGGGAATAAATGGGAATAAATGGGAATAAATGGGAATAAATGGGAATAAATGGGAATAAATGGGAATAAATGGGAATAAATGGGAATAAATGGGAATAAATGGAATAAATGGGAATAAATGGGAATAAATGGAAATAAATGGGAATAAATGGGAATACATGGGAATTAACAAAATCAATTGAGGATAAGTTGATTATACCTCAAAAACACTTATAATTTACAGCGACCAACAACACTAACATCACCACCAACAACACCGTCAACCACCACATCGCATCGAATATTCCACATGTTCGCCACAATAAAACCCTAACCCACAACGCACCATCCGGAACAAACCCTAACCCTAACAACCCCAACCCAAAGCCGTATCGGTGATCGAGTGACTTTTGAGTAAACGTTTTTGGGCTCGGTTGTGTGAAAATTTGGGTGTACCTAAATGGGTGAAAAAGCGACCGAAAATCGATTTTTAGGACGTAAATCCAAACTTCTAGGCCGTTACGATCACTTGAGCCCGTTTTTATCTCGAAAAAAGGTCCCCATCGGCCACTACCGCTGCTGCGATAAGTCACACGATAGCGCATTAGAGATGCAACAGTGAAAAGTTTGGCAAAAGTTTTCTCCAGGACTGAGTTTGAAATATGGTGCATAGTAACCAAGCAAAAAGGACCGAGTGTTTTTTTTGTCACTGTAACGGCTCGAGAGAGGGAGCTCATACATTGATACAAATTCGCACCATCGACGAGAAAAAAAACACAAACAACACTACGACGACGACACGAGGAGGAGGAACGACGATAATCACTTCAACTACTACATATATCATTTGCTAACGACTGTACATATTACTAACAGTGAGTATGTGTGGAGGATGAGCTGAGGTGGAGATTTGGTGTGGATGAGATAGGGTAGAGGATGAGGTGGACGATGAAATGAGGTTGGTACCAGCTGGTATTTACGGTCACAGGCTGAGTCGTAAAGTGACTGTTAGTCGAGACATTCGGTTGAGGACTTCTGTTCTGGATTAGTCATGTCGTACTGTTCACACATGCCATACTATTCATACAGGCTGGCCATCAAAAAGGGCTTACAGATACAGTACATTGATATTGTTTGTGTGTCCGCCTAGAATGTGGCACAGAGGACTAGTCTGCATTTGGTTTTCAGTCGCTGGACATGTGCCGGTCACTGTACTGGACCTATGGCGGCCCTCTACCGCCCTCTACCTACCAATGTCTATTCAGACTTACTCACATTCCACCACCCCCTTGAACACTTCTAACCCAGTGCTACGATTACGAACGCTGCGAAAAATTCACACCGCCGCGTCGCGACCAATTCTAACTCCCCCACGCCACTCGCCCCGGGGAGTCGCCACAGACACGTACTCGGATCCCTTGGACTTCTCCAACTACTCCATGCTGGACTCGATGGGAAACCACTCCGGCAAGCCCAAGTACGACCATCTGCATGCGCCTAAAGAGCTGGACCGTCTCGGCGTGCTCAAGAAATCCAACCTCAAGGCGTTTCAGAACGACCTGCCCAAACCCATGCGTCTCGGCACCAGAGACCGACAGTCGGGCTCTCTGTTCTCGCGAGCTGTGGACAGCGAGCTCCCCGGCTCGTCGGACTCGTGGTCGTCTCCCCACGACGAAATCTACTTCACGCCCTCGCAGTTCAAGATTGACCACAACCTGTGGGGTCTGATTGACGCAGCCATCAAGGCCGGCCAGATTTCGCGGGCCGAGTCGTTTGTGGCCAACCTGGCCCATGCCAAGATCTGGCGGCCCGACCGAATCCGACTCTGTGCCCGAGAGCTGGCCCAGGCATACATCAAGGCCAACTCGGTGGACAAGTCGACCAAGTGGCTCATGACGATGGAGGACAACCTGGGCGTGCGACCCGATGCCCAGATGTACGCGCATCTGCTGGCAAAGATTGTGGACGAGGAGTCTGAGGAGCAGATTGCGGAGCTGCTGTTCAAAAAGCTGTACCACAAGCTGAGCGCATCGCTGGTGGTGGAGGAGATCCAGATTGTTGGTCTGGAGCGGCTGCCCAAGGTGCTGAATGTGCTCAAACAGCACAATTACAACTTTGCCGAGTTTGGAGAGGCGTACATGGAGCTTTTCGAGGAGCTCACCGGGGAGGCATTGAAGGAAGAAGCCGCCCCGGAGGTGAAGAAGACGCGGGAGGAAATCTCCGCCGAGCTCAAGAGTAACCTGCGAGGCTCGGAGAAGATTGAAACACATACGAAGGAAGGAGAAGAGGTGGTGGGCATTGAGATTGTCAAAAACCTGCTTTTACAGGTGGATGGAGACGTGCGAGTCGACCAGTTTATCCAAAACTTGCCCTACTACGACGAGATCCCCAAGGACCTGCTGGACCCGTCGAAGAAGATTTCATTGTTCAACATCAAGAACTCGTTGAGTACGGAAAACCGGGCTGATTTTGAACAGCGACTCGAACAACTCAACCAGGCCAGACAGCTGGACATTGAGATGCGAGGAATCGAGGCTGCTGGAGAGCTCTGGGCAGCCAAAGCCAGCCAGTCTCAGCAGTTTACAGGAATGTCCAAGTTCCAGGAACAAATGCACAGCTGGCAGGAGCAGATGATTCCTCTTGTGCAGGAGGAAATCAAAAAGGCCGGCGAGACCGAGATCAACACCGACCTGTACCCTTACCTGAAGCTCATGTCGCCCAAGACTATGTCCATTGTCACCATTATTGAGATGATGCGTCTCCAGACCACCGTCGGGCGATCGGTCGAGAGCGGAGTCAAGACCACCAACCTGGTCACCTCTGTCGGCCAGGCTCTGGAGATTGAGTACCGATGTTCTCAGTGGTCCGAGAAACTCGGCAAGAAGAGAACCTTTCTGAAGAAGCTCACAGGTCTCAAGCGACGTCTCAAGGTGATGGAAATGATCCATGCCGAGGATCTGGAGGATACCGTGCCTGCGTGGGCCATCGACGTGCGTGCCAAGGTTGGAGCTCTACTTGTGGACATTCTCATCAAGGTTGCTCGAATGCCTGTCACAGCCAAGGATCCTGTCACCGGCGCCTCTGTGACCGCAGACGTGCCCGTCTTTTGTCACTCGTACCAGCTTGTCAAGCGACAGCGACTCGGCATGGTGCGTATGCATGACCTGATGATCCAAAAGGTGATCAGCACGGACATTGGTGCCGAGTCCTCGGAGGCGTTTGTGACGCCGCAGTTTCTGCCGATGCTGGCCGAGCCCAAGCCGTGGGTGGCCTGGAAGACTGGCGGTTACTACGTCTCGCAGGCGTCTGTCATGCGAGCACGAGAGTCCTCCGAGCAGACGGCCTACCTGGACACTGCCTCTGAGCGAGGTGACCTGGACCGTCTCTTTGCCGGTCTCAACAAGCTCGGCTCCACCGCCTGGACCGTCAACTCCAAGGTGTTTGATATCATGAGCAAGGTGTGGAACACTGGAGAGGCCTATCTTGACATTCCCGCCGTCAACACGGACAACTCGCTCCCGGAGTGTCCCGAACACAACGACCCCGTGGCTCGAAGCGAATGGCGAAAGATGTGCACCGTTATCCTCAACAAGCGTAAGTCGGACCACTCTGTGCGATGTGACTCCAACTACAAGCTGGAGATTGCCCGAGCCCATCTCGGTGAAAAGTTGCATTTCCCTCACAACGTGGACTTCCGAGGCAGAGCATACCCGCTCTCTCCTCACTTTAACCACCTGGGCTCCGATCTGTCGCGTGGTCTGCTGCAGTTCTGGCATGGCAAGGAGCTCGGAGAAGAGGGACTCAGGTGGCTCAAGATCCACATGGCCAACTTGCACGGAGCAGGCAAGGCCAACTTTGATGACCGAGTCAAGTTCACCGAAGACAACATGGCCAAGATCCGAGCGGCCGTCGAGAACCCCCTCGCGGAGGAAAACAGCATCTGGCGAGAGGCCGATTACCCATGGCAGTTTCTGGCCGCATCCTACGAGCTTGTTGCGGCATACGACCTGCCAGACCCCTCCAAGTTTGTCTCGCACATTCCTGTGCAGCAAGACGGCTCTTGCAACGGACTACAGCATTACGCAGCCCTAGGAGGAGATATTGACGGAGCTCGACAAGTCAACCTGACGCCGTTTGACAAGCCCCAGGACGTGTACGCCGAAGTGGCTTCCATTGTGTCGGAGCTGGTCAAGGAAGACGCCGAGAATGGCAACCCCTTGGCGGACTTCCTTGTTGGGAAAATCAACCGAAAGATTGTCAAGCCCACCGTCATGACAAACGTCTACGGAGTAACTTTTATCGGTGCCAAGGCTCAGATCCAGACCCAGCTCAAGGAACAGTACGGCGATGTGGCTCAGATTGATGAAATGGCCCATTACCTGGCCCAGCGGGTCTTTTCGGCCATGCGTTCGCTCTTCACAAACGCCCATGACATTCAGGATTGGCTCACCGAGTGTGCCAGAAACATCACCAAGACTGTGCGACCGTCAGCGAACTTGCAGGAGATCCATTCGGGCGAGTCGCTCTCGTCCGTCATCTGGACATCTCCCATTGGTCTGCCTGTGGTTCAGCCCTACAGAAAGGCCGCTAAGCGTCAGTTTGACACTGCGCTCCAGTCTGTGTTTCTGCAGGACGCCTTTACTCTCTATGGTGTTCAATCTCGAAAGCAGGCCCAGGCCTTCCCCCCCAACTTTGTGCATTCTCTGGACGCCTCGCACATGCTGCTGACTGCTCTGAACCTCGACAAAGATGTGTCGTTTGCCTCGGTGCACGACTCATACTGGACGCACGCAGCTGACGTCCCTCATATGAACAAGGTGCTGCGAGAGCAGTTTGTGAAGCTGCATTCGATGGACATTGTTGGCAACCTGCAAAAGGAGCTGCAGATGCGGTACGGCTCGTTCTACTCGCGGGTCGATCTTATCACTGACGGCACAGAGCTCGGCAAGCAGCTCGCCGACAGGGACTCCAAGAAGAACCACATTTTCGACCAGCTGCAGGAGGATCTCAAGTTCCGAAAGCTCAGCAATGGAACCCCCGCCGAACGAAAGCAGGCACTGGAAAACCCCTCAACTGTCGAGATTCTGGAGAAACATCGGCCTCTTGACAAGTATCTGGCCATCCAGACGGTGACCGAGCGAGTGGGCGGAAAGATGATCACCAAGCAGGTAGAGACCGATAATGGTGACCAGAAGAAGCGGTTTTTGACCAAGTTTCAAATCGACAACCCCCCAAAAAAGGGAGACCTGGACCTTAAGCAGGTGTTGGTTTCTCCCTACTTTTTCTCTTAGATTGTATATAGTATTCATATTATTTTTGTTAACATCTGAGCCCAAGTTTGAGGGTTACTGTAGGACAAGAGACACGGGGCTATGGGTACAATACTCGTACTTGTAGAAGTACATGAGAGAACTCGTTGATCTCTCTTCGAACCTCAACAATACCTAGTTGAACTGCACTACCGTAGCGCAGCCAAAACTTGATTCCAACACATTCTTCGTACTGATTCTCAATGGCGATCTAGATGAAGAGATGATAATGGGAATGGTCTTAACGAGATGATCATGAAAATGGCCTCAATTGAGTTGAATATGGTCTTGAAATGGTCTCAATCGAGTTGTAGGATGCCAACATCCCTTAAAGGTTCCCGATTCTCATTCTTTGGACTGTTGGCGGTTACTTTTCAATTATTATCAATCTAATGATCCACTAGAACTATTTATATAGCGTATAGAGCTAGCAGGACCCAGGGTCAGTAGTCTTATACAAGTCCGCAGTCCTTGATTACGTCATTTCCTCCTTTCACTTAGTAATCATTTCGATGTGGGCTCGAGGCGCATGTCAGTTGGTTTGTCGACGTTTCGTCTTGTTCTTGTCAATCTCGTGGTCTCGTGGGAGTGAATCATGGCTAAAAGCTTTGGTTTTTTTTATTCTAATGATTCATTACTTGTTTTTTTTTTATTCTAATGATTCATGGTTTTTTTTTTTAATTCCATGGGTGCTTTTTTCATTTTTGTAGTGAAAAAGTTTCAACGCCCTTTTTACCTTACAAGTCCGATATAGTGTAGGGGCTATCACATCACGCTCTCATGTTGAGAACCGTGGAGACCGGGGTTCGATTCCCCGTATCGGAGTGATTTCTTTTTGTTGAACGTTGGTTGTGTCTACTTTCTGTATCTTTTTGTTCAATGTTTCTTCGTGTCAACCTTTGATCTACAATTTGTGTCGTTGTTGCTACTTGTAGGCAGTAATGTATCACTGTCATATTCATACTGTACTCGTAGCTTCGTCATCAATTGCTACTATCACCATGTGAGATTGCTGCTGCCTGTCGAAAACAGGAATCTCCTCCACCGAACAAGAATATCCTTCAAGTCCTGTCGATTGAACTCCTCTTCTCGGAACCATGATACCCAGAAGGGGTGGAAACCCTGCCAGTTGACGTAGTACGTCTTCTTGTCTCCGTCCTTGACAATGGAAACGCAACAAGCAGCCTCTCCTCGTTGCAGCCGCGTCGTCGTCTCGAACTTACTCGGAGGATCCACGGGATATCCTGGAATGACACCGTTGAAGCAAGGCTGGATATCGCTGAAGGGAACGGTTTGGTATCCTCTATGAGCAGTTCTAGAAACTGTAATGGTCTTGTTTCCGTCCTTTGCAGTGACCAGGACAGGACCGGGGTACACCGATTGGTTGGGGTTGGGGTAACGTTTACTTATCTTGAAGGGAATATCAGATTTCACGTAGACACTCTCTCCTAGGTCGAAACAAGTGTTGTTTGCGAGTTTGACAGGGTCACATGACGCATGTAATTCCCTCGCGTAGGCCCTGAGCTTTCTCGCATATCGAGTTGTCGGATCAACATAGCAATCACCATCCACTTCTTCAGCTTCTTCGGGAGGCTTATTGATCCAATCCAAGTACTCCTCCATGCTACTCATCCGAGGAGGCGATCGAGGAGGGTCTGCCATGGGAGGATGGTGTCTTTCTACCATGTCGGTTTTCCCACGTACGTGATTCCACCGGGTCCACTGGACATACTCAGCACTAGATCCATCATGGCGCCCAGCGGCTTGTGTTCCGCAGATCCGGGAGCTCCAGGACGAGGTTCATCGCCACGACTGGACTCTTCATCATCATCATTGTTGTCGTAATCATCGTAGAAACCATCGTCAAATCATCATCGGAAGGAGAACCGTTGACCCAGCTTTCGTACTCCTCCATGCTGTTGAATGTGGGAGCCGGACCTCTTACAGGTTCACCCAGCAGCGCCATGTCTGGTCCAGGCTGCTCAGTACCGCGGGACATTGGAAGGGCAGGGCAGAACGGGATAGGCAGGCAAACCAGCATCTCCACGGCTAAGAGGAACATGAGATGAGCTGGTGGGAACCCGTTGACCAGCCTCATGTTGGGAAGCCGCCTTCTTGGTCCGGTTTCGCAGTCTGTTTTGTTTTCGCTTTTGTGTTCGAGTAGATCCCCGGCCTTCGACGTTGGCGTCGTTGGAGCCGTCGTTGGAGCTCATTGTGCGTTCAGTTCAATGTCTGGACTGTGTGCGAGCTGGGGCGAAGGTGGGTTGTATATAATGCATGATGTATAGGAAGAGAGTGACTTATATGGACAAGACCAGCGGAAGGACTGAAGGCTAAAGAGGGATTGAAGATTGGCCGATCGTTCGTCGGTGAGTCCAATAAGTCATAGTCATACGATTGAGGGGGGTTTTGGGATAATTAACATTTTTTTTTGTATATTTGTATATTTTTATATCACTTTTTGTTTTTCATCTGATTTAATCGAGTGATCCAGATGGGGAACTCACCCTGAAAATATTGAAAATTAAAATTAAAAAAATATACAGTTCGGAGCTGCACACACCAGGCCCACGCTGAATTTATTGAAGATCATAAGTATTATTGATGTGATATAGTTAATCAACAACTTACAACCCACTTCTAGGGACACGACGTTCCGATAGTAGCACACACCAGAAGGGTGTGTGCTTGCTCATTCACCAGAAAAGAGATTCTAGATCAGTGGATAAAACTATCTACAGGATGGACATCTCGTCTACGACCCAGCTGATTCCTCTCATTACTATGTGGTGACTTCTCATCATTATGTGAGGAATTAGCCAGGTATTACCCCACCGGGTATTACCTTCAACAGAATTTGGGGGTAGTCCGAACAGCACTATGTTTAACGTGCACACAGAGTGACAGTGTGGGAAGGTACGTGGCTGGCCTGCTATCTCCCTCTTCTCCCTCATTGAGTTGATTTTTCTTGATTTTTCTTGATTTTTCTTGATTTTTCTTGATTTTTCTTCTATTTCTTTTTGTATGTATTTTTTTTTTGTATATAGATATATATATTTTATTCTTGATATTGATTATGCATGAAAAAAAAAAAGATACAGTTCATACCAATGTTGCATGACGTGCCTTATCAACATACTAAACTCCACAGTTCGATGCTGTGGTGTAATGAAACAAGTGGATGGATTTTGGCGACAAAAAACCGCAATTCCACAATTGTCCGCCAATTGATCGGCAAGAACCGACTAATTTCGACACAGTCCATCATGAATTCCTTTGACAGAAACGAGACTGTTGAGAGTGACTAACGTTTGATACTGTGTACGAGCAAAAGCCCACATGGGCAGTCTTGAGCATCCACTCATACTGCGTGTTACAAGTCTTCCACTTGTCGCCAGTTCGGTGGTGAGGGTGAGGTTGCATCGGTCTCGAAGTCTTGTTTCGGCGTCAACGGAGATCTTGGCTCGGATACAGCTAAGACCCTCCTCTGTATCCTTGGCCATTTGATTCACGAGGCACGAGCCCTCGACCGCAATACCCAGGGTGAAGCCTCGCTTGGCATCGAACCAGTTGGAAAATGGATGTGCGGTACAGCATGGGGTTGCCCAGCCAAGTGCTGAGATCCTGGGCGAGCAGAAAGTGCCGGTACGTCGTGGATGCAGAGGTGGTCAAGACTCCGAGAACAACGAAACAGGTTTACACGCCGGCAAGGTATCGGGGTCCCTATCGCTCGGCAATGAAACAGCAGATCTCCGGTCATCAGAAGGAAGTTTGCATGGAGGTGATCTGTGAAACGTCGATGCAGAATAGTTGCTGGGCTGGTTACTGAGATAAAAGGTCTCGAACAAGCCGACTACGTTGAGATATCCAAAGGAGGCGTAGATGTCACAGAAAGCTTCCAGACAGGCCAGCCAGGCCTCGAGTCCCACATCTGGTGGAGGCAAGGCGGCCATGGGAACTGGCTCGGTAATCTCGCTCGACTCAGACTTCCGTCTTGAAGGCGCCAACGGCAGACTTGGTAGCCTTGATCTTGTCACAGAGACACTTGGCATCCGGGTCACAGCAGTTGATGTCAGCAACAACGGTGTCACGGGTCTTCTTGCAGTGGGGTTGCCCATCAGGTTGAATCGCTTCAAGAATGTTATCAAGAGAAGCGGGGTGAGGAGGGTCGGGGGTAGAAAAGGAACCTCACAAAGTTGGCCTTGCCTGCTCCTTGAAAGTTGGCCATGTAGATCTTGAGCCACCTAAGTCCCTCTTCTCCGAGATCCTTGCCGTGCCAGAACTGCAGCAGACCACCGGACAGATCAGAGCCTAGGAAAGAGCGGGTATGACCACGGGAGGGGGCGACGGAGGAGGTGGCCTGGAGGTGGCACTTCTGAATGGCATCCTCAATCTCATATATGCCATACTGGGTAGGCCTGAGAGCAGGAAAGACACTTCTGGGTCCAGGCGAAGCCGTCAGGGAACTGACACTCGCAGGACTTGATACCCTGGCAGGTCGCAGACCGAAAGAGCGCTCGAAGCACTTGGTGCAGCAGAATATCTGGGACAGGAGGGCCAGAGATCGCTTCTCCTGAGCGCCAGCGGGGCGATACAGGTATCCTGATGCGATGTGAGATTTCTCGACATTGGCATGAGTTAAGAACTCGAATATCACGGTGTTGCCATTATATATCAGTGCATGTGCTACAGCATACACAGTTACATTGTTCGGGGTGAGAACAGATGAGGAGGCCGGGAAAGCCCAGCTCGAGCGTTTGATTGAATCTACATTCTAGTTATTCCATTTGAACTACGACAGACCAGACAAGTGTTCAGACTGTAAGTAGGCTACCGAGAGATGTCAGCATCGATAAAAAAACTCGTCATTATGAAAGAGTAAAGTGAAAGAACTACTCGTCTACAGTACTGTAACTGACTAATGTACACTCTCAAGTTATTTCCTCCAAGTCATTGACCTTCTGAAAGCCAACTATCATTATTCTCTACAAATACAAAGAGGCACAGAAAATAATGTCCCGCTTGATCTTCTCCTGAGCAACATCCATCTTCTCCTGCAAAGTAGCATCTCCAATGATCCGCGCGGCAGACTTGACTTCTCGACAAACCTCATCGAGACGAGACACAACTCGCACAATGATACCCTCCTGGGCAGAAGTTAGTTCGGAAATGGCCTCGAAAGTCATGCCACGTGCCCACTCGTACACCACCTCAATGAGTCCAAACCGCCCACGTTCCAAAAACTGCTGCTCGTCCGATGTCATAATCACCTGACGCTTCTCAAGCACATCCATGACGTTGGCCACCAGCTCCTTGATTCTCTCTCGACCCTTGTCAAGCCGGGGGGTGACAGAAACAGGCTCCTCCACATCCCGAGAGCCCTCGTAGACAAATGCAGACAACAGGGCCACAATCTCCTCGGGCTCGTAATCGCCCAAAAAGTTGTCCATCACCAGCTCGGAAATGAACAGCTCAAAACCAGAGTTGACTTCGCACGCAACCCGGCCCTTCAACAACACAATGTTGTTTGTATCGACGTAGTTGAGATCCTTGAGCACCTCGACTCGCTGCTCATAGTCAGGAAGCAGCTCCAGGTTCTCGTCGTTCAACGACTTTCGAAGATTTGCAATCGTCTCCTTCAATTGATACTCCTCGTACTCCTGGGTGTAAGCACGAAGGAAGTTTTTACTGAGTTTCTTGATGCAGGGAATCTTGGAAAACTCGACCGACATGGCCAGCTTGTCGCGGCATTTTTCAGTGAGATCCAGTTTCTTCAGCTTGTCGAAACTGCACTCGTGAACGGGTCCTCGACGCGTACAAATCTGTTGGATACTCTTGTACGCCTGCTCAACAGCCTGACGATCAAACCGAGACACGCCCGAGACATTATTGATGATGTACTTGGAGAGGAAGACGATGGTGGACACGGGAACAGAAGCTGCTTCTAGCTTTGTCGAAATGGGAGCCAGGGGAGCCAGCAGAAACTTGTTGTAGCCCGCCACCTGAGGGAACATGGGGAGTGTGGCTGCCATCTTGGCCTTGGAAGAAGAAATGTCACAAGGGAACATGAGAATGGAGGCAGATTCACCAATAACGGAACGGGCCAGAAAACCGATTCGCAGAGCGCCGGTGGGGTTTTTGAAAATGACAACTCGACCAATCTTGAGAATATCACGCATGTTTTCAATTTTGGGACCCTGCTCAATAATGAACTTGAGACACGTCTGCTGCTCAAGACCAAGCTCGAGAATAGTGGGCATGAACTGATCGCAATCGTCATAATTCTTCTTCTTGAGATTGAGAAGCAGATCCTCGTGGCTCTTCACACTGGCTTCGTGCTCGGGAAGCATCAACTGGTTGGCGTTCTCAGAGAAGGACCGTTTGATCATCTCCTCGACCTTCAAGGCCTCGATTCGCAACAAGTTGAGAATCATGTTGTAGGTTAGTCGGAACTGCGACTGCAGTTTGGTGGGCTGACCAAGCATCATCTCCTTGAGGTCCTCCTCGGGAGTAACTTCTCCGGACGCCATGATGATGACGGTACCAGTCTTGTCGAGACCTCGACGACCAGCTCGGCCGGCCATCTGCGTGTACTCTCCAGGAAGAAGAGCCCGGAAGGTGGTTCCATCGTGTTTTCGGCACCCAGCAAACACTACCGTTCGTGTGGGCAAATTGAGACCCATGGCAAACGTCTCTGTGGCAAACAAAACTCGAACAAGTGATCGAGCAAACAGAATTTCAACCACCTCCTTGACAATAGGCAGCAGACCGGCGTGATGCACAGCAATGCCTCGAGACAGGTACTCCCGCATCTGCAAAATCTGAGGCAGGTTTCGGTCCACCTGAGATAGTCGCGTCACAGCCTTATCGAAGAACATGTGAATCTCAGCCTTCTCGCGCTTGTTACAGAAATCCAGACCAGAAAGATATCCGGCAAACTGCTCACACATCTTTCGCGAGAAGACGAACGTACACATGGGATGCAGCTCTTTCTCATGCAACATCTTGACCATCTGAATGAAAGCTTGCTTAGTGGGAGGGGGAGGACCCCGAGAGAATCCTCCTTTTCCTCCACCCCCTCCATTTCCACCGCCACGGCCACCTCTTCCTCCTCCGTCACCACCACCTTTACCTCCTCTTCCACCTCGGCCACCTCCTCTACCTCCTCGGTCCGAGAGAGGACCAGTTGGAGGGCTCCCCCCTCGTCCACCACGTCCACCTCGTCCTCCACGACCTCCCCTTCCACCCCCTTTACCCTTCGCCTTACCATCATCACCCTCCATAATCTCCACAGCTTGCTTGTATCCCTGGTCGAGAAATTTCTTGTGCTCGTCAACAATCTCGACCATCTCGTTCTTGCAGAGAAGATAATGTACCAGGGGAACAGGACGCTTGGGCGTACTAATCACGTAGATGTCCTTCTGCTTTGTTCGACCGACCCAGTTGGCAAATTCGAACGTGTTGGGGACGGTGGCAGATAGCAGAATAAACTTGACGTGCTCGGGAAGCATGATGATGACTTCTTCCCATACGACTCCCCGGTCTGCGTCATTAACGTAATGGACTTCGTCAAAAATCACAAACTCCACGTCTCGAATGAGATCAGCGCCTCGGTAGAGCATCGAACGCAGAATCTCGGTCGTCATGATCAGAGAAGACGCCTCGGCGTTGATCTGAACATCTCCAGTAAGAATACCCACGTCGTCAAATTCAGATTTGAAGTCTCGGAACTTCTGATTGGACAGCGCCTTGATAGGGGAGGTGTAGATGGCCTTGGTCATGTTTCTCTGGGCCATGGCAATGGCGTACTCGGCAATCACGGTCTTTCCAGCCGACGTATGAGCCGCCACAAACACAGAGTCGCCCTGTTCGAGATGGTAAACAGCCTCCTTTTGAAATGTGTCCAGCTCAAAGGGGAACTCACGGGCTGGCTGGGGCACCAGTTCGGAGAAGTTGGTGATTTCCTTGTTCACGTTCACCACATGTGCCCAGTCCTTCTGCTTGGCCGCCTGGGCCACGGCAGTTTGAGCCCGTCCGAAAGTGATATCATTGGGCAGCAGATCGTCGATCGGGTGTTTGGAGACGTCCTCCGCCAGCTGCATACTCGAGATCTGCGACGACAGGTCGCCCACGAGCCCGGGGTCTCCTCCTGTTTCTTCCGACGACTCCTTCACAGCCAGCTCTCCGAGCTCAGCGTCCGCAGAAGCAACCGCCGTGGCTGTGTTCATACCCCGCTCAAAGCCCGGGGGCACGTCAAACAGGCCGTCGGCGTCTCTGTGCAGCAGGTTACTCTGCTCCTCCTTCTCGGCCAGCTCCACTCCTCCGGGCGCGAACGGCATGAATCCCGATCGGCCCCGCACGAAATCGAGTCGCGACCCGGTTGCCCGGTTCACGGCAAACGAGTTTTTCGAGTTGAGAATGTCGCCGCTAGTCGTGAACTCCTCGTAGCCACTGATATGGCCCCGCATCCCCTTTCGAGTGAATCGGACGTCCGACCGGTTTGTGGCCTCAGGAACGCCGTAAAGAGACTCCACAAAGCCCGTCTTGTCCACCGACAGATCGTCGGAAATGTACCGCAGCCATTGGTTGGAAAACTGCGGCTTGGGGTCCAGAAACGTGGCCTGCAGCTGATCTCGAGACTCGGCGTCAGTCGCGGGTGATCTGGACCACGTCGAGACCGCAGACGCGTTGTAGCTGTGGCCAGATGGGTCGGTGGCGTTGGTAGACCCTGTTTTGGTCCGGATTTCGGCCAGAATATCGTCAATCATGTTGTTGGCTAACTCGTACAAGTCAAGTAGGAGTTGTGAATCATTATTCACATCTGCATAGTGAGAACTCTATTGCAATGTTGGCGAAAAAAAAGACGAAGGAAAAGAGACCAGAGAGAACAATGTGAAAGTCACGTGACTGGAAAAATGTGAAATTCCTCGTCTCTTCTTGAAAATAGTACTTTTCTTGCAAAAATCGCTTTTTTCCGTGCAACAATGGCCTCTTTTTTTTGGTCCTTGTAGAGTCGGTTGGGGTAAAATCTGGTTAAAACCCCCTTTTAAAAGCGGCAGTTTTTTACTGTGAACCCTAACTAAAAGTTAACTAAAAAGTGGTTGTTTATTTACCTGTTTTGTGTGTCAATGATTGTGAAAATGCGAAAATTAAGTGATAAAAAAAACAAAAAAAAAACAAATACAAAAAAATTATGAAAATACAAAAAAACCACTGAAAATAAACAAAAAAAATATGAAAATACAGAAAAATTGCGAAATGAAAAAAAATAGAAAAAAACGAAATTTCAGAAAAATTGTAAAAATGGCCTAATTCGCGTTACTACAAGTACAGAACTTGCACGTGCACATTACCAAAAGTACTGCTTGACTTTTCACCAACAATTGCGATGATAGTCTCCTGAATAACACCGATTATATATGACCTCCTAATCTATAGAGCTATGACCAGAACGATACTGTAGCTACCATGAGACTACCCTTTATAACCCAAACATCTTCGAGACTCCCTCACACGAACCGTACGACATCTCAACTCTCTCTGAATTACGGGAAGATCGAGTTTCGGCTCTTCCACTGGACTCAGTCGGTTCATAACCCGAGTGGCAGGGGCCAGAGGACCAGCTTTCAAGCTAACTGGTCGATACCAGCCAGCAGACAACTCAACCGGGGGTTTCTTCAGCTGTGCACCCGTAAACCGTTTTAGTAACTGTCGATCTCGTAGCTGTTTATCGGTGAAAGAGAGAGTCGAACTGGGGTTCTCGTCATTTCCGGTGGTATCAATGGTGATCTCTGGTCCAGTTTCAATTTTAGTATCTCCGACAGTTTTTCTGGCTGTATCTCTGGCTGTATCTTTGTCTGGATATCTTGTTTTCATCACTTGTGGATTGGAATCTCCAAGTGGGTGAGTGTTGTTGCCGAGTCTAGGACTGCTGGACTCACTTGAACAACCGATGGTATCTCGAGAGGACCCGCAGTTTCCCCCTTCATCCCGCTTGAGCCACTTTGGAACGTACTTTGGTCTGGAATAAGACACAAAGGGAGCCACGCCTGGCGCCGCTTCTCTGTGCACGTTTCTGGCCAGAGTTTGTAGTTGGCGCAGTAGCTCTCGTTTGGCGTCTAGTCGTTCGGCACTCTCTGAGTATTCACAGAGCGTGTCTTCTGCCATTTTCAGCAGTTTTTCCGTGTCGTTCATGTTGCGATTGTAAGAAGAGCGGTGACTGTAACAGGAGTGTGGTGAAGGAAGAGGAACAAGGAAGATGTTGGAACGAAAGATAATGATAAATCTGAATACATTCAGGAGATATTAACAAGCAATAACGATAACAACGATCTTCAGGGAACTTCCGTATCCACCCATATTACTCTCTGACGCTAATCACTTTCAATGATCTCCAGCCCGATACCGCTCCAACCAGATACAGCTAATGATGGTCGAGACTTTCTACTTACTTGACCTTGTCAAACTGAAACACATCAGACAGAGGAGTTCATGGAATACTCCTGTGGTCCATGCTCTACCTGTCCGATACGGATCCCTACGAGCATATCTATGTGGAGCCAAAGGGAGGCTTCAAAGAGAGAGACTGCAAAGAGAGAGACTGCAAAGTGGGAGAGAATAGGACGCTGAGACCTGAAAGAAGCTGGAGAATGGCCGTCTCAAGTTGTACGAGAAGGTGGAGCAGAACACTGTGGTCTGGATTGAGGTTGCTACTTCCGAGGAAGAGAAGGTGCTGGCCAACCGAAAGGTGGTTACTCAGAATCTCAGATGGCAATGGTGGACCTGGGTCTTTAGCAGCAAGCCCTTCTATCCTACATTGTAGATAGAAAGGACACTTCAAGTATGAGTAAGTCCAGAGTGGAACGACTACAATGCGGTTCATTATCGGTACATTATACGACATTAATGTATTGTATGGGTGTTATTTGCACTGAGTCCAAACGCGTCTCATGCTGCCCTGAGGATCTCCTACAAGTACAGATCTCCTACACGTGGCACCGTCTGCTATTCACAACTAAAGCTTTGCAACAAAATCCTTGACGTCTGAATCAAGCTGCTGCCACAACGCCTCGCCCTTGTCACCTCGTCGACAGTAGTCAACATCGTTTCGAAGATGTCCGACCTGGCCCCAGGGAATCAGATGGTCCGTGTCTCTGACCTCGGTGTTCAGAAGAGCAGACAGCTCCGTGTACGCTCCAAACTTGGCGGGGTACAGAAAGTAATCCAGGACGTAAAACAGCACGCCATTTCCGTGGCGCTGCAAGTTGGAACGCAGGTTGCCAGGATCTACAGACACTGAAACGACTCCAGAGCCGGGATGGTGTTTTGACCACAGATAGGCCTGGTAGGCGTTGCCAATCTTGGATTGCGAGTAGAGAATATGGTCGTTAGGCGAGTCCACCTTGTCCAAGTTGATGTCGTCAAAGTTGATACCTCCTTCGTAGGGAGACACGACGGTGGCGGAAGAAGAGACCCAAATGACCCGAACGGAGTTCTTGGGAGAACTCTTGGCGGTGTGGATGAGAATGGGACCAAGGTACTTCATCAGAGCATGATGTCCAACCACATTGGTGCCCCATTGAAGCTCATGGCCCTGAGGAGTCTTGGAGTAAGGGGGAATCATCACGCCGGCATTGAGAATCACTCCCTGGAGCTCGGGGTAGTTGTTTTGAATGTACTCGCCGGCAGCCTTGATTGTGGTCAAGTCTGCGAGGTTGGCCTCCACGAACTCGTACTGTTGGCTAGGAAGTTCCGCGAGCACCTCCTGGGCCTTATCCTTGCTGCGGCCCACAATGACCACCTTAGCGCCCTTGGAAATGAGCAGTTTGGTGCTTTCGAGTCCGACTCCCGAATGGCCTCCGGTGATCAGAAAGGTCTTTCCATCAAGAGAAGGATAGTTTTCTTCGGTGAACCGGGGTTTTCCAGCCCAGAAGTTTCGGGCCGTTTGTTTGTACTCGGTGAATTTAGATCGATTGAGGGACATGGTGGTGGTGGTGGTAGTGGTGGTGATGATAATTGTGCTGATGATAATGTGCTGCTGTTGCTGCTGTTGCCGCTGTTGCTGCTGTTGCTGCCGTTTCTGCCGTTTCTGCTGCCGTTTCTGCTGCCGTTTCTGCTGCCGTTTCTGCTGCCGTTTCTGCTGCCGTTTCTGCTGCCGTTTCTTCTGCTGCTTCTGCTTCTGCTTCTGCTGATATCGAGTCTGAACGGCCTACATCTTCTCTATATATACATTTCCATTTGTACTGTAACGGTGTTGTACATATCCGCCACAGTTTAGTTTTTCACCCGACGGAGTTGTGGATATAGTTTTCCAGACGGAGTTGTGGATTTAGATTTTCGGTTAAAATTTAAACAATAAAATTCAGGAACGTTCTGAAGAGCCTGCCAGACATTTTAGAGGGGGGAAAAACCGCAAATATAGTCGCAATGACTCGATAAATTGCTCCAATGGATTCTCAGATATGTTGTCTTCAGATTTATGTACTTTTTGTTGCACAAAAACGGCCCCTTCCGCCTCCTTTCTGCATCTTCCCCACACGCATGCTGCAAGAAACGTGTTCTAGAAGCTCATTTCGCCACAAACTTTTTTTAAACTTTCCGTCGCTTGACTAACGCAAGCGGATTTAATTAACTCGGCGGATTTAAGCGAAAAATGATAAGTAGCGAATAACGAATAGCGCGAACAACACGTCTAAATCACTGAAAACAAACCTCCATTTTTCCCGACATCCTTCACCAAATAGATCACTCTCTCCTTAAAAGACCTCATGTCTGAAGATTGATTTTACAAGTCGCGGAGATATTGTATTGATGTGAAGAATTCATCTCTGAACCAATCCGCCCTGGGCTATATCCTCTTTTCCAGAATGGCTCTCTACTGTCTACTTCAGACACCTACAAGATACTTTTTCCACGTCAAAAACAAGCCATGAAAATTCACAAACATATATATTTCCTTATCGCATATTACAAAAACAACTACAAGTATTACCTGCTCCAACCGTAGCCATAAATGGGACGACCCCGTCGCTTGGCAGCATAGACAACATCCAGGGAGGTGACAGTCTTTCTCTTGGCATGCTCGGTGTAGGCGACAGCATCTTTAATGAGGTTCTCAAGAAAGATTTTCAGCATAGTTCGGCCCTCCTCGTAGATCTGGGTGGAGATTCGTTTCACACCGCCACGGCGCGCAATTCGTCGGAGAGAAGGCTTAGTAACACCCTGAATGACATCTTTAATAACCTTTCGGTGTCGCTTTGCGCCTCCTTTCCCAAGTCCTTTACCTCCTGTACCTTGACGGCGTGTGTTGTTCCCGGTATTGGGCTTGGGCTTGGTCGGCTGTTGTGTAAGTGACTCTAGTTCCCTCGTCAATCTTATAGAAGCGTTGTTCGCAGTGTTCTGGTCAGTCGGGGTACCACGGACAAGACTAGCTTCGGAGCCGCGGGGGTCATCGGCAACGTCAGAACCAGGTAAATAGGGTGTGGGTTGCTCAGGCTGAGACGCCGCATTCGAGCGTTCGTCGGCATCATGTACCTGGGGGATGGAGCTGTTGGGGACGACGCTGCCGTTATTTTCGGTGTCGTGGGTTCGGTTTTCCTCGCCAGATCTGCTGCTGGAGGGCCCATCTGGATTGGGCACCGACTCCTCCGCCAACCCAGATCGGTCCAGAGAAGCAACTTTTTGTTGTTCCAAAGTAGTTGCGGGGGCTTTCGAAGGAGGCGAATATGATGGATCTGACTCAGATGCAGAGATGTCGTCGCTGCTGGAAGCTGGAGCCTTGCCTTTGTCCCGGTTGGGCTTGTTGTTGTCGTCGCTTTCCTCGCCAGAGCTGCTGTCAGAGGGCCCATCAGGATCGGGCGCAGACTCCTTGACAAACACAGGTCGGGGCTGGTAATTTGGAACCGATCTTCTTGGAGATTGGGAAACGTCAGAACCAACGTGAGTAGTCTGATTGAAGGGAGCAGAAGGGCGAGGAACATCCCGCGAAGAAGAAGCAATTGGTTCGTCGGAAGAGTCATCTTCATACAAATTCTCGAAATCCCTTGGGCTAACGACTGGTGCTGACACAGGAGAGTCGTCAAATTCATCCGACGCGTCCAGAAACACATCATCGCCGTCTTGGTCCGGGAATCCTCCTGATTCTTGCAAGTCAGGCGCAATCTTCTGGTGGTCGTCCCAGCCCGTTCCAGACCAAGTATGGGGTCTCTCATCGCTGTCTTCATCGTCGATGGCAATTTTTCGACGTTTACGGGGTCTTCCGGATGACTCAGGCCGTTCATCAGCAGATTCTTCAGCTTCGGCAGAAGAACCAGCCGCAACTCTGGACATGGCATCCAGAGCACTCTGATCGAAGTACGCAGAACGGGGAGCTGCGTCTCCAAGAGACGACTGGCGGTGGGCTTCCTGTCGAGCACGCCTGGCAGCAAGTTCCGCTTGTTGGGCTTCACGACGGACTTCAAGCCGCGCCCTACGGCGGGCAGACTGTTCGGCTCTAATCACAGCTTCACGTTGGGCTTGAAGGTCGCCTTCATATTCGGCGATAAGGTCGGCTTCGAAGTCGGGATCGAATACGGCATTAGGGTCTTCCAGTTTTCGTAAAGCCTCATTAAGGGCCGCGAGTCGTTCTTTGGAGTAGGGAAGTCCGCGTGTTGGAGGTCGCACTAGATGCTGCATCTTTCTTCTTTCGTATCTGCACATGGGTGGGTAGAAGCCTTGTCTGGCGAGACTATAAAACATGGCTCGATTTTTCAGCGTGTCGCGCATTAAATGAGTCCCTGGGGGATCACGCCAAAAGTCTGGGCCCCAGTTCTCCTCTTGCCTGACAATAATTGGGATCGTTTCAGTTTGGCGACCCCGTTCCGAGCGTCTCTGGGAAGGGGGCTGATCAGGAGAGTCAGGAGAATCAGGAGAGTTATCCTCGGCGTACTCTTCTCTGGGGTTTCCAGAGTTGTCGCGATCGGCGTCGTTGTCACGTTGGTGTGTCATTGTCGAAAGAGATTGAGGGGGTGGTGATTGAAGGGGATGTTGAAGAGATGTTGAAGTAGCAGGGAATGTTGCTGGTAGACGAACTGGGGTCCCAGCTCATCCTTTTATAATTTTTTTCCCGTGAGGTTCCCTTGGTTTTTTGCAATGTCCAGCACATTGTTGGTGGGGTGGTGTGGCAGAGTTACTGCGGCTGTCTCAATGGGATATCATGTAAGAGTGGGGAAGAAGGAAAATGCAAGCCCCAATACATAGAAATCCATTATTTTTGAAACAAGCCCCAATTGTAGGGGTTTTCCAGCCCATTTGCGATTCGATCTCCCGGTTATTGTACTGTCCAGTATTGTACTGTCCAGTATTGCACTGTCCAGTATCATACAGTATCTACAGATCAAGGTTCGTTATCAGAGACACAGTGAGTCTAATGAGAATCCCCGGCGCCGAAAATTACCTGGCTAATGATAGCCCCTGAAGAGTATGAAACATCTCCCACAACTCTGAATAACCTCCCACAATTCTGAAACAATTCTCATCCAGATATCTGCACCCTTTTTGCCCGTTTTCGTCATACATTTCAGCCCCCGCTTATTCCGACAGCCTCACGGTTTCATCATGGTCAAGGTTGTGGCAACGGAACCTTACTACACGCAGTGTCGTTCATAGCCAGTCTGAGTCTTAGAGAGCTCCTTTGAAAACAGTATATTAATATTATTAGAAAGTCCTAGTCTAGGGGAACATTTTGATACCAAAAAGACGTGGGGGTTGTTGCCTAATACCCCTACAGTTCAAGTTTCAGTTTGTCTGCGTCCAGCTAAGCATGTTGTGAAATTCAAATTTAAATAAATGTATATGCAGAAGACAAAAAAATTGTATACCAAATATTTGGCTCGCACATCCCGTGTCCCACATACTGGGAAAATGCCACATGAAAGAGCAGGCCCGTGCTGGAATGGCAGTGAGGGCAGGCGAGCTCCCACACACATATCTCCTGGGAACAGAGGGGGGATACTTTCTTACCTGTATTCGGGTAGCGGCTCTTTCCTTTCCAGCAACACATCGTGTACAGAGATGAAGCGTTCAGGAGATTTTACAGTCGCTGCAGAGTAGGTTAAATATACTGAATCATAAATGATTTACAGCTTTAACCACTAATTATCATCAGCGACTATATATCATTACTGCAACGACTATATATTCTTAACTATATATCATTAACGATTATATATCAACTTGTATATCACTAACGACTTATACATCATTAAGGATTACATGTCATCAACGACTATATATCATTAACGACATATATCACTAACGTATTACTAACGACTTATATATCACCAAAGACTTACATATCACTTCCTGGGAGGCGTTCCGATAACCAAAGTCTTCTCTCTATCAGAGTGATTCGTCAGGAGTCTCCGCACCCTAGTGGAGGCCGTTTACAACATGGCATTCAGATGATTCAGATGACTTCGACGTGAGTCAGACGCGACTCGAAAATGCTTGAATTGGTGAACATTGTAATATTTCACAGAAGAACAAGTCTATCTTTCTTTCGTTTCATTCCTCGGAGATCTAACGCGGGAGTGTGTAGAGTAGGTCGGCTGTGATTAGTAACATATACTGTTGCAGAACCCCACAGCCTCAAACCAACTTCCCAAGTAAATTGGAGGATGGTATCTGGGGCCAACTTGACTGATCAGATTCACATCTACAGTTATATAGAGATTGAGGCCGACAGATAACTCCTTCTCCTCTCCACTAGACCACAATGAGCACAACTCGAACACGGCGCAGAGAGACAATACTCAAGATATCTAAAGACGACTACGAAGCCAAAACCAGAAGAAGAATACTCAGCCAATGCTTTGACGAGAATGATCGGTTCGATTTTGTTTACAGTAATGAGCCAGTGAAGATTCCAGGCCAATTCCCGGTATTCCTCTACCATTTCGACGAAAAGAAGCAACAGGTACGCTCAAGCCACCAGTGTGTTTTTGTGACTTCCAAACAAGAATTTGTCTCTGTTGCAATTTCAGAGAATGTCTTCTTTCTCGCTGGAACGAGTTGGCGATACAGTCTAGTGTTTGAGCAAGGATGGGGAGGAAAGGCCACCGTAACAGAAATCAATCCAAGCAACTTTGCCATGCTCACCTGCAACACAAACGTTCATGCTAAGGGTCTCGAACGCCTTCGAAGAGGACCTGGAGCTGATTTCAGCATTGAAAGCAAGGAAGGAAACGAAGAGGCAATCAAGGTACACAAAAGCGTGATGATGCTAAACTGGCCGTTTTTCGAGAAGATGTTGAACTCCGGCATGCAGGAGGCCCAGGAGAACAAGCTGACGCTACCACTACCTCGTAGCACTGTCGAAGTCATCGTGAGATACTTGTATGGCCAGCGGCTGAAGTTGGAGATTGAAGATGCAGCTAGACTCATTCTTTATGCTGACATGTACCTGTTGCCGGAATTAAAGCGAATCTGCATCAATCATATCAAAGCGTCTCATTTGAACATCCCTCAAGCTATCCTTGTGGGGGAGATGGGCTCCATGGCCCCCGATGTGCAGATTTTCGCCAGTGCAGTCGAACATGCTGAGTCGCTTGCAGCAAAGGGTCACAGCAATATGATAGCTGGTGATGAGCTATTGGGTCCCACTGCACTCACAAACAACACTAGCAGCCGACAGGAAGAATCTCTTGGAGGGGAAATATTCAAAATGACTCCTGCCGAGTACGAAGCGAGCATCAGAGACCGCACGATAGGTCAGTGTCATTATGGCAGAAGACGGTTCGACTTCATTAAGACGGATCGACCGCGGTATTGGCGGAATCCCTCCAAAAAAAGAGTCTACATTTCCCATTATGACGAAAGGTTACAGCAGGGGCATGCAAGTCTTTGTTCAGTATTTTCTACAACTTTTGAAAACCACAAATTTGTGGCGATTTCTGAGAATGCCTTTTTTATTTACGACAACAATTGGGAATACTCCCTGAGACTATCACAGGGATGGAAAGATTCGTTTATTATGACGATAGACCAGGATATTTGGATCCAACACACCACCTGGACAACACCCTACATGGAGGGCCTTGAGCGTCTCAGAAACTTGCCTGAGGCTGATTTTCAGCTTCAAAGCGAGGATGGAAAGAACATTAAAGCTCATAAGACTGTATTAACAGCTAATTGGCCCTACTTTCGAAAGAAGTTGAAATCTGACACAAAGGTAGCCCAGGAGAATACGCTACTACTACCGCTACCTCAGAGCGCTGTAGAAGTGATTTTGAGGTACTTGCACGGCCAGGAGCTGCAAATGTGGTGTTGTATTGATGATGCTGTCAGATTAATGTCGTTCAGCCGAAATATGCTACCGGAATTACATGATATCTGCATCATTATTATCGAAGCGCATGGGCTGGACATCCATCAAGCCATATTTGTATGGCAGAAGAGTACTTTAGCCGGCGAAACAGAAATGGTTGCCTACGCTGAAGGTGTTATCAAGATGCTGGATACCACCTCAGATCGCGGATTGTCTAAGGATGAGAAGCAGGTTGTTCAGAAAATCCGAGCATCCGCAGAGAAAGTCAAGCGGCGACGAACATGTTCTGTAGTAAGCTATAAAGAGTAATACATTCAATGTACAAGTATATGTGTGGTACAGTACTTACATTTGTTCTCATGATACCACTTGGCTACTGCTTTAAGAACAGAAAGCGCATTCCTACTATGGTGGCTGCAGTCATTCCCAGATGCCGTGGAGTGGTTCGTATCAGTCATAGGTCTCAGCACTGCTGTTTCTAATTAAATTCTGGGGGTGATGGAACGCAGTAGACCGTGTATTGTGGTTGGTTGGAGTGTGCGAGGATGAAAGCTCTGATATGCTCAATATCTTGTAGTTCCTGCAGCAGGATAAAGCACTGGAGGGCGTCGAACTTCGTTCCCGTCATGGACCATATCCGACGACTCCGTTGGGGGCGGGGATTACGTCCCTAGTCATGACGAGGTGGGTTTCAATGTGCAATACCTAAGTTGATTGGTAACCGTGTGATGGAACTGAACCGACCTATATATGTTTTTTGTGTACATTTTGGGAAAACCAGTAAAAGTGGTGCATTTGTTATTACTTGTACTGGTTAATATGAGCTTTGGTATAAGTACTAGTACAAGTATCACATCGTTTCCTTGATTTTTGGTTTTTGCAATGATAACTCGGCATCTATAATTCTGACCACATGCTCTGGCAGATCAGGTCGCGTATTTAAAGAAAAATCCCCAAACCCATCATGCCTTCAAAAAATGCTGCAATTTGATAATTTGTTTGACGAAACTCTCAATAACGTCATTATATTCTGTAAATATTAATTTCCAAACAGGAGGAAACTACAGTAATTCAATCACCGACAGCTCATCGCCCATATTCACAAAGTTTCGATTATATGCACTGCATTGCATTATCTCAACCTTATATATAATAGTGGTGATACGTTTTCAGTAGAATATATACAATTACATATAGAATAAGGATTATGTGTTGGGAATAGGATTCTTTTATTTTTTGTATGTTTTCTTCCTATTAAGGTAAAACAGCAAACAAAACACACAATTAAGGTGAAGAGCACAACATTATATGCACAGAATTGTAGCTAATTGGGGTATCTACAATGTCTGTATATATCTCCATCTTACCTTATTCCGAAGATCTGTTGTGGCCTTGTTTGTTTTTCCTTTTCTCTACTCACTGTACGACATCATCTAGACACTTCTAAGACATCATTTCGACCCATCTTCAAATATTAGGATGAACGGGAATCAACTAAGTCCTTCATTCATTCCAGGTGGGATTAACGGCGAATTTTCACGATCTCTAGATCTTTGTGTCTGGATCACTTCAAATGAGCAGTAAAAGAGACATGTGCTGATTCCATTGAAAACTCTAGAGCGATACTAACGCAGCAGGAGGTAGCCTTGGTCCCCCTCCATTTGGCACATCGTGCCGGTGGAGGACCCACTTTGTAAGGAGGTTACAAAGCCAGGGCCGCACTGGAGGTGATGCAGCGCTGGGGCGGTAAAAAGTTCCTCTCAAGGCCCTATAGAGCAGCCTCGTTTCCGTTCCTTGGAGTCTACCAGGATCGGGGTCGTCTCAGCTTCTTCTGGCAGTTGGGTATTGGGAGAAACGTCGTGAGACTCGATTGGGAAAGGGAGTCCTCATCTCTCTAGTATCTCAATTGTCTTCACAGAAGATTGCTCGCGGCGGTGGATTCTGCCAGACCTCCGAAAACCGGAATCTCTCAGAGATTCCACTTTCCTTACCCTTCGACGCCCCCCAGCCTCATGTGGTCAATGTCTGACGCTTCTTTCCAGTAATGCAAGTACTGTTCGAATGGAAACCATCGGCCCAGGAGAACCAAAAAAAGAAGAAAAAGTGGGCCAAAATTGCGCCAGACTTGCAGTATAGTTAAAAGTCGCAATTTCGAAAATTCTGAGAATCGCCATCCTAATAGAGCTTCAGCCAACAGTTAGCTTCGCCAGTCCTTTCCAGGAACAACACTTGGCATACCGTAAATGACCCTGTAGTCTGGTTGCACCGCGATTATCCTGACCAAGCACTCTCGAGCCACCTCAGTCACAAAATTCGTATCCATTTCAATGCTTTGGATCTGGTTCAAGAGAATGTGCTCTACCATTTGCTCCATGTAGGGATACTTGACACTCTTGCTCTCATCGAAAATTTTGGTAAGCTTGTTCAAGACAGTTCTGGCCTTTGACTTGAGCTTCTTGAGCTGATTTTTGTTGATCCGGTCAGTAGCCTTGATGATGTTCAGGCTGAGAGCCTCTTCAACCAGTCTATCGTTGAGCTGCGACTTGGTTATGTCGGTGTCAACGGTGTCGCGGTTACCAACTCTGGCATAAATACGGGCGGGAACGGCGCCTGTTGCGGGTATCATCGCATCTGGCCCGTGGCCCGGAGGGGGTTGCTCTGGGATTTCGGCCTGAGGTTGCATGGTATCAATCACTTGGTTGCGGAACTCTTTGGTGAAATACCTCTGTTGTTGGTTGTGGTACCTGTTGATTGTGGTATCTTGTGTGAATTATACACTACGTAGGCTACGAAATTACGGCTCCCCACGACATGGTCGTCTTCAGGCACTGACTCAATTAAACTTGCATATTCGTGCATAAAACCTTACACTTGCATATTCATATTCATGCATAAAATGTTACAGCGTAAGAACTCCTCCCAGGACCAATGGTCTCGTTTTCACTCACGTACATCTTCACTTTCGGGTGTCACAAATCCGACTCCAACTACAGGAAATTCACTCAAGAATAGGCGCTGGATTGCCTAAGATCTACAGAGTTCATCTCCAACAGTTATCGTATTCAAAGTAGTTTTGGTGCTGCACGGCTAGGTTGATACCATATCGCCTTCAAAAAACATAGACACTCTATTAAAAAATAAATTATCTCTAGATATAAAGTACTGTATACATGAGAGGAACTACAGTATTTCAGATGATTGGAGGGTCATATGACTCCATAGGCTCACCTGAGAATACCCTTCCTCAATTGAGGGGAACTCCTTATTAAGGTTACTTAACAGAATGTCGGTATTCTGTTGAGCAATGGTAGCCATTTGAACAAGAACGCTAAACTCCCAATTAATTCTTCACAAACGACATGAATCACAAACACGAAAACTGCTCCACAGGTTGAAACAAATCATTATAGGGCTAGTTGAAGGTTAGTGGATATATGTCGTTATTTGCACTATTTTCAAGAAATCTGTTGAGTAAATTTAAACTATAAAGAAATTGTTGAGTAACCTTAAATTAAGTCCCATAAACTTGCAATGCCATAAACTTGCCATATAATCAGGCCACTTTTAAAAGAAAATCAGGCCATTTTCACGAAGCTTATTTCTTTGGGCATAAACGTACGTCGAGAGGTATTTCTGACGTTAGTGTTGATAATGCAGGGACTAATGAGATGAAAACTTTAGTATGCACTACTTCGAACCCAAAAAGTGGACATCGTCAAAGCTGGAGTTGAATGGAGTCGAATTCGTGGTTTTATATAATCTATCTTGATACGAACCCCGCACGTAAAAATCAGGCCATAATTTAAGGTCGCATATCACCTATAGCTCAATTGTCTGTTTGTGTAATACAAATATACCCCCAATTTACAGATTCTTGAGAATCCTCTATTCATGTTAACCATCATCGCCAAGAATCCGCCAAGTACGTGTTTCGTCTCGAACACTGAAAAAGACGGCTTCTTTTTGTCGCCGGCTAAGAAAGAGGCGGCTTGAGTGAGTATTAATGTCTTGTTCCGTTCGGCTGGCACCACTGGGGGCTTTTTTGCATCGTTGTGGTGAAAATCGCATGTTTGGGACACAAAAAGCTCGGCACACGACATTACAAAACATCACACAACATCACAAAACACCATGGAAAACCTAGGTTCCGTTACATGGGTAGATCACGCTCCAACTGCAGTGACTGTCGCCATGACCGCCAACTTTTTTCGACCATTAATATTCACACCCAAGCCATGTGACACAAACACAACACCGAGTGACACAAAAACGTCACATCAACGACGCAAACACGACGCAAACATGACGCAAACACGATATAGAAATGACACAGGCATATAACATACTACTGGCGTCTTATGATTCCAGCACCGTGATCATCGTTCAACCGAGTTTCAGCGGCAAGAAGTGTTCCTCCCCAGTTGCCAATGCCACGTCTTCTCCACCACAATCTTCAACATACTAACACAGATGGGCGTCCTACGATCTAGTTACTACCATAGGTAGCGCTAGTCATAGACGGGTGCTTCCCAAAGAGCTATGAGCCAAACGACTGTGTCATCCGAGGGTGTCGGATAGGCACAGTCAGGCCAGAGTCTCCAGGGGGGCATCTCAATCCCAGGGAGGAATTTATTTTGTTTACAGGGAGGGTGTGCGTTAACCATGCCCAGGTTCCAAGCATGCTATGGACTCAGGGACAGAGTCTCATAGGGAGTGCCCCGGACAACCCGTGTCTACTGGCGATTTTCGTCTTTCGACACGACGCTACAACCCAGTCAGTTTCAAACCAACTTTCAATCACCCTTCACGTCCCAAGAGGGGAATTTGATTGCACAGAGACGAAACCAGACTAGCGTCACTCACGTTTTCGGCGGAACCGGTTCGTGAGATTTACTTTTTTACTTTTTATCGATGATAATTTTGGCACTGGTGATGTTGGAGCATAGGAGATGGTGCTCTTGGTGGTGGAAGGGAGGAGTGGATTTGGGGGCTTGTTAGCAAGACAGGAGTGGGGATAGTGAGGGGTGGTGGGTTGTGGATGATAGATGAGGGGAGTTGGAAGGGGGTGATGGAAGACAGGTGAGGGGAGCTGGAAGGTGAGGGGAGCTGGAAGGTGAGGGGAGCTGGAAGGTGACGAGTGGTGGCAGATGAGGGGAGTTGGAAGGTGACGAGGTGGCAGATGAGGGAGTTGGAAGGTGACGAGGGGTGGAAGATGAGGGGTGGTGGGAGGCCGTAGGCCGTGGATTGTTGATGGTTGGAGTGTGTGTGAGGGAGAAATCACTGGAACCTTTGGTTTATTTGGTCTTCTCAATCACACCCGTGTGTGAGGGAGAAAACACTGTAGCCTTCTGGTGGCACTGTCTTCTCAATCACACCCGTGTGTGAGGGAGAAAGCGTTGGAACCCTCGTTCTCAATCACCTATTTGTACGAGGGAGAAAGCGCTCGAACCCTCGGGTTTTGTGGTCTCCTCAATCACATCCTCCAGGGACAGTGGAAAGAATGCCGGAGGTGGGATAAGGCATTCTATGGGATGTTGGGTGGGATATATAATTGAATGTATTGATTGTTTTGAAACACATGAGCTGTATATTCATATGATTAGCTGTTATTCGGGTTGTTACTTACGAAGGCTGTCTCAGAGGGTATCGTTACTCTGCTATTAAGGCAAAAACAGAAAAAAAAACAGACACAAGACGCCGAAGCGAGATCGGTGCTGACCCAACCAAGTACCGGACCAGTTACTTGCTGCTTACTATTGTAAGTGCCTTCTGCATCCGCCCTTGAAGATCGATCTAACAAAAAATTTGAAAACCACTTTTTCTCATTCAAATAGAAAATACACCCTCCTAGTCCTCAACGGTTGTGTAGTGTAGCGGTTATCACCTTGGATTCTGACTAGCTGTTGATTTCCAATAACCCCGGTTCGATTCCGGGCACGACCTTTTTGTATCGCGGGGCGTTGAATGCTTTTTTGGTGGGTATTCCTCAGGTGTTATGTAAGCATTAACAAGAGCGGAGTCTTTACGTCACATGCGTACAGAATGTACCTGTATCTTGAGTATCACATGACCTGTATGTTGAGTATCACATGACCTGTATCTTGAGTATCACATGACCTGTATCTTGAATATCACATGACCTGTGTTCGATGATGAAAGTATCATCACGTATTTTCCATTATTACAACCCCCATTGTTCACAATGTCTTTGGATCCGAAGTTTTGGGGTTGTTCATAGTGTTGTTTCAGCCGAAATTTCAGCCGAAACTTCTCGCAACATGGTGTTTGGCGATAGTAGCTGCGGTGGGGGGGTTTAGACTGGCAGATGAGGTTCAGGTTTTTCCCCTATTGTCTGTTGGGGGCCCAGGGCGTCGGTTTGAAGAGGTTGTCTCCGATTTTGAGGTTGGTTTTGTAGTCGTTGATAAGGGCCAGAGACTTATGATTCCATCCACCCTCGGCCTGCTTCCCGAGATGGGCCCTCTCTCAAGTCCAATTGGGCCACTGATTCTGTGGTTTCTGCTCCCGCCAAGTCTCTGAGCCAGATTCAGAAGGGGGAGGAGGCTGCTCTAAAGAATACAATTACTTTGACAACTGCTGTTTCCTCAGGAGGAGTGAAGAAGTACGATGACGTGCTTCCTCGACGAGTCCCTGTCTCCGCTGCTGCTACTGTTCCGGGTGCTTCTTCCCCCTGGTTCTATGCATCCTGTCAGAGCTGTTAGCAGAGAGTTGTAGAGGTAGTCAAAGATTTGATAACGGTCGGACTTGTACTCCATGGGCAATTTGGATCAAATACCCAAGTCCAGATCGCGTTAATATGATGTATGGTTTCATGGGGTTTGTTTGAAACCAGCTTTTCTGTTGAGAAGTCGCGCTCTTCGATCAGATTCTCAACAGCGGAACAGCTGAAGGTACCGTTGGAAGACAGGGGTAAAACACTGGTCATCTATGAGGTCAGGAATCATCTGAGCAATATAGAATTTTGAGGACAAGTATGGTGCTGTAGGTGATGATTCGACCGAATAGAGACCAATTCAGTGTGTTTGTCAACTAGCAATGACCTTCATACTGATCTCCAGCTTTTCCCATTGGTTTGATGCCAGGCACTGTAATGCACTTTTCGACGGACAGCAATTTCGGGAAAGTCTTTCAACAACGCCGGAAGTGGTTCAGTGAGAAACTCGACTGGCTGATCGAGCTTGGACTCGAGCTGGGCAATTCTGTGTACCCTGTCAGGTTTCTGGTCCACCATCTGGCCCATTCTGACCAGCAGTTCGTCATGGGAGTGTGGACCACTCAATCACGTCCTTGAAAGGGGGTTGACGAGAGGTGTCCACTTTGATTCATGTTTGCGATGGGGTGGTTGAGTTTTGTGGAGAAGTGGAGCACAGTATTGATTGACAATAGCTGTCGAGTGTTGAGCAGCGACTTATGAGTACAGTGGTTTTGTTGTGGGTACAGTAAGCGGATCAGATGAATCGTCGTACAGAGGTCGTATAGAGGTCGTACAGAGGTCGTACAGAGGTCGCACAAAAGTCGTCGTCGTTCAGTCGAAAAAAGTCATTCAGGCGTTCAGTCGTCGTCATTCAGGCGTTCAGTCGTCGTCGTTCAGTCGTCGTCGTTCAGGCGTTCAGTCGTCGTCATTCAGGCGTTCAGTCGTCGTCGTTCAGTCGTCGTCGTTCAGGCGTTCAAGTCTTGTCCTTACCATCATCATTCATCAATCCCATTGGTCAATATGTCGAGAACCCTCTTCAATACATCGAAGCGTAAGAGCTGTGGATCATGGGCGACGCTTTTTTATTATTTTAATTCGAACTGAAAAAGTTAAAAAATTAAAAAATATATTAAAAAATTGTGTAAAATATACACAATGAGATCAGACCGGGACTCTGGCAATTGTCACGGATGTTGGCCGGCTTCCTCAAAGTCCAATGCCCATTCTCTAGTGGTTGATCTCCTCTGGCTCTCAAGTGTGTCTACACTTGGTTGACACTAGCTGACATTAGTTGACATTGGTTAAGATTAGGTAACCTTAGTAGAGATCAGTTGATTATCTACCAAAATCTTGTTGATATTTAGTTTACATTTGTTGACATCTTGTTAAACATAATCGAAAGCGAAAAACAAAACAAAAACTATGATGTCCCCGAGATGTGTTTCTGAAAGTCTCCCTGGCTTCGCAACCTCTGCCATAACTGGACAATACTTAATCACCTAATATATACATCCGAAACCCAGGTTTCGCGGGCTTCAACAGAATCGTCGATCTATACTTGGTCTTGTCTGAACCTTGTCATCACTCCAACTGCCAGAGCCACACGCCTCCAACCAGCTCTGTCGCTGCAATCAGAGACGCCATCACAACGTGTTGCAACTCCGCATTGTAGTGTTTGGCCTTCCGACACGTAAACCCCACGTGAACGACCGACATGGACGCGAAACAGTACATTCAGCGGTGCTACAATGCCGTTGGACTCCCCGATCAGTTAGATGTCCACCGGCGCTATTCCTACCTCTTCAATGATTGGTCGGCCAAGCTGGTAGAGTCGGTCAAGCCGCAAGTCCACATCATGGTCAACAGGAGATTTATGGCGAAAAGAATGGTGTCACATATCTGGACGGACGAGCTCAAGGACATTACTCTAGGTGAAGAGGTTACGAGGGTAAATTTGGCCCGGGATGCTGTTCCTTGGGTGATCCTGGCAGCCCACATTCTCCTGGACTACACAGCAGACGCCCTTGAAATCGCAACCTCATTGGTGGATACCTTCCATATCCACGGCATTTCCCAGTCCACGATAGAGCAAGTTGTTGCTTGGAGTCTTTATCCCATGGGCCTCGACTACAATGTTGACTTGGGCAATAGTAAGACGCGACAAGAACAATTGAAGTACGCAGCAGCAAACGAGTCCAGACTTTCTGAGAAGCGGACGGAAATTTGGAGGGAGATTTTTGACCATCTCCATGAACATAAAGCGTTCGCTCACCCCAAAGTCGGGGCTGGAGTGGTCTACTTTGCGCTGTATCGATTGCCACAAGATCACTTTATTGAAGATGATTCTCATCGACTGTACACCGTCTTATTCATTGATGCTGCCACTGGAGCTCTCGCTTTCACCTCTCCGTTCCAACGAGAGCAGCAAAGTCTTGGGGCAATCAGCCGATATATGCGCAACCATATCGATCTTTTTGTGAGAAAACACAATCAGCCAGCCTTCATGATTTGTGTCAATTCTTGGGACCGTGGACAGCAACATGCATCGCTCGTGAGCCTTCTTCAGGACGTTGTACAGGGGCTTCCACCTCTTAACACGCGTTTTTGCATCTACACGACCGAGGGCGAAGATATCTTTTGCGACTTGCCAGCGACACTCGCCGGGACCTTTCTGGAGATCACAGAGAGACTGGAAACGGCACTACAAAAGCTCAAGGTTGACCAGAATTTATCCTTCTATACCGAAAGGGGCCCCGCTGCCTGCTGGGAATACATATTGGCGTCGTCTTTTGGAGACTTGCTCGAAAGGAAATTCCACATGACTTGGCCTCGTTCGTATTACCCGGGTAGAGCTAACATGAAGAACACGCCATGCAAATTGAGCTTTGCCATACCTGGTAAAGGGACCTCAATTTCTCTGACAGACCAACGCAGCTGGGACCGACTAAACATTTCTCCTTACTTGGATATGATAGCTGGCAACACGACGGCTCAGCATGAAGTGGTGGATCATTTGGAGGAGGATGTTCAGGAAGAGCTTCATCGCACTCTGAATCTTTCAGCAAGCTACTTTTTGCATCATGTTTCTTCCGAAACTAAAAGTAGACATCCCCTATCACGTTGGCTCGAATTGCTTCTGTATATGCATCGTGTGGCTAACTCATCTAAGACCAGTTTCGAATCATCTCTAGTGAAAATTACTCCAGTCGAAACCAAACCTGCTGGCAGGGTGGATCGACAACCGGCGCTCAAAGATGATCCAAACACTAAGACCGGAGATTCGACTACAGGTTCAATGCAACTTCTCTCAAATGCCCGCACACCTGCGGGGACTCCTGTTTACTCGGCGGACGCAGCAGTTGCCATGGTGCGTAATATGCAGTCAAAGTACAGAATTCGTTCGAGAGGGGGGAGTGTAACTTCAAAGGTCAGAGGCCCTCTTGGTAAAGCCAAGATTATTGATGGAAATAAGTCTCGTGGCTTCTCGCAGGTTTCTCACCAACAGAAGTAGCATTGCCAGAGACGAGGTTGATACCTAATAAGGCATCAGAGATGTTTTTATCACTGTTTCAGGCTACAAACCAAGGGCGATACTAATATGACAGTACATACTAACATGTACTGTTTTAATCGAGATGTGTCGTTCACTTCTTTTCATTAATCGACTCAGTTCTCCCTACATCGGTACTGTCTGCCCATCTCCGTTTCTGTTAAACGATATCACCACCACCAACCTCAGCTCATCATGTTCGCTAATAAATGAGTTCCAATAATGTACCTGGTCGATCCTTGTAGGCCACGAAGAGGTCTATATTTGGCGGTGTTCTAGTGTTGTTGACGGTTGCTGGTTATTTCAACGCTCTTGCCATTATATTGGTCAATACGCACATTCGGGTATTGCTAATAACAGGGCAGCTCTGATTGGTATCAAGTTCGGGACTCAGCGAGGATAAATGGACATACCCTGTCCATGGTGGGGTGAGCACCGCTATAGGTCAACTACCGTTCACCAGTCCCATACCGACCCTCGTACGACGATACAGGACCATACCTATGAGTAGGAGCACACTTTTTTGGCTGCCAGGGTGCTATAATGGTCCTGAGACGATTCAACCGCAAAGGTCTTGGAGTGACAGATGGAGAAAGTCGGTAGATCGATCGACTATTCTCATTGTTCGCGAGCATCGACAGTGTTTTACAACTATGTATCTGTATCAGCACGTCTTCTAAGGTGCCTTCTCCACCTGTTGTGTCCATCTACATCTCCTCACATAACGACGACAATTTGCAGCAGAATTTCAACGCGTTGTTAGCTTCCCAAAAGGATCAATGGGGGGGGGGGGGGGGGGGGGGGGCTCGACTGGCCCTGCACTAATGGTGTCTTGTCTTCTGTACTGAGCGTGTACTACAAGTTTCTATATCTGAGAGGAATGTGGTCAATCTGTGTTGTTTTGAACAATCCTCTTCACCCATGGGATGGTGACTCGCCAAATCATGATCAAACCACCCTACGGCCTGCTCGGAATTCCCCTTCGTCGGTTCATTGCATTCACGAATGACAGAATCAGCAGGTATTCAGCCTGGTACTATTGACATGGTGCTAGTTCTCACACACTCGCTGGTGTTGAAACCAACAAGTGCACATCACGTTGGGGATATGGGGTAAAACAGGTGCTATAATGTTGGCTAATAGCTCTTTGTTAGTTGATGCCGTTGACTGTACCGCAAACGCATGTGGTGACCAGTAGATCCCGACTTTCAATCTCAGCAATATTGGGGATGCTGGTTCATGGTTTGAACAATTGTTGACCTCCAACAGAGCAACATTGAAACACAAAACTCGTCGGAGTTGCTACAAGTACAGTGAACACTTTTTCAGCCACCGTCAACAATCAGCTTGTCGATGTACAGTGCACCAATTGAGTCCATTGGGTTATGCGCCGATCTATGTAGTGTGCTTCATTCCGGCGAACCGGCATATTTCATCGCTACAACACTACTACTCGCTAGATGAAGTTGGGCACACTACCAAGGCCAAGTTGAAACATATTCCGAGGGGATCGACGAGTATATGGATACTAGTACAAGTCTGCTACGAATCTCCGAGGACTTGGATCGGCGATGTCCGCCTCAACCAAAAAAATCAGTTGTCTGTGTGAAGCAAGATGTAGACAGACCTCCACAACAGAACTAGTCGCTCCGATGTACGTGTCGATAGTCTGAGACTACCGTATCGCACTTGTAGGTGCTCGATTCAGGTCGCTAGTTACAACCTTGGTGATTAGTTGCCTGAGAGGGGACTTTAGTCGGTTTTGTATCGGCTGACCCAGAGCGAACCCAACAGACAAGAATGGACTTTTGTTTGAATGGTATGCTAAAATGAAGTCAATTGAGCTGATTTGAGGGGAGTTGTGGAGTCCCATGACGTTTCTCCTTTCATCAACTCCAGATCCCGATGATACCACCCCCCTAATCAGGAAAATTGGACTACAGTACATACAGTAGCGTGAACTCTGATGGCTCACCAGCAATCCCTTACAGTAGTCTAGCTGTTACCGTACCATATTACCGGTGAGTATTGTGGAATTTGAGTACCGTGGAAATTGTTTCCTTTACTCTAGTCTTTACAAGTTATTCCAAGTTCCTTCCGAGTTGATTCCAAAATTCAAGTTCATTCCGAGTTCAGTCCAAGTTTCATTTCATTCCATATTCAAATTCAGTCGAAGTCCGTTCCTCATTTTTCAATATCACAATGGAGGCTGTTAGACCCGATTATTTATTGAAGGATTTTCAAGTAATTGTGGCCATGATGGAGTTTTATCATCAGCTTCTGTTGGTCTTTTGCAAGTTCAATTATGTGTTGTATTAGTAATTGGTCCATTGGATTAATATTAATAATAATAATAATAGTAATAATAAAAACAAAATAGATATTATAAGACCTTTGCAGTACTAAAACCCCTCAAAATAGCACCGCCCTTGAAATTTCCCAATCTGCCAAATAGTGCGGAATGTGAAGATACCCCCAGCACAGTAATAAACAGAACAGTAAGCAAGATCGGGGCATTCACCCAATATAATGATACACAAAAGGTCCAGAGTTGCTGCTGATAGCACAGCCTCACCCTTGCGTCAAACAGCCCACCTTTTCACGAATAGCCCTCCCCAAAAAGTTGTATTTCCCCCCACAAAGTCGTATTTTAGTCTGGATGATGCCGTACGGCCTCAAACACTTGACGAAATTAGTGTCCGAGACCATCTCAACGAGTTTTTTGGGTCGAGATATTCGCGATCTTAGGTCAGTCACGTTTTTTTCAAGTCTTTTCAGTATTTTTCCAGCTCATTTGAATGTTTTCCAAATCATTCACATTTTAGAATTTGCAACATTATTTTCATTTATTTTCATTTTTCATTTTTCATTTTTTATTTTTATTTTCAGTTTTCTTCGTCGAATTTTCTTCATTGAATGATTCTTCACTGAATTTCTTGCTTAATTTGGCCAATTCGCACGAAACATGCCCCTCAAATAGCGAAAGAGGCGTCCTGCCCACTCCAGGAACGCCCATTCAACAATCATAGATCAGATCCACTCACCTAACATTCTCACTAAGGCCTAGCGCTGCTGATATCCGCCAAACGCACAATCTCCCGCTTTCATGGACAACCCCCGTTCGACAGTCGCTCGAGCAGCATCAGAGGAAACGAAGAAACCCTGAAGATGACAAACACACCCGCTCCACCGCTTATGTCTAAACCATCTCCATCAGACATGACATTCTTCGCCAGTCGCTGTGAACATTTAGACCCAGTATTAAATGTTAATCACCACTGAACTCCTAGCACTTCTGCTAACCGGGCCTAAAGTCCTTTTGTTATGTGCATCGCTCACCCTTACCTTAGCCTGGAATTGGACTGACCAACTTGCCCGATAGAGAACGGGTGAGCGGGACATAATGCAATGGCGAGATATCAACATGAGACAGGATCAGAGGCAGAAACACTTGCGACGGTGGTCGGTTTGGACATCAGCTACTAGCCGGGATGGTGGCTCACTTTCCGGGATGGTGGCTCACTTGCCGGGGTGCGGGATCACTTGCCGGGATGGTGGCTCACTTTCCGGGATGGTGGCTCACTTGACGGGGTGGGGGATCACTTGCCGGGATAGTGCCTCACTTTGCTATGGGCCCAGAAATCTTGCCGGGATAGTGCCTCACTTTGCTATGGGCCCAGAAATCTGTGCTAGCAGTATGCAGGTTGTAGATCCAAACCCCAACTCCGGATGTCTCTTGAAACGGACAAAAGGGCACAGTCGATTATATATACTGTACCAAACCCGACGACAATGGTAGACCACCAAACAATCCCCCCCCTCCCACCAACTGAGTGATCATGAAGATATCTCACATCTTGCTAGGACTGCTCGCCACCACGGTGCATGCTACTATCACCAGTGACGAAAACATCCGTCAACACATTCCACCTCGTCTATTGACTCAGGATGCTGATGACCTGATCAAACAGCTTGTGGCCGCTGCTAAGGAAGTAGCCAACGCAAATGGGCAGACAAACATCACCCCAAATGTCGACAGAGAGAAGATCAAGAGTGACGCCCGAAACCTCGGAAACTCCTTTGTTCTGGAGGATCTCCAGAAGCAGCAGGACTTTGCCTACTACGTCTATCCCTATTTCTGTGACCCTCCGAATTGGTACGATGTGCTCAGTGTCTATGCCCCCATGCGTGATCCGTATGCCATTAAATACTGGCTTTCGAGATCCGGCTCTCCCCCGTACACTCTTGCGCAGTACAACGAAGCCATCAACCAGGTGTACAAGATGTACGCCGCCCAGCAGGCTGCTAGATGGAAGGAGACCCAAGAACAAGTCACGGTGGTCAACAACTGGCCCCCCGCTGGAAAGTGTATCCCCCTTGCCTCGATCACCGCCACAACTGTCGTTCCTGGTACTAAAGCTGGAACCACCACAATCTCCAGCGGTGGTCGCTACCATGTGGAGATTACCAAAGTTCCTGTTACCACCAACACTATCCCTGGATTGTCTGCTGGAACACGAACCCTGGTAAATTCTCAGGGAAACTTCTACAATGAGGTTGTAGTTGTTCCTGCCTCGACAACCACCGTGCCAGGCCACACAGCTGGAACTGCGACTCTTACGGATGCTGACGGCGGATTTTATGAAGTGGTCACGCTCGTTCCTGTGTCAACCATCACTGTTCCGGGTTTAGTCACTGGCACGGAAACCCTCGTCAATCGCAATGGGAGTTTTTATGAGCAGGTAACCGTCGTCCCCACGTCAACAACGGTCGTTCCAGGTCATATTGTTGGAACTGCCACTATTCGAAACAGCGATGGCGGCTTCAACGAGCGAGTCACGAGTGTTCCTGTCTCCACCAACACCGTTCCTGGATTGATACCAGGAACTGCCACCCTTGTCAACCACAATGGGAGTTTTTATGAGCAGGTAACCGTCGTCCCCACGTCAACAACGGTCGTGCCAGGCCATACAGCAGGAACTGAAACTCTGCGAAACACTGATGGTGGGTTCTATGTTCGGGCTACTGTCATCCCTGGGTCAACAACAGTGGTTCCGGGCCACACGGCTGGAACCGCGACTCTTCAGAACACTGATGGCAGTTTCTATGAAGTAGTTACCAATGTTCCCGTCTCCACAAACATTGTTCTAGGTCTGACTGCTGGCACAGAAACCCTCGTCGATAGTAAAGGCAACTTCTATGAGCAGGTAACGCGCACTGTGGTCTCGACAAACACTGTCTTAGGAGAATCTTCTGGTACTGAGACACTCACCAATCCCCACGGTGACTTCTATGAGCAGGTAACCAGTGTTTCAAGCCCACCTATCTTTTCAACTCGTTCCTCCGGTAGCATTGTTTCCACAAACATTGTCCCAGGATACAGAGAAGGTACGGAAATCCTCACTGGCACCAATGGAAACCTGTTTGTTCAAGTGACACGCACTCCAATCTCCACCAACACTATTTCTGGATCCATTGTTGGCACAGAGATCCTTATCAACTCGGACGGAGATTTTTTCGAGCAAGTAACCAGCATTCGAGCCTCCTCCATCGTTGATGCAACCTCCTCAGCCTCTGCCTCCACTGATAGCTTCTCGTCAACTGGAAGCACCTCGTCAACTGGCGTTCCTTCCTTGACACGTATTAGTGGTACATTCACTGTTTTTGCCACGAAAGATTCCTCTCCATCTGCTTTCGTCGCCACAACCATCTCTTTTGGACACTCCAAAGTAGCTGAAACCATCAGAGACACCACTGGAGACGCTATGGAGCAGGCGACTAGTACTCCATTCTCCACCAGCCCTCTTGTAGGATCCGTTATCGACACGGAAATACTGACCAAGTCGAACGGAGATGTCAGCATCCCGGTCCCAACAGCTGCTAATACCAAGTCCTCTGCAACTTCCTCGACTGATATCATCACAGTCGTCCCTGACTCCGTGCATTTTGGATCCACAAAAGAAGTCAAGTCTCCCACTGACACCATCAGTAGTTCCTTTGTGCATGAGACGGGCGCCACCGTCGCCACCAAGACTTCTACTGGAATCACCGTTGCGATAGAAATACATGCGAGCCCCAGCAGTGTCCAGTATAAGCAGACTACCGGTTTCCCGAAAGTTGCTTCCACTATGGCCATCGCCTCCAACAGTGTTGTCTCCGCTCTCGTGGCTCCTAGACCTACAACACACACCAGTCTCAGAAACTCCGAAGATGAGTTCACTGGGCTGAGTACCAGCGTTAATGTCTCGAAAAACATGGTGTCGACTGTATCTGGACCCAACGAATCTCAGACAAGCAAGGGACCTGGGGACGGCTCAATCAGCGTTGGCGGAGTTCCTCTCTCTGCCCAGCCTCCCGGCCTTGAGTTTCCCATCCAGGCCAACAGTGCTTCCCGACTGGCTATCGGTGCCGTTCTCGTCCTTCCAATGGCCCTTACTCTTCTGTGAGTTGCTATTCAGGTCCATTATCTTCTTTAATTCTCTTTAATCTTCAATTAGTAACTCTCAATATCATATTCAGTTTCGTTCAAAACAAAAACACACGACTGCGAATCACCAATGATAGCCACAATGTAGAAATGAGATGTAGCGATCAATTGAAACACCAAGTGTAAGTCGTGTATGTCATGGAACATTGTTAAGATATCGTTGAAGTTGTTTGTACAGAAACCACTCGTATCTCATTTCGGCTATCTCCTCGTTGAGGAGACATGTGGAGATTTGTAAACTGTTATGGTGATCTCAAGGAGGTTGGGGGCTACTGGACGAACAGGTTCATCTTTCCTCCAGAAACTTCAGCTATCGGTACATCAATGGAATACATAACCCTCCATTGTCCATGCTAGTACCAAGTATCTCTTCATCACGGCAATAATACCATCAATACTCCATTACTCAATACCGGAGAGCTCGCCTAGTGTTAGTCGTAGTCCAATAGAGGCACAAGTATGAAGAAGAGACTCCGAAACCTCCTATTCAACCCCAACCCTTGAACCAAGCCTTTCACCATCATACTCTAGGTATGAAACATGGGTGGGTGACCCTCCTGAAGAACCACCCATCAACCTGTAAGGGCAGGTGGTCCTCTTGAGAACTCCCCACTAACCCGTAGGTCATTATCCACGCTTTTCGTCAATCAGGGCTTCCAAGCGATTGGCAGCGAGGGTAGCTACACTGTTTCCGGAAAGAAACCCGGAGAACGTAGAAACCCGGAGGGACAAAACCGATGAACGACCAGAGCAGCTCGGGAACGACCAGAGCAGCTCGGGAACGACCAGAGCAGCCCGGGAACGACCTACAATGTCACGGTAGTTCTGCTCGTTGAAGTCCTAGCGTTTGAAGCAAGAAATCATGGTCGGGTTACAGCCTTGCAAGTCACATAGAGCCTGGTAAGGGGCACCCGCTGAAGGCATCGACGAGAGTTATCGAGTGAGGAATTGTTTGGGCGTTCTGGGACAGCAAAAGTTGGACAGTGATGTGGTTGATTTTGTGGTTGATACCCTCCTCGCATACACGAAGGCACTTGACTGGGCCCACGAAACGCTGCTCCTTCTTGCCGTCGTCTGAACCGCACAAATTTCAAACTGAGAGACGTCCAACGTTACACGGAGCTGGCCTTCTGGATGAGACCAAGAACCAGTTCCTATGTCAACGCTTTCTGAAGTGCCCTGAAAGCCTTTTCCGTAGATCGGCGTCTTTCCCAACCCGCTGTAGACCCTTCAAATTTGGTCGTGCCTCTACCTGTAGTCAACTCATGTAAGGGAGCCGTAAGGAAAGTAGCTAGGATTGGTCGTCGTCAATAACGGCACGAGTATCTCTTCATCCCATCTACAATATCATCTGCAATCCGATCACCCATCAATTGACCAAGGAACTCATAGTCCAGCGGATACACACCTGGTGAACCACGCTTCTTCTGTTGTTTGCCATGACCATCGTTGACTTGTTTCCTTGCACGTATCTAGCCTCTTTAGCGACTCTCGCGACTCGAAGGGCGAACCATACATCAAAACTCCCTTACTATCTTGTGGTTTTTGAACAACACCATGGCTGCTATCCATCACTCAGCAAGTGCCGCCCAGCTAGAGGGAGTAAACCCCCGACGGACAGCTGGAGCGGCGGCGTCGGCGACAGGATCTGCAGTCTACGTGGGCCTCTTGGTAGATATTCCACGGCCAGTGGTGAACCCCGGGATGGACTCTGAGACAGGCTGCTCAGGAGTAACTCACATCCAAAAACGTTGGCAAAGCCCACAGCGTGAAGGTGCCAGAGTTCTTCAGAGGTCGATTGTAGTTCACCAAATCACGAGAAATCTGAATTAGCGCTTGAAAGAGGGGCTCAATCAACAGAGAGGCCTTCCTGGTGGTCCTGTTCAGGTAACGAGTCAAAACCAAGGCTAAGCCACCCAGTAGAGACCCTGGAATCGGGGCGGTCACGCGAGGGGCAGCAGCAAATTGAGCCAGGGCCAAGGGGGAGATAGTGAGAGCGTTTCCCAGCATGGCTAGAAAGAGCCGAAGGGTTTCCAGACAAAAGTTTGTGTGGTACTCCTTGAACCGGAAACGCAATTTCTTTTCGTGGTCGGCAAATATGACAATGGGGGCTTGTCAAGTCCCTTCTTGCGGAAAAGGTCTTTGAGCAAAGCACAGAGGTCGCGCTGAACCGATGCGTGGCTTCGGTCTAGTTGAGGTTAGCGAGGTCATCCGAATAGGCCTTACAGGCGGCAGCAACAAATGGCTGAGGATCCCTGAGTTCATACAGACTGACAGGGCGTGGTGGTGTTGAGGAGAAGAGCACAACAAAGCAGCAGGAGCTGATTAGTGTCTTCCAATTCCCGCTACCGAGACTCTCGTAGGAAAACTCAAGATCTGGACCGAGTTCAGACTTGCCAGACAGGGAAGTAGTGGAGGCAGGCGTACGGACAGGAGTAGAGAAGCGATAGGCGGAAGAGCCCTAGTCAAGGTCATCGGCACCACCCGGGACAGTGCCCTCGCCACTAAAGGCAGCTGGAGGATCGCTGGCAGGGGAAAACCCCATGTTGTCCTAACGACTTTGGAGGGCAGTAAGCATCCAATCGAGGATATCAACGACAACAGAGCACAAATTCTGCTGCTCTCTCCGCAAGTTGCTCAAGTTTGGCGGCGAGGCAGAGAATGGACTCGTTGAGAGCCTTGTAATCCACACGGAAGACAGCGTTGTCTGGCAGGGTGGAAGAAAGTCGAGAACGATGAGAGACAAAAACGAGGTGTCAGCCACCAGATGTGGGGGATATAGCCACAAAGAGTACCAGGGGTTGGGTAAGTAGGACAACTGAGTCGATACGCAACTCTAGACGATGAGCGTAGTCTTTTTAGCGATATCCAATGCCCACCCGGTGATTGACTCGTTATCTTCTCGATTGAATGACTTGAACTAAAGATGGAAATGTTCCTATAGACCTCTACGCAGTTCTCAACGGACGGCCAACCCCAGAGCTTCGTGAGGAAGGAGGGGCCGATTCTCCCTGCGGTTGGTAGACCCAGGTGTTTGTCGGACGACGACGGCGAACGGGAATCAGTAGAAGGTATTGGCACCAGACAACTCCACAAATCAGCAGCTGTGAGCAGAAGAATGGATAGAGGTCGATGTGACGAGAAGAGGTGCAGTTATACCAACAAAAAGTTGTTGCGAAGAAGGAGTTACTCTGCCGGATGACTAAACTTTCAAAGCAAGTGGTTGCATAAATGTACCTGGATTGTGCGCCGATTGTGCATTGATTGTGCATTGAATGTGCACCGATTATGCATAGTATTTCAGTGACTTGTACTGTACACTACAGTGCTGCACAAGTACTTGTAAAAACGGATTCCGCAAGAGAAGAAGTTATGGACGACACGAGACAAACTTGTTATCTGGATTATTGCTGCGCCTTCATCAATTGCTACACCTGCCATCAATCTCGGTTGCTGCTTCAAAAGCTGACGCTTCCCTCACCCCTCAGGGTCACACAATCTTCCGTTTTCAACCAGGTCAACACCTATCAACTTCTGCTTCTTTCTCCCTTATTCTACCCAATCATGACTAGCAAGCGTCACGCCGACCCACGATTCAACCCTGGGCAGTTTCTCAGCTACCATTGTAGCCTCAATGGCTGCTCCACGTTCACTCCTCATGAAATCTTCTATCGCGTCTATCTTCTTCTCAGGTGTATAGATGGTTCCCAGAGCGCCAACCCAAGCAGTGCAGACTCAGGCGGTGAGGACCTTCTCAACCGTTCCGAAGCCCCCGACGAGCTAAAGACTATCTGCACCGTTTCGGTTGAAGGCTCAACCAAGAATGGTGCTCGAGAAACAGAAAATTCCTTTCACGACAACCTTTGGGGACCCCTGTCTTCCTAGGTACCAACATTACTCTACAATCTCTCCAGACCAAAGGAACACGTCCGTCTGAAACTGGGACATTGTCCGCACTCGTCTCCAGAGCTTTGGAGAGCTTCTTGAGACCATTTATAAGTTCATTCCTCCTTTCCGTCACAAACTTGTGTATGGGGAGAAGATGGTGTACGATATCGAACAGCAGAAACGAGTCATGGAGGCCCTGACTCTTCAATATGACCACTTTTCTCCAACTACAGGTTCAGGAGTGTTTCTTGAACCCCCGTTTTCAGAAACAGGAGATTCAGAACAGACTGGACCAGAGAAACCTGCTGGTTGTGGAAGTGGAAAAACACTCTCTGGAGATCAAACGACTGCAGAAGTGCGAGGTTGACACCACAGTTCTGCCGAAGAAGTCCTAAGAGGAGGAGTGGAAGTTCCAGGCCAACCTCTCTAAGGCTGATTCGGACATTGGTGCATCTGAGGAAGCCCTGAAGCAGACTGAAGCATAGTTCCTTCGACTGTTACTTGAAGCTCAGCCGTCTGAGAGTCCCGAGAAGGTCAAAGGAAGGGCAGGAAGAAGAGCTAGTTGGTATTGAATCGAAGCGAACAGGGAAGATGGTTCTCTGAAGGGCAAAGGAGACCAATAAGCAGGCTAGAGAGGCAAAAGACGAGGCGCATAAGCACTATCGAATTGCGTACCACGACTGGAAACAGGAGTACTATGTCAAGAAAGCCTACAAGGAAGTACAAGGACGAAGACATCAAAGGGGTCCCCAGCCACTACTTTCCCTTCACCACTTTCATCAAGGACATCAAGGACATGGCAAATGACATCCGAAACCTGATGCATGGTCATTCGGCAGTCCTTCTACAATATCAAGAAGACGAGATGTAAGGACATTCTAGGTCCTAACAGTCGGTATTTTTAGATCAAAGCCAACATTCCGGGCTTGTTGATTTGGTTCATCACCAACTTCTTTCTCACCGATGACTTGTTGTCTTCCTACCTGGTGTTAAAGAGACGACACACCAATATCATGGAGAGGAAGCTGAGTGAGATCAGTCCCAGCAGTCACAACGGTGTCAAGATTTTCCAGTGGGTTGAAAGAATTCGCGAGCCCGACAATATCGAGGGCTCAATTCTCTCGTGGGTATGCTTCATGTCTCGCGTCGACCATGGACATCTCATTGTTCGCAACTTTCTGATCGACAAGGGCAACAGTGATTGCATTTCCGTCACGCGAGACTGTCGATGACGGCATGGCGATGAGACTACAAGTCTCATTTGTAACCGCAAGTTCTTCTACACCCAGATCAAGACCCTCGGTGAAAGGGCCTCTTTTGAAGATGAAATGGCGTTGGATTGCGACTCTCGATACCGGCTTGCCAGCAGGTCCAGTCACCTGGTTGACCAGGAGTTCTCAATGAAAGGTGGCTTCACAAAGTGGACCAGTGCGATGAAAAGGCGCAGTGGTGACTGTCCTTTTATAAAGAGAAGGAATAGTACTTCAACGGTACTTCAACGGTACTTCAACGGTACTATCGCACAGGTCTGTGCACTTTGGAGTGAGCAGCTTTCTGACAAAACTCGAATGAACCAGCGGAGGGGGCATCTCGGCAAAAACTCAGAGCTCATTATTGTTTTTAATAGTCGAAAGGCGATTCTGGAGAGTCGTCGTGAAGTAGCGCGGTGAATCTCTGGAGAAAAGCAGAAATGATCTTGAATGCTCCCCTCAGCTCTGTCTAGTAGAAGCAAGTGTCTGAGTACACATAGAAGCCGGTTCAGTTGGACGGAATCAACTCCGACCAAGTATTTCTGGACATTCCCGCAAAAATCAAACGAGTGGGGGAGCAACTTACTCGCCAAAAACAACTGAATCCCGAAGCTAAGGGCTGGATCCAACTGGCGCCAAATTCGTTGTCACTTGTTGATGTCAAGGAGGAACAGGCTGGACTTTCTTGTATACATTGGAAGTTGGAGGAAGCCAGAGCACGGCTTCAGGAGCTGAGACAGAAGGACGCTCCCGATGGAGCAATCAACGACCATGTTTTGTGCAAGTTTATGAACATTTTACTTGATTTTGAGCGGAATTCCTCACGGAAAAAGGAGCCAAATTAGAGCGACAACTCGTCAATAGCTCCAAAGTCCCCTGTGTGTTTCTCGATCACCTTGTTGAGATTGATGCCTATAAGCAGGTTTTTGTCGTCAACGATTGAAGAGTGATCATAGGTAATGTACTGATTTTTTATTGTATTTGAGATTGTAGCAACGTTCAATTAATACTTTTTAATCAGAAAATAGTTGCAGCCATTTGATATTAGTTGATTAGTTCAATTTTGGCAGTTCGTCGACAAACTACTCACCCAATTCAAGTAGACATCCACCAACAACCACAACAAATGACAGACTCATTTGTCCTATTGATTTGAGCTCTGAGATACGATACGTGTACGAATACGGTACAGTACTCGTACCGGTAGCACACATGCTCTCCCCCGGCCTTGTTTGTCTGATTACATCATCACGAATGGTAGCCTTCAGACTAGAGTATGTTGAAAGGGCTCTAATTTCACCAACTTGAGCATTTTTTAGGCGTATTACGGAGCCTCCCGTGGATCTCTAGCCGTAAAACAGTACTCAATTGTACTCGTCGTTGTACTCCCACCTACAGCCCCTTTGCTAAGTGACTTACTCCCAGGGGGTGGGCCAAGTGAGACACCTCTTCCGGTGAAGAGAGGCACCTCCCGGTGAGGTTACTCGGGTTCCGAGTTTGGGGTCGTTGTCTTTGTAGTCCTGGGCAGAGGTTCCAAGTCTCTCCTTTGTGGGTTGCCATCGGAATCACACCTGTATGTCCTGGTTCTTCTCGTAGGTATGAGATAACGGCGTCGGACTCAATGTTCCAGGCTCCCAGTGTTTTCCATCCCGTGACGGGATGGATTCGAACCAGACAGTGTTATCTCTCAATGTGCTTGGGGCCAGCCAGAAGGATATTTTGGCCAGGTGTGGGCACTTTGGTAGATGGCAATCTAGCCGTTGGGTAACCCCTGGAACACCGGCGAGAGTTGACGTAGGCTCCATATCCAGATTACCAGGCGATATCTTCTCTGACAGAAGGAATCTGGTCGTCGTGGAGATGAGTAAGTCCAGCAGGCAGGACTAAGATCAGTGACCTCCTGAGGCTCCTCCAGGCTGCCTGAAGCTGGTCTGTCGTCCTCCAAAATCCGGTAGTCCGGCCGGAGGGGCTTGGTAGCCTGGCACATGGGGAGCATGGGGAACCTGGAGATGTTTCCCGATCTGGGAGCCCCAAAACTGGCAGATTTCCAGCTGTTAAGCGAGGCACAGGTCGTGGTGTCGGAAGAAGACAACAGTTCAGCTGATAATGACAAGAGCCAGTTCGTCTAGCTGTACGCCCGCAATCTCGGTTCCAATTGTTTGGAGGGGTTATTGACAGTGGTGGTGTTCGTGCGCAGCGATTCTTTGTCGGACTCGGGAAGATTGTCAGCCACCTCTGACGCTCGAGACTCAAACAGCTCATTGTTCTCTTTCGCTGGACTTTCCGAGGTCGCGGGTCATCCTTGTATCGTCATTGCAAATCTACGGTTGATTTTCCAAATTCTAGCGATAATTCTCGAGAACCGACCTGGTAACTGTAGACCATACTCGTCGGAGGAGTGAAACGGGTGCGCCATGTTCAGCTTCTGATGTTCGTAAAGTTGAATAACCGGAACTAATGTTGTAGATGTTGCATATTGAAGAGTTGTTGAATGGAAAAAGTCGACGTCCTGAAGTGAACGGCTAACGAACCTGTCTCTGAGGCAGCTTTCCCCTTCAACGATTGGGGGACACTGAATCTCTCTCTTCAGAGGTGCCATCAGAGTATGACAATAACGGCCCGATTAGCAAACGGTCCCTCTCACCTTGTCTCTCACCATGCCCTCCAAACGCCGAGTCAAGGAGAGTATCTATCGTTAATGTATTTGTTATTTAATAGTTCATTTTTATTCAGCAAAAAATATATGGATCTTGTACATGGAGTCTCCAAATCACAGAATGGTCTTAGAGCCGTTTGTAGATCCTATTTTATATATAATTGCAGATCCCATTTTATATATAATTGCAGATCCCATTATTATGTATTTATTTTTTAGATCCGATTTTATTTTGATTTTTGTTTCCAATATATTCGATTCAGGAATAATTTAATTAATGTATCATTTAAGAGAATCTCCGTATCGAATGCAAGAAAAACGGGGCTATACTGTACAAGAATTTCAAGAGAATCTAGACTCCTGGTAAGAAACAACTGTTAGTCCAAACATTTTACATCTCAGTCCGATTCGACCGAGATTCGAACGCCGATAAACCTCAGCAATCACCTCAACTGTACAACTGTGAAGGTGCTCTTAGTAAGCATGCAGAATATCAGTAACGTCCGGAGTAACTGATATCTGACCAGTCCGTAACTCCCCCCCCCCATTCCCAAATGTCTTTTAGAAGCCGTTTCTCGTCTCGCCTCTCGTCTCGTCTCTCGTCTCTCGTCTCGTCTCTCGTCTCTCGTAACTTTTAACCTGAGCCGTTCCAGGAAGAACTCTAGCTGTTGGGAATTCGAACACCCGAGAGCCAATCAAACTAGCCAATAGCCCCATCCAAGCCTATCTCTCCGTCATTACTTCTCATTGGCACATTCGGCGAGGTCTTACTTCTCCGGGAGGTTACTTTTCATCTCATCCGTTCATGCAGAATCCGCGCATTGGCGAACTAAGAGTTGGAACCTAGAATAAAACTCCGAGGTGGGTCGAGGTGGGCCAATGGGTGACCAATAAGCGTTTTTATACATGGAAACGAGTTCATTTGGTGATAAATCATACAAGTTCCAAAGTGCATTGCGAAATATCCCCGTAGGCCAGTCGGTGCTGAAGCGAATCGACTTCCCATACCCACTTACGCAACTCAGACATGCAGCTTAGAGATGAAGATCCGAGCCGGTCGGTACTAAAAATAACCAAGCCGAGTTTGCCGTCCTCCGGGTCTTGCCAAAAGATGCCGATACAGCAGTTGTGTTACGACCTTTCATTGAACATTACTACTGTAGTTACTGTACATACTGTAGCTACTATCAACCATGGTATCGTCTACAGTTGATACAGCAATTGAATAGTAGTAAAACATTCAGAACAGCATCAATGGAGATCAACGGGTTAAATGCTGATCCATGTCGAACACTGTCGTCTCTTACGTCATTGTGCGTGTGGATCACTGCTTTGGAGTTGGTGGAGTGAGTCTGAATGGGGTCGGTGAATGGCTAGACAGAACATAGTGGATGGAGCATTGACAGACACAGCATTGACAGACAGAACATTGGCAGACAGAAAATTAGCTGATTTAACACTTGTAAACTGTTCAACGACATTCAGCTTCTCATAACGGCCCTGAATCGACCAACTCACTCCAGATCGTCATGTCTCACTCTGAAGACGGCGCGTCTCAGTCAACTCCGACGAGCCGTCTACCAAACAACCATCCCGATTGTTATAAATACGCAAGTTAGCTCCAAATTAAACCCATCCACACCATCAACCTCTCACACTATGAAGTTCTCCGCCCTCGTCTCCACCTCTCTGCTTGCCCTGGCATCAACTGCTCCTGTGGACTCAAACATCCCCTACCACTACGAGGTAAACTCCACTTCGGCCACTCTTGACGGACAACCCTTTCTACAGGACGCTTCTGTCATTGTCGAGCAGGGCGGACCTTTTGCCATCACTCTCAACCCCGAAAACTGGGCTCTGTTCACAGACACTCTATACAACCACACCGGCCTGACTCCTAAGAGCCCCAAGGGTCTGCTGGTGATCGAATGTGCTCGAGCCGAGGACGCCAAGTTCGAAGTCAACATCCACGGACAGGTCTTCCACTTTACTGGCAAGGAAATTGTCAAGCCCGACCCGGACCACCTTGGATTCTGCTCCCTCAACGTGTGGAAGAAAATCATTGATGCCAACTACTTTGGTCAGCAGTTCATTGACAACGTTCTCCACGGAAAGACTCTTCCCGGCAAGTGGCTAGGTCCTGGTCCCAAGCCTTCCAACTGGAGGGACTAACCGAGTTTCTGCGCCTAGACATTGTTCTCGTTAGCATTTTTCTACCTCTCATCACTGATTAGTTTAATCAATAACACTATAAATAGATCTCTCTCTCTCTCTCTCTCTCTCTCTCTCTCTCTCTCTCTCTCTCTAATGGGCAATACCATTGTCGATACTCTCCTGAACCAACTTCCAGTATCGCTCCTTGGTCAAGTCCCGCAGTTTCTTACCGTAGACCACAAAAACAAGAAACACCAGCCCACATCCCGCACAGACACCCGCGCCTTCTCCAAACGTCTTTCCGTAGCCCTGGTTGGCCAGCCACGGAGTGATGCCGTATCCGATGCCAAAACTCATGAGGTTTCGAATGACAATCACGGTGGCCATGGAGTCTGAAGCCACTTCTCGGTACGAGTCAATGGCATAGGAAACAGACGCAGTAGCGGCCAGCGTTCCACAGCCTCCAATGAGCCCCATAGCCATGATCAATCCGAACCAGTGCACATGAGTGGCGGCTCCAACTCCCCACAGAACAAGGGCTCCAGGAACTAGAGCCAGGTAGACGACCAGAATCCACAGTCGATGTTCGGGCTCGGAAACGCCATTATTGCGACGAGCAAGGTACATTTTCAGAATATCAGACATGTATCCTCCTCCCCAACCCGCAATTCCGGCCACAATTGAGGGAGAAAAGTACGACAGACCGACAGAGATGGTGCCAAAGTTATAGGGGGGACTGGACAGAATAAGAGAAGCGGTGGCATTGAGCACGTTGAACCAGACCAGGGAGCTGCCGTAGAGAAAGCCCGAGTACACAATGGCTGGGAAAAGAAGCAGTTTGAACGGTCGCTTGAACATGGTCCACAACATCATCGGCCGGGGTTTATCAAACAATGCTAGTTTCTGCACATAGGTCTTCTTGGAGTAGTGAATCAAGTCTCCATGTCCGTTTTCGACACTGCTTCCTTCGTGGAAGCTCCCCTTCTTCTCTGCCAGCTCGGTGTTGACGACCTCGGTCACTTCGCAGTCGGAGTTGATATCGGAGTTGCCCTCTGTCACAATCACTGCGGCCTTGGTGTGTCGGTTGTAGTTGGTCTCTTCAAAGAAGAAGAAGAGAATCACCGACACCACTCCGCAAAAGATGGCTTCCCAATACAGCACCCAGGGCCAAGACTGGCCCACGGCAATCGGAGCCGCAACCACGGGAGCAATGAAGTTGGAAAACATGAGCATGAAGGCGTATAAACCGACCCAGCGGCCGCGCTCGTGCTCAAACCACACGTCGGAGATGGTCACTTCGCATAGCGACTCGATTGGAGCCTGCACGAAGCCCTGGAAGATTTTTGAGCCGATCCAATGGCCGTTGGAGGTGGCAGCGTGGGCCGACCAGACCTGGGACGCTAGCGTCAACAGCAGAGACGCCAGGTACATGGGTCGTTTGCCGTACTGTTGGCCCAGAGGCTGCCATACTAGACAGCCCAGGCCGAGAAACAAAAACATGTAGCCTGTGCCCTGGTTGAGAGTCGCCAAAGGAAGTCCCGAGTCTTTAGAAATAGGCACCAGAATGGAGTAGATGGACGCCGAGGCCACTCCGGAGCAGAGGGTGAAAGCGCTCATACATGCCATACAGAGCACCTTTCGGCGATAGCTCCAGTTGAGAGGGTCGTCGGGGTCGTCTGAAGGGACGGGGAGCTTCACTATTTCAGAAGACTCCAGCCAATTGCTGGTTCCAGGGATCTTGGTAGTGTCCAGCATTTTTGGCGGCAGTATGGTGGGCAGATCAAGCCCCAGATCAAGCCCCAGATCATGTTATATGTTCACCCGTGCATGACGATAACGTATCTAAGCTTTTGACGATCCTTCTTCATATGGGGATCTGATGCGACGTTGCTGATACAGGTATCTGGTATCGACACATTGCGCTATCGGTGCGAGGGAGGTGACACCATCAATCCAACGTCCATCCGATCAAAAGTACTCCGGCAGGATATTTTCCTCGCTATCTAAACGCGCTGAATAGCATTAACCGCGGCAAAGAGTTTCCGACTGTGACTTCTCCTTGTGGAAGTGTGTGAAACTTTTTCCCATCCTAACTTTTGTCGGCGGTTCGAGAGGCGGGATACGATAGCAGCGTCGAGATTTGCCCAAGATAAATGCGTGGGCGGTGTCTTAGATAATCGCGGCTAGCAGTTCAAGATTGGTCAGGCCAGGGTGTGGCTTTGGTGGAATCTGGAGCTCATCGAAGTCACGACCCCATCCCGAACTGGTCACCCATCTTCTCACCGACCATCCCGAACTCAGCCTCTTCAGCCCCAGATACGGTTAGAATTCCTGGCTGAGTCAAGATGGGTCAGGGAAGTACTCCATGTTGTCGTTGTGTCGTTTGTCTAGGTTGGCATTCATCAATTGAATAAAATGTGAAGAAATTCAACTAAAAATGCGAATCAAATCGTATTAAATCACAGATGCAATCTGGAGTCGTGCCGGTCAATCAGAAGGATTCATTGCCACAGTTAACCTCTCGGGAACTGTCGGTGTCTCATTCACTGCCACACTCTTTGCTTTAGCGTACTTTCAACTGACCTATGACTGAATGAGTGATTTAAATGGTACTGTACGGTAACTGGACCAGCAGTGTCCATTCGAGTCATAATAATGAGATCCAATTGAGAGATGGATATATGTCATCGTTTTTGAAAGAGAGAGCTGATCCTGCTGAAATCATCCGTGAATTCTCTCGTCTTGGGTACAATATGTACCTGTGAACACGCAGTTTGGCCGCAACAAAGAAGTAGGAGTGCACACAAGCCGTGGGATCAATTAAGAGTAACCGCACGTATCAACACGAGCGATAAAGCGCCCTTATCTTGTGAGTTGAGTGGGCCAGTCCATGTGTTCGGGATCCACATTCATTGGTATTCGGCCAGCCGCCTAGGATAACAAGATAACCAAGGTCATCAGGTCCAAGGCGTGGTACCGATGATGTGATCAAATTCCTGTTTGCTGACGTTGCTGTGGCCACTTCTGTTTGTTTCTGCCCTTCTATCTCTGCCCTTCAGTCTCTGCCCTTCTGGTTCCGCCCTTCTGTCGCCCAAGAAAGACTGATTACAGATGAACAAACCATCACGTAAGCACGATCTCACTAGAACCCACGAGATCATACCCAATCGCCTCCAGAAGATGCTTCTCGGCAACAACAACAGCAGAATGCGAGGCGGGCTTCGAAAGTCGCGCTAGAATGGCAGTAATACCTTCGAATTGAGAGTGGATTTTGAGAGCAACGACTAGACCTGCAACAAATGCCAAGTCCGATTCCAGACGCTCGTCCCGCTCCACATTTCTCTCCCCAGATCGCGCAAATCTGCCCAGAGGCTCATTTGGAGTCTCCTTCCACAATTTTAACGCAGACTGAGGAGAACTTTGGTCACGTGATGCATGATATCGAGTCACCAGATTTTCGGTTTCTTCGACTATCCGTTGTGGGTATCCCTTTGTGATTGTCTCCATTGTGTGGTGTAGTAATTTTTTTTGGTGTCTAATTATACTGTGTTTTTTTCTGCATAATAATACCCACAATAATTATAATTTTTGGGAACAATGTGTAACACTCGCTCTGGAGAGTTAGTCATCCGACAGGGTAACTCTAATCTCCCAACACCTTATTAACTCTGCGTAACTGTAACTCTTCTTGCCACGTCGATCTTACTCAATTTTCCTGCTCATCATCTGCTGGATTGTTGTCTATCGTCTGGCTCTAATACATTTATTGTTTATTGCCCAAACAACTTTCATTGCACGTAAGTGAATTGTTTTATAACAGCGTTCGCCAATTGCTGCGCCATCGTCGTCCGGCTGTCCTACCGTTAGGGGTAGTGTGTCTCACACTACCGAGGTTACTAGAGTTGGGAAAGCGATACTGCCTCGGACACACCACCTGGGTCTTACGACTGCAGAGAGAATCGGCGTTACCTCTCTCACAAAGCCCTTCAGTACCGCCGCCTGTCGGGAACCGCGTTCAGGTGGAACAGGACCACCTCCCTTGCACTTCTTGGTATATCAGTATAGGCTGATGTATTCATAGTGGGGTTTTTCATAATAAATTTACTAACGGCAGGCAACATTCACTCGGCTTAAACGCAAAACGGACCGTCTTGATATCTTCTGACGCATTGACCACCGAGAAATAGTGTTAGTTACCGGGTGAGTTATTGTTCTTCTACACAGGCGACGCCCATCGTCTAGAGTTGATGTACTAACTCAGATTTCACTACCTACCCTATCCCTGGTACGCACAAAGCACTTTATTTTCTCACAAATGTGTGCTTTTTTTTTTTTTTTTTTTTTTTTTTTTAGCTTTTGTTTGCTTTTTTTAAATTGTTTTAAATGTTTTTTATTAAATGAATTGAATCCAGTTGACTAATGTGACTTCCTTAGTTGATATTTACCTGACATAATCTGAAAATTAGTTGAAAAATGTTTTTTAAGATAGATGGTGGGTTCGATTCCCAGTGGCACCGAATTTGCAGACTCTGAAATCGCCCTTCAGATACGAAATAGGGGGTTAAATGACTCAATTGGCGCCTTCCAGACTTGTCATTGAACTACTGTACTTCACTCGTTCAATTTAGAAAAGTCTAGACTGTGGAGTATCCTTTGGACCAAGAGTCTCAATCAGCCCACATTTCTTGACAAGAACGTTTAATCATTAAAAAATAGTTGTCAATATGCTGTGATTTGGTTGCTAATACTTGTACTATTGTACTGTCTTAATTAGTCTGTTTCCCTGGACATTGAAGAGGGTTCTTTTCATTCACATCTTTGTCAATGTCTGTTAGCAGATGTACCGAGTATGTCAGGGGAACCATGGCACTGTAGACACGATTATGAATGAGGGACCCCTTGAAAGGTCGGCAGTTCAATCGCTCAATCTATTTTGACCTCTGTGACATTTCCGTAAAGACTTTGAAGCCTGAGGTTAGTGCATTTGGTGGGCGAAGACAGCTTCAAATGGCATGCGGCTCGGGGAAGGTCCAGGGAAGAGCTGGATTTGAAAACATGTCTATACCCGCAGATCTTTGTAGTCAGACAAAGACAACTGCAGGTGTAGACATGTTTTCAGTAGTCTCAGGTGGATATCTGACTCCGCAGCTATTGATCGGAGCTACCTCTCGCTCTCGATAGCTCACCCCTGTCTGGACCTGAGAGATCCATGGAGCCTCTGGACTGCAAGGTGTCCACAGATGGCACGTTTAAGATTCTCTCGGCTTGTCGATAGATACCGCAGCCAGGTTCCAGGCTAACCCAGTGCCACTCGCTCTGGTCATCGGTTGCCGCCTGAATGTTGCACAAGCGAGCGGTAGCAACATCTTCTAACTGCCGAGATTGAACCTGATGATCATGTACTGTATCATACTGTACAGTACTTTTACAACCTGGTGAACCTGCCCACTTCTGACTTTGTCAGTCCCTTGCCTTCCCCATACCTCAGCAATGTAGTTGGACCACTGTAAAGCAATGAACAACACCAGACAAGTCCTCACATCCCAAGCAGATCACAATTGGATGCCCTCGCCCCATACTAATCTTGAGCAACAATCAATATCGACTATGGCGGTAGCTCGGGTTTAGTCTTCATTAGAGCTGTCTAGTGAATACGAGCTCCACGGATCTGGCGCACGACCAGGTAACAACGCAGTTTCGAAAATGACAAGCCGTTTTCCCATGTGTTCTCACGTACCACGCGCTCTTGTGTTTTCTCATCCAGACTCGTCCAGGACTGGCACTTCCGTCACTAAGTTGGGTTCATTCAAGCGGATCAATCCTAACACTCATATCCGTCACTAAGTCTGTAGACTAAGACCAAGCCTGAATAATAATGCGCAAACCGCAGCAACTGGCCATCAATAACTCCACTTTGGGAAATTTTGGACTACCAATACAGTAATAACTGTCTTGTAGCAAAAAATATGGACGGTGCGTGCTCCCTGGCTTGCCCACTATTTCCCCCTGGCTCCCCCTCAGTCACGCCCTCACGCCCAGCTTGAATCCGGAGGACATCTGTAGCACCGTTACCCGCGTGACAATCCCGGCGCTAACGCGAATAAAATTGGATCTGGTCTCGAAAAACACGTTCTAGAAACACTTCGCTTCAAATGAAATCAATTTATGCACACCAGTCCGTGTCTAAGGTCGTGGACTATCCGTTAGCCACTAACACCCCTGCTAGACGCTGCATTAGACCTGCACTACACCGACATAACCGTACCTGGTTCACCAGATCTGCATTCGAATCTGACATTCTTGCAAAACCGTCATCTGGGAAACATGGGTGCTGAAATGTCTTCTCAATACTCACAATAGACAAAACACCAGCCATGTGCCATGCCATTGGCCTTGGGCGACAACAGAGAGAGAAGAGACGATCCTGACCTGACTAACACCAGTAGTAGCTCCAAACCACCACGTGCTACAGCTCAGAGATTCACTCCAAACCCAACAATCGGTATTGTAGCCCAGCACCTCTTCGTAGCTCCAAGTGGTGCGCCAATATGCAGGTATCATCTGACCAAGGACAATAAGAGCCTTGTCTAGCTTGACCCTTATGGCAGCACCTCCTAGACCATCCAGCTTCTCTGTATAAGTGTAGCCTCGGTGCCTCGCGATCCACGACCAACAACTCGCAGTACCATGAGATTTTCCTTCGCCACTATTGCGGCAATTGTCGCACTGACAACCGCGGCCCCCATCAAACGGGACCAGGGTTCCAACGATAACCAGGGAGGCATTGACCAGTCCAACCTGCAAGCTCTGTGTGAGCTCGAAGAGTATGCCCCCAAGAAAGCTGCCGCTGCCGCCGCCGCCGAGCAGCTGAACGAGCAGATCAGTTTCCAGGCCCAGAATGCCGACGCTCTCGCCAAGCAGATCGAGGACATTCACCAGCAAATCAGCTCTGCTGGCGATGTGACGGCGGCTATCGTGGCTCAGGTCATGGACAATGTTAGCAGCGCAGCAAGGGATATCTTCAGCCAGCAAGTCGATGCTGCAAAGGAGGCGGCCAAGGCTGACCAGGACGCCACAGCCCTTGTCATTCAGGCCATTGCTAAAAGCCTGAACGCTCAATCCGATGCCATCAAGAACCTCTTTGTCTACCAGCAGGGTGGTCCTGTTGATCCAATTGACTCTGTTTCGATTCCTGTTGTCGGTGAGCCCGATTTCGGAGCTGGTCGAGGAAACGGAAACGGAAATGGCGGTGGAGAGAACAATGGAAACAACAACGGCAACACCAACTGGGGTGACCACGGTAATGGAAATGGTAACGGAGGTGGAACCAACAACGGAAATGACAATGGCAATAACAACAACAACGGCAACAACAGTAACAACAACAGTGGCAACGGTGGCAACAACAGCCACAATGACAACGGAAACAACAGCCATAATGACAACGGAAACAACAGCAACAACGACAATGGAAACAACAGCCACAACGACAACGGCAACGACAACGGCAACAACAGTTTCAACGGTGGAAACAACAGCGGGAACAACAGCGGAAACGACAACAGCAAGACCTTTTACATCAATAAGTTTGGCTACCCTGAACCCTATCCCCGTGGCCAGTCTCCAGATGGATCTGCTCCTGCTGTTGATGCTAACGGCAATCCCGCTGTTGCCTCCGGTCCTGCCGCCGCTTCCTCCACCAGCGAAGCATCTTCTGCTGCTTCTACTGAGGCCAACAACGGTCCCAAGGATGACGCTTCTTCTGACAAGTCTAGCGGTCCCAATGGAGACTCTTCTCCGGCTAGAATGACTGAGTCAGATATCCCCAAGTCTGACCCCGTTGGAGCCTCTCGTGATGGCCCTTCCGCCAATGATGGACCTGGTCCGGTCAGCTCCAATATCGGCCCTGATTCGGGTAGCTTCACAGGCAATGCTGGTCCTGTTGGTGGACCCGCTCCTGATGGTGGCAACCCTAGTCCTGCTGGATCTTTGGCTGCTTCGGCTGGCCCTCCTACTGGTCCTCCTGCTGGTCCTCCTGCTGGATCTTCGGCTGGCCCTCCTACTGGTCCAGATGTTGGTCCATCTGTTGATGCCCCTGCTGGTCCTCCCTCTGGCCCTCCTGTTGACGCTCCAGGACCTTTCACTGGCCCTGATGTTCCGGGACCTTTCACTGGTCCTCCTGTTAACGCTCCTGGACCTTTCACCGGCGCTGCCCCTGTCGGCGGACCTGGTCCCGCTAACGTGGCTGCTGAGGATGCTGGCCCTGGCATGGCTCCTCCTGTCAACGCTGCTGGTCCAGCTGACTTTGCCGATGCCAGAGGTCCTGCTGATCTTCCCACCGAGACTGCCCCGGACGCTCCCTTGGATGCTCCTATGGATGACCCCAGATCCCTGTAGGGCTTTGGCGTTCTGTGATTCTGTGACAGTACCAGTCCGTCCTTTCTCCCAGAGTAACTAATCTTTCCATTCTTTTAGCTTCTATTCCGTGCTGTATTCACTTGTTAATGAAATCGTTTGTGTGACTTGCCATGTATCATCGGAGAGTAGGCTGGAGGGTAGTAACACATGTCTGTTGATTACGCAAGTCAACAATCGTGTCGCCATCTGTGTTGGAGAGTTTTTCGTGGCGGTTTTGCACGCTGTGGAGGTTATTGTGAGTTTTTGATATTGTGCTATTATTTTGAAATATATTGTTGATTTTCTCTGCATATATTGTTTTTGCAAATTATTTTTTTCGTATTTTCGTAAAAAAAATTCGTGTTTACGTAATTATTTTTCGTGTTTTTTTTTTTTTCTGCATATACATTCATTTAATTATAACTTTGCCGTGAAAGAATAACCTTTGAAATGAATGTACGCTTACACGAATATTTACTAATGTTTACGTAATTATTTTTTCGTGATTGTGCAAAAAACGTCTTTATAAAAATAAGGTTATCTGCACATATTATTGAATGTTAAATATCAACCTCCTGAGAGTGTCGACATGAACCTGAACAATACTTTATCAACGTGCAATACCAATGTGAGTCCCTTGAGCTGGGTCCTTTGATTGATCAATTTGACACAAAATGGTACTTTTCAAAGGCTTTTCACAAGGTGTCATCAATCCAGCTGCACCCACAAACCGCCTCTTCGCACCAATCGTCACCTGAGGTATCAAAGGGCCGTCTTCATGCCCCATTGTGCCCAATAACTACCCGCCTCAAAACAAACAGGAGGTATAAATACCATGGTCTGGATTTGATCTTCTCTTACTGGCACACACACTTCGAGAAAGCTCCCAGAAGGCGGAAAAAAGAGTGTCCTACGATCTACACTCAGCAGCTACTTCTGCTCCTCTACTGACCCGATGCGACTAACCCCGACATATTACTGCAACAAGTGTCGATTTCTGGTCGATTCCAGTGAGGCGGATACTCACAAGTATTCCTGTGGAGGGTATCTGAGGATATGGAACGGCAAATCTCCCGAGCTGTGATGATGTGCAAGTAAATGAGCTGATATTGAAACCAATGAAAAGATCAGATGAGAAGAGATGAAACAAAGGGGCTGATATTGGCAGATATTGGAGAAAATGGATAAATATCGAAATAATGATTCATTGCATATTCTGGAGCCAGCTTCCAATGGTAGCTCTGAGTGATTCGAACACTTCTGGTCTTTACATGAGTTCACTACAGTATGTACTGTACATACATAGTGTACAGTATTTCCTGTATTTACTGTGTTGCTGGAAGATCCACAGGTGAATTCTCACAAATCTTAGTGCCATGAAACTGATTTACAACTTGATTCGCACCTGAGCTATCTTCTTTCCGTCAGAATGTGGGTGTGGTGAGACACCTGTCAAGGAAGCCGAGGAAAGACGGAGATATAATCACGCTGTACATACTGTAAAGTTCCGCACCGTTCGACATGGAGATCTCCGCACTGTTGCCGACGGCCCGCTCGATGAGATCTTGTCCGAGTCCATCATGAGGAAATGTACGCTTGAAGCCGGTTTCTGGAAAACAATTCGAGTTTAGTCAAAGGTACAGCCATTGGAAGCGACTGGGAGTCGTATGGAATTAAATGGGATCATTTGCAACAATAATTGAAGGGAAGGGCAAAGTCAGCTAGCGTAGTGAGGTAACTGCAATCTGATGGGTTTTTTTCGAAAATTGACTGAGTGTTGCAGATACTGTCAGACAATCAGAGCAGCTGCCTGTTTTTTGAGAGAGACCGAGTGTTGGAGAAACTGTGTGATGATCAGGGAAATTTGCTGGGACTCACAACTGTCTGTTCGAACAGGGGATTTACTGTTCCTGCTGCTTGAACCGGATCCGTCGAGAGATCAGGGTGCTGGTGATGTGGATGATCCTTGAATGTCTTATGCTCTCAACCGTGACTAAGCACCAGCCATTCACGGTAGTCCCCTTAACAACGATGCAGAATCAGCGCAGCTATTAATTGGACAGTATGAACAATGGCTCGGGTCTGATATCGGTTGGGAAGTCATGGTCTTGGGCTGAATGGTCTCCAGATACTGCTTGACAGCAGCGTCCAGAGTCTTGGAGTCCTCGAGGAAGGAAGTAACTCGATCAACACAGAACAATCACCTCGACAATGCCCTTGGAGGACTGCTGAGCTTCCTCAGAGCCGGTGGATTTGGTAGGACAGGTTAATTCCCAAGTTCTTGCAGACTCGGGGAACCGCACAGGTTGGACTCGATGGTCTTGGACACAAACTGCGGTGTCTTCGGGTTTGACCAGCCATCTTCCACTGCTTGGTTCAGATATCTTCTGAATCCGATACTGTACGTGCAGAATCAGATGCTGAGCGTACTTTTCGATCCTGGATCCACTCGGGATAATTTCGATTCAGCTTGGCCCCACACAAGAAGTCCGATCTCCAAATCTGCTCTGGTCGAGGTATGCACAAAGTGGCTCTATCACCGAGGACACTGGGTCCACAGCCAGGGACAAGTCCAACGGCCATTTTCTGGGAGAGAATGGCCCAAAACACAAGCGTGTCGCCCGCCTCCCTACTCAGACGAGACTCCTGAGGTTTTCTGGTTAATCATTCGCACTCACATGTGCCAGAGGACCTTGGAGTCATCTTGCACGAAACCGACGCCACTCTGAACCAGCCCACATGTTATCTAACGGGTGAAAACTGGGCGTCTAGGGCCCTGCTGACAAGTGCGATTTCCAGTAGACGATGCAAAAAGAAGACAAACAACCCACATCTGATAACGACATGTACAATATCCACTGAGTGTCGCAGATGATAAGGTGAACATAAAGAACCTGTCGTGGGACTAGGATCTCATTTTCCACCCTCACGCGGCTACCTTCCCCTCGTCCTTCGTGAAGAATTCTTCATTGGTACTACCGACCGAGCTAGCCCATATTTTGACACCATCACGATCTCTGTAGCCGTCAGGCGTCGAGTTGCAATGGAGGGATTTTATACGAACGGAGAAGGGTTGACAGCATCGACATATGGAGACAAACTTGTTGAATCAATCTGTTCATCCGATCAGATCAACCGAGTAACCGGTACAGCACTGTACTTGTACAGACTCCCTAACAAAGAGCACCATTCCTTAGCGGTATCTCACTGCTACAGCTGGATGCAAATGGTCGACCGTCAACATGGAATGGTGTGCTACTTCCTTAACCATGACAAAAAAATCTGAGTCCTCTCTAAACACCAAATCCACCACCGCCCGTCCTCTATACCCCTTTCAAAATGGGAAAACTCGCTGACTCTGCGTTGAGCATCTACCGGAAATGCATTTTCTGGAGCCTAGTCATGTGTTTTCCGATTGTTATGGACGGTTATGACGGGTTTCTGATTCCTTCCCTCTATGCTATTCCTTCCATCAGACCGAGATTCGGCGTCGGGTTGCCAGACGGCTCGTACACAATCGAGGCCAAATGACAAACTGCTTTCATGGTTGGAGCACCCATTAGCCGAATCACGGGCTCTCTGGGAGTCGGTCTTTTGGCCGACGAGTACGGCTGCAAGAAGGTTACCATGATCCCCTTGGTTCTGTTGTAAGCAGTGGTGTTTCTGATATTCTTTGCAACCAACAAGGCCAAACAGTGTGCTGGCTGGGCGCTTTCGGGGCTCATCTGGGGCGTCTTCAACACCATGACACCAACTTATGTTTCTGATATCTTCCCTGTGAGTCTTCAAAAGCACGTTTGCAGCTGTCATCACCCTGTCATGGGTCATTGGCCAGTTCCTGTTGATTGCAGTCATCACCGGCTCCGAGTCCAAACCCAACGACTGGCCGTACCGAATTCCTATGGCAAAGGGTGTTTCCAGCCGTGCTCATCCCGCTCATTCTGTTTCTGCCCGAGTCTCCATGATGAACTCTCAAACAGGACGACGAACAGGAAGCTCGAAAGACTCTCGATTGAGTCGCGGACAATAACTATGGCCACATTGACGCCTACATCGAGTACATGTGGCAGATAATTCAGGAGGAAGACGACTCGGGAAAGTTTTCCGACTGCTTTAGAGGCTCTGATCTCCGACAAACAGAAATCACCTGTCCCAGCTCATGAACTCATCAGAAACACCGACGCAGGGCGTGTTCACCTGGCTGACAAGAGGAAAACCTGAAAGCGGGACTTAGAAGCCGAGCAGCTCACTTGAAACGGTGTGACTTTCTGGTTAACATGGGACACGCGCTTTCTCTAGATGCTCCTCCTGGCTTTCCACAGGCAGATATTCCACGTGCATTGGACTCCACATGATCACGTTGAGGACACCCCTTACAACCCGTATACTCTTGGACCCCCTTCGGAGCCCATTTACGGTACTGTATACCCTTCACCCTCTGGATACCCCCTCTAATTCGGCTGTCCATACCCAAACCGATACCCAAGCAGATACCCCCATTCTCACTCAGAGGGTCCCTTCGATATCCTCCAGTGGGCTACAGCCAGGCTCGTGGTGCCAACTTTGACACTCCTGGCAACAGGCCCTCGCTGCGCTGAGCTAAGGCGGAACCTCTTTCCACTTCTAGACAGATGTTAGATATGATATTTGGAACGATAAGCAGTACTGTATGTACTGTACTTGTTTAGGTCTCAAGTATTACAGATGGTAATAATCCTGTACTCTTTGTGACTATCATACGACCGCCACGACCTTGTGGGAAATTTGGTAGTACAGTACTGCCTAGATGAAGATCATTGCTCATGAGCAAATGAAGTTCTCTTATATTTGTTTATCATATCTTGCTGGATTCGGATCTGCCGTGTCTGTTCACGCCATACGATGCCTCCTGTATGCCGACAAGCGAAAAGCAGTCCAGTGAACTTTGATAAATCTTGGGGGAAGGAGGGATGGGTTTCCAGGGTGCCAGTTCTTCATCAACTCAATGGTGCTAATGTCGTCAAAGATCTTCAGTGCTTCATTAGTCATCTCGTCAAAGTCAGGGACCACGGCAGGATTCGCGTCTGCGCCTGTCGCTGGCATGCTCTCTGCAAACCACTTTTTAAGGAGCCGATAGAAACTCGCAACTCGATCATCTACTCCAAAAAGCCAATGAGGTCGTTGAGAGCTCCTTCAAACACCCACAACCATGGAAATTGACTACAAAAACCACTAAAAACCCCGATTGAGAGGTCCATCGCCAAGTCCGTCTTGCAGGAGACTATACCCGAATCTCTACCACCTTACACCGAGTTCGACAAGCCAGCTGAGCCATGTTCGGTCTTCAATTTCACAAACAGCGATCTGCCCTACATTTTTGTTGGAATTGTGTGCAGTGCGCTAGAGGCTGGTGTGGAACCGCCGCCACAGACAGTGCTTATGGGCAAGATTTTCGACACCCTCGCTGAGCATCAACCGCTTTTTTCCGCTTCATCACATGAACTATAACTTCACTTGAATAAATATTTAGTTCACATCTTCGAGTAACTTGATTGAATCTGTTCACAACAGATATGTTCAATGATCTACTCGAAATGAGTTTGAGCCGATCCGCAGTGGAGACTTGAGAAGACCAAGATTGCGATACCAGCTTCACCAAAAGGCAGTGTAGTACTGCATTCGTTCAATGGAGCTCTGGTCATCTACATTTACCGTCTTGTTCTGGGCTGTCTGCTTCCTCTTTGCATGACAGAGTCAAATATCTGGTAGATTCCTCTCTTGTGGACCGGATTGTGTGTATTCCTGTGAAGCTTTGGCGGAAGATATTCGACAGCGCTTCACCTGTACATTCAGGATCTGTATCAGTACATTCAGGATCTGCACTAGTACATTCAGGATCTGGCTGAATGTGGCCTGGGAACTCACTACATCATCACCGAGGTCAGGAGGCGCTGGATAAACGAGAAGGGAGCAACTGGTAGACTGGTGGGTCATTGTCCGTGATTGGCAAGATCGTTTGCTTCTGTCTTGATGTGCTCGTCCCGGGGCTTGTCTTAATTACTGAGCTCTTGTGCGGTAATAGTGAGTACCTGAACATGTTTCCGCGTTAGAATCAAAATCACTAATCGCAGACTCATATGAAGACGGAGGCGGAGAAGAACGTTTTGAAGGAGTCGAGTGGTGAGGGGCGTTGTTTGGAAGCGCAAAACCACCGACACCATTAGCTCCTTCTTTCTTGACCGTCAGGGAGTCCTTGATGGATTCATCGAACTTGATGACCTCAGGACGCGTGACTTTGGGGACCTCGAAACATGTGAGTCTTAGATCATCGGGAGACCTAACCCGGGTCATGGCCACATATGCTTGTCCTTCGGTAAACATGCCCTTCATGTCTACCACAGTTCGGATAAGTGTCTGTCCCTGACATTTGTGAATCGTGAGTGCCCAAGACAAACTCATAGGCAGCTGCACACGCGAGCAAATGGTAGGGTACTTGGGAGCGTTTGCGTCTCGATTCTCACGAGCCAGCAGTCGAGAGTAGTCGAGCTTTGCGAACTCAGCTGTAGGCACCAAGATGAACTGCTGGTCACTTTCACCGTCTGCAATGTACTCGTCTGCCAGTCTGAAGACGACCAGTAGCTTGGTGTTCTCTCTACCTACCTTCTTTTGTTCTTCCAACTCGCGATTCTTCTTCTTTTGAGCCAGAGCCTCTTGTCGATACACCTCGTCAATGTGCATCAGGGCGTACCGATAGTAAGACCATTGATAATGCTCCAGGCGCATGCCAAGGTGTTGCTCCAGATCAGGAGGCACCTTGGCGTTGCGGCTCAGAGAGCGAAGGTTTCTGGACTTGATGTAGTGATAAATGACAAATAATACGTCCAGATCGTCTTTGTACAGACTGTACATTTCGTAGGTCATGAGAAATGCAACCTGACCCATATGACCGTTAACCAAACCCTTGTCGTAGTCGTTCTTAAGATACATGACCTGGGCACCTGGTTTCAAACACAGCCTGTCTTCAGCGTTAATGTCCCTCATGGCCCGATCAATGAATTCCTGACTGTACCCCTCTGTGGTGTTCCGCATGTCAGAAGCGTAAAAGAAGACTTCAGGGCCATCTAGCAGCTGCAGCTCTCTCTGATTAGTTGCTTCGACTCCGGTGGTGGTGCTTTGAAGGTGCACAGTCTGTTGGCCCGGGGGATGCCTGCCAATGAACTGAGAAAAGTAGTTTCGAAGAGCATCAGTCTCTGGAGTAGTACCCTTGTACGTTCGGAACATGTTAAGCATGGAGGCGAACACGGAGCCTTCAGTTTGCCGCTTGGCAACAGTGAGACGCAGTCTTTTATCTCCAAATACTTTCTGAAACGCCTCGGAGTTAAACAAAAAGTCTGGAGGAAGCTGGGCGCTAGCACCATGCTTTCTGGCGTATGTGTTCTTGTCTTCAAACGAAGGAACAGGGGGGAGTTGATAAAAGTCGCCCACACAAACAATTTGCATTCCTCCAAAGGGGAGGTCTCTCAACACTTGGTCACGCGCATGGTCCTTCTCCGTGTACTGTAACATTTCTTTCAGAAAGTTGTAGTTTCGAGCTTTTTTCTTACAACGTAGCTCCTTTTCATACTGAACAACAGCCGTGTGTGCAATTTGGAAAAAGTTGGACCTCACGGCTCGGGAAATGGTGTCAATCATGTCAAACATGGCTCCAGATATCATACTGCACTCGTCAATAATGAGCACGTCGGTGAACTTCCACATTGCGGCAGCTCTAGGGTTTTTGAAGAGCTTGGCAATGCAGACTTCGGCGCTCTCTTTCATGAGACCCAGGCCAGTCCACCTATGAATAGTTATGCCATCCACGTTGACAGCAGCCAGACCAGTAGGTGCTGTGACTTTGCAGACAACTCCCTTTGACTCGCAATGGTTCTTGATCTCCTTGATGAGCACGGACTTTCCGGTTCCAGCTCCTCCCGTGAAAAACAGACTCTCGCCTTTAGCCACTAGGTCAAAGATGACCTGCTGTTCCTCAGTGAGCGTGATGTTCTGGGGCTCCAGAAGCGACAGAGTAGTGGTGTTGGCAACCACAGCGTTGGTTTCGTCGTCGCTGGCGGTGCTCTCGCAATTCATGTCCGTCTGCTGGCTGGATTTGGGCATACCAGTGTAGAGGTTTGTGTTTTGAGAAGAAGTCGTCGAGGGATATTGCGCGACCACAGGTTCAGAACGTTCACCACCACGCTTTTCAGACTGCTCCTGCCTGACCTGTGCTTCATTGATCTTGTTCAGACTCGAGCTGTACTGGGCCAGGAGCATCTTCTTAGCGTCTCGTCTCACCAGTCGCTTTATCTCTCCTAGTTGTAGAGCAGTGAGTTCCGCATGATTCAAGCCCGAATGACCTTGCATAGCACGATGAAGATCTTGCTTGTAGTATGCCACCACCATCATAAGCTCTTCGGACGTCCACTCCGTCCACCAGTCGCCCCGAACGAACATATTTTCATCCTGAATCTGCACAGGCGGAGCAATACGTTTCTTGGGGGAGTCCTTGGAGCTCGCATGGGCTCGTTTCTTGGCCCTTTGCTTCTCCCGTTCAAGAATCTGCGCTACATCCCTGTACCTTGGTTCGCGCCGTCCCTGTGACTGTCGCTCTGGCTCCTCCACTCGTCCCAGTAGTCGCTGTTCCTCCTCCAGAAGCCGTTCTCGTTCGAGCAACAGATCAGTCTCGTCATCCTCCGGCTCATCAACGTCCATGCGATCTTCCACTGTGTTTTGACGCCCGGAGCTGGCGCCAGCGCCGTCGGACGACTCTTTCTCTCGTAGTTGGTGCATGAGCGAGTTGATCTGGACCGCTCTCTCCTCCAGACGTTGGCGTTGGTACCGCTCAGCCTCTTCGGTGCGCGCTGTCGCATGCCCGCGCGAAATATCGGCTGCATACTCGTTGAGTCGAGCCATTTTCCACTATCTTGATGGGATCCAATGGTTATTAGCGGGTGTGATGTACAGCGTTGAAGATGTTCCCTACAGATAATTCAGACAAAAATACCCTTCAGACAAAATATGTGAATTAATTTTTAATTTACAGTAATTGTGCCTGCATTAGTGTTTTTAATAGACCATTTGTACGATACAAGTGGTTGGGCTTCTCGCTATTTTATTTTATTTTTGATAGTAGTTTTGTTTTATTTTTTTATTTCTTTTTTATTTCTTTTTTCATTCTTTTTTAATTTTAATTTATTTTAACTTAAATCTTTCACTCAATATTTCACGCGTTATACACTGCGTCGCGAACCATTCTTCTTCTCAAATCCGTCCAAATCGACTTGAAACAACTCTCAATCCCCCATATCACATCCTACCACTCCACATCCTTCACAACCGCCAAATACACCCACCAACGACTTCATCATCTGCCGCGAAATCTCCAACCTCCAAACTCTATTTCGCCAACATGTCTAATAATTAGCACCCTCCATATTTACGCGTCAAACTACTGTACTGTTCCTACACCACACATGACAGCTATCTTCACCAAGGAAGCGGCCAACGCGCTGAAAAGCCACAAAGCCAAGGAAAACCTGGGCTGCGAATCTCTGACCCAGCAGATCCACACTCTTCAGACAGAACTGCTCCGTTTAAGCCGAGAGACGGTGGACGCGTTCGACAACGACCTGGACGTGGAGTCCTCCGATCTGCCCATCTACGACCGACAATCGACCATTTCACAGCTCGACCGGGCCGCCACGGAGCTCGCTCTGACTCAGGGACGCGTGGACGTGCACAGCGACATCTTTGACAAGGTGGTGAACCAGGTCACGGAAGCCAGCGAAAAATGGGTGGCGTGGGAAAAGACAAACAAGGAGAAGGAGAACCAAAGCCCCGATCATACCCCAGATGATGACGAACAAGAGGGAGATGGCGTGAAGGACGCAAACGAAAACGCACCCAAAGTGCCGGATATCACCAAGCTGTACGCAACAACCCTGGCCAAGTCGCTGCCAGAGCCCACAAAGAAATCACGTGCGCTGATGCTGAAAAAGTCGCGTGATCTCAGAAAACACAAGGAGACGCTGCTGTGGATGCTCATGCCCGAGATTGATCTTGGCGACAGCGACAAGTGGTGGATTTCTCTGGGAAGTCTGGTTTCGAAACACGTGGGACGGGAAGGCCTGGCCCCCGAACCCAATGGGTATGGCCTTTCGGAGGACGATTCAGACGACGAGCTGTTTGTGTCTCGAAAGTCCAATCTCAAGTGTCCCATCACACGGGACTATTTGGAGAACCCTGTACGAGCGATTGTGTGCAAGCATCTGTTCTCTGGCGAGGCTTTCAAGCAGTGGCTGCAGCAGACCCAGGGCCGAAACCAGTGTCCTGTTGCCGGCTGCAACAACCACCTGCGGAGGATGGCCGATGTGGAGGCCGATGAAGATGTGGTTAGACGAGTCAAGAGACTGAAGAGAAACGTGGAGAAGAAGCACAAGGAGAGAGAGACACTCGGTACGCAGCGGATTTAGATGTCAGTGCTGGGGGTTGTTCCATGTAAGGAACGCTGTCCCAGTGGACATAAGGAATGTATTTATAGGAGACTCTTGAGAGTAATATTGGAGCGTGTAGTGATGAATGAGTACTTGTGCTAGGACGACTGGAGTGACTTGGACATCTTTGGAGGGTATGAAAATGTAATGGCAAGATAGTATATCAAAACAGCTCCGTTGTTTATCAAGTCGTAGATCGACTCTCCCCATGGTTTCAGCGGTGGATGTGGGTTCTTAGAGGTGTCTGACGACGACCCAGGACTCCAGCAACGACCAAGGACTCTAGAAACGACTCCAGTCCTCTGGAAACGACTCCAGTCCTCTGGAAACGACTCCAGTCCTCTGGGGCACTCCGATGGCCGTCGGACGACACTCTTGAAGTCTAGAGACTCCTGTGAGACTCAATTGACGACTTGGTGAATACTCGACATAATCTCAAATATGGAAGATGGAGCACTGAGAAAATGACGACAAGGTCAAGAATCAATTATATATACCATCAGGCTGCAATTACTTTAGTATCTCAGTTCCACACGTCCACACTTGCTCCACAACCTGTCGTACAGAAGGTACTGCTGCTCCGACCCTACCAAGTCGCTGTTTGAATATCCCACTCTCACGCTGCTAATATTGATCATATTACAAAAAAAACAATACCATTTGAATCAGCCAAACTATCTCATTCCAGTGGTTTTTTAGATTATTGAAAAATATCACGATATGAGATTTTTTCACTCTTTTTATTTTATTTTATTTTATTTTATTTTATTTTATTTTATTTTATTTTATTTTATTCTAATGATTAATTTCAAATTTAAAACTTCCACATTGACTCGAAATCGGTCAGCTCCGAACCCACAGCTCAGGGCGTCTGGTGTAGTTGGTTATCACATGCGCTTAGCATGCGCGAGGTCCCCGGTTCGATTCCGGTGTCGTCCAATCACGTGACGGTCACGTGTTTTTTTTGACGAGAGATGTCATTCTTTTTTTGTTGGTTTTTTTTGACCAACTTTTTCACCAACATGACTCAACCCCCAACTAAATAGTTGAAAAAGTTGGTCAAAAAAAAAAAAAAAAAAAAAAAAAAAAAAAGTGATGTTATAATTAATGAATGTATTATGCTGTAAGAAAACACGCAGATCAAATGAATATGTCCATCTATATATCATCCTAATCAATCCGCAGAGAATGTCATTACACCACCAATTCTCCGCCATTTTTATACATATTAAAATGATCAATTAATCTATCCTCCACTAACCTTCCAAGGCCTGCAATTTGACGAGCTCGTAGTACTTTGATCTGTTTGCCAGAAGTTGCTGATGAGTTCCACTCTCAAGAACGACTCCGTTTTCAAACACGAAAATCACGTCGGCGTTCTGGATCGTCGACAGTCGGTGGGCAATGGCGATGGTAGTTCGTCCCTTGGCAGCGGCGTCAAGAGCAGCTTGAACCACCTTTTCGGACTCCGAGTCCAGAGCTGAGGTCGCCTCATCCAGCAGAAGAATCTTGGGATTGCGGATGAGAGCTCGAGCAATGGCTATTCTCTGTTTCTGGCCTCCAGACAACAGAGAACCCTTGGAGCCACACACGGTATCGTAGCCTTCGGGCAAAGACATGATGAAGTCATGGATGTTGGATTTTCGAGCAGCCTCGTATACCACCTCGTCAGTCACGTCCGGATCCTGTGTTCCCAGCAAAATGTTCTCTTTGATGGTGCCCGAGAACAGAATGGGTTCCTGCTGCACCAGAGCCACCGCCTCGCGATAGGAGTTGATGTTCAAGTCTGCGAGGTCTAGGCCGTCCAGAAGAATCTTGCCGGACGTGGGCCGGTAGAAGCACTCGAGAAGACCGACGGTGGTGCTTTTTCCGCATCCTGACGAGCCCACCAGGGCTACATATTGGCCCTGTTTGATGGATAGGTTGAGACCTCGAAGAACCGGCACCTGCATCCGCGTGGGGTACCGGAAGTGCACGTTTTGGAACTCAATGTTGCCTTTGACGTCCTTGGGGTCGATCTTGGTGCCTTGGTCGGACCACCAGTCAATCTCGGGCTCCACCGCCAGCACGTTCATGATGTTCCGCGTGCTTCCGGCGGCCTTGCTCATGTCCGGCGCAAAGGTGAAGATTGAGCCCGCGGACTGTGAGCCAAAGACAATGGCAATGAAGGCCACGAAGAAACGGAAGGGCGAAATGGTGTGGTGCTTGAGCAGAATTCCGCCGTACCAGAAGGCCAGACCCATGATGAGAGGCGACAGGGACTGGGACAGACCAAAGAGAATGGACGAGAAGAAAATGGGCCGTTTGGAGCCCTGAACCTGTCCCTCCACTGATTCCTTGTAAGTCTTGTAGACTTGGTATTCACGGGTCAGAGTGGTGACGGTTCGGATGGCGTTGGTGTTTTCGCAGGCGTAGGAGCCGGACTGCTCGTAGGCGAGTTTGGCCCGGTTGTTGAGCCATGTGAGCACGTAGTATCTGCAGAAACCGCATCCAATGAGAATGGGGATACAGGCGCCGCAAATGAGACCCATTCTCCAGTTGAAGACGACCGAGACCACGAATCCGGCCACCACGGTCACAATGGACACGAGAATCTGGCCAAACGTTGTTCCCGAGAGTCCTCGGACGTTGTGGGCGTCTTTTCCGAGATTCGAAGTCAGACTGCCAGTGGTGTTCTCCTCTCGGTCAAAGAAGCCAATGTCCATTCTGAGAAACTGCTTAAAGACCGCCAGACGCAGTTTTCGCACCAGTCGCTCTCCCGCAAGAGTGAGAATGGAAATCTCCACGTAAAAGGCCACCATTTCGATCATGGCAATCATAAAGAAGAGACCGGTGTAGGTGTTGATCAGAGACCGCATGTGGGGATAGCCTGAGGGCGGAGTCATGAAGGCCTCGATACATTTGGCGAAAATGACGGCCATTCCAGGATAGCCAATGCCCCCCACAAAGGCACACGCTCCTCCAATCAGCAGCAAAGTGGTCTCCTCCTTGTTGTAGGAGTACACGAATCGAATCATCTCAATGATTCCCTGCTCCTTGGTGTTGTATTCCTCCTCATCTTCACTGAAGGAGCTCATAGTCAGAGACTGGATTGCCACCACGTCTTCCTCGAGTTTGTCGTCAGCGGCCGTGTCTGAGCCGTCGTCATTCTGTTTCATGATAGTCTGCGAGTTGACCAGCGAAAAGTACATGCCCTTTTGCTCAATCAACTCATGATGGGTGCCCTGTTCCACAATGCTGCCCTTGTTCATGACCACAATGAGATCGGCGTTCTTGACCGTGCTGAGACGATGGGCAATGACAATGGTGGTTCTGTCCGCCGCTGCCTTGTCCAGTGCGTCCTGAACAATGCCTTCACTCTTGGTGTCGAGTGCAGAAGTGGCTTCGTCCAGCAACAAGATCTTGGGCTCTCTAACAATGGCCCGGGCAATAGCAATTCGCTGTTTCTGGCCTCCTGACAGCAGAAAGCCCCGGTCTCCAACATTGGTTTCAAACCCGTCAGTCAAGTCCTGGATGAAGTCGTAGGCGTTGGCTTGACGGGCAGCATCCTCCACCAGCTGACGTTTCTTCTCGGGGTCAGCGTTCTCATGGGGAGTTCCAATCAAACCGTAGGCAATGTTTTCGTAGATGCTGACGCCAAAAAGAGTGGGTTCCTGTGACACCAGAGCCAGCTGTTGTCGCAGCCATCTCACGTTGAGCGAAGAAATGTCTACTCCGTCAATCGTCACTTTTCCGCCGAGAATTTCGTAGAATCGCTCGAGAATGCCAATAATGGTGGACTTTCCGCTGCCAGAAGCGCCCACAAGCGCCACAGTCTGCCCTGGTTTGATCTCCAAAGAGAAGTCGTGCAGAACAGAAACATCCGGTCGAGACGGATACCGGAAGTTGACGTGCTCCAGCTGAATGTGGCCGTGAACCTGGTCCAGCTTCTGACCCTTGTCGGAGAAGCTGTCGATGGGAGGGACCCGGTCAATGGTCTCAAAGATCTTCTGGCCAGAGGCAATGGCAGAGCCCATGGCCTGCAAGTTTGGAGCCACATTGCCGACCATGACAGCTCCAATCATGACGGCAAACAGCACGGTCATGATGTTTCCGACATTGACTTGTCCCCAAGACACGAGTCGAGACCCCTCCCAGAAGGAGAGAGCGTAGTTGAGATAGGCAATGGTCCACACCGAAGCAATAGCCGCCGCCGAGCCCCGGCCACGGAAAATGTGGTACTTCATGGACACCACCAGCCGGTCATCGTACTTTTGGGTCAATCTGTCCTGGGTTCCAAACGCAACCACGTTTCTGATGGCTCCAAGAACTTCTTCCGCGACTGAAGACGCCTTGGCGTCGGAAACAATGGCCAGTTTGGCAAACTTGACCACAAAATAGACTGCTGTAGTCATGGCGAACAGTAGGGCGAAAAACGACGACATCATGATCAGCGTCAGCTTCCACGACTTGATGAACCCAATAATGAAGGCCGAAATTATGGCGGCAATGGAGGAAACAATCAGGCCAGCCTTTTCACTGATGCCCTCCTGGATCAGGTTGGTGTCTGTGGTGATTCGGTTGGTGATTTCTCCGGCTCCGACCTTGTCGAAGAAGCCAATGTTCTGGCGCATAATGGCCTCCAGATAATGTGCTCGGATCCGGCCGGTCAGCTTCTCGCCCATCTGGACGTGCATGTACGTTTCGAGGAAAGAAAAGGCGAAGATGCCTGCAAAAAGATAGATGAAATACCGCGCCAGGTAGTTGATCTGGTGGCCGAATTCAGCCGGCGTGGCCCCCTCCACAAAGTACCGGACAAACTCGTTGGTCATGGAGCCGAAAATCAGGGTGAAAAGAGGCAGACACGCTCCCGCACAGGCCGAAAAGACGTACGAAACCAGAATCTCCGCCTTGTCCAGAGGTGTGGCATACCGAAGTAGCAAGGTGCGGTAGTTGACGTTGACGGGCTCACTGGTGGTTTGGGCCTTGAGAATGGCGATGCTCTCCTCAGATAGCCCCTCGTAGGGGTCTTTGGTCGACATGGTGAGGTGAGTGAAGGCCCCTCCACCCCCGATCACCAGACTAGATATATCCAGATAAACTCGAGACTAGGTCTCGGTACTGTTACTTATTGCCGACAGTCTAAAATGAGACCTTGTTGACGGCAAAGTGTGCGACAATGAGAGAATTTTTTGGCGTAAATGAATGATCAAACGTGCTTAGACTGGATTGTGATTATAATATAGCCCTCAAATACCCCGAAATGCCGATTTGGAGGCGTCATTCCATCTCCAATGTTCCATTAAATTTAACCTTTTCGGATCTGCACACCCCGCATCCTCGGCTGCACGAGTTTGGGGGCACTTTGTGGACGCTGTGGCGGTTATTTAGAGATACAGAGCATGTCATCGCCATCTCCAACTCCTCCTGATACTATTGCCGAGTTTAGATTCTCTCTTTGTGCGCCTTTAAGACTAACAGACGAAAAGTTATTTGTCGGTTTCAGCCGCGCCAAACTCTAAAACACGTAGCTCTCGGATCGGCATTTACGAAACGCCGATATACGAGATGACGTGCCTGTGATTGATTTACGACTAGTTGGAGAAGAGCGGTGGGTCGATACGTGGTTGGAAATGGTCTCTCGGGCGTTCGTTTCTAAAAATCCGTCTTTTGAACAGCTGTGCGGGCGATATGGGTTCCTCGACCTAAGAAAATAATTTCTGGCTCTTTCGGGCTCTTCCGGGGAATACAATGAGATATAGACACGGCTTAGAGTACGATATATAGCGAGGGGTTCTTAAAAGGAACTATTTTTGAGACATGTGTTTATGCGGTCTGTATGGATGGAATCTCAGCAGACTGTTTTGAGACACACCTTGGGTCTACTGTGAGACACACCTTGGTGACGTGACTGGATGAGATTGCAGAACCGACAGAGTGAGGACTTCAGGCAAGGCCCTATTATCACTGTCTGATATGGAGACATCATTCAACCATGCGACTGTCACGATGTGCCCGACGATTGGAGTGGCCACTGGGCTCCTTCCAAGTCTTCAGATAAGCATAAAAATGAGTCCTTGTACGGCTTCAACAAGATTGCCCGCAATGTCCAGAGAACAGATAGTCGCATGTTATGCTTGCTCATTTAGCTCTTTGAAGCAATATTTGCTATTCCCGGTTGTATATTTGTACTCAATGGAGCTGTAACAGCTATTCACAGTTGTATATTTGTACTCAATGGAACTATGGCCGTTCCTTCAGAGTGTTAGATGTATCTACCGTGACTGGACCAACTCCTTGATTCTCTTGTGGTGAAGATGAGAGGGGGACCAGCTTGATCATAGACGAGATGTCCATCCTGTAGATAGTATTCCACTGATGTACAAAATCTCTTCTGGTGAATGAGCAAACACACATCCTTCTGGTGTGTACTATTATCGGAACATAGTGTCCCTACAAGTGAGTTGTAAGTCATCAACCATACTTACGGTCTTCTATACTTGGGACGCCGGTCGGGTCAATTCCAGACACGATGGGTTCCAGAATAGCAATATGACGGCAATTGTTATCTCTCTCACAGCAGCATTGGAACTTGGCATCTTGTCCTGAGTACGACAGAACTTGCTGAAGCCATCAGAAGACGAGCAAGCTCTGGAATAACAGTAGCCAAATGTTGGCGTGTCGTCGTAGAGCCAGCTTCTTCCAGAGAAATGTCAAAAGGTAAGAGTTGTTAATTCCGGTGATGCCATAAAGTGGGTAATGGTGGAATTTGCTTGGTTTAGATCCAAGTCTTTGGAACCTCCAAACTTCCTCTATGGTTCTGACATGCTGGGCTCTGCTTCATGAGAGCGGAGTGGACAAGTTGTAAATACGGTGTAATGTGAGTGAAAATTCATGCCCAAATCGGCCCAAGAGATCGCACTGGAAATCAGTCCTTCTTTGGAATGGAGAAAGAGAGTCTTAGATTAGCTCCCTACAGATAAAGGATGACAAAGGCGGCAGTTGAAACTTGATTTTTTCTAATATCTCAAATATTTCAAGTGGTAGACCCCATACTTATGACCAGATCATCCGTCTAGAGGCTCCATTTTGCCATTGCGGCAGCTTTTTGACATTCTTCGGATCATGATGAAAGTCCACTTTTTCTAACAACAATCACGCGGATTTAGCTCAGTTGGGAGAGCGCCAGACTGAAGTCATTCTTCGGTCAGAGTAATCTGGAGGTCCTGTGTTCGATCCACAGAATTCGCAATTACTTTTTCTTTTTTTTTCCCTCATTTAGCTGTTTTTTTGGTAGTTGATCGATTCAGCTGTCGAGAAATGTCTCTTGAAGCCTTGTTACGTTTTTCAACCACAGTTTCACCGGCAAACTGGCGCATGAAATAAAAAAAGAAATAAGTTTCACCTATAGATAATTTTATTTTTCGCACAATCTGATCCAACATCAACATGGCCAAGGACAAGAAGAAGGACAAGGAGGCCAAGAAGCTGCGAGCGGCGGAAAAGGCCAAGAAAAACGCCGCCAAGGGCGAGAAGAAACAGAAGAAGGTGGCGGCCAAGCAGGGCGAAGACGAGGACGACATGGACATTGACGAGATTCTCGCCAACTACAAGAAGGAGCAGGAAGCGCACGATAAGGTGACAATTACCAACGTGGAGCGGCCGAGCAAGCGGGTCAGTTGCTCCATGTGCACTTCGCCGGTTCACGGCAAGAAGGAGCTGTTTTTGTTTGGTGGAGAGGTGTCGAACCACTCGGGAACATGTGCCTTCTTCAACGACTTGTACTCGTACAACATCAACACGGATCAGTGGAAGAAGATTGAGTCTGGTAACTCCCCACTGCCCCGGTCCGGCCACCAGATGATCACGCACCCCAGTGGAATCATTCTCATGTTTGGAGGAGAGTTTTCGTCACCCAAACAAAACACCTTTTACCATTACGGAGACACATGGCTGTTTGACGCCGAAACCCGAGAATGGAGCAAACTGGACCAGAAGAAGGGCCCCAGCGCCCGATCCGGACACAGACTGACGTACTGGAAGAACTACATCTTGCTGCACGGCGGTTTCCGAGACTTGTCGCAGTCCACCACGTATCTGGATGATCTGTGGGCTTTTGACGTCACCACCTACAAGTGGACTCAGATCGAGTTCCCTCCCAATCACCAGACTCCCGACGCTCGATCGGGCCACTCGTTTGTGCCCAGTCCCGAGGGTCCCGTCATTTTTGGAGGATACTCCAAGGTCAAGCACAAGGGCAAGAAGGCCGTTGTCGGCAAGGTGCATCAGGATGTGTGGCATCTTAAGATGAAGGCCGATATTAAGGCTTCTCGGTGGGAGAGACGTAAGAAGGGACAGTACGCGCCTTCTCCTCGAGTTGGTGCTTCTCTGGTGCACCATCGAGGTCGAGGAGTCATGTTTGGAGGAGTGTTTGACACCGACGAGACCGAGGAGAGTCTGGACTCCACTTTTTACAACCAGCTGTACGCCTACCAGATTGAAAGTAACCGGTGGTTTGGTCTGTCTCTGCGAAGTGCCAAGAAGCGAAAGGCTGCATTGGAACGGGCCCAAATCAGCCGAGACGACGATCTCAAGGCCACTCTTGACAGCATTTTCAAGGACAAGCTGGATCTGGGTGAGGACGGTGAGACTCCTGCGGTTGAGGAGGAGGAGGAGACTCTCAAGGACTCCGATGGAGAGGAGGTGGTGCAGAAGGAGTATCCTATTGCCAACCAACTGCCTCATCCTCGGTTCAATGCTTCCATGACCGTCTGTGACGACGTTCTTTACGTGTTTGGAGGCTCATGGGAACGAGGGGACCGGGAGTTCACTTTGGACACCTTCTATGGCATTGATCTCAACAAGCTGGACGGCGTGAAGGTGTTCTGGGAAGACCTGCGGGAGCTTGAGGAGGCGGACGTTGACTCTGACGAGGAGGATGACGAGGAGGATGAGGACGACGAGTTTGAAGAAGACGACGACGACGCTGAGGGTGTGGAGGAAGACGACGGCGAGGAGGAGGAAGAAGAAGAGGAGGTTTCCAACGAAACCATTCCCGATCCCCGACCCTGGCTGCCTCACCCCAAGCCGTTTGAGGTCCTTCGAGCCTTCTACGTGCGAACTGCAGACAAGTTCCTGGAGTGGGCCCTTTCGGCCGACCGAGAGGCCCGCGGAAAGGATCTCAAGAAGGTCGCGTTCGATCTGGCCGAGGACCGGTTCTGGGAGCGACGAGAGGAGGTGCGAGTCATGGAGGACCACTTTGAGGAGATTGGCGGTGTTGCCGAGGTGGTGGAGCGAGATGTGCGAAGTGGAAAAACCAGACGGTAATCTATAGACTTAGATAGACGGAAAAATAAGACAATTTGAACAATGAGAACTCGTACGTGGCGACAAATGTGGCACATAGAGCAGAGCGAGGAGCAAAAAGAGGCCCTTCTCTGAATGCCTGCTGGTCCCAAAAAGAATTGCGAATTCTGTGGATCGAACACAGGACCTCCAGATTTCAAGACTGAGAATTACTTCAGTCTGGCGCTCTCCCAACTGAGCTAAATCCGCAATATATATCAAAAAAGTGAACTTTCAATATAAACTCCAGTTTGAATTTTATTGCCTGAATGGCTCAAATCGGGTATTTACGTCTTCCAATTCATCCAAACATTGTTTAAATACCAAATAAAAATCCTTTCTTCTATTTTATTCTCTAAATTTTTCATCTATATCGTTAATCAGTCTCCGTCTAACATGAGTCGAATCCAACTTCGAACGAGACATCACAAGCAACTCCCCGCTCCCATGTCCCAAAGACTTGGTTCTGAACTCCACGTCGATCTTTTTTTCTCGAGAATCCCGTTCCCGGCTTCTGGAGATGCTTCTCTGGAACCCACCCCTACTTGTGGGCTTTGAAACCGCAGTATGGGACCTGGGAGTCGAGTTGTGGATCTTTAGAGAAGATTGAATACCGTTCTTAACAGTCTTCTTGGCTTTTCTGTCTCTCATATGGAACTCGGAGGCTTCACTGGACATGCCTCTTTGGCACTCATCTCGTATCACAGCTTGTCACTTTGCGTTGACAGAGAGAGTCGAAGAGTTCCCTATGATCCACAGAGTTCCCTATGATCCACAGAGATGTTCTGGCTCGAGGTACTGCAACGTTCTTGCGTCTCACGTTGGCCAGAAACCCGACAGTATGAGACTGTGGGTGTGATTTGACACAAAACATTATGATGTCCTTTTCTCTGCCCAGGAATGCAAACTTCCTAATATTGCTTCAGTGTGTCTCTCTTGTACGTATCACCTTTGTGGCGCGTTTTATTGACGATACTGATGGTTCGGTACTTTGACCTGCTTCATCAATGGTCTCTGTTTCGAAACTAAGACCTGAACCTGATTCTCGGCAGTCGCGTTCTTGTACAGCTCTTGCAACTTGCTATGCACTTGGCCCTTGCTCATGTACAGAGTATCCAAGTGCTTTCCCAGTCTGTTAGTTTCGTCTTCCAGTCCCTTGATGGCTGTCATGTCCTGCTCTAGAAGCGTCTTGATAACTTGTTTCTTACCCTCTGGTGTCGACTGAGCTACTTCAGAATCTACCCTCACGACCCTCCCCCCATAATCTTGAGTCCAGAGATTCGTCCCAGAAGTGACTCTCAAGTCGTTTGGTCAGCTCATGGACCGCCGCATTGGAAGGGACACATAACATGATGTGAGTCTGACCAGTTGCTTGCCCGAATCTCGCAAAGCTGAGAAACAATGGCCTTGGTCTTACCTATACCTGGCGGTCCTTGAACCAGAGACAGGTTTCCTGCCAAATTGTCCGCTCCATGAACCGCCTGGACCTGAGACCTGTTCAACAACTTCTGGTATTTTGCTTGGAGAGAAATATTGGCCAACTCTGGAGCCAGAGGAAGAGAGGAAGCTTGATGGTGGATGAGCAAGCAGTTGTCGCTCATAAGAGACCATATTGGCCAGATAAAAGCAACAGCAAACCCGCATGGACTCAACTCTCCCGTCAGCTCGTCTAGTCCTGACACGCACTTCACCAGTGTTCTCGCACTCCGTGACCGCATTGATCTCAAATTTGATACCGTTCTGAGTCGCTTGCTCCGAGTCCTGAAACTCCAGGATTTCCTTTCTACTAGGAGCGTAGCACTCCAACAAGTTCAACGGTTCCAAGACCTCGTGATGAGCCGGTGAGGAGTATGTTTCGCAACATGGGGTGCTCGTTCTTAATACTGTCCAAGTTCCACTCCAAAAGATGCGAGTATAGGTACAGTACTGTATGTACATACTTCAGATACATACTTCAGCAGCTCTGATATAGCGAAAAACTGTCTAAAGGAGCCCCAAGAGTCATCTTCACTACTTTTACGGTATCATCTTTGAGGGTGTAAGTAGAACTTGGGCATATCCCTCACTAGCACCCTTAGCCCTCCCCCTAGTTTGAACTTTCAGCTGCCACCCGTCAGATGTGAAAGGTGGATGGAGTATCTGTTTCAATGATTCTGGAGAGCGTATACGTCCCCAAATATTATTGAAAGCAATTGAGCTGAAAAACTGAACTTCCTTCTTCTCCATCTTCACTCACGTATCGAACATTCGTCTCGGACTATACGAGCTCAGAACTTTACAGGATGTGTAGACCCTCGAATACGTGAGGATTTGTTGTTACTATGGAGCTACCTAAGAATACATGGAGATCTTTTTCTACTTTCGAACTTCCCGTTTTATTTACAAGCCAAGTACAAGTGCTGTAGACAGATGAGGACAAGAGGGTCTTGTTGCACAAGGTCAACAACTCTCACAATACAAACACTGTACTTCCTTTCTCAATAAACGGGGGCTCAAAACGAACCTAGGGCTCAAAATGAAGCACTGTACAGTACATACTGAACTTGTACGGAACTGTTGTTTACCACAAGAACACGATTTATCAGTACTTACTGTAGCTGTCAGATCTAAAAATGTGACAGGCGTGAGACAATGAGCGTATAGTTCCTGGACTAATGTCGCAATAGTAAGACAATAAAGGGTTATATCAATCTAGAGGTTTTTATACCAAGGCTAGAGGGTTATATAAAGGCTAGAGGTCTTTATATCAAGGCTAAGGGTTATATCAAGGCTAAGGGTTATATCAAGGCAAAGGGTTATATCAAGGCTAAGGGTTATATCAAAGATACCAGTGTCAATGATGGTTATACAACGACCGGTTCATAGTCTATCGTCGCACTTATCTACTGTCAATGGGTTATTGTGTTGCTGCCATCCTGTGCAGTCTCAACTAACTGTCAACACTCTAGTAATTCCTGAGAATTAGTAGTACCAGTACCGCAAGAACAAATCACATCTAAAGTCCGAATCCGAAACCCGCCTTGATCACGGTCCAAGCCCACTCGGCCCTGGCAGACTATCTCAGAGGATTTGGTGTTTAGTATGTGATATCATCCATGGCATTTTTCCCCCTACTTTTCAGCATACTTACTGCGAGCGAACGAGACTGCCTATCTTACGACAAACCGGTTGAGAATATAATTCTCAACAACTACTCGGTGTCGAACTTGTGGTCTGATGAAGGATCACTAGCTTAGACAACAGCTCATTTAAATGGGACTGGAAGGATCTACAGTTCCCACTGATGAGCACCAGGCGAACGGCTCGGTGGAGTCTACTGGAGGGCAATTTCCGTTGAGACTGTGACTTTGTGTGCTTCATTCTGTCTCTACAATGTGACATGGCGTTGCATCGACAAGACCACCACCGACAAGACCACCACCGACAAGACCCATACCGTGATCTGGGGACACCACCCCATCTTCACAAGTGCGGATTTTTTTATACACTCAGATGCCAGAGTCCCGTCGGGTTTTCAAGGCCGCTGACACGTCTTAGATGTGGATTACCCGAGCAAAATCCCGCATGGCAAGTACTATCTTGTCTGGGAACCATGGATGTTCCATTTCCCAGTCCCGCGCAAGGGGATCCGACGTCCTGACTACGTGAGCTTTCACAAGAATCCGAGTGTAACCAATCTTCGGTCTGATGTTCCGGCCGATCATCTAGTACCATATCACTTCGCAACGGCTTTCACCTTCATTAATTCAAGTATCTTCTTCCGGCCTAAGTAGATTTAGCTGGAATCTGTAGATAACCAAAAGGTTTGCAGAAAGAAAAAAGGAGACAAAAATACACCACCAACGTGCAGCAAAAGAGACCCCAACAGAGCAGCAAAAAGATACTCCGCAACGGAGAATTGAACTCCGGTCCCCCGCGTGCTGAACATTGTTCTGACAGGCGGAAATTCTAGCCACTAAACTATTGCGGATTTTTTCTTGATTTTCTGAAAAATGTGGTCATGCACAGATGATATTAAGGGTTAGGTTCGGCCAAAAAAAAAGGGTGATGAAGGGATTTTGGATCATTTCCGAAAGTGCACCACAACCACTTTGGATACCAGAAGAGATACCATGGAAGCATTTACCGCGGAGCCACTGGGGTGGATCGTGGAGCAGAATGCGGCGAGCTACTTTGAGACTCAGGACTCGTCCTATCGGACAAGGATAGCCCCCATGTTACCCCTCTACATGGCCAGCATCAGGGGAGACATGAACCGGGTGCATTTGAACACCTGTTGTTTGATAGTGAAGATGTATGTGGACAAGGATCTGCACAGAAACATGGGCTCGCTGCCTCTAAAAGTGATTGTGGAGTGTTTGGGGCGCCTGGGCGCTCTGGGTCAGCACTATGTGCGGTTATCAGAGGACAACGGGGTGGTTGTTTCTCATAAGTTGAAGGACTCCATTGCCAGGAACACGCCCAGATTGATATCTTTGGTCGTCCGAAACGCGTTTCTGAGCATAATGAGGAGAGAGGGGTTCGATTCGGGCGACTTGGCCGACTTGAAGAGCCAGTTTGAGGCATGCAAGACATTCTACACACAGGACGATTTGAGGAGGCTCAACAACTATCTTCTGAATCTGCAAGAATACAGTGACCGGCCTCAGAAGCTGCAACATGTGGCCAAGCTGCACAGCCAGTCGATAGAGGGCAAGCTGGAGGGCGAGTCTTCTCTCAACCACAAACTCATGGAGTACTGCGACTTTCTGCGCCAGAGGGTCAGCAAGCTGTCAGCTGCAAACCCCAAGCAAATGTTGGAGAATGGGCGTCAAATAGACGCCTTCTGCCTTCCTCTAACCATCGCTGCGACAATGTCTGAGCCTAAGCTTGAGTCGTCGCAGTAGGACACTGAAAACCGTGGAAGACCATTCAAAACAGAAAGCAACGAATCAATGATGATGGACATATCAGACAATGCCATACAGTGCGCGTACAGACACGTCTTTGTGGTCCACACGCCAAGAAACCACCCCGGTCACGCCCACAAATGGCAATTATGTCGATCTCCAACATGAAAGTCATAGAGCAAGTGAAACATAACCATGTGGAGCTGGTCTAACTAAGTAATAGAAGCAGGTAATATGGTGCAAGTGTTGCGTATGGGTAACTGGCGCCTTTTGCGCCCACTGCCCTCGGCCTTGCCCTTTTGCATGCGTATCCATTCTCATCTCGCAAAACCTCTCAAGTCTTGGCCCCCCACCGTACACGTCCAATTGGCAATGCCTCTCAAATGTCAAGAACATCCATTCCGATGAGATCTTCATCTACCATTGCTGTCTCGACTCGCATAGGACGTGTACGTCGCTCTCAGGTGACGAGAACAGACCATTCCGTCGTGTGTCGATCAGCAGTCAAAACAAATGAGGTGATCGGCGCGATCGGCGTTCTGGAATGCAGCGAGAGGAGGCCCTTATACGAGTAAAAGAGAGCAAGGTGTTTGGAAAGAGTTGTCCCAAATAAATGGCTACTGCCACAGCTGTAGGCACTACAGACTACTGGTTAAGAATTACTTCACATCATTATTGTATTATAGTTAGTCTCTCTCTAAGATGCCAGCTGTAGGGGTATCTCTGGCATCTCATCAAATCAGTTGGCAATCAACTAATTTAGAAAAGAGCAAGGAGACCAGCAGCGGCGAGGACAGCAGCGGAGACACCGTTGGTGACAGCGCCGTTGGCCTGGGCGGGGACAGACTGCTCAGGAGCCTGCTCAGGAGCCTGGGGAACAGCAGCGGGTCCGGAAGGAGCAGGGCTGGCAGCAGGTCCAGAAGGAGCGGGGCCGGAAGCGGGTCCAGAAGGAGCGGGTCCAGCAGCGGGTCCAGAGGGAGCGGGGCCGGAAGCAGGTCCAGAGGGAGCGGGGCCGGAAGCAGGTCCAGAGGGAGCGGGGCCGGAAGCAGGTCCAGAGGGAGCAGGAGCAGGGCCGGAAGCAGGTCCGGAAGGAGCGGGCTTACCCTCGGGGGACTCGGGCTTGGGCTCGGGCTTGGACTCACCAGAAGGAGCGGGGGCAATGGTGGAAGCCTCGGTCAGAGTCTTGGTGATACCCTCAACGATGGTGACCTTGGTGGTGAGCTCGACGGAAGCAGAAGGAGCGGGGGAAGCAGCGGGAGCCTCGGAAGTAGGCTTGGGGCCCTCAGAAGCGGGGGTCTCGGAAGCAGGGGCCTCGGAAGTGGGCTTGGGGGCCTCAGTGGCGGGGACCTCGGTGGAGCACTCCTCGGTGATGGTCTTGGTGACACCCTCAACAACGGTGGTGTAGGTGGTCAGAGAGGCGGTGGAAGAAGGAGCAGCCTCGGGGTGCTCGGTCTTCTTGTGCTCGCACTCCTCGCACTCCTCAGTGACGGTGACGGTCTTGCCGTTGACAACAGTGACCTTGGTGGTGACGGGGGCAGTAGACTCAGCAGCGGGGGCCTCGGAGGTAGGAACAGAAGAGGTGGGGGCAGCGGTGGCCTCCTCGGTGGAGCACTCCTCGGTGATGGTAACGGTCTTGTCGCCAATGACGGTGGTCTTGGTGGTCAGAGAAGGAGAGGCGGTCTTGTGCTCGCACTCCTCGCAGGGCTCGGTGACAGTGATGGTCTTGCCGTTAACGACAGAGGTCTTGGTGGTCAGAGGAGCGGAGGTGGTGTCAGCAACGGGAGCCTCGGTGGTAGAGGGCAGCTCGGTGGAGCACTCCTCGGTGACGGTGACGATGACAGTCTTGTTTCCGCCGTGCTCACACTCGTGGCAAGGGACAGTGGAAGTCAGAGTCTTGGTAGTGTAAGAAGCGGTGGAAGAAGAGACGGTGCCGTTGGTGGGGGCGGGAGAGGGAGCAGAAGAAGAAGCCTCGGTGGAAGAAGCCTTGGACTCGGTCTTGGACTCAGTCTTGGAAGTCTCCTCAGCAGAAGAAGCGGGAGCGGAAGAAGAAGGAGAAGAAGAAGGAGCGGCAACAGTGGAGGAGGGGACAGCCTCGGAAGACACACCGGAGGTGGGGCAGACGGGGATGATGGGAGTGGGGGTGGCAGTGGGGGTGGCAACAGCCTGGCAAGCCTCGACGTATCGGAGCAGCTGGTTGTCGACGTTGAAGTAAGGCCACATGTTGTACTGCTGGACACAAGAGGTACACTGGTCAACGGCAGACTTGGTAGCCTTGATCTTGTCGCAGATGCACTTGGCATCCTCACCACAGGAGTTAAGGTCGCCAACAACGGTGTTACAGGTCTTCTTGCAGGTGAGCTTACCAATGATATCGAATCGCTTGTTGAGCATGTTATCGAGGGAAGAGTGGTAGTAAGGCTCGGGGGTACAGGTGGGAGGGGGAACCTCACACTCGGGCAGAGAAGTGGTGACATCGGGGGGAGTGGTGGTGACAATAACGGGGGGAGGAGCAATGGTAGAGGTGGCCTCCTGGGGGTGGCACTTCTTGATGACATCCTCAATCTCCTGCATACCGTACTGGGGGTAAGCCTGAGAACAGGACAGACACTTCTGGGTCCAGGCGAAGCCGTCAAGGAACTGACACTCGCAGGACTTGAGACCCTGACAGGTGTTAAGACCGAAGGAGAGCTTGAAGCACTTCTTGGTGCAGAAGACCTGGGAGATCAGAGCAAGAGATCGCTTCTCGTTGGTAGAGGCGGGAGCGATACAGGTCTCCTGGGCAGCCTGGGAAGAGGTGGGGGCAGGAGGGGGAGGAGGAGCCTGGGTGGTGGGGGCAGGAGGAGGAGGAGCGGGGGTGGGGGTCTGGGACTGAGAGAACCAGAAGGTGTTGGGGTCAACTCCTCCAGCGGCGGGCTTTCCAAGGAAGATGGGGTCGGCGACGACGATGCTGGCTGCGGCAGCGATGGCAATGGCAGAGAACTTCATTGTTCGACTGTAGTTGGATATGAATGAAAGTGGTGGTCGAAGTGAACGAGTGTGACTGTTGAGGAAAGGAAAACTGAGGGGTGCGGACCCGGGTATTTATGCGTTTGGAGCCTCTCTCTGGCTGGCCTGTTTTTTCCCGCCTAACACACACGCACACGCACACACGGTTCACCATGTCCTCGTCTTTTAGGCGCAATGGCGATCTCGACCGTCGATCCTCATGATTTACATTCCAGGGCTCGATCGACCGACTGGGGAATGTGTCGAGTGGGGTACTCGTCGTCTGACGACTGGGTATCGTGCTACGGACTTGACACCGGGTCCTTGTCCTTGCTGGTGGTGGTGGGTTTGAAGATATCTCGTATCATACATGTAGTGTCATGGACAAGTCCACCGGTCGTGCATTCACACACCACTTTCACTGCTGCTTGCACCTGACAGGGGTCGGGCTCCCAAAGCCTGTTGACAATGGGAGCGAGTGTGCGTGTGAGAAGTGCGGTAAAAGGCTGTTTGGAGCGTAAAAGTGGGTTGGCAGAGTCTCTTTTCGCGACTCTTCGCGTTCGCACCCATAGTGTTTGCCGTGGACCGTGCGTGTCGCTGCATTAAGGGGCATGCTAGTGGACAGGCGCGACTGGTGCGACTGGCAGGTGCGACTGGCAGGTACCACTACCGGTGAGCTATCGTCTTTGGGTGCCCACCACCCCAGGTCAATCATGACCACTTGCTATGACCATTGCCCACATTCTCCAGCCTCTGCGGCATGGTACCGCCACCCAATCTAGCCACAAGCTCGCAGATCCCTCAAAGTAGCAACCATGGCTGCCCAGGTGGTGGGTCGCACCTCTTGTTGTCCCTGTTGGGAGAGATCGGCGTGAGAAATGGATGTGCGCATTTTCTCGCACAGGGTTAGTCTTTGCAATAGGCTTGGGTTAGCGTTTGACCGTGACTGGACGTCTACAAGTGAGTGTACGAGCGGAAGTGTACGAGCGGAAGTGTACGAGCGGAAGTGTACGAGCGGAAGTGTACGAACAGAAGAGCACATTTGTCTGGCAGTCACGTGGAAGATGTGGAAGATGTCGCTGTCGGGCAGAGTCGTCGCGCTGAGTCGTCGCGCTGAGTCGTCGCGCGGAGTCGTCTGACAGTCAAGTTGGTGGGCGTAGATATCCACATTCGAATCGGTCTGCATGGCGTGTCGGAACGTGCAATTCGGCTTAGTAAGAACCGTGGTTGGCGACCGTACGGTACAAGTACTGGTACACCTGTCGATAGACCCTGATTACGCGATATGTGGGATATTATTTAGTCCGTTATGCAAGGTACTGTACTGTACTTGTACTATACGAGTCTCGTTTAGTTTGTCTAAGGTACACTCCACTATGTAGGGACCAACGGTAATTCAGCATGAGTATCGGTGAGTTGGTATAGGCCAAGTGTTACAGACACACCATTCGACTCCTTCCAGTTGGTTCAGCCATCCAACCATCCAGCCATTCAGCCATTCAGCCCACTCAGACTGTTCGGCCATTCAACCCTTCCACCATCTTTCACCATGTACACCCGCTGACCCCTGCAAAACATGCGCCGTGCCTGAGTGCCTGGTCCCTGAGTGGACTGAACATTGTTGTTATTGCCACAACGGGCCGAGCAAAGTTCAAAACAGCCCGAGTGAGACCAGCACCAGTTGCAAACGCAGTCGCCGGCTCCGAGACGTGGTGCAAGGGTACACTCGTTTCTTTTTCCTCCCACACTGTACAGTGTAGGCAGGGGTCCGTCGATGCAGACAGGCGCATGTATCGACGCGTGATGCTGAAGCGAATGGGGAGAATTGAGCGGACGAACCGACGAGCGCGCGAACGAGTGTTTTACAAGCTGTTTGGCCGTTTATCACCACTGTTTCACCGCGTCTTTGCCCTCAACTATACAAGACACGGCACCGTACATGGTATGGATCACGATGCCCACAGCAAAAGCCCTCCCTAGCCACAATGTACCAGTACAAGACACTATCACATGGCGTAAACCTCACTCGGGCGTCCTTGTCGTCTCCGCTCAACGCTTGGCATGATGCACGCCCGTCGCCATGTCTTCCCCCTCACCACCTCCTATGCCAAGGCCTTGGTGATGATCTCTCGGTGGAATGGGCAGTAGTAAGTGGCTGCATTTTTTTCGTCGGCGCCTCCGCTGCGAGATGGAGGCATCCCTTGCGTCGTCTAATTTTACCTCTCCCAAAGTCGGGACAAAATGGGGAGATTCGCCTCGTGTTGTGTCGATCATCTTCTCTTCGGTGCAGCCGACGATCTTTCATACACCAGACACGGCGCCAGAACGCGTCGTCAGACCGGAACAAACAGGCGCGCCAATTAATGGAGATCCTCCATCGCGTCACCATGGGCTCATAACATGGCACATTGATGCCGGGTATGAAAATACGAGCCAGCGGCTTGTCTAGGCGTAGATCCTAGAATGTATCTGTCGAGACATGGCTCTGGCATCAGAATGGACGCTATTGAACGCCCAAGCCCACCCATCAACTGGTTGGTATAGTTGCCCACGTGCTACGAATTGCAAGTGTACATCCACTTGTACCGAGTCTCTCCGTAGATCAACAATGTACACTGGTACAACCAACATACAAACACACACTGTACTCTGTCGACACCAGAAGAAGCAACTCTCAATATTACACCTCGTTGCCCATCTCCGCCCACAATGGACATTGTCACGCACCCAGACCCTGGCTTGGCTGAAAACGATCTTCACCTCTTGCAATCGGAGACACGGATCCCCAGCGACATTCCAACCTCCAAAGGGCGCTTCTGAGGCAAGAATGTGCGAGAATATGATCACCAAGCCCCCAACTTGCCATCAAATCGAGCAAACACGTACGAGTGTACGCTACAGCACCATAACAGACCATCAAGACCAATCCGGGGTCTATTCAAACATCTCCAACGAACATAGCATAGCGTACGAATCACAATGTCCAAAGCCGAGAGTAACGCCATCATAGGAGGTCAAAAAGAGTGTACAATGCCATCTCAATTCATTTCACGTCCCGGCCGGTGAACATTCTGAACCGGTCAGTGGAACAGTTTCTACGTACATGTAGTTCGAGGACCGCAACTGGTACGTTAAGGACCATAACAGTCCATCAAAGATTGCTTCTATTACCTCTGTCCATCACGTACACTAAAGTAAACACAAACATTACACCAAGATTTTACTAATTATACAGTACCAACAAACAAGAACCCACTTAAGAGTTCATGTAGGTGGAGGGATCAACACCCTCAGCAGGGTAGGGAGCGATGTTAACCTCGAATCGCTCCTGGATCTTAGCAAGAACCTCCTTGTCCTCAGGGGTGGAGACAAAAGAGATGGCCAGACCCTTGGTTCCGAATCGACCAGCTCGACCGACTCGATGGAGGTACTGGTCAGCCTCAGCGGGGAGATCGTAGTTGATAGCCAGGTTGATTCGCTCGATATCAATACCTCGACCAAAGACATCGGTGGAGACACAGATTCGCTTCTTGAACTCCTTGAACTCCTTGTATCGGGCAATTCGCTCCTCCTGGGGAATACCAGAGTGCACCGCGGTACAGGGGAATCCGTTAGCATTGAGGACCTGAGACAGGCCGTTAGCTCGAGAGGTAGACTTGACGAAGATGATAACCTGGTTGAACTCGAGGTTGTCGAGCAGGTCGCCGAGCTTTCGGTTCTTGGACTTCTCCTCAACGTCGACATAGTACTGCTGGAGACCGTGCAGGGTCAGCTTTCCTTCGTCGTCCACAAGAATCTCCAGAGGAGAAGACATGAACTTCTTGCAGATGGGTCGGATCTCCTGGGACAGGGTGGCGGAAAACATCATCACCTGCTTCTGTCGGGGGGTCACTCGGAAAATCTCCTGGACATCTCGTCGCATATCAATCTGGTCGAGGACCTTGTCACACTCATCGATGACAAAGGTCTTGACGTTGCCGAGTCGCAGGTGCTTGTCTCGGACCAGGGCGTGCAGTCGGCCGGGGGTAGCGACAATGACGTGGGGGGAGGTCTCCTTGTTCTGGATCAGCTCAATGTCCTTCTGGATGGGGGAACCTCCATAGAAGACGGCGGTCTTGACGTCGGGCAGGTACTTGGAGAATCGGGCGTACTCGTTCATGATCTGGTAGGCCAGCTCTCGGGTGTGACACAGAACGACAACGGAGCACTCGCCGGGCACGGGCTCCAGCTGCTGCAGGGTGGAGAGAACGAAAACGGCGGTCTTACCCACACCGGCCTTGGCCTGACAGAGAACGTCAGTTCCAAGAATGGACTGGGGGATACACACTTGCTGGACTGTGTTAGAAAGAACAATGTGGCGTTTGTGGTTTAATCTTGTTGTTGGTAATACTTACCCTCAGAGGGATGCTCGAAACCACAGTCGACAATGGCTCGCAGGAGCTCGGGCTTGAGCAAGAAGTCTCGGAAACCGGTGGAGTGGATTCCGACGTAGGAGCCCTTCTGCTCGGTGTTCTCCTCCTTGACGGTGGTGGTCTCGGCCTTGGCATCGCCGTTGGAGCCAGACTCCACGGTGGTGGAGGGGAGAGCGATTTCTTCGCTATCGGAGTAGTCGAGGAGTTCTTCTTCGCCTTCGTGGGACATTCTGGGGTTAGTCCTGATGGATCTTGGTGGGGGGTGGCATGGTGGAGAGGGTACAAAGAGGTGAAGCAAGATACAATAACACAGACGGCGTAGTGGGTTGAAAGAGGAGCAAGGTGGCGGGCGAACCCCGCTCCAACTAAAACGACCATTCAAGGTCCTAGGAGACGTCAGACGCGACAAACATGGTCCGTAACAATGGTTCGATTCAGCTGATTCTGATTCAGCCGTTGCAGTTCCACAGCTGCAGAGAATCCACCCGTCCTATGATTCAACTGTCGTCGAGATTTGTCGAATCAACAGCCGATGATCCCACGACGTTGTCTTTCTAACATGATCATTGCATCATAATCATGGTAACGAGAGGCGCAGTCCGGTTTCCGCCGCAAATCCACGTGCCAGCTCGTGTAGGCCGTCAAAAGCCGCAGGGCAAACGTGTTTTTGCCGATGGATTCAGCTCGGAGGCTGGTGTCGTCGTCGTGTGTGTTTTTGTGTCTCAACAACTATCTGTACCCACATGTCCATCGTCGCCGAGCGGCCATCGGGGCATGAAAGGGGCCGTGCAAGGACGCGCTCAAACATGGGGCAGGTGGCTCATGGTGTCCACGGGCTGATTACTTACGTTGAGTGTGATGTGTGGTGTGCGACTTTGGTGGTGACGACAACTGCCACCGAAAATGGGAGCTGACGAACCTTCCCGGGACCGAGGGGGGTTACCCGGACGGAAGGTCAACTGAAAGATGTCAATGATGGCAGAAATGGACCGATGGCGGTCGAAAATCCACGGGTTTTTGGCGCGCCGCGGTCTGTGTCACATCCAACCTGTTTTCCGAGTACTTTTTTTGTTTCATCGGCTCTCGAGCAAGTCCAGTTGTATGGGGTAGGATTTCTGTATTTTTCCTGTATGGTGCCTTTTTCCTGTATGGTGCCTTTTTCCTGTAGGGTGATATGGTAATCGTAGAAGTGGTGTAGTCGCACCAAAGTGATTATTAAGCAGCTTGAGAAAGTCCGATTTTACCAAGTAAACAGAAACAAGAGATATATAAGCGACTTGCGGCCCGCGGTAGCCGCCTTGAACAGCTCCCATGTTGTCTTCTCCAGTTCGAGTCCAACCCCCCCTCGATATATTACACTCAGTTACCCGGCCGAGCAAGTGCATTGTCGACGACATGACGATACAGCCAGACAACACATTAACAGCCAGGGTGACGACGAGCTTCCAGGACCACTAACAAGCGCCACACAGGTCTGCAGCCGACTTTACGCAGTCAATTGACGACCCCCGACTCGACTCGACACAACCGTGCAACAAAAACAACAAGACACACGCCAGCATGCCTCTATTGCAGCTTTCGCTACCCCAAAACGCAACCTCGGGCGGCGACCCTCAGACCCAGCTGGAGCTGTGGCTACAGGAGCACTTGTCTCTGGTGGGCCCGGCTTCGCAGCTGCATCTGCCGCAGTTCAAGATTGGCACTCTGGAGTCGCTGGTGCAGCTGTCCGAGGAGCTTCACAAGACGGACGGCCAGCTCGACGGAGCGCTGGCCAAGGTGGCTGACATCATCGGAGTGCTGCATGAGGGCTCGCCCGCACAGCAGGCGTTTTCCAAAAAGATCAACGACCGGTCGGAGGTGGACTACGTGCGAGACTTCCGATGGAACTCCAACAAGTACAAGACCGAGGGCGTGCCTCTGACCGAGCTCAGCAACAACATCACTGGCGAGGCGCTGTCTCTAGATCAGGACGTGCGGACCCTGTTCCAAAACTACCAGAACGCCAAGAGCACCCTGGCCTCGGTGGACCGTAAGCAGAGCGGCAATCTGTCCATCAAGTCGCTGCACGACGTTGTTGCCGCTGACGACTTTGTGCTCGACTCGGAGCATCTGCAGACGGTGCTCGTGGCGGTGCCCAACTCGCAGTCCAAGGAGTTTGTGGGCTCCTACGAGTCGCTGACCAAGATGGTGGTGCCGCGGTCGGCCCACGTCATCTCCAAGGACGACGAGTATACCCTGTTTGGCGTCACACTGTTCAAGAAGTTTGTGCCCGAGTTTATCCACAAGTGCCGAGAGGCAAAGTACACAGTGCGGGACTTTGAGTACTCTCCGCAGCGGGTGCAGGAGGAGCGCCAGGAGCAGCAGCAGGCCAGCCAGCAGGAGCGCCAGCTGTGGGGCGAGGTGGTGAGACTGGCTCGAACGGCTTACGCAGATCTCTTCAAGGCCATTGTGCACCTGCGGGTTATTCGCATTTTCGTCGAGTCCGTGCTGCGATACGGTCTTCCCCCCAACTTTCTCACAGCCACCTTTGAGCCCACCAACATCAAAAAGGCCAAGGACGCACTGGTGGAAAAGTTTGGATACCTGGGAGGAAACGCCTTTGCCAAGGACAAGGCCGGCAAGATCAAGAGCGACCAGGGTCTGGGCGAATTTGGTGGTCTGGCCGATCAGGACTACGAGCCGTTTGTCATTTACGAGCTCAAGTTGTATTAGATATTAACATGTTATGAATAGAGCAGTTGAGGGCGCTTGAGCACAACCGTGACTATGAGTCGTTCCTCTGCGTAGATTCTAGTTTTGGAAAAGTTGGGCATACAATACAAGGCGGTTAAGAGAAGCACAATTAACCGGAGTATTTTGTTAGAGGCAAGACTTCTGAATGATCTCGTGTTTTCAGTCACAGTGGAGACTACATTGTAGTAGCGTGATCTCACTCTCCCATGCCTACACTTTGGAGGCTCTAGGTAACGGTAAGTTTAGTTGAGAAATAGTTGAGGGTGAAATTCCGCTGGGGGTTCATTTTCGGTGTTCCAGCATATCTGACTCCTTGAAAGGTATACGAGGAGATGAGAAGAACATAGGGAATGGAACTTGTTTCAATAAATGCTCAGTTTTCAAAACAATATATGTTTTTAGATCCGTTATTAGTGTGAAAAGGACTAGATTATTAGTTGGATTCTAGTTGATAATTTACTGTACTGTCGTAATCCCCAGGTCTGATCGAGAGAGTTCAGCGAAAAGTCCACAAGTCGAGAAAAACAACGTCGGTATCTCAATATAAGCAAGTATCAACTCCTTTTAAACCCAGAACCATTCGCACAATCAGTTTTCACCTGAGACTCTCGCTTGAATGAACCGTCTCAACGTTAGTGGATGGTCCCTCCAAACCTGTGTATATATGTTTTCTCGTAGAGAAATAGAGACGTTACCTCCTAGACTAGAGGTCGTTCATGATAGTCGATCACCATCTCAGACAGTTGTCTGGAAAGCTGACCAAGAGTGTCAGACAGAGTAGGTACTGTACCTACATCTCCAAGTACAGTGTTGCACTCAAGTGCAAAGCGTTTGAAGGTCTATAGTCGGCTCATGACATGTGCTTGGTGTAATCTTTGTAGAAAGAGTGGTTCTGTCTACAAGTACCTCCTTCTCAGAGAAGAGCACGATGTGACTGACAGCTGCTGGGGAAAACGACAGAGACCAGACTTCCAGTGTAGGGTTTCCTCCAATGCCTTCTTGATGAACAATTGGTCATCATTTCAACCGGGAATACTCGTTCATCTATTTTATCGATATCTACCGGCGTCTATCGGTATCTATCGTTATCTATCAGTATCTTATCATCGACGTCCATGAAACACTGTGTTTCACTGATAGGAACTCGAGATAATTCTCGCCTCGCAAAACACCGGTTCTGGTAGACTCACAAAATCTAAAGTATAACAGTTGAACAAGCACCAAATTTAGTTCACAAAAGTTCCATAGTCAAGACTGTAGAAACAGCCATAGAACGAGCCTTTGAGAACACCGAGGATTGAAAAAGTCACTGCAAAACAGTAGACGTACTCCCCTCCCCCCCCTTCCGAGGAAAATGGAAGTCACGTGACCTCTGATTTCCGTAGCGCCTTGGTTGCATTTTTTTTAATTTTTTTTTAATTTTTTTATCACTGCTGGTTGCATAAAGTTCATCCTTGATCTCACCTTGATCTCACCTCGATCTCGCTCCTCGATCTCCTCGATCTCCTCACACAAATGTCACGACTGAGAGCAGCGACAAAACGACTGCTGGACCGACCAGATGACGTGGACGACGGAGTCACGGCGCCGCTAGACGAACAAGAGCAACTGGAGCTGCTCAAGTCGATGGAAATGGACATGGCCAACAGCAACGAGCAGTTTCGGTTTGCGTTTGCGGCGCTGGCGTGTCTGGAAACGCCCATTTTCATTGTGCTGCCCTATTGTCACAATCACGGCAACAAGCCGCTGGCGTACATGTCATTGACGGTGTTGCTGGTATGTGCGTACATCACCTACAAGGTCAAGGTGGACGACAAGGCTCCCAAAAAGTACCTGCTGCCCATGGCGTCTGTGCTGGCGGTTCTGATCCTGGTGCAGGCGTATCTCAAGCACGCGCCGTGGGTCGGCTACGACTATCTGTGGGTGATTCCAGCGTTTACCTGTTTCACCACCATGGTGATTCGCCACTGGATCAGCGAGAGCTCCAGTGATTTGCACAAGCTCAAGGGCATGACTTATAAGTTGAAGGGCGCATAGGCGGCACACAGACGGTGTGAAAACGGCGACACGAACGGTGTGAGAACGGAGACTCACAGGGACACTTTACGCCGAGGACCGAATGATACTCCGTCTCATGAAGCTATTGATCACGCGACAATGCATGACAGCATGTAAATGCAAACCGACAATAGAATTGGAAGTACAAGTGCGAGTGCTGTACGAGAGTCGAGCCGAATAGTTGCCGAAAAACGCTACGGTACAAGCACTTGTACTGTACAATACATTCGATCAACAGTTGTATATACAACCATCAACAATCGCACCATTCACATTCACGATAGCCCAAACCTACAGTACATACTGGACCAAGTACAGTAGTAAAAGTAATTAGTCTGCTTTCAAAAAGACAACAAACAGACTAGGACATGGTAGACCTCTCTACAGGTACAGTTGTACTTGTCGCTGGAGATACTACACTGCAAATAGACGGTCTAGAAAACGTTCTCATCGGAGATGAAGCCACGGGGACCGCCTGGCCTCTGCATCACGTGACCCCGGACTGTGCGCCTAAAAGACGCATGGTTCCGGCGTACTTGCATGTACATTCCTCGCAGCGACATTTCCACCACACTGGATCTAATCAAACCGCATACCCTAACCTCCCCCCTGAACCTAGACGGCTGACGTGGGTTTGGACTTAGCTCGATAGTTGGACAGTTGGAGATCTCTGTTGACTAAAACGCGCGCGGGTCGCCTCTCTTCTTTTGCACAACACGCTCGGCGGACCTCTCACTTTACCCCGCGGTTCTTCACACACATCACCAGTTGGCCAACATGTCAACCAACGTCAAGGTCATTGCTCGATTCCGGCCCGACGACAATGAAGACGAAAACATTGTGTCGTTCGACGGCAACGACACGTGTCACGTTGCGACCAAGGACTCGACGTCCACGTCGTTCACGTTCGACCGGGTGTTCGACTCGACGTCGCAGCAGGCAGACGTGTTTGAGTACTGCTTGAAGGAAACGGTGGACGACCTGCTCAACGGCTACAACGGAACGGTATTTGCATATGGACAGACGGGCAGCGGCAAGACGTACACCATGATGGGAGACATTGACCATGCCGAGCGACGGGGAGCGATACCGCGCATGGTGGACCAGATCTTTGAGCAGATCTTCGCCAGTTCCCAGGACATTGAGTACATGGTCAAGGTGTCGTACATGGAAATTTACATGGAGAAGATTCGCGATCTGCTGCATCCGGAACACGACAATCTGCCGATTCACGAGGACAAGGCCAGGGGCGTCTTTGTCAAGGGTCTCAGTGAGGAATACGTCAGTAATGCCGCAGAGGTGCATGCGGTGATGCGGCAGGGCTCGTTATCGCGGGCCGTGGCCGCCACCAACATGAACCAGGAGTCATCGCGGTCGCATAGCATTTTTTCCATTGCCGTTTCGCAGAAAAACGTGGCTTCTGGCGCCCAGAAAACCGGTCAGCTGTTTCTGGTGGATCTTGCGGGCTCAGAAAAGGTGGGCAAGACCGGCGCTTCGGGCCAGACGCTCGAGGAGGCCAAAAAGATCAACAAGTCGCTCAGTGCGCTGGGTCTGGTGATCAACTCTCTGACGGACGGAAGCACTCATATACCCTATCGAGATTCCAAGCTGACGCGAATTCTACAGGAGTCTCTGGGCGGCAATTCGCGCACGTCGCTGATCATCAACTGCTCGCCGACCTCTTTCAACGAGGCGGAGACGATTTCCACGCTGCGGTTTGGAGTGCGGGCCAAAAGTATCAAGAACCGGGCCAAGATCAACGCCGAGCTCAGCACCATTGAGCTGCGCAGGATTCTCAAAAAGTGCCAGGTCAAAATCGATGGCCAAAACAGCTACATTACGCGTCTGGAGGAGGAGGTGGCACAGTGGAGAAAGGGCGAAAACGTGCCAAAATCGCAGTGGGCCAAGGATAAGGCGTCTACGAGTAGCGAGAGAGAAACGCCCACTTCTAACAATCGGGACTCGATCGTTTCGCTCAGAAGTTCGCGTCCTGGCACTCCTCTAACTCCGTCGAACCGGCTCTCGTTCAATAGACGCGCCAGCACTCCCATTGACCAGCTGCTCTCTCGACGGTCTTCCACTGTGCTTGACTCGGACATGATTGATGAGTATCTGCGGCGAGAAAACGAGTTGCAGGACCAGCTGGTGGAGAAGGAAACAGTCATTTCTGAGCAGGACAAGCTATTGTCTGAGCTGCAGTCTGAGCTGACTCGACGAACTGAGAGTGACAATGAGACCATCAAGCTCAAGGAGACGCTAGAACGGGCGCTGCACGAGAAGAAAGAGCAGCAAGTGAGCGTGGACGTGCTCAAGGACGAGGTCAGTTCGCTCAAGAAGATGACAAAGAAGACCAATCCGGATCTTTTTGGCGGCTTTCTCGACGACAATGACAATATCAACCACTCGGGCATCAGCAATGGTACTCTGGGCGAAAGTGCCGCTTCGCAGGGTGTCAACAAGAGTCTGGCAGCTCTCAAAGAGACTCTGCAGCGCCTGGAAAACACTGAGGTGACTCCCGACTCTCTGGACCAGCTGTCGGACCAGATTTCGACGCTTCTCAAGGAGAACTCTATGCTGCGCCAGGACGTGACCACCGTCAAGTCCCGTGAGGAGGATCTGGTTCGGGACATTCAGACGCGCTGCGAGCGAATTGTGGAGTTGGAAATCAACCTGGACCAGATCAAGGACCAGCACAACTCCGCCAAGACCAAGAAGATGGCGCTACTGGAACGCAACCTCGAAAAGCTGACTCACGTGCAGCGGGAGATCATTGAGCAGAACAACGCGCTCAAGAAGGACGTAGAGGTGAGCAAACGGCTGCTGAGCATGCGTAACGAGCGAATCGAGACGCTGGAGCAGCTGTTGGCGGACTCACGGCAGTCGCTGGAAAAGGAAACCGAGTCGTTCCAGCTGAAACTGACCACCCTACGTGAACGCATGGTGCGTGTCAAGAGCACCTCCAATAGACAGGTGCGGCCTCTGCAGCTGCCCCAACAGGTGCTTGAGGGCGACCATCGCAGCTCGCTTTCATTTGAAGACGAGTTGAATATGGAGGTTTCCAACTCCAAGCGGCTGAGCACAGGTCTTTTGGATGCCGCTGCTCGTATCGTCAAGCCTCTCAGAGGGGGAGAACAGAACAGCGACCAAAAGTAGACAGCGAGAGACTGACAACATGTTATTTATAGTGTATAAAACATCATCTGAACAGAGACCATGGAAGGAATGTACTGTAGAAGTACATCACTGTATTAGTATTTGGACAACTACAAGTACATACTGTACATACAGTAGTATGATGGACTGTCAAATATTGGAGTTGTTGCGAACTGATCAAGTCGTTCCTGTATACAACTAATCGACACAAGCTGAAATGTAGAAAGTACTAGTAGAAGAGGGTAGAGCAAGGGTAGAGCAAGGGTGTACAAGTTCAAGTGAGTACACATGTACGTGTAACGGTACAGTACTTGTACCGTTGAAACATATTAATAGGATTGATGAATAGAAAAGTGTTAGATACCCACATAGCAGTCTGCGATTTAATCATAGCCTCCCTGAATCACCTTACGCATTCCGTAGTACTGGAGGTCCTTGAACTGACCCTCTTCTCTCCAGGGCTCGTTGAAGTACGTCTGCAGCGTGATGTTTCCCCGAGTCTGGGCCAGCATCAGGTTGACGGCCTGCTCCTGTCGATCTCTGGACGCAATTTGGTTGCCGTTGGTGATTCCAGAAGAAGGGTAGCCTGCGGAGGTGACAAACACAGACTTGAAAGCGCAGGCTCGTTCGGCTCTCAAGATTTCCCGGGCCACCAGCAGACCAGAGTCTCGATGGGCGTACTGGGGATGGTAGTAGGGCCAGACCTCGACGGAGACAAAGTCGATCGTGTCCGACCTGCACAGCAGAGGAAAGTTCTCAAACGTTTCGGCAGGCTCGGCGATACTGATGAGTCCACCGTAGCCCGCATTCTTGAGAGCCGCCTTGAGGTTCCACGTGAGGTTTTCGAGATCCATCCAGCCGGCGTGGTCGTTTTTGATGGCAGAATTGCCCACCACCACCGCCTCCACAGCGTTCCAGTGGGGCGACAAGTTGAACGAGTCCACAAAGACTCTCATTTGCAGAGACGCCGACTCGAGGCCGCTTCTGGTGACGGGAAACGAAACGTGCACCTTGAGTCCCAGCCCGTAAGCCAGTCGGACCACATGTTGGTGTTGGTCGCAAGTCACGCCTTCAATGGCCACCGCCTTGACGCCCTGCTCATGGATATCTTCCAAATCTTCCCAGATTCGCTGTTCAGTCTTGCAGAAGCCCTCGTCAGTCAGGGCCGCGTATCCCACAGCATAGGGAACGTTGGAGTTGTACTGGTGAGACTTGTAGCCAATGGCCAGAACCACTGAGGCTTGAGCGAGCAGGGTGGAGAGCTTCATGGTTGCACCAATATCGATAGAGGACCAGGCCCAAAAATAGATACCAAGCCCTACTTATAGGTATTGTTTGCAGAGCCATCAAGTTGCACCTGTCTCCATTGTGCGCAGGGGTATGTTTTTTGTAGACAGTGCAGTGTAGCAGGGTAGGTGGAGTCACGGCATATACAAGGGTATATGGTGAGGGGAGAAGGTTGGAAGGTCGGTGTATTTGAACTAGGAGAGAACAAGAGTGAGGAGCTGCAAAAAAAAGTTGCAATTGCGAATTCTGTGGATCGAACACAGGACCTCCAGATTTCAAGACTGAGAACTACTTCAGTCTGGCGCTCTCCCAACTGAGCTAAATCCGCGCGAAGTATGTTATAAAAAAGTGAACTTTGTACCCATTTTGAATTTTGGCAAGGACAGCCATGAATCATTAGAATAAAAAAAAAACCATTAGAATAAAAAAAAAACCATTAGAATAAAAAAAAAAGAACAAAAAAGAACAAAAAAAAAAGAACAAAAAAGAACAAAAAAAAACTGAACCATTAGAATAATAAAAAAAAGCGCAGCGCATACCGAAATATTTATCATGTATGTACTGAACGCCATTAACCCGAATACTGGATATATAGCTGTAATGGTAAAAAACTATGTTAGAATAAATATATATGGAGGTGTTTTTAATCATTGCTGGTAGCGTGTTTCTTTAGCGCGAGTAGACTTCACAGCCATTGTGATAATCCTCCTAGAGTGATGATGACGCCTGGCGCTTGTTCGCCACCGCGTATCCGCCTTCCGTCACGCTATGCTGCGGACACTCGGGCGAACAAGTGAGCGAGATCTCGCGGGACCTCAGAGTCAGTACCCATTACAAGTAGGTCAGCTCTGCGCATGGCTCGCTCAAAATTGCCACGAGGCATGGGCGAGCTCCCGAATGTAGTTCAATGGGTCGTCCTTCTCCAATAAGATCCAGTCCGTCATCTTGGATCGGACACAGTCTTCTGGAAATGGCCTTGGACGCTAGACAGTTGACAAAAAGATGCTCGTGGAGGTAGTCCTTTTGTTTGAGAGTTGGCAAGAACTACATCAGATGTCTCTGTAACGGACATATTCCGATATTCCGATTTGGGGTACCTCCGAGTGAAGGGGAGTTGACTCAGCCGCAGCTTGCGTAGAGTTGCAGCGCTTCTATCATCACACCTGTAATGCCTTCTCAGAAACTGGGTGGCCTTAAGTTAGTGCAGGTGATACAAAATATCAGATGGAAGCTAATACCATTCTGATCCATTGTTGGCTGATTGAGTCATAGGCCTTCTTGAAGTCGAGCATGTCAAGCATCCGAGACTCTCTTGCCATACACATTGTAGTATGTACTGTAGTGCTCAATCGCATCGAGGTTGGTAGTCATCTGCCTACCAGGAAAGAACAAAACCGGCCTGTGCTGGGTGGAGTTCAGGGTTTTCTGCATACGAGGCTAACAATGTGAATGAAGAGAAGATCTTCAGCTCGATCAACGAGATGGGGCGGTAGTTGACGACATCGATGGGGTCACCATCCTTTAGAAGCAGGCGGATCACCAAAGTGTTTCGTTGTCGGGACACGGGCTGGCTTCAGAGACCCCAAAAAGGAGGTCCTTGAACTGGTCAAAAAACTTAGCATAGAGCTTGTAGGTGAGGGCAGGTCTTGAGGGTATCTCATAGCTGTTCCTCCGTAAAGGGGCCCGTTGAATGTCCTCTTTCATCATCTGATCAAGAACCGACCTTGGTATGTAGAAACTTTGGGTATCTCTTTCAAAAACTCTTCGAAGCCCTCGGGGTTGCCTTTGTGCTTGTAAATGTCTGTGAAGGAGAGCTCAGGCTAATGTGTGTCTGAGAAAAAGGTGTCATCAGGCCCTCGAAGGGATATAATGTTGGTGCTCTTGACGCAGGTCTTGACTACCGCTTTCATTGGCAGGCACGTGGTCGTCAAAAGGTAACCGAGCCTTCAGTGCCTCATCCTGAATCTCCTGAAGACGTTCGAGGTTGTCTCTTCATTCGTCCCGGAGACAAATAGCCCTCCTTTTGGAGTCCGACTGAATTTGAGACTGAATCGTCTCAACAATAGAAAGCAACCGGAGCTCCGTAAGTAGAGGTTCTCTCAGGGCAAAAGCATTGTCAACTATCTTTGTAAGCCGGGGAAGATACTCTGAAAAATAGATGTATTGAGATTCTCTCCATGCTGGGACTGAAACTTGAAGGAGCTCTACACTGGGAAGTGGGAGGACCTATCCTGGTGTTGCAGGAGTTCATGGGTGGAAGAAACTCGAGGAGACGTTTACACACGAACACAAAATCGAGAGGTCTGCATAATGTGTAGTCACTTTTGGAATGTCCGGGGCCTCTGTTTGTGTGAGTGTAGTTTGGAGGTTTTCCTCTTTCAACCAGGTGTGTATAGACATCAAAGAGAGGTCGAGACACCCTCGTAGTGTTGAAAGGGAGAGCTTGTTCGTCGATCTTGGGAACTGCAATGGCATTCCAGTCTGCCATGAGATTCCAGTCTGCCATTATATCGTACCCAGGAGGATCTCGATCCAAAAACCGCACAGATCTGAGTAAAACTTCTCGCTTCGCCACGTGGGATCTTACTAGAAGACGTCACGACTCCCCTTTATGCTGTCGCGTGGTTGTTGTCGCTCTGCTCCACCGGGGCATGGACGCGGCGGAGAAGAGTCGAAGCAACACCGGTGCCCTTGATTTGGATGTCAGCTCGTAGGAGCCGTGGGTTTAGACTGGGGAATCCATCAAAGGTGGTCGTGCACTGTAAGAGATGTATCCGGTCAGATATGATCAGCCCGTCCCTCAAAATTGGCCTCTTCCGAGCCGAAGAACATATGGCCAGGGCAACACTGTTCAGCTGGGTGACCAAGACTCAACATTCGTCTCCTGAAGGAGTAGGATATCTGATGTCTGTTGTTTGTGTCCTGTCAAATGACACTAAAGGGGATTGCAGAGGGAACCGACATTCCACCGGAGGACTTTCAGTGTTGGACACTACTTTATCGCCATCTTCTGCATACACATGTGGCGGTTTCGGCTGGGGATCCTGCTGGGACTGGGTGTTGGGAACAACGGGTGGGGGAACGGGAACAGGAGCGGGAGCAGGATCGGACGGGGTAACGGCGATAGACATATCCATGTCCCCCATTGGACTCTGGTACCAGAAATAGTTGAGAGGGGATGTTACCAGGTTTCGGATATCGTCTCCTTTCTTGGTGAAGATCAGACGACGGGATCTCCGGAACGATGGAAGACTTGGTGGGGGACTCGTACTTCTTTAGTATCTTGACTTGGGCTTGGAGCCCTTTAGATGCGAGGATCGAGAGTTGTGTGTCCGAACCAGACGAGTCTTGGAGATGTGCGTCACTGAGCCCCCTGCCGAAAAGTTTGCGAGAGAGTTCACACCATCCAACCTCTCCTCTATAAAGATGTCCCCAAACCTGTTTCCGTTGAAGTTTTTTTTTTTTTTTTACCCTTGATTGTGAAGTTTTCGTTTCGAGTCTCCTTCGCTGAGTGCTTGTGAGTCACCTGTTGATAATCTGGTGGCGGTCAATGGTACCATGACTCAGATATATATTCATGGTAAAGCCATGGCTGGGGCCTGCAGGGAGCCGTTTCTAACTCCGTCAGCCTCAGCACAAGATTATTCGACTGAGTTCGCATCTTGTCTGGACTTGGCCTTGGCCTTGTCTTCCCTGGCCTTCAGAGCCTCTGTCTCCCAGTGGTGGGTGACTGCAGCAGAAAGGGGGTTGGCAATAGCCCAACACGGGTCGTGAGGCACCAGGTGACCCATGGTAAAGCCACGGCTGGTGCCGTGTCTACCCCGGCCTGTATTAGCACGGGATTCATTAGCTGACTTCTCCTCTTGTCTGGCCTTGTTCTCGGCCTCGACCTTTGACCTAACCTCGGCCTCTGCCTTCTTCTCCTCTTCCCTGGCCTTCAGAGCGTTTATCCACCACTCGGGCATGACGGGCTCAGACAGGGGGTTGGCAATAGCCCAAGACGGGTCTTCAGGTATCTCCTTGCCCATGAGCTTGTCGTACACGTGGGGGATCACTTTGAGGTCCCGAGGGGGTCGGAGAATCGCTGGGTCGCACTGGTTTCTCAAATGCCTGTTGTGCAGGCAATTGAAGCAGACGCAGTCTCCCATGGCAAAATGGGCAATGATAGCTCCCATGGGGCCCGGGGGGGCGAACAGGGGATTTACGTTGAAATGGACATCACGTAGATGCTGGTTATCAGCGAGGAAGTTGATTTCCGCCACCATGTAGGCGCACTTGAGGTTAGCGTGATGAAATTATGGGATGCTTATTGATCCGGGCTTGGGGAGACTATCGAGCGAACTCGTCAATAAAGCTCTGGAACCAACCTCGCTCCAGGTAGGACAGCTGCTTTCTGTCCCCCAGAAGACAACGAATTCCATCGGGAGCCCGAAAGAAGTAGAAGGCTCGGAGCGGCGCCACTCTTCGGCGGGAGCGGCAGTGGGTGTTGGTTTAGACAACCACTCCTTCCTCCTTTAGGGCATCACAGACATTTCGTCGGGTTTTTCCCGTGTCGGCACTGGGGATCTTGGCTTTAGCCGCGAGAGCTTCTTTGAGATAGGTGTAGTACCCAACAGCATCGTTGGTGGCATTATGCCCATCCTCGGGGACGAGGGAATAAGCGAGAGGGTTGATTTTGATATCTTCCGACGCATAAATTTAGCCCTTGGGTTTCTTATCTCCAGGGGGGTCCGATTTCCCGTCAAGAGCATCATCGTTGGTGCTGTTGATGAGGTGGTCACCACCAATGGGAACAACGGAAGAAGTAGCAGACATGGTTGAAAGTGGTGTTGTTTGAAAGCGGATGATCGGAGGAGTAACTTCGTGTGGTCAATTATCTATTCACTGTATCGAATCTCATGGAAATTGGATTTGAAATTCTGCCAAAGTGAAGATTTGTTTAAGAAAGTTTTTCTCTCGTTAAAGAATAAGAAGAAAGAAAAAAATAATTAAAAAACGGAATAATTACTTACACTAATTACTGTTGGGATTGTTGGGGAAATTAGCTGCAATGGATAATTATATATAAAAAATAAATAGACCAAAAATATAAAAAAATCCATAACGCGATAAATACTGGACAGAAAAAATTGAAATTCTTCTGATGGATAAATCCGGTCCTATTTTGCAATTTTATCATCACCACATTGTGCTAATTTCGATACTCTGAGAAGGCATTGTGGTAATTTCTCTACGTAGTTCTGCTGAGTGTTGTTGGTCGAAAACTACGACGCTACTGTACTAAAGCAGGAAACAAACTAAAAGCTGAGATAGACAAAAGAACCCATGGATGAAGACAGACTTGATTCACTTTCGACGGAGCAATTACCACTCTTGACTTCTTCGGTTCACCCGCCCACTCTTCCAAGCTCACATGAGAACTCCAACCATGTGTACATCCTTCGTACGATGAAGTTCTACGGACGCAGCTGAGCACCCCGAGAGAGTTCCTCCTTTCGAAAAGACCTTATTTTCAATGTCCCTTTGAATCTCAGCATGGACTGATCTCTTCAAGTCCAGTCCCATCCATGTACAACCGCCGATACTCGTGGTTCTCGGCAAGGACAAGGAGTTGTAGAAGCATCTTGGTAACTGGGAGCGGAGAAGGATCTGGACTTGAGATCCAAGGAAGAAACGTCCGGTTATTCATCCTATGAACATCATGCTGTTCTTCCCACGATTTGTCGCATACTACAGGTAGCGCATTGGACCTTCCTTACAAGTACACTGCACAGTATGTTACTTGTTACGTCTCAGCAGTCGAAGACGAGACTATAAGCTGATATATATCTTTCTAGTTCAATTTTGTCACAGTCTACAATTTGTATCATTTTACCAAACACTTGCGCTTTGGAGGTTTTGTTATTTACATTTCTGAGCTTTTTCAGAGCTTTTTCAAGAGTTTCAAGTGGAACAGACTGTAGTCTCGAGCGAGGAATACTGTTGAGATATATACAAAGAAATTATGTAACCACAAATAATTCCATGTTATACATATCTGTAATGGTATTCAAACGAGAATGTTCTAAGCCGGCTCCTTTGCTCTGTTTTTTTTTTTTTTTTTTTTTTTTTTTTTTTTTTTTTTTTTTTTTTTTTCTTCATATGCTGCACGTACTGTGATAAGCATTACTTGAGAAGGTCTCCCACACTCCATTTGCATTGGAAGTAAATTTTTGGACGCGATGTGAAGGTCTGAAATAACAGGGTGAATGGAAACCTCGATGTGGGTGACGACACTACAAGTACTTTCCATTCTTATGGAGTAAATCACTCAGCTGAATTTGAATCTGATGGCGTACTCAGTCGCGCGTGCTCAGCCGTTCCACTACTTGTAGATGCAAAGACTCTCCAGAGAGAAGAGTCTGGTTATTAAGTCGCTAGTGTGTTGGTTTTTTATAAAAGTTTGTTTTATTCAACATTTGTAGGATTCGATGCCACCGAATGAAATTTGCCGGATTTTTTTATTTTTTTATTTTAATTCTTTTTAATTCTTTTTTAATTCTTTTTTAATTCTTTTTTAATTCTTTTTTTATACCTTCAACTCTTTTCCAGCCCTTGTTAGTTGAACCCTACTCCTACTGTACACCAAACATGCATGTCTCGCAGAACTGAAATATTCCATCAACACAAACCACCACCTTTTTGACCCAGGTCCTACACACTTGTGCCACTTCAAATTCACCCGGGATTCTGATCCTGACTCTTGCGACAGCCTTGGTTTCTCAACGAGCAACTCGACCTGTGAACTTGCAAACTCCAGACTCCACAAACTGGATACTGGATGGTACAAGAACCAACGCTGTAAGCAAATTCTACGGCCGATTTTGATCTGTGAGTATTGATCCGAGTATCGATCTGAGTGTTGATCTGAGTATTGTCTTCTTATGATGGTGATGAACTGTACAGTACTCGCGGTCGAGAAGCGGTACGCTCCCGGAACGTTGGCTGTACAGTACTCCATTTTGTCCATTTTCGAACAGTTACTAATGCAGTCCCAAGCTATTGGAAGATCAAGTTGTCTTTTCCATACACTCCTCGTCTGTCACACCAAGTATGCCACACGCCTCACCATCGTTAACTCCCCATCCTTACCCCACACGACATGAATGGCAAAGGATTATTCAGTGACTCAGAACCAAACGGGATACGAACATGTGACTGGCACGCAGATGTCAAGTGGTACGACGCCTCCGATGTCCTGGACAACCCATTTGACCAGGAAGACGACGGCTACGGGGCTGATAGCGAAGACACAGACGACGACGATACCGACTTTGATGTGTCCATCACCACATTTCCTTACCCTTGGTTGTCGAAATTGGTAGTCACTCACAACCAGAAGCCTGCAGCGATCATCCACAAGAAACCTGTTGAGATGACGATGATGTACCAAGGTAGGCCTGTGGCTTTGTTTTATCGCAGATTCAGCTCTATTCTCGAAGAGATGACAAACGACTTGACTTTCACTACCACCCCAAAAAAGGAGGCTCGACAGCCACTGTTATTGTCAGTTACTCCCCATACTCCGTCAGCACACACAGCAGCCGAATATTCCATGCCGACGACAACAGCCGAGCACTCTGGACTGATCAAGATTGACGATACCCACGACTCTAACAACTCAGACTGGTACTCCCCGCCGGAACCTCTAGAGCAAATCTCTCAAGTCGTTCCTTTCGAGTATCACAACAACGGCTACTACTCGTACGCTACTCCTGACACACCATGTCCTGCATCACCATATGTGACCTGTTCGAGCGACTTTGGATCACTTGAGGAATGCTCTCGAGTATTCCCTCTAGAGCATCGCGTAGACAAGTACTGCGACACCCCTGGTGAACCATCTCCTACGTTACCATGTGTCATCGATTCAAGTGATGACGATTACCCTGAGTCTGTGATTTCTCTTAGCTCAGGAGACGATTCTGTCATCTGCCTGAGTTCTGATGATGACGCCTCCGACTGTGACTCTGTCATCTCACTCAGCTCTACAGAGTCTGACTCTGTTATCTTTGTAGGTGCCTCTACTTTGAAACGACCCAGAGAGGAGCCGAAAAAATCAAAACCACAAGAGAGGGGCCCTAAAAGGATCAGATATGATCCTGCCTTGGAAGAAAGTACACTTCAGGCATATGTTTCACCTGGTAATAGTCAGCGCACATACTATGCCGTCAAATATTCTAGGCACCCTGGGGTGTTCACTGACTTCAATGTCGCGCTTAACCACTCCACCAGACCCGAAGATGTTCATAGGTTTGACGATCTTCAAGATGCTGCGTATTTCTTGGAAAGCAGACCGAAATTCTTCGAGGCCACCCAACGCCAACACTTGAACATACGTGGCAGACCTGTCTTCGAGGTATTCAGTGACGGGTCCAGTAAGGTGGATTCTGATGGGAAACAGTGGGGTGGTTTTGGGGTATGGTTTGGCCATTACCATCCAGACAATGTGGCTGGACCATTGACGGGTGATCTCCAGGATCCCCTACAAGGAGAGCTTCGAGGTCTACTTGAGGCGTACAAGGTACTCTATAACAGGCATGACGATCTCCTGTATACAATCTACTGTGATTGCTATGCTGTGGTCCAGAAACTTAACGCAGGGAAGAGCTTTCCACGCAAGTATCACACCATCGTGACAAGCATCCAACTGTATAAGCAGTTGCTGGGCATGAAAGTGATGCTCCGGCATATCGTGGGGCATTGCGGTCACCCTGGAAACGAACGGGCAGACATTTTGGCAAAGATGGGAAGAGTCCGAAGAGATGGTCGTATCTCATGCATGAATGCAGTCATGGAGGACAGATACAGGAGGACCATTGGTGAAGACTCGGCGTATCCATTCAATGGAGTCAAGTTGGACTACCTCTTGGACAGAAGAGATTGGCCACAAAAGATGGGAGCGCAGAAGAGGAGAGCTTAGATTTGCAGTGTGCAAAAAGGTCACAGTCCTTACACCCACTTTACACCCACTGGTCTACTGGTGAGGAGGTTCTCTGTCGACTCACTTCTGCCCCTCCCGTCGTATTACTGTCGGATCGACCAGATCTGTCCCACTGCGAGGCAGATTGAGCGAATTTATCCCGATCTAAGGCTTCAACCAACGTGACCCATTGCTACTGAAGTATTCGAGTTTCAGCAGCCCTAGGAGCTCCGGCATCCCATGAGTCGGAAGTCTACAAGTCCTAGTTAGGCGTGGACCGATTAAATTTCATAGCAACTCTCAGAGCCGAAACTCAATGGCTGATAGGATATTACAGACGGTTTCAGTTTACGACTGCCGGAGTACCGGATTACCATTTGTCCTATGTACTCCACCAACCCTATGGGGGGCGTGACCTGTGATCAAGGGACACGAGCAGATGTGTCAGGGAAAAAAAGTACGGTTAACGGTAAGAGAGGTGGTCGTGTTTGTTCAATTGAGTTGGTTGTGTTCGATCAATTGAATGGCTGTGTAGACGATTCAGTCTTGGTGCAGCAAACACAGCCCACGCCATATCCTATCCCTGTCCGAGGGCTGTGTCGATACTACGGACCCACCACAGACCCACTCACCCTCTTTCTTGGCTTGCTGCCATCGCCGATTAGTAGCAGCAGGCTTGGAGCTCATTTCACATGATTTGCGAAGTCAATCTCTCGTTTTTCTCTTCTCCAGGACTGCATTCCAAACTTACTCGGAGTTTCCGTCCTTGCTCTGGATCGGGGTGCCAAGGATATGGCGATGGCGATGAATAGCGCCATTTGAGGGGACGGAAAGTGTGTCTGGAACCAACGCGTCGCAACACCAAGAACAGACGATACGCCATTTTCCACCTTCTTTTTTTAGCCTGTCACATTCCGGGCTGAGTGGTGGTGGATTACATAATGCATCTGATAAGGTAACTACAGGTACACTGTACGCGATGAAACAAAAAAGATAAAAACGGGGAAATAAAATTTAAAATTTAAATCCTATAAAATAAAATCCAATAAAATAAAATAAAATAAAATAAAATAAAATAAAATAAAATAAAATAAAATAACATCTTACAAAATACTTTTACTACACTGACACACACTGACACTTGTGAAGAAAAAAAAAATCATTCAATAAATAATCTATGTACGAAGAGGCCAGCGCCAGCACTGGCTCTGGATGAGAGGTTAGTAGACGCAGCGATGAATGCTTATTGCTGCAGGAGCATCTCGTTGAAAGTGAGATTATCGGAGCTTTGAACCTTGTGATGGGTGGCAAAAGTCGCGTCCGCCATAACGTCTGTGTCAGGCTCGCCAAAAATGTGCACGTTGTTGTCCACCGTCATAGAGTAGTTGTCCTGCTCGTCCTCCTCCTCGCTCTCCTCCTCGCTCTCAGTCTCTTCGTCCGAAGACTCGTATTCGGGAATGTCTTCCATGGGTGTGGGTGCCGAGGGGGCCTTTCGCATGGGCTTGGCAGGCTCAACAAATTGCACCTGGTATCGCGATCGTCGGTACTCCAGCTCGTCGTAGAGCGAGTCCATGAGATTGGCGTGTGCCACGAGCTTTCGCAGATTGAGCTCGGGCTTGTATGACTCTCGGGCCAACTTGTTTCGGGCTCGAGAAGACATGAAGTAGATGTCCGCGGTCGAGGTCTCGGGCACTGTGGAGATGGTTGTGGGGCTCATTGTGTTGGTCTTGTGGATGTGTCGGCGCTAGCTGTGGGGTTTGTGTTTGGTGCTCCCCAGAAAAGGAGGGGTTCCCGGTCTATATATACATGTCTGATCTCCATGCACCTCCGGTGTGAGTAATGGTTGTAGCACCGTTTTGCATGCCGATCCCTGCATCGGAGGTTACGGACTTAATTTTGGCTTGTCCGAACCCAGCGGACTTGCCATCGCCAAACTCTATGACACACTCGTCTCTTTTTAGCTCTGGGCTTTGCTTTTCCATTGACTTTGTCATCTGTCTTCGCGTTCGTCTTCATGGCGACAATTGGTTGTTCTGTCCGGTGCTGTACAGTATTGTACTTGTAATCGCACTCGTACCGGTCCTCCACAAGATTCCCCTGCCGGTCCATGCTCAACAACTGTGGGATTACTCACAATGGGACATTGTGTGCACACTTGCATGCTGCGTGTATGACTCTGGCTCGCAACTTTGTTAGGGTCTTTTGGCTGTGCGGCTATAGACTCGGTTTTTTTTTTTTCACCAGGAACCTGCTAACTCCGCCAAACTTCCGTTCCGCCAGCACGGAGCGGACCTAAAAAAAAAAAAAAAAAGAAAACCCGGCCAGAGCGAAAGATGGCCAAGAAACCAGACAGAAATTGGGGAGTCCCACATAGAGCAAAATGACTGCGGGCGACACATGTGTTGCCGGCTCCACTTGCTTCCCACGCGAGGTGGCTGCTGACCAATATCCCTCCTCCAGCAGCCAAAATTCGCCACGCAAAACTCTATGATTAATTCTCGAATCAAGCGCCTCAAGACTGGCGACTCCAAACCCCACAAATGGGGAATTGCGAGCTGCTCGAGACCGGAACACGTGCCAAGAATCCACAAACACCCATGTGAATCGATTCGCCGCATCAGCTTGACTTTGCGCGCCTCAATCCTCCCCCCCTCCATACGGCTGACGGCACGCACGGTTGCTATTCAATCCGATGCGCTGCATGGCTCGTAAAATTTGTAAGCGAACCCAACGGGCTGCATCGAAATCGGCAATACGACATTAGTCACTGGCAACTCCAGCTCCCAACCGCTCCGTAAACTGCAGTTCCTGCAGCTGTCAACCTCGTAGCTGTCGATGATGGCGTGCTTCAGGCTCACGGGGAGATTGGCACGTCCATTTGTAACACATTTGTTACACGCTCGCAACCAAACACCCGTACGATGGCTAAATATCACGTGGATCGCAACAATTCCAGCTTGCCAAGAGTGGCTTGGGGTCTACAAGTGCTGGAAAGCAGCGCGGGACCCAGCCGTCTTGGCTGTAACACCGATCGAGATAACACTATCACGACACCACGAATATCGGCCTATAACGAAAGCCGAACTACCTCAGTGTTGCACCTGCCATGCACAGAAAATGCATATTGTACGCATGTACGGCCCATTCTGCACAGCGAAGCACCATCGGACGTTTCCAAATCTCCGACCTCGGGTGCAAATATATGGGTCGATAAGAGCTGCAGAGGTATGGAAGAGTTTTCTCTCACTCTGCGGGCCCTTAGAGTTGACTTTTCACGATGCTAAAGATCCCGGCTCCCACGTTTGAGAGGCCTGTCTGGGAGTTGGGAGAGCTGGGCCAAAAAACTCCCCTGTCAGTTGAGACGACGATAACAAACGTCATTATAAGGCGATATGGACTTCGAACGGCTTCAAACAGTGCCAAGCTGTTGATAATCGGCATTTTGAGCACATTTTAGGGTTATCTTTACCCTCTGTTTGGTGTTGTGCGTTGCGGGATTTGAGCCGAGGTCCAATCGTCCAATAATCAACCTGCTTTGGCACAACCTCAAAAACTCGAAATGCAGCTAAAAATAACGGTTGAAGTATTTGTATAGGCAGATCTGGTCTTGGCAATATTAAAAAGGGGCTGCACCAAGATAATGCACCTTTATGATATCGTGGAGGCTGTGTCTAGCTGTTGCAGAGCAGATGTGAAATCATCATGGAGACGTAGAGCACATGTAGCTATTTCTCGGTGCTGTTCGTGTACAGTTCAGCCTAACCTCGACGATGGGAAAAGGTGTATCACGCAGGCATGTGTTCTGTTCTTTAGGTGTGACCCTTTTTTTGCGAGCGAAACGTTCATTGAGCGAACGTTTGCTGGAGCGAAGCGAAGCTAGGAGCTAAAGGAATGGGGGAGCAACATCTTGGCATCTACCAAGGTGTAGGAAACGTGGCCATGTTATCTCGGAGCTGGTCATGTGAGACTGATGCCATGTTAGAGTGGAGGAACTGTAGAGTAAGTGAAAGCATGGGTGAGCAGAACTGACCGGACTGAGCTGACGGAGCGGACTGAGCGGGCGGAGTTGGACTGTAAATATGTGTCCTCAGTATCTAACTCACTGGGTCATTGACATCATCCATTGTCACTCGTAAACTGGATTCACGGTCTCTTCAACGCGGACAGCACACATCTCACCAGAACATAATGCCTCAGACAAAATCAATAGCCGACCCCGCAACTTTGGATGAGCATTGTGGAGTTTGAGTGTAAGTCTGCGTGTGAGCTTGAGGGCGAGCTAGAGGGCGAGCTTGAGTGTGAGCTTGAGTGTAAGCTTGGAATGAGAATGAGTCTCTCAGTTGCAGGGTCTTGAGGTTGAGCTTGGCCACCTGCTCCCATGACGTCGCTTCGAGTTCCATACTTCTCACACGCATGCGTGGATTTGATGGAAAGTGAAGGAAACGAGCCCTTGAAGCACAATGGTTATGCTTGTTTTCTCGGAAAAATTCTCACCAATCTCATGTGAATTGGTGAGGAAGCCTGTGGATACAGACCATGATGCAGAATCATGTCCATAACAAAAAGTTCGCCTGATGGACACTATCACTCCTGAATTGTGACTTTTTGGTGAAGTACAATCCGAAAGACTCATCTGGTGGCCGAAAAACGGCTAGCCGAAAGACTGCTGGCAAGACTGGTGGTGAAACCAGCTCCCCACTCTCAATGCCATGAGGCTCGGTCCAAGAAGATCTAAGCCGGAAAAACAACGGATATTGTTGCCTCCAACTCATCAGGCGAATCGGTCGCTCCTGGATGCCCCTCTACAGCCTGACAAGATCCCGTTTGTCGTGCTGACTAAGATACTCTTCACTCTGACTCAGCCACATTCGCCCGAGGATACTCTCCACGGACACTTGTGCGATTATATCTCCTCACCGTCCCCGTCACGTGCTCAAATGGGGCGTTTCGTAAAGACGCAAAACGCTCAGTAAATTCAGCGCCATGTGCATAATCCATCTCACGGAGAATAAGGCACGGGCACAAACCCATGAAGACAAAAAATGAGAGAAAAAATGAGAAAAAATGAGAAAAATGAGAAAAAAAAAACATCTGGAGATAGCTGTTGTGTTTCATTAGACGATGCACTGATTTCTTCTTTCTTCTGGTCAGTGGAAGGCGCCGCCCAAGCACAATTGCTCTTCGATAACGCAGCTCAACCGCTCTTCATCGGTTATAAAATCACAAAACAACCCCACAAGCCGCAACATGGCTTCAGAAACAAAATCGCCCATCTATACCTCGTACAAATACCAGCCAGACCCTCGCAGTTTCAATCTTCCACTCCACCTCCCGTCCACCACTCTATCCAATGTCTATGTACATGACTCCTCGGAAACAAAAGCCCCAGGCGGTCAACGTCTGCTGGCCCGTTCTAGATCTGGACGAGATCATCACGATTCTGGCAGGCTTCGAGCTCAACTTGTCGGAAGATCAGCTCCTGAAACCAACCCAGCAGGTGGTGGAAACCATCTACATTCGACTGGTCTCCTCTCTACTGGGCTCAGATCTCGAACGGGTGGCCGAGGCGTTCAGCCAGTGCGCAGCCCAAACGCAGAACGAGTCGAGTCTCTACGACGGCTTTGTGTTGTTGGCAGTGCAAAAGCCGATTTTCCAACTGTTCCAGGACTGTGGCGTGCACGACTTCTCCATGGACGACATTCTGCATCCGACCGCGAAGCGTCTCAGGCTACTTCTTTCGGCATTCATCAACTACGCTCGTTTCCGCGAGTGTCGAGAAGAATGGGCGCTGTACATGAAACAGTCCCTGGAGGAAGAGAATGTCAGAATGGAGACACGAACCCAGGAGAGAAGGCGAAAAATGGAGCGTCTCAAACAGCTGAGACTTCTGGTGGCAGAAAACTCACTCGAAGACGAACTGGCCAGCAACGAAGACAAAAAGGCGCAACTCAACAAATTGGCTGACATGAACGTTGAGCTCGTGGAGGAGAAAAACAACTTCAAGAGCAGGCTAAGGGCCGTGGTTTCCCGCTTGGACCAGCAGCAAAATCTCGTCAATAGGTTGAACGGAGACATTTTTGCGCTCAGCACCACCGTTTCGCAAGACCCAGTGGCCCTAAGAAGCCATGCAGACGCCATGCACCAGCAGGTGGCCCACAAAAAGCATCTCTCCGACACGCTGAGTCAACGGGCTCAGAAGTTGGACATCTCCATCCAGTCTCTCAAACAGTTCAGAATCGACATGGACGCTCTCAAGGCTGCGTCTCAGAACCTCGACACGGAGAAATCCAACCTCGAAGAGATTCACGACCGGCATCTTCGTCTCTCCCACCTCTATGACCAGTCTTCGCTGGAACTGGAGAATGGGAATAGAGATGCCCGGAGGTCGCAGCACGAATGTGACCAGCTGGAACAGAAGATCCAGACGGTGAAGCATCAAATGGAGAAGCTGAACCAAGCCGCAGAGACAAGAATGGCTACCCTGAGAAGACAGCTGGGGGTCGAGTATGGCGAGAAAGCCCTAGTGCTGCAAAACATTGGCATTGTCAACGAGGATATCGCTGCCATTGGGGTTGCTTCAGCCGCCATGAGAGAGGCGTATATGGTTGATTACAAGAATGCCACAGCCGAGGCTGAACGGGCTCAAGCAAATCTGGCTAGTTATGTGGCCAGGTTGAAAAATGGGATGCTTTGAGATAGAAATTAAAGATTTACAAGTACATGTACAGTACCTACGTAAATGTAATATCGAAATCGCGATACCACCACTTGCATAATCTATGCAATTATGTTGCAACTACAGTATGTGTCAAATAAGGTTATTTCCGAGTATATACTTTGATGGGTTAGGGTATTATGTGTATTGAAGGGTTAGGGTATGTAGTATTTCGACTTGTATCCAGAACAGGTTATTTGGGTTAGGTTTCTTTTTATGCATGATGTGCGTATTTTATGCGGTATTGTGCGACTGTGGAAATCTGCGAGATGGGACAATCTCTTGAGGGGATATTACGCGTCGCAATCTCATTCTCATATGGAAAAAAGTACAGAAATTCCTGAATTGTCAGAAGCTGCAACATATTCGATTCTTTTTTGACGTCGTGTCCAATTTGGGGATAGTTGAACAGCCACAGCTAAGCCGCCGGGGTCTGACGCGTATTTACGCGGTTGCTAAGAAATTGAGAATCTTCAGTCAGCAACAAGGAGGCTCGTCGGTTGCGGATGGTCAACGGCGTGTCTAAGTCTCTTGAGAACGGGGGAGGTGTAGATAGCAGTAGGTGCCGAGGTTTCAGGGTGTTTTTGTTGATGTCTTCATACTTGTCCATGTAGAACCACGTCTTCTGGCTACAGTATATCTCGTGACGGCCTCTGTAGGAGGAGCAATTTGAACCTCAGTCCAAAAAGAATCGAGCTACCGGAGCCTGCAACCCTAATTCGGACAGTTAGCGGGATCCCAATTCCTACCTGAAGTCCACAATTTGGCGGTATGAGTGTACAGTATGTACATTACATATGTACTACAGTGATATGATGCCGAATCAGCTGCTGCAATTTCGAAGATTGCAAAATCATCCGAATCGAGCTCGATATGGATGAGTGAACCCACAGAGTCAGAATACATAGCCAGTTTTCCAATGAGACCCGCGTAGGGCAAGATACCTGGGCTCGGAATACCCGACAGCCATTTTCTGTAACTTTGAACGTGACACGTGAACACAACCGGAGCGTGTGTGAGGACTGAAGCACGTGATGGGAAAGGTTGGTACAGCACGAGTACAATCATCGGGTCATATTCGACATTCGGGCATTCATTACGTAGACATTTTCGAAACAAGGATCACCGACAAACAGGCTACAGATAGCCAGACTGCCACCACTGCCATGGGGCTCTAACAGGCGGCACGTGAGGTAAGAAAGAGCATAATACATGTTGAGGCGACACCAGAAAGAGTACACCTTTCACCAATACTACGCGGTAAGAGGCATCCCGGAGCCTTCCCGAAACACGTCTCATGTTGAGAGGGGCGACCGCGACGTCTCAAACGTCCCCAAGAGACATACTTAGTTGCAGATGATGACTATCGTCTGGTAATTTGATATATTCACTTTCAAATGATTTTTTCACGTTTTCACGATTTCTGAACGCGTACAGCGCTGGTGGATGTTCAACTTACTCGATTAGGTTTCCGGTGACCATATTAGAGTTTCGGGACGATTTTGGACATCCATTTTGGGAAGGTACAAGTGCTCCCGCACGAAGTGTACGTGATTGTCTGTTGGAAGGGGATGATTTAATTACCACATTTCCGAGCTTTAAACGTATTAAGGTTTAACAAACGAGTTGAACGTGAGCGATCTGGTCGAATACCGTGCTATTAAATGAGTACAAATTGATATTTTAGGGATTGTAGACGGTATCTGAAACTGTCGTTGAATGGTCTCTGAAACTGTCGTTGAATGGTCTCTGAAATTGTCCTTGAACGGTATCTGAAACTGTCGTTGAATGGTCTCTGAAACTATCGTTGTCCTTGAACGGTCTTTGCTACCAGTAAATCTTCGATCAAGTCAGTATAGCGTTTGAGAGAGAAGCCACTTCATCCCCAAATGTGACAGTTGTGAGAATTAGTTGGACCCTGATACTGCCACCATATCACACCTCATTCCATAATGCCTCGTTTGATACTACTCTCTCCACGCTAAGACCCTGCGGGGCTTTTGAGACGACGGCCCAACCCTTTCCACTCTGTCTCAGCAGGTTGTGGCACCCTGATACTGGCAATGACGCAAGTGCCAGATTCCCTCCTAGTCCAGGGCGGCACGAAGTTTCACAGGGCATCCGATCTCTGGGCCATCAGATGGCTTTCGATAGAACAAGCGTAAGATATACCCTGAGTAGCTGTGTCTCCCATTGACTTCAAATCGTAGCGAGCAGCGAAAGTCCTAGACCACCCAAAGTAAAAGTTCTTCCCATCAACGGCGCTTTTGTTGTGTCAAGCCTAAGTCCTCGATGTACTTTTCCAACTCAGCAAGTGTTTCGAATGACTTCATCTTGGGCAGGCTACAAGTAGGACAGTATAATGGATCTTTCCCCAACACAACCTTCTGAACTTCGTTGACAAGCCCATGAACTTCAGAATGATTGGCAAGCCCAGTTCGGAGACATCAGAGGTCACGTCAGATCCGTCGATAGCGTGTGTGTGTTGTTCCATCCGGGTTGTACATACTGTAGTTGAATTTTGCCTGTATTATCTTAGTGAAGAAGTTGAGATATCTCACCCGTCGCAACAGCAGCGCATCAGATGTCGCACGGACTTTCGGCCTCCAGACTTTGACGCCTTATGAGGGTGGTGAATGCAACCCCCTGGGGTTTTGAAAACCCATTGAGGGGCCCCACATCATCTGTGAGATGATTCTGGGAGAAGAGGCGGATGAGGTGCTGCCGTGAAGTTCTTCTCGGCGGGATAGTCGCTGAAATTGAATGTGCTCATGTGTTGTGTTCCATTGTAATGAGTTTCAACAGTAATGGGATGCTATGTATTTTTTGGTAAATCATACAATATGCGATCCTGCAAGTTTACGCGTTGATATATTTTTGCCCTGTGTTCCTCCAGTTGCAAATGTGGGTTTTTTTTGTTCGACAAAATGGGTCACTTACAACTCAAAAATTGGTCACTTACACGAGTTTAACGGAGTTTGAGTTTGATTTTTAATATGGGGGTCACTTGCAACACAAAAATTGGTCACATACACGAGTTTAAAAGGGTTTGAGTTTCATTAAAATGGACGTGTTTTCCAAGTGAATTGGACTCGTACCTGTACTTGTACTGTCCGTTTGCGAGTGGAAAGGGGGAGCCACAAGAATGTCATGTCCACGATTGCTCGCGACTCAGATGAATTATTCCACACACTGTGAATGATACAAGGATTGTTCCTGTGCTAGGACGTCAAATTGGACATGGTGCTCGAGTTTGTCGCCCTCAGAGCCATACGAGCTCCCGTGGAAGGCTCACTGACAGACGTCTTCGTCTAAAAGGAGGCGTTCGAACCAAGGGACCTGGCAATCTTCAATATATATATATATATATTTATACAGTATATATATATACAGTATATATACATTTAATATTTTTTGCCTAATACATTCATTAATTATAACTTCACTTGATCTATATGATAACATAATACATCATTATAAAATAATTAAACCGATTCAAATTGATGAATGGTTTTTTTCTTATGCTCCAAATGTCTGAACCACAAAAAAGCTCCAAACCACGCAATGAAACGCGAAAAAAGTGTTTCTCTGGGACCTGAATGTTCTTCCATGTCAATTGAACATATATATCCACTTCTCGTGTATGTCCAGCTACAGTATTGCGCAATAAGTAATACATACTTTAAAATATTGTGAGAGATCAATGAGATTCCCATGTTCGCCAACAACAAACAGTTTCTTGTCAGAATTGACCTGAATATCGCCATCGACAAACACCGTGGGACAGTGCTTCTGGTAGATGATAGTCGAGATGGCCGCCGTAGCCACGGTTCTGTCGAACTGAAAGGTGTTGATTTTGAGACCGATATTGAAATAGTAGGCTTAAATCGAGTCATTTCCCACAAATCCAATGTCCAGGATCTTCTTGTAGTTCTGCTGTTGTTGTTTCAGCCCGGACATGGTACTGATGTTCTGGGTCAACTCGGCTTTGACACTATCTTGAGACTTGTTTCTGACTTCACTTGAGACTCTCACGGTGGGATGGGTCACTATGAACCTTTCCAGCTTCTTCTTGTACCCCTTACTCCTTTTCTCTGCTCCGCCAGACCTTCGTGAGACTGGATTCGACTCATAGTATCGACCGTGCGTTTGTAGTCGCTTATCGAGACAATGGCCTGCTTCTTTAGTGGCCGCACTTTGGCATCAATCTCTCGTTGCTGGGCTGTGAGCCTTTGCAGTTCGTATTCCTCTCTCTGGAGAGACTTGAGAGTTTTGTCGTCGAGATTCTTCTGGAGCTCCAGACACGTGCTTTTCAGCCTGGGAATACGGCAAATAACGTAGCCCGGACTGTCACTGTGTTGTTGAACTTCACAGGGGTTCTTCAGTGTAAGAGCCCTCTTCCCTTCCTTCTTTGAGCACACAACTTCCTGGGCCCCAATCTCGAGTTCCCGCAGTTCCTTTTGCTTGTGGAATCCGGTCCTCACGTCGTCTTTCTCGCTCTCGAACGCCTTTACAAGCCGCAAATCAAGTCTCTAGGAACATTTGTCAAACTCTTCTCTAGTGGGACTGGGAAAGATATACCGATAGTCGTCGCTGACAATCAACGTACCAGTGCGAGTACTGGAGCTCCCGCTGATATGATCTGCTTCTCGGACAACTTCACGAGATACGGGGTCCCAGAAATCTCCCTGGTCGGGAAAGAATCGGAGATGAGAGACTCAAATTTTGTCAATATCCATCGCCGAAACAATATAGTCTTGGACATGACCACTGTCAATATCAAGCAGCTCCAGAATAGTGCTCTTCAGGTGTTCAGATTCCATCTCACCACTAGCGGAGCTTCTGTGAACAACTATGTTCACTTTGGAGGCGCCAAATTTGTTGTTGAAAGACTCCAAGTATTCTTGTATGCCTCAGAGGTGACGAAAAACGTGGCCAGTTGCTCTTTCAAGAAGGCGAGCACCAGCAGCTTCTGAGATTCGCTAGTCGCCTTGGGGGAAAAGCCAATGTGTGCCCGGAGAGGTCTATTGATGGTACTTGTTGAGTCTTTGAACGCGTGTTTCATGAAGGACATGAATCCCTCTCCCTGAACCAGGTCTCGTGTGCCCGTGTGGAACCCAATGAACTTGTTCTTGTGGTTCTCCTTCCGTTTCTCCCACGAAGTAGAAACGAGGTGACCGGCTTCGAGATTCGGGTTCTTTTCCGCAAGCGACAGTCTCTCTTTCTTGGACGACACGTTAAACGCTCTCTCCTCAGTGCTTTTAGCTGCGACTGCGCCTCTAGTCCTCCTATCTTGGATTTCAATGCGTCAAGATGAGCGTTAGCGAAATCAAGAGCGAAATTAGCCCGGTCCAGCTCATACTCTACTTCGCAGCTCCCCAGTCTGGCGCTCTCCTTCTCAAGTGTCTGGATCTGAAGGTCCAGCAGCCTCTCAAGAGGACTCTGATCGTCGTAGACTGACTAGACCTCGGGTTTAACATAGACGCCGGAAATGGGCTTGCTGAAGAGCTCAGATATCCATCTTGCGACACGAATAGGCCCGATTCAGACCTACCAGTGGCAGGTAACCCACTTGTCGTGGAAGGCCGCTTTTCTGGCGACCTACTGGCTACTTTGATCGCAGATCTGTCCATGACGCTGATTATATCGACGGGGCTCGAAGACTCTCCCTTGATAATACCAACGGCAAACTCCACAACCTCCGGTTTGTTGAAGAACACCTCCTTGAGCTGACTCGTGAGGGACCCCAGCTCTTTTCAGTGGTTCTTGACGGCCTTGAGACTAGAGACTTTGGAACTGGCTCGAAGATGGCTTCGGTTGACTTTTTGCAACTTCTCCAGCTGACCATCGTAGCTTTTCTATACTGTTTTTGTTTTATTATTGAGAAGAGAGATATTTTTTTCCAGGTACTGTTTATCTTTAATGATATCGGCAAACCTGTCCAATCTCCAAGAAGTGTGACATTCTAGAGCTCCCAGAAGCTCCTGTTATTGATTGGTTTTTTCCAGTGCACTGGAGCAGGTTTTCATATCACGTGAAACCCGGGCTTCGTGGTCCAGTCCCAGAGACTTGATATTGCATAGTCGAATTGTGGAGAACACCTCACTCCACTGAGTGCAGTTGACATTGAGAATATGAGGGCTACGAAGGACCACGGCCTTCACTTCTCCAGATTTGACAGGAACCCATCCACTACTTGAAGACTTGTAAGTAGTAGTCCGAGGATCGGCAGGATTTCCCACCTCCAACTCCACCTTCATCTTTCAGTTGATGGAGCGCTGACTGTAGCTGTAGACGGAGAGAAGAGCTTTGGCCACATAGGTGTGGATATACTGCTTGTAAGAGTCCAATAGAATGGGATTTTGAACTGCACCATAGCCAAAGAGCGGTTATTTGAACTGTCCCTGCTGGTGTTCTTCTCGGGGTCGCTTGGCGGTTAGGAATCAGTTGGGGCGTATTAAGAGTGGATTTGAGTCTGGACAACGCCCTTCTGGCCTTGTTGGTCGGTACGGGCGTCGACTCTCTACTTGTAGCCATAATAACAATGTGTGTTCGTGTTCAGATGGACAATACGAGAAAGAAAAACACTGGTTTTCCACCAGCTTTACCCCGTCAGTTTGAGACAACACTTTTAAGCGCTGTTAGTTCCACTTTGCCAGATTGGAACGTGCGAGTACGTTCAAAACAGGTTTGTGTTGATATTGTTGGTTGGGTTGATGCTGTTGGCGGGATTGATACCTGGTAATTCCACTTGCAGAAGATCTCTCGAGTAGTCATGACTTTGGCGTACAGCACGATTCACCACATCCTGCTCAGTGCACCTCCACTGTACACTTCATGCGTAATGGAGACACGGGGACTTTGAGATACTCTTTGATGGCGTTTGTTTAGCTCCATTGCCAGAAATTTACCCGAAAATGGTCACCTTCCCCCCCACCACTGCCCTGTGAAGTCTCGCCGGGGACCTGTCTATCTCGTGATGCAGGGAATACTGCACATTTTGTGGAAGCCACCGATTTGTCCCAGCCACTTCATTATTTCTCGCTGAAACAGGAATACGATAGAATTTTCGACATTATCCCTCCTAATAATCAGGAGAAGTCGACGCGGGGCTCATACAGTACGTGTTTTAAAACTGTACCAGGTTGTCAGCATCTGTGGAGACGCAGTGCGTGATATGGGCAGTGTCTCGTCGGCGATGAAAGATAATGGAAGGGGAAACTGAGGCGCTTTCTACTGTTTTGGTTTCATTTTTGTAGGTTGTCAATTGCCGATTTTGTCAACGATGGACTACACTTACGTAATGCAGGTGCAGTATGAGTATTAGTTAACAGGTCGATGCCACAGTCCTGAAACGGACACAGGAACACTACCCTTGGGGTACGTTCTGTACTAGCACTTATACTCGTAGTCCAAGTATCCAGCCAGTTTTTCCGTGCTCAGATTTACATCTTTCTGGTTCCATAAATGGCGAGTTTTGGCGACTGTTTTGACAAACAGAGACCAAAATGAATAGAACATACCCATTTGGAGCGATATTTGAACTTGGATGGAGTGTCCAGTCCATAGATATTGGGAATGTACCTCTTTACTTGGATGGAGACCCAGAAAAGTCACGTAGTCGCTAGTACATTCACACCGGTACGTTGTGCGAATGGTGGGTATTGAGCCCTGTTCAGTTCATACTGAATAAATTGATCATCTTGATATCCGTTTGATAGATGTTCCACTGCTTGAATGAATGCAGTGAAGGCTAGAAGAAATCAAACTGATTCAACCGAAAACTGAACTGAATAGCATTAGACAGTCGATGCTGGCCTCTTGTGCGAAACATTTAGCGACCAACCGAGCCTTGTATCACTCAAGCTAACCGTCCAAATTGAACTTCCGGTTGTAGACCCACCATGAAGGGACCTTTTTGCCCCTGACTTCCTTGCTGTCCACCCCTCGTTCATCGCCAACAACCAGTGGTCCTTGTCAGGTATATCCATGGCTTGCCTTCAAATCTCAGGAGCACACAACCACTCCTAGTCTGGTGTCGACTGCAGGGGCGGTGGAAAACAGATGAGTCGGCGGGTCTTGAGCAGTAGTTGTGGTAATGTATTGCTATGTTCAAATGCATAAGTACATACAGTACAGTACTTGTAGTTGAAATGCTGTGCTGTGAGTATTTATTGTGTGTATAATGATTGTCTAGCAACTTAACAAGACATTATGATGACTGTATTATCATCATGATACTCAGTACATACATGTACGTACTGCACGTACAATGCAGCAGCTGCCTTATCACTGTGATGTCCGCTACACCACCTCATGGACTTATAAAATGCCAATAGTGAAACGAGACAGTTCATGAAATTCACCAGGCTGCATTACGTAAGAGTCTTACAATCACATCTCTCATCCTTGATGCTCCATCGGGCAGACTCAGATCCACGTTTCCTTGGTGCAAGAGATGCAAGAGAAGGGGAGTCTACGCAACAGACATCCCCGATTCTTGTGGTGTTTTTGCCAAATTTTGTCACGTGACTTGTTAGACCAGGTAAATGGATTCTTGCACTAATTTTGTCAGTTGCGGCCATATCCTGGTGAAAATACGGCTTCCCGTCCGATCAGCCATAGTCAAGCACCAGAGAGCCCAGTTAGTATTGTAGTGGGAGACCATACGAGAATCCTGGGTGCTGCAATTACTTTTTATCTCATTTCCAAAGCAATGTTTGTACATCTTTTTGTCACTTTCATGTTCTGTTTCCAACCCCTGTTCTCCGTGAGTCTTAGTCGTTGTGTCGGTGGGATGTTTTATTATATCTTCAAGTAAATATAAGTTTTATTAGACATTTATACCCCTAATTGTTAAGGGATTTTAGCCAGAGTATGGTGACTGTTGAAACGGCTAAATAACGGGAAAAAAAAGGACAAAACGAGACAATTGACCAATGGAATTGTCATCACCCTTTAATACCCATTTTTAACATCCGCCTTGTCCTATATAACAGTACAGCACAGGTATATCACAGTTCCTACATTTTTTATACAGTAACTATTCTCTGGAGCATACATTCAGATTACATAATCCAACTATGAGTACATCTGTGCGGCGGAATACAACTTCACGGTCGGGACTCAGTTCACATCATTTTATTTCCGCACAACTCCTTCCTGACACACTTCTTTCCTAAGAAAAAATCCCTTTCTCTCTTCCATTTCACATGAGTCAAGTCTCTAAATATACTTGGCCTTTTTCGGTTGATAACTCGGTATTTTTTGCGTCATATGCGAGTTTTTTTCTTCTTCTTCAAAAACATGTGTTTGTGTAACTTGGAACTCCGCCGTATTTATTATAAATACGTCGTTTCCGCCTCTCAAAACCCATCCTCTACAAGTAGCGGATCGATCCTACGACGATTGTATGGGGATGACCACTTCACGTGACCAAAATAAACTTTCGCCTCCGCTGTTGTCTGTGTCATTTTCGTTTCGGGATGAGATAACACACCACACCATACCCCAACTACACACAAATTGACAACTAGAAAAATGGTCACTCTTGTTTCTTCAGACGGCGTCTCGTTCAACGTGGACCAGAAGGTTGCGTCGCGATCGGCCCTCATCAAGAACATGATGGAGGACATTGGAGAGGACGCCGGCGAGATCCCCGTCCCCAACGTGTCTTCCAATGTGCTCAAGAAGGTGATTGAGTACTGCACCTACCACAAGGACGACCCTCTTCCCCAGAGCGGAGAGGACGAGGGCACTTCGGCCGCCGACAAGAAGAAGAGCACCGTGATTGACGACTGGGATTACAACTTTCTGCAGGTGGACCAGGAAATGTTGTTTGAGATTATTCTGACCGCAAATTACCTGGACATCAAGCCCCTGCTGGACGTGGGCTGCAAGACGGTGGCCAACATGATCAAGGGCAAGACCCCCGAGGAGATTCGACGAACCTTCAACATTGCCAACGACTTCACTCCTGAGGAGGAGGCCCAGATCCGACGAGAGAACGAGTGGGCCGAGGACAGATAAGAGTCGCTGTGCGCCCATGGATCTTACTTAATTATTTAACGTCAACGCTGAGTGGTGATGCTGTATTGTAGATGAGCTCACGATTGGCTCTTTTCCTCACGTAGATACAAGACCTCGTGCTTGTAGCTTGTGATTGCTGAGACACGAGTAAGGCTGGGTGGACTCGTCACAGCAATTGTACAATGAACGTTGCAATTGAATGTTGGCACCGTGACAACAGTTGTTGACGGGTTAATTCGCCCTGAATTGCCCGCCAATTCTCTCCTGACCGTCTCCGATTGACCTCGTATCGTGAAAGTACTGTCGGTCATGGCCCCATGGTGGCGATTTTATGATGGCACCCTCAACGAGAGAAGTGATTGTGCCGGTGTCTTGAGCGTCAGAGCTCGAAAGGGGGAAATCCACGGGTATTTATGTCATTTCAACAGTGACAAAAACAATGTGACATCCGTACACTCGCGCAAACCACTGCTCATACAATCACTGCCTCGTCAAAAAACAGCCCCCTAAAAATCTCAATGCAATATTGACTTTGCGCAAGTGTAATTGACGGACTAAAATGAACAAAACAAGGAGTAAAGACGGGCTAAATAAATATTAAAAAGATACAGAGAACGAGGAGAAGAGAAGACACACACGTCGTCAACTACAACTTCACTTGTCACGTCAAAAAAGTGGTCCCTAGCAGGATCGAACTGCTGATCTTCGCGTTGCAAAGAGGCTAATTTCTTATTAGCACGACGCCTTAACCAACTGGGCCAAGGGACCGCGAATTTTGCTAAAAAAATAACCTGTTCAATTTACCCTTGTTCCACCAAAGTCACGTGACCGAACATTTTGGGATTTCTGATGTTTGTTATGTGTTCGATATTGGAGGTAAGAAGCGGGGAGAAAGTTGATGTGTGAGAGAAACGGTTGGGCTGTCGAATTATAGTATAAATTGTTGATTTTCATCAACGAATTGTCTCATTTTGCCATTTCCATAATCATCATTCAGGCGATTAGGATTTGCAGGTGGGATGAGAGTGGAGCGGGATGAGAAGAGAACGGTGGATAAAAACACGTCGATATTTGAGGAAAAAAGAAGCAGATTTGTGATTGAAGCATCATATGATTATCACATGATCCTCACATGATTTATAGGCGCTGAGATGTTTAGTTTCGTATGTTTAATATCGCACGTTCAGTTTCCTCGTGTAGGCGATTTGGGGTTATTATTACTCGTAAAATATCCGATGTATTGATGAGAGCAATTGATGGTAAAAGTGCCCGTATGTAGCGTACAAATACTCTGCAAACACCTCCAACCTCACCACCACGTCTGTACAATATAATACATTGCTATATACAACTATCCCCAGCTGGAGTATCACTTCTTGGCAATCTCGTCGGAGACGGTCTTGAACTCCTTTTCGATCTTGGAGGTCCATGCCTTCTGCAACTCCTCAAACTTCTTGTCTTCTCGCTTGACCACGTCCTTTCCAATCGACTTCTGGTCGGCCATCTTCTTGTGGTCCTTCTTGAAGGCGTCTCGGATCGCAGCCAGACCCGAAGTCAGCTTCTTGTCGGCCTTGAAGGCGTTGTACAGCGCCTTGAGCTCCTTCTGCTGCTCGGCCCGGCTCTCAGCCGAGGGAGGGGGCAGGGGGATGTTGAGGATCTGGGGCGAGTTGGCCTGGGGCTGGGGGTTCATGTTGAGATCGGACGCCAGAATGGAGGCGGTGACCTGTTTGGTGTGGCTAGGGTCGTAGACGGAGATGGACAGCGTTCGGCCGCCCTTGAGGGCCACGGAGGCAATGTCCTTGATCTGGTAGACCTCGTCCTTGCTGATTTTGACCTCAATGTTGTTGATGAGATCCGGCGAGTTGTTTCCGGCCTTGATCTCCTTGGCCTTGGCGGCAAACGCAGCCACAGACTTGGCAGACAGGTCCTCAAACTTGTTCCACTCGATCATGAACAGATCCTCATCGACGGCCTCCTCGGCCGCGGCCTTGGCAGCAGCCTTGGGCTCCTTACCGCCCTTCTTTTTCTTGCCCAGAGTCACGGGAGTGGACGAGAACGCGACTGTCTGTGTTCGGAGCACGGGCCGCATGCATAGTGCCGGAGCCACCGTGTGGTGGAGGGCGGCTGCTCGCACGGCCTGGCTTCGGACAGTTCTCAGAAACATGTTTGGTGGTAAGTAGTTGTGTGCGGGTTGTGTGGTGATGTGATTATGATGTCACTCGCCTAAGCTTTAAAATCGTGCATGCGTGGGGGAAGAAGTGGAGAAGGTGAATAGGAACATGGCGGTGAAAGCAGCAATACTAGTTCCAAACTGATTTGTAATGACACAATTTTGGGAAATAAAACGGGGGGGGAGGGGGGGAAGAGCCCCTATATATATTCTCCGTTCCTACCCACCACACAACGCACTACATGCCTCGTTTTGCTTCCAAAGCTGCAGATCTAAGTTCATGCTAGCAGTACAGTACATCGTGACAGACCTGTAAATATCAGTATGTGTGTCCGAGTAGTCGCACCCGTTTAAACCACCGTCTACACACCCATGACATACCCTGTGACATGACTGATACCAATAATATTTTTTACAACTATATATACCGTCGAGCTTCCTGTAAAACAGATACCACTACTGTATACTACTGTACCCATCAGCAACACACACTCATAACCACCACCTTACTTAAGGGCTCTGTTTGTATCACCCTACTCTTAAACAGACCCATATTCGGATTGTACCGTGCTTTGGCTCCTACAGCTTGTGTTGCACATATCCAACAAACACTCGCTCACCTCGCTCCATCCTCCACTCGCTATGGATACCCAGGTTCACGCCAACCACTACGAGCAAGCCCGAAAACGAAAGTCCTCCTCCACCACCTTTGTGCCCACCGTCTTGCTTCTGTCGCCGCCAGACCTCCCCCAAGCAACAGCCCACGCACCCACACAAAACACAGGTGGCCTCCGGGGCTCGATCCGAGGATCCATCCGGTCTCTGAGGGGATCTCTGCGTAGACACAAACACGACACGACGCTACCCACCATACAGACGGTGCCTCTTCAGCGAGCAGGAACTCCTATACAGGCTCCTCCTATCCAGAAACCCTTCCAGGCAATTCTTTCCGGAGCTACAACAGTCTTTGACGACCCCAAAAGTGGAGCCCTCACCGTCGCCTCCACCCAAGCATCAACCCGCCATTTCCACACTGCTGGCACCGGAGGAAGCGCTCTTTTCACAAACAACTCCGCCCATACACTCGCCGTCGTCGGCAACAGCACCTACTCAGGAGAAACTACCAAGAGCGCAGTCGGCCCCAAAGACAACTCGGTTACAAACAGCAGCAGAACGCAGTCGCCGGCTTTTTCGGGAAACCAAGAAAGCATGTACTCTCCCTACTCGTCTGCAGTGTTGTCAGGCCTGGAGAACCCGGTGATCTTCCAGGACCCGGAGAAGGCAGTTGTCAAGACCATCACCAATACTATTGACCCCCAGGTTCTTGTAGCTGCACAGCAAAAGACTCTCACGCCCCAGCAGCCGACAACGTCCCCACGACCCACTACTCTCCAGGACTTGCAGCAGCCGCCCCAAGAGCTCGTAGCATCTCCACTGTCCTCTGTTGTCCTCAAGCCGGCAGCCCTGCAGCCCGATTACTGCGTGTACACGGAGAACACGGATCCAGAAACGACAGAGATTCTCCTCGACAGTGGATCCGTCGAGCCCGCTATCAACTCCCCACCACCCCCATCTGGAGAAGAAGAGGATTTTGGAATTGCCAACCTGCTGTTTCTGGACGGCTCGGACGAGTTCGACTACACGCTCAACACGTTTCCCAAGATCTCCACCATGACCAAGGAGGAAATGCAGAACAATATGACGCCAATTATCGAGGTGGACTCCACTGCTGCAGTTTCTGCACTGGAAAAAGACAGAACAATTGCTCTTCCCACTCCTGGTGACATGCCACCTCACCCCCTGCCCGTACACCGGTCCCTCAGCCACATGTCCAACGTGGACCTTGTGCACAACATTAACATGGAGTCTGCCAGCGGTGCTGCGTCCATCTCGACGATGGGAATACCTCCCATCGCTCCCAAGGATCGGGCTCTCATGGAGGAGCGCCGGAGCCACTGTCTCCAGGAGCTCATTCTTTCCGAGGAGAGCTACTTGAGCTCTCTGCGAATGCTGGCGAACATGTATTTTGCCACCATTGAGTCGTGCAATGCCCTTGGCAAGGAGGCTGTTGCTCTTTTGGAGAACGATACACGGTCGCTCATTGAGTTTCACCAGGAGCTACTGGATGATATTCAGTCCGAGTATCCCAACATCACCATCTCCAACAAGCCTGCTGCCCCCACGCTGCAGGTCAAAATTACCCCTGGTGTCAACGACTTCACACGAGCAGTGTGGACTTCTTTGAAGGATGTCCCTCCTAGCAATTTGGAAAATCTGGGGTATCGAGATGGAAAGTGGGTCAAGCCTGCTCTCACCACTCTTTCTCCCCAGTTTGCTGCCCGCATCAGTCAGCTTGTTGCAGACAAGGTGAGTATTTTTCTTGTGATACCTATTCTTTGATACCCCCAACATTACTAACACCAGGCCATCAGTCTCTATCTTTACGAACAATACTGCATCAATTACGACGCCACTATTGAGCTTCTGCGCTCCTACCGTGGTACGGGCAAGGAGCGGTTCTGGATCAAGGGCTGCGAGAACCTGCTCAACGCAGCTCAACATGATGGTCGCCGAAAGGACCTCTCCCTGCAGAGCCTGATGATTGTCCCCGCTGCACGGATCAGTAAGTACAGGCTACTTCTGGAGCAGCTGGCCAAAAACACTTGTCCGGTTGAGGAGACTGAATCTCACCTTGTGATTCTCGATTCGCTGGAGAAGGTGGAGGACAAGCTGCGGCAGCTTGACCACAATCATCTTGTAGAGCGGTTCCGTCGCCAGTCGCACATTTTGTGGAACAGTCTTTACTTCAAGAACGAGCTGCCCTTCAGTGTGCAGTATTTTGGCCTTGCAATTCTCTGTGGCGCTCTCAACGTCACCTGGCTGGGCCCCGATGGCTCCATCAAGTTTCACTACATGGGATGCTTTCTCTTCAAGTCCTACTTGATTCTTGCCAACGTTGCCAACCCTGAGGGTCGCTTCTACGTCAAGTTCATTATTCCGCTGCACTGTTGCCGTCTCGAGAACCCCATCAACTCAGTTGTTGGTCTGCAAACCTCCAGTTCTTTGACTAAGAAGCTGATTTTCGAGCACAACTTTGGTCTGTACGAGATTCTGTTGACTGCAACCACTGTTGAGGAGCTCAAGTCGTGGCAGGAGAAGCTAGAGGTGCAGATTCTCTCCGTCAATGGAATCTACATGTGGGACTTCAAGGCTTCGGACATGAGTCTGCAGGGGTACAACAGTGCATCGTGGATTCCTCCCATGAAGCCTCTTTCCGTTGCTTTTCAGAAGCGGTCTCGATGGCGAAACTTCTTTGGAAGCTACAGGAGCGGGTTCAGCGATCCTCTGGCTCTCCAGCTCAAGATCCAACACTTTTATGTCGACGGAGACCTGGAGTCCAACTATGGGGCACACACGGCAGCCACGCGTGACGAGAACGATGGCATCAAGTGCGAGACCATCCACATTCGACGATACGCCCGGCTGGAGGCCGAGAAGGCTCTGGGGGTCATTTGGAGCATGGATGACCTGCCTCTGATCCCCTCTTGCAACGCCGATGATACCTATCAGCCCATCAACAATGTGCGCCACATGGTTCGGCGGGTGGCCTCGATGAAATCGACTTTCAACCGGGGAGGTCAGCGACAGGGGTCAGCACGAGGTGTCTTTGGAGGTAACCGCAGCAAGAGCCTTCCGCATGACAATGTCAGTGCCAAGGAGTGTTATAGCAAGTACGACTTGAGCAGCGGGACGGATGAGTTTTTTGACGCTCTATCGCAAGCTCGAAGTGTATGGGTCAACACTCCTTATGACGAGCTCGGTCGAAGTTCTCGGTTCCCCACTTTTAAGCTGGCAGGCGAGCGTCTTCGTCGGTTCAAGACCAAGGTATGGAAGCATCATCATTAGGGTGGTTGACCAATTAAAAAGAAGACAAAAGAAACACATGTATATAGCTCTAATACGTACGAGTACTGGTACAGATGATGATTATCATCGGTGACATCATGACGGTGTTTCTGGGATACAGTACATGGTAACCTTAATTGTAGGGTCTCCTTGTTTCCGATTAGGTTTGAGTTTTACCGGATTTAATATAACCCTAACCCTACATTGCTAGATAGAGAGCAATCGGGCGTTTGATATATGTTGGATAAACTTTATTTTGGCAGGTGGTTGTGACCCCACACGACCAACGGCGCTAATGTACTGGTACTGTACGTAAATACGTTTGTGTTTTGTGGCAGACACAGAAGGCGGCGGGCGTGTACCTGGAATTGTCGTTTCTACGTGTACAATTGGTCATAAGCCATAATATCATTAAATTATATCCATGACTGACTGGAGAGGGGACGGTGAGTCCTAGTATGCAGGGCTTTTGCGAGCCATTAGATGGCGGGGCAGTTTGCCTTGTTGGGCTCAATGCGACGTAGGCTTTGGATCGATTCACAGAAGTCGATTTGTGGCCACACGAGGGGCATTGAGTGGGTGTTTGTGTGTGAAGAGATGGTCAATTGAGTTGATTGGAGGGCACGAGCGAGGTGGTGGCTCCGATTCATGCAGAAGACGGGATCATTGTCACGCAGGACACATCTTAGTGGGCCACTCGGGGGCCCATGGAAGCGTTTGTGGTTCCAAACTTGTGGCCGAGGTTGGCGGAGCCCTTGGAGGAGCCCTCCTTGAGAATGATGGGGATAATGTCGTCGACCTTGTGGGTTCCCCAGTCGGTGTCGAGCTGCAGGTTGGAGGGCTCGTTGAGTTCTCCGTTGACTCCCTGCTTGCCGGTGGTCCAGACCTGGTAGGCGGCGACAATGTTGACAATGTTGGTGGAGGGGTCGGCTCTCCACTTTTCGAGGGACTCCTCCGAGTTGACGAAGACGACGTAGCCGTTCTCGCAGATTCGGTCCTCGTACTGAGGCTGGTAGAAGATCTTGACGTTCTGGGACATTGTTCTTGTGCTTTGTGTGCTTGGTGTGGGTTGTGGTTGGTTGATGCAAGTCCAAATAGAAGGGGATCCGCTGGTCTTTATATAATCGAGCGTGGGCAGCAAACGAGGGGAGTGCTCATGAGCTGTCCACTTAAGGTTGCTCTCTTTGTTTGCGTGGGAGAGCTGGGGAAGAGTGTGGAACAAGTCCTTTGAGCAGGTGTAGCCGGAGGAGCAATGGTTGTCCCGAGTAACGACGCAATTTATTGACGGTGATCTCGTCCAGCGGTATAATGCTGCTATTCCGGGCCGGTTTGTGTAACCCGGTTTCCGCCATAGTCCTGTACACTGGTGACTCCACTAATTAATCGAATGTTAACCTAGCTGCAGGTATGACGGCGTGGCAGTGTATAGTGTAGAAACATCTCGTGGGTAGAGCGGGCGGGGTGGCACGTGACCGGGAGTATTTGGTGTTGAAATGGAGCTCGGGGCGCGACGGATGAGTACGTGTCACGTGATCGGTCCGACCCCGCCGTTTTCCGCGTCTCGGAGCCGTCTCTATCTCTCAGATCAGCCAAGCCGGAGTAGCTACGATACTGTACATATTGGTGCGTAGTTGGTGAACCCTATCTTTCTGGAATCTTTTAGAAGAGATGGGCTGGGCTGCGCTTGAGACGAAAATGACGGTCTTTTGGCGACGGTTGGAGTCGCTGAAACCGCAGAGAGCGGGGGAGTCGTCGACACTCGCCCATTGTTGCGATTGGCGCTCGTCTTTTGCCCTATCTGAATGGCGGTGACGTCATCAATCATGGTGCAGCTCCAACGCACATTCAGAGCAAGTGGTGGACTGATCATCGTCGGTGGATCGGTGGTGGCTTCTAGAAGGTGGAGCCGGGTAAGAGTGAACTCAGTGAGAGTAGAGTGGAGTATGCGATGGCTGTTTGCGATGCAACCACTTGAGATATAAGTATTGACACGATACATGAATTGACACGATACATGAATTGACACGATACATGAATTGGCACGATACATGAATTGACACGATACATGAATTGACACGAAACATGAATATTGACACCCACTTTGAATGGTTCCTAACAGTTCTAATACAGATACGCCGAAAAACGCCTGTTTACTTGTCGCTCACTCGCCGCTCACTCGCCGCTCACTCGCCGATCGGACCTATAAATACATCCACGGCCCATGCCAAGCCTGTAGTATGTACCTGTGAAATTTCAGGCATCATCGTCAAGCAGGTTTATGTGGGTCCGTGATGAAAAGGCCATCAGTTAATCCATGTATGTTGTTCATAGAGCACTGGATATCTGTTTGCAACGGTCTCTCAATATGGCTCACAACTCCACTGAGCTTCACATCGATGGAAACTGCATTATTCTAGTACAGTATGTACATACAGGTAGGAGTAGGAGTAGGAGTAGGAGTAGGAGTAGGAGTAGGAGTAGGAGTAGGAATAGGAGAGCTCCTACTCGCTCAATCTCATACACCACTCCCTTTCACTTGCCACATCGTATAAGCCGATCCTTGCACCACAAGTGTGTGTATTCTCCAACTGTCTCATAAAGATACGATGTTGGTGCATGTCCACAATATCGCAAAGATGAGACAGACGGACATGATGAGAAACGGTATTTGTATCGAAATGATAGGTTTGAACGGATTTACAAGTGAGCGATCAGTGTGGGTAGATTTGGCGTCTGGCAGATGATCTAGGACGGCTACAGTACACACTGTAATTGTAGTCGTAGGAGGAGTATGTCTTATGGACCGTACTGTACCAGATCCATGGATGGTACTTGTACCTTGTGCTTGTACAAGTAGTACCTCACTAATGAGTTATGGCTCACATCTGGGTCAGAATGGAATGATTTGTGGCGATACAGGTACTGTGGGCGGGAGGTCTACGGTAGTTGTCGTTGTGAAGTAGTTTGGCCAAAATCAATTCTTCTGAGGTCAGATCTTGGTGTGAATTAACAGATTGAAACAGATTTTATTTATATACTCATGCTCCGCCTTCAATTCTAGCCAGTCATGACTTTTTCCACAAATCTTCAACAAAGTGCCAACGAACTGTGTAGGAATGAAACAACAACATAGACTCGCTAATACTGATCTCACAGTAACAAAAGTAGTCTTATTTTGAATCTGGAATCTCACTGAGTCTTTGAGGCACTTTTACTCCCATTGGTCCTCACATTTCACGACTTGTAAAGACAAAAGTTTTTCTATCGTAACGCAGGGAAGAAGCGACCTTAGCGTCCGATACTAACATGGACGAAATACTTGTAAGGATACTTGCAACGTACTTGTACTTGTACAACCCAACCCTTTCCAATTGGATATGCGCAAACACAGTGGACATCATTCCACCAGATGCGGCACCAGACTCGTATCGGCAGCACCATTGTCCTCGTGACTTTTGCGCTAACGAAACACTATTTGGTCTCTAACCCCACAGTGTGGAGAAGGGCCGACAGGAGGGCTCGAGAAGCGATCTCGAGTGAATCTGACTTTGATTGGTGTGGTATTACTGGTCGATACGAGTAAGACGCGAGCACTTGAACTCGCATCCATTCAATACAGAAGACGATCTCATGAGACACGTGTACAAGTACAAGTATGCTGAATCAGAGGTCGCCTAAAGTATGTACTTACCCCTCGTATTGAGCCGTAACCATTACCCCTCAGGCGGAGATTCGACTCTGGATTGATTCCAGACTAGATCAGACTCTAGAACCAATCCAGATCAGCTCAAATCAGCTCAAATCAGCTCAAATCAGCTCAAATCACAACCCTTACAAACGTCCACGATACTCGTTGAGCAATATCTGCAGTCATGCCATAAAGTTCATCGATATTGTAGTTGCACTTTTGTGCACTTTTGAGAGGGTGTGGAATAAGGTTTTGTTTCCCCATTTAGTCGATTTTATCACATGATACAGCTAGGGTTAGCCCTAACGTCCCAAACGGGACAGGACCACGCGCGGAGCCTGGCACTTTTGCAAAGTTACTCTGGCCCAAGTCAAACTTCCCCCCAAGCCCGAACGACACACCCACACACAACCATGTCTGCCGCCCTCAAGATCATCAAGCAGGACCCCTCCGAGCTCGAGCTCCAGGTCGCCCAGGCCTTTGTCGACCTCGAGAACTCCTCTCCCGACTTCAAGTCCGAGCTGCGACTTTTCCAGTTCAAGTCTGCCCGAGAGCTTGAGGTTTCTGCCGGCAAGAAGGCCCTCGTTATCTTTGTGCCTGTCCCCGCCCTCCCCGCTGTCCACAAGATCCAGCAGCGACTCACCCGAGAGCTCGAGAAGAAGTTCTCCGACCGACACGTTGTCTTCCTTGCTGAGCGACGAATCCTCCCCAAGGCCGGCCGAAAGGCTCTGCCCTCTCAGCCTCGACCCATGTCTCGAACCCTGACCAAGGTCCACGAGGCTCTCCTCGAGGATCTCGTTTTCCCCACCGAGATCATTGGCAAGCGAGTCAAGTACCAGGTTGGTGGCACTCGAATCCAGAAGGTTTTCCTCGACTCCAAGGACTCCACCTTCATCGACAACAAGCTCGAGTCCTTCCAGTCTGTCTACAACAAGCTCACCGGCAAGAAGGTTGTCTTTGAGATTCCTGCCAACCAGGGCGAGGTCTACTAAATCTGCAACACTTTTGTTTGTAGATAAAAAATGGCGGCTGCCGTGCATATAGCAGGTTAGTAAAAATAGATGATGGTATGGACAAACAACCGGTGATCATGGTGAATCACGGTGAACACGGTTGTGACTGTAAGCTGTGAGTGAAGTAGATTGGTGACCAACACTTTTGAAATTAGACTGATGACGACGCTGTGAGACCCAGCTCAAGGTATTGGTGTGATCTGTAGAGCTCTGGTAAGAATACCTCTGTGCAACTTCGCACTCCTGGCTGTGGATTGAAATATATGTAGAGAAGCAAGCCTCCTCATTTGGCTGGTTAACTTGTATCTGTTCTGTCATCCAAATGCCACAGACCGATCCGCTTCGAATCTGAGAGCATGTAAAGAACTATGAGTGCATCAAACTGACATTTTTCTTCTTTTTCTGTGCATTCACAGTTGTGGGGTAGGTACAAGTAGGTATTATCGTCTATAGGATAACTGTGTATGTACAGACCTACAATACTTGTGCTTGCAGTCACTCTCTGTTTGATACAGTCAGGGTTTACACTCACTGTCTAATGAACAGGCAGTATTTACAGAGCATCTCATGAAGTAGAGGAATCATACGTTCAGAACTTCGATAGATTGGGGAGGTCGCACAACGTGATATTCAACATGTTGTTCTCACGTCTCTCCGTCTCTCCACGCCCAACGGTAGTTGTATACTTCACAACATCACTCGAACACGTGCATCCCAGCCATCCAGTCATATCCACCTCATTTAAACCCACCAAGGGCCTTCTTTACACTCCCCACATCCTTGTACGATACTACGTGTACACTCAGTCCACCTTCACATGTCGTAAAATTTCACCCAAACTTTAATATTTTCACTGCCGGAGTTAACTCGTCCTTAATGGGTTATCTCCGGGGAACAGACAACATTGCAAAGTCACTCTATGAACAGTAAAGGAGCGTCCAAGAGCTTTCTGACTTCTTTATTGGTCTCTACGATTACTCAATAGTTTCTGACGTCATCATTATGAGTGCTGGCTGACTAACAGACAGTGGTCATACTTGTAGAAGTACTCGAACCACTAAAGGATAACCAGACTATTGTACAAGTGCAAGTACAAGTGTACTGTACAGTACTGTAAGTACTTACGTACATACTGTATCTATGTACCTCTATCCATATCTACCTCCCTTGTTCACTCTTCTTTGAAATTAATAACTTATATGACTATTACCGTTGAGGTAAGATAGTTAGTCCGGATTATGACATGTTTCCATAAATCTTTCCAGGAGCTGTAGAAGACAACTGAGGACGGGCAGGATAGGGTCTGAAGGAATGCTCTTCGTCCTTCTGACCCCGTCGTTTCACCTTTTGCTCATCAACGTACTTGTTGAACTCGTAGATGGACGCGGCACTTCCAGAAGACTTTGTCGAAGAAGCTGATTTGGAAGATGAAGCAGAAACCGTAGAGCCGCTCGATGACGATGGCTTATTCGGTTTAAGACCTTCAAAGGGGTCTGAACGAGGTGTGGGGGGCAGTTTATGGGCTGTCTGCTGTTGCTTCTGCTGGTTCTGTTGAATCGTGATCAGGACAGCTTTGCCTAAAGTGAAGGCCATGTAAGCCGCCGCACCGATGACGGTCCACAGAATGACGGTTTTGAAGAGCCATGCGAGCCACGAGGAGCCGTGGTTGACGGCTTTTTCGAGAGTTGGTCGGATGGCCGAGATGCTGAGACCCACGGCCAGACCTAGACAGAACGCTGTACTCACGGGGTTGATGTAGGAGGGTAGCGTTGATGTGGGTGTATGCATGATTGGTGTTTGTGTCGGAGTGATATCTACCGGTGACGAAGCTGCTCCTACTGACTTGGATCTTCCTTTGGGGGATCTGGTTTCAGTATCGAGATGCAGAGGTGGTGGCGGGGGTGTCGACGAGTGGAAAGGGGAAGTTGAGGTCTTTGGCGAACTAAGGAAGCTACCAAAGTCCTTGGCTTGCTGCTCTTTCAGCTCCTTGAGGTCTCTCTGGTTGAGTTCCTTCAGATCAGCCAAATTGGGCAAGTTGTCTTTGGATTTCTTGCCGCCGTCAATGAGCTCTTCCTTGGGTGAAAAGACTACTTTTCTGAGCGGCGACGGTGATCGCGAGCGGTTGGAGGTGTTGGAATTGGACCGGGATCGCGGCTCGAGTTGTGGGAACCGAAGCGCAGACTTGGGGGTGGTGGGGATGGGAGACTGCACTGGAGGAAGGGGCAGCGTGGGAGACTGCGGGCCGATTTTGGGTGACTTGTGGGGCGAGCGTTTGGGCGGGGGAAGAACCGGGATGTTGACAAACGACCTGTCGGGCGTGGAGGGAGAGTCTGGAGCAGCCATCGAAGGGACGGCGGGCTTGTTTTGGTCGATACTGACCGTGATAATATATGCAGGAAGCTGTGGAGAGCTGTAGAGAGCTGTAGAGAGCTGTAGAGAGTTGTGGTGGTGTCTGTAGCTGTTGTTACGCTGTCTGTGGCTCTTGCGACACTATTCCCGTAATATCCAGGGGTGTACGGAGCTTGTGGAGTGGACGCTGTACTGTAGACGGGGCCTGTCAGAATGCACCCGTCGAGTAATATCGTGTGTGCGAGTCGAATATCGAAGGTCGACGTCAAATATCGAACGTGGATGCTGCAGACGCGTCGATCTGCCGTATTGGTGCGTGGTTAGCTCGCCGGTCTCGAGATGGAGGCACTGTAGATAAGTGTAGGTAGAGAGGAAGACCGACACTGTGCAGATAAGAGGTGGGCAGATCGGACCTGTCGGCGTGGGAGTCAGTCAAACACTCCAGCTGAGAATTGGCAAGTGGAGTGGAATTGAGCGGATTTGGCGTTGAAGATGAATGACAAATGTTGGTTCTAGATTGAGCTCTGTCAGACGTCCCCAGCGTTATATTTTTTACTTGTCCAGCCCACTTTCCTGTATTACCCGTAATACAGGGCTTTACAGTGAAGAGGGTAAAGTGAATTATGATATTTGCACCCAGATGATTGTCTCTAGAAGACGTTATATTGGCGGTATTGGAGCAATGACAGATTAGGGGTGTTATTTTGGTAGCCACATTCACGTCTTGCGCAACGTCTCCCCTTTTCACCGCCCATAATATCACTTTTGGAGGGTCCAACTAGAGCTGTAGCGTGAATGTCCCATATGTACGGATGTACTGTATATACATGCACAGTCGTGATACTGTAACTTCCAGCTACAGTACATGGTGAAAACTCAATGTCTCCAGATGGCCGTGTTCAATCGGCATTAAGTGGGCGAAAGTCGGATATTTCTCTCGGAAATAAGGCTAAGCGAGGTCCGAATATTCTGCTTCCAGCTTTTCCATTTCTACATCTCCTCTCCATCGTCGGTTGGAGGACCTCTCAAAACCCGTCCCCTAATCCCCTGTTTACCGCTTTCCAAAAGCGGATGCTATCTATATAATCTGAACCCAAAATGTACGTCTCTCCAAACACCACACCATCGCCATTTCTTGAGTCGGATTGACCGTTTCTCGACTCCCATTTGACCTGTTCGGAGCCAGTAGCGACACAAACAGAGCCGTTTGCGACACAGAACCAGTTTAGAGAAAACAGGCGACACGGACGACTAACCACGGACGACTAACCACGGACGACTAACACACATACCGCCACGGACGACTAACAACACACACAGCTGCTCTACACCATGGACTTCTCATTGCGATCTCCAATGAAACATGGAACGGCTTTCGGAGTCGCGTCTCCGTCAATGTCGCCTTCCGTGTCGGAAGCCATCATGAAGGAGATGAACGACCGGGCCAAACAGATTGTCGAGCAGGGCGACACTGGGTCTCCTACAAAACGCAACGCCGGTCCGTCAAATTCCGCCGCGGCGGTCGCAGCCAGCTACACACCCTCCAGACGGTCGGCTAGAGCCACCAGTCGGTTTGGAAGAGCCCACCAACGGTCCTTCAAAAACATGGACTCCATCAGCAACCACTATGCGGCTCAAAGAGACAGAGCTGCGGCGGCGGGCTCGGGAGGCGAACCGGAACGAATGGAGATTTATAACGACGCAAAGACGCCGGAGAAAATCACTGACGGAGCCAGACAACGAGACGTGGTGTCGTCAGCGGCCAAGCGTCGAAAAATCAACATTTTCGGCCGCAAACTCGAACTGGCACACACAGCGCAGCAACTGGGCTCGCCAACCAAGGAGAACATGGCTCCCGTGTCTCCAGCTAAGGACCTGGCTGCTCTACGTTCGCCGGAGAAGATGAACCAGGAGAACCTGAACCTGTCGCCTGTCAAGCTCAACACTCTGGAAACGTCTTCTCCCATCAAAAAGTCGCCCTCTAAGGTGGTTGATTTGCATCTGTCCAAGGAGGAGAAAGAGCCGTCAAGCGCAAATACAAATACAAATACAAGCACAACGGCCAAAACCATCCCTCCATCGCATTCCCTTCGACACATGAAATCGAAAACCAACATGTCTCGACCGCCTACCAAGCCCGTGGGCTTCTCACTGAGCACAGATCGACGTGCCGAGCGGACCATTCCGTCCAGTGCAAGTACCCGGTCCGTTTCAGAGGGCTCTAGGCTGCCCATGAGTCACTCCCAGAGTACCCGTTCGTTAAGAGGGCACGCCACGTCGGGCGGTGCTTCATCTACAGTCTCTGCACCCACTCTGTCTCCTTCAAAGAGCACCCCTTCGCTTTCTGCAGCTGCTGGCAACTCCAGATTGCGAACTCCTTCGGTTCGAATGCCGCCCTTGGGAACTGCTCGAAAGACCTCTGCCAGTGAGCCTTCCACAGGAGCTCGTATGGCTCCGAGGATGACAAAGTCGAGTACCATGTCCAATTTGAGACGTCCTGGAATATAAACAATCGTCGCATCATTCACATGTGCGGAATGCATCTGGGTCTCGAGCAATCGTAGACCTGTAATTTGTTTATGGACGATCAGGACTGAGACATGTCGTTCTTGTGACTATACCCTTTCCATTTTCAAACGGACAGTACAAGTACAATACGAGCACAACTAATTATTGTATATATCACTTGTAAATGTCCATTTTTATCTAAACTCAAACCCTGTTAAACTCGTGAAAGTGACCAATTTTTGTGTTGCAAGTGACCCCAAATTTGTGACGAAGGGGAGGCAAAGAAGAACAAACACTGTAGAATGGCCCATATCTACGGCATATCTACACCGCAATATAATGAAGTGGGTAAAAACTTGATGACGTAATCAATACGAAAGTGTCCTGTCGGAAATTGTGAAAAAAACAGACACAAATAGTGCCTACTACTTGTAGTATTTGAATCACTTTGTAACCAAACACCTCCATTTTTATCGAAACTCAAACCATGTTAAACTCGTGAAAGTGACCAATTTTTGTGTTGCAATCTAGCAGGAGAAAAACGTATGTATGGTATGGACTGGCACCGTGCATCGACTTCATATCAAAATCCTACTTAATCCAGCTGGGAGAACAAAAACTTAGTCCCAATAGACAAAAAAAAAATATATATATATATATTACAGGGAGAAGCGAAAAGAATATCAATTGCATGGATAATCTTCACAGAGTGCTACTTATCAACTCTCAATAAAAATCATTTGCTATATATTGTTTATAGGATACGTACTGTACATACTGTAGATAGTGGGCGTAGAAAGTCGCCAGAAGCTGCCGGTTGGAGTACAAGTACTTGTATCAAAATATCAGATAATATTGGGTCTATTTGGGCTGTAGAAAACTCGCCAGTCACAATAATCCATCCGAATACACACACTACAGCGTGAATTCTATGCTATGCAAATGTAGCACAATTACCTCATAAATCCAGTGCAGAAACTAATAGATGTAGTTCCCAAGTATCCTCAGAATCGCAGTCATACTCATCCTCATCCCCATGCGGTCTCAACGTCCTGTAAGTCTGTATCAGAAGATCTACCTGTCCTTATCCATCAACGCATCGTCAGCGTCGGTATTGGTGAGCGCAGTATCAGCTATGTTTGTATATGTTTACAAGGGCCTCCTACCGTTGTGATAACCAGCTCTTCATTGTAGCCTAGTGTGTCATTATCCTCAATGTCTTTCAACAGTGCTGTATCTGGTCGCTGTCGGCGGAAGGTGCGACTCTTCCAGTTTGTCAGTCTGTAGAACTCTGGATGGCACTTCTGGTATAGTACCGAAACTGACAGAGAATGTACGTAAGCGCTACTCTACGACTGCATGGGCTTTTCCTGTCGCAGCAAGTGTCAATGTACTGTACTGTATACTCTTTGATGCTGCCATGGAGTTGGTTTTTCTTTTGACGATGTTTTTGAAAGTGCGACCATGGCATGGGTTTTTGTTCCAAATTCTTTGGTTTCTTCCTTGCTTTCTGTTAGTAGCATTCTGTTCACAAAACTGATGTCACCGAGGACAACTTGCAAGTATGCGCTATCCCTTGTACCCTCGTACCCTTGTACCCTCGTAAAAATCAGTGCTAAATACCCGTCCACTTTATCGAAACTTAAACCTGGTTAGACTTGTGAAAGTGACTAATTTTTGTGTTGTAAGTGACCCATTTTTGTCTATCAAAAAAAAAAACACACTCTGGAGGAGGAAAGATCGGGACAAAAATAATATATATATTCAAAAAAAAATTATATATATATATTAGATGAACGCATAAACTTGCAGGATCGCTTTATATGAATGTGCCAAAAAATACATAAACTTCTCATTACTGTTGAATCTCATTACAATATTGAACACAAAAGCACATTCAACTCCAGCGACTATCCGCCAAGACAAAAGCGGCAACTCCCCATCCGCCTCTTCTCCGAGAATCATCTCAGTGGATGATGTGGGAGCCTCTCAATGGGTTCGCAAAACACAGGGGTTCGCATTCGCGTCAAAGTCTGGAAGGTGGCCGAAAGTCCGTGCGACACCCGATGCGCTGCTGTTGCGATTGTGTTAGTATCAACTGGACATTCACTACGATGATACTGACAAAATTCAACCCATACTGTGGTAAAAGGAATAAGACTAACAACGCCAATTTCCGTTTCTCATGCGCAAGGACGGGAAATGACAATGAGGATGAGCCCTGTGGTTACTTCATCTACGCCATGAAGAAGGATAATATATGGACTGTCAGCCAAAAGTACAACAAACCCAGGAAACACAACCCCCACATTGGAGCTGGGCTTGTCAATCTTTCCGATGTACATTGGGCTTGTCAATCGAGTCCAGAACGTTGTGTTGGGGAAAGATCCATCATACTCGAAATATAAAACTGGAACCACCGCTGCCACATTTGGGGATGAAGTGGCTTCTCTCTCAGACGCTATACTGACCTGATGATAGCAGAAGACCGTCTCAAAGACCGTTTCAAATACCGATTCAAAGACCGTTTGAAGGGCCGTTTCAAACCCCTACGACATCAATTTTGACCCATTTAACAGCACGGTATCGACCAAATCGTTCACGTACATGTACTCATCCACGTCCAACTTGGTTATCAAACCTTAATTTGTTTAAAGCCCGAAAATGTGGTAATTAAATCATCCCCTTCCAACAGGCAAAACACGTACAAATTTTTGTGCAGCACATTGTACCTTCTCAAAATGGATGTCCAAAACTCTAGAACATGGTCTCCGGAAACCTACTCGAGTTTTCTTCGAAATTCCTCCACCGTCGAAAACCGCGTTCGGAAACCGTCAACGCGTGAAAAATCAGTTGAAAGTGAATATATCGAATGACCAACCCAGCATGCATACGATAGTCCCCACCTTGCTGCTTGTGATGTCTTTTGGAAACGTTTGAGACGTCACTGGATGAACGCGTCTCTGGAGGACTACACAACGCAGTCAGGAGGAGAACACCAGTAAATCCATGAGAGGTGTTTCCAAAGGCCCCGGTGTGCCTCTCGTCTCGTAGCAGTTGGTTGCGCTGTCTCTTCGGCCACTATAAGTAGGAGACTGTCGCTGCACTTGGGGTGTCCAACGTGTATCCGTGGGCTAGCGACAACCTTGGATGTTGAGGGGGGCTGTGGCTCGCCGCGTAGTATTGGTGACTGGTGTATTTGTTCTAGTGGACTCGTTCTAGTGGACTCGTTCTCGTGTCGCCCGAACGTATTATGCTCACTCGTTGATACTCAAGTACCGTCTGTGAGAGCCAGCCATGTACCCGCCCTCTGGCGCGTCGGCAGGATGAGGACGACTATCTGAGGCCCTTCCTCTTGAATTGTCTATGTAATTAATGCTCGAATGTCGAATATTGCCCGATGATTGTACAGGTGCAGTACTCGTGCTGTTCTCCTCTATATAACCCCTTTTGTTACCTGCTCCTCTGTCTTCGCACGCGTCTTGTCCCCTCGGGTGTTCGCGTCACGTCCCAATTTGTCAAAAATGGCCGAGTCCTGAATTCTGGTTTCAGACACTCATATCTGGCCCTACACAGGTCGGAATAGAAATATGAGCATATATTCCGAAACTGTGGTGTGTCTTCGTCCGTATTGAGCTCGACTCTATGTTTTTGCACTCTTTGAAATTACGCCAGCTAATTTGGTGTCATATCGCTGAAGTACAGTCTTTGCGCCAACCTGTGGACTATAATTAGGGATTGGGATCCCGATTCCTGCAGAATTTGAGTTCGGACATCAAAGGGTTTTTTTTTTTGGATTTTTTTTTTGGAAATATTCTAAAAATTTAATTTGAAATTTGCAAGTGTGCTTTCCCCATCGGGCACCATTGCTGGTTATGTACCTGTACTGTATACATAAGTGAATCCAGCTGTACACAGAAGTTTTCTGGACTTGACACTGAATACAAGACACCAGATGTCTCACTGCAGTCACTGCAGACTTACCTATGTACATACCATAATGATCTGTTGCTGTGACAAATCCACCCAATATGGGAAAAGGCAAGGTAAAAATACCTAGAGGTGGTCTGTTTGAGACAGGGACAAGAAGAGTGTGTCCCAAGCAAGAGCACATGAAAGCAGGTAACCTGATTTGGGCTGGGTGGAGAGTCGGAGCCGGTGACGCGAACCGAAGAGGTCAGCGGAGTGAGTGACAGGTATGACAGAGTAGGGGAACATATTGTGTGTTTTGGGTGTGTTTTGGGTGTGTTTTGGGTGTGTTTTGGATGTGTTTTGGATGTGTTTTGGGTGTGTTTTTGTCGTGCCTGTTGCCATATCATCGCTCACTTGTTGGTCTCGTAGTTGCGTCATTCGTTGAAGAGGCTTGTACATGTCTTCCGAGCTGAACCAACCAACAAATTGGCCGTGAATATGTTCGTCTAATTACAAGAGTGCTGATCATCTACAGACTTGCCAAAGAGATCCATTTTGTACGCTTGGACTTGGCATCTCAAAATACAGAGCCTCGATACCCACTGAGAACAACAAAGTCACCTTCAGAGCGTCGAAGGTGTCGTGTTTGGACAGCTTCTGTTTGTTTCCAATCTTCATGGAGTCCAAAACAAAACAGTTGGCATAGTCGCGTTACCGACAACCTCGTAGACAAACCCACTCCGTAGATCGGGCTTGTTGCCGAACAACTTGTCTTGCTTTTCGCTATTGTTTTTCACCTCACTGCCAAGTTCTCCAACTCCACTCAATCGACCCTGATCACACCACCCGGAACTTGGTATTCATAATCTGTTTCTTACCTCACATTCTCCGTACCCCTACATCTTCATAACCTGTCCCCATTTCCCGATCAACTCGTACGTACTCATACCACCTCCCCTATAACTGGGACGTGCTCCTCATACCCCCCATCCAGAACGCACCCTAGACGCACACCTCCACGAGGCGATAACTCATCGCCAAAGTTTTTAGCCGCCTAAGTTACGGTTTCATAGATTCAAAGGCAGAGC